GGAGACCTGGGAGTTTGCTTGGGTTCTGTTCTAAAGCCAGGGTGAACTCGCAAGAGCTAGGAAGCTGAGAAACATGGTCTGGGGTAGTGTATTGGAACGAGAAGTACAATATCATTAGCGCTGTATTGATGATTTTATTGTATCTTTGTGTTTTTAGTTTGCTGTACACTGCTTGGGTTGGGACACGGGTGGCGCTGTGGGTAAAACCTCAGTGCCTAGGACTTGCCGATCGTCAGGTCGGCGGTTCGAATCCCCGCGGCTCCCGTCGTTCGGTCCCAGCGCCTGCCAACCTAGCAGTTCGAAAGCACTCTTAAGTGCAAGTAGATAAATAGGGACCGCTTTACAGCGAGAAGGTAAACGGCGTTTCCGTGTGCTGCGCTGGTGCAGGATCGCCAGAGCAGCTTCGTCACGCTGGCCACGTGACCCGGAAGTGTCTTCGGACAGCGCTGGCCCCCGGCCTCTTAAGTGAGATGGGCGCACAACCCCAGAGTCGGACACGACTGGCCCATACAGGCAGGGGTACCTTTACCTTTACCCTTACACTGCTTGGAGATATTTTATATACAAAGCAGTACAGTGGTACCTCGGATTAAGTACTTAATTCGTTCCGGAGGTCCGTACTTAACCTGAAACTGTCCTTAACCTGAAGCACCACTTTAGCTAATGGGGCCTCCTGCTGCCGCTGCGCAGCTGGAGCACGATTTCTGTTCTCATCCTGAAGCAAAGTTCTTAACCTGAAGCACTATTTCTGGGTTAGCGGAGTCTGTAACCTGAAGCGTATGTAACCTGAAGCGTATCTAACCTGAGGTACCACTGTATGGGTATGGTCATAAATAAATAAAAATATGCACTTAACCTCATTAGATGGCCATGGTTTTCCTGTATATATATATATATATATATATATATATATATTAACAAAAGTCTCTCCACAGCTTCCTGCTGGCAACACTTCCCAGTGAATAATGACGATTACCTCCTGAAAATTTCAGAGAAGTTCATCTCCCTCTATCCATAAAGCAGCAGAAAATCACACACAGCCTTTTTTTTTTTTTTTTTTTGCAAAGGAAAAATATTTCAGGGAAATGGAGTATTTGTCACAGAACCTCCCATCTCCTGTTATAACAGTTCACAATGGGTCTCATTGCCTTTCAGAGAGAAGTTGGAGGGAGGGAGTGACAACACATAACTATGTGTAAGACTTATCACATTGCCATCCTAAACAGACTTATCCCCACTCCTATTATTTATTATTTCATAATAAGCATACACCATTGTAATTTTAAAAAGAAATTAAGAACCTCAACGCGGTTTACAAAGAGATTGAAGCAATACCAAACAGTACAAATTGAGAGCATTTGCCATGCCATAGTATTGATGTTACAGGAGCCAGAATCTAGTACCAAAAGGGTTTTAGAACTGATTCAAGAATTTGGTCAGGTTGCAGGATTTAAATTGAATAAGTTAAAAACCAAGGTTTTAGAGAAAAACTTAACACCGATTGAGAGAGAGAGGTTTCAGAATGAGACAGGCTTAACAGTGGTTAAGAAAGTGAAATACCTGGGGATTAACATGACAGCAAAAATGGGAATTTATTTAAAGACAACTATGAAAAATGCTGGGCTGAAGTGAAAAAGATTTAGAAATTTGGTCAAATTTGAAGCTTTCACTGCTGGGCCGTATTGCTGCGATAAAAATGAATGTATTGCCTAGAATGTTGTTTTTGTTTCAAACATTGCAAATTGTGGACAAAATGGACTGTTTCAAGAAGTGGCAGAGAGATATTTCTAGATTTGTCTGGCAGGGCAAGAAGCCTAGAATAAAATTTAAAATACTAACAGATGCAAAGGAAAGAGGGGGATTTGCCCTGCCAGACTTTAAACTTTACTATGAATCAGCAGCTTTTTGCTGGTTGAAAGACTGGCTGCTTCTTGAAAACACAGACATTTTGGATTTAGAAGGTTTTAACAATGTATTTGGATGGCATGCATATCTGTGGTATGATAAGGTCAAAGCACATAAAGCATTTAAAAACCATATTGTTAGGAAAGCATTGTTTAATGTTTGGATAAGATATAAGGACTTATTGGAAAACAAAACCCCAAGGTGGCTGTCACCGATGGAAGCGAAAGCTCAGAAAAAGCTCAATATGGAGGTCAAATGGCCGAAATATTGGGAAATTTTGGAACAAGATGCAGATAGACTGAAACTGCTGAGTTTTGAGAAATTAAAAAACAAAGTGTGAGACTGGCTTCATTATTATCAGATAATGGAGGCATATAATTTGGACAAGAAAATTGGCTTCCAGGTGGAAAAATCAAAATTGGAAACAGAACTGTTAGAACCAAAACTAAGAATTTGTCAAGAATGTATAACTTGCTGTTGAAATGGAATACTCAGGATGAAACGGTGAAATCTGCTATGATTAAATGGGCACAAGATGTTGGACATAACATAATGATGGCTGACTGGGAACAGTTATGGACCACAGGTATGAAGTTTACGGCATGCAATGCCTTAAGAGAGAATATTATGAAAATGATATACAGGTGGTACATAACCCCAGTCAAGCTTGCAAAAATCTATCATTTACCCGATAATAAATGTTGGAAATGTAAAGAAACTGAAGGTACATTCTTTCACCTTTGGTGGACATGCCCAAGGATTAAGGCTTTCTGGGAGATGATCTATAACGAAATGAAAAAGGTATTTAAATATACCTTTCTGAAGAAACCAGAGGCTTTTCTCCTGGGCATAGTCGGCCAATTGGTGTTAAAGAAGGATAGAACTTTCTTTATGTATGCCACAACAGCAGCAAGAATACTTATTGCAAAGTATTGGAAGACACAAGACCTACCCACTCTGGAAGAATCGCGGATGAAGGTGATGGACTACATGGAATTGGCGGAAATGACTGGCAGAATCCGAGACCAGGGAGAAGAGTCGGTGGAAGAAGATTGGAAGAAATTTAAAGACTATTTACAGAAATATTGCAAAATTAATGAATGTTAGAATGATGTTAGAATGAAGTTAGGTGGTTTAAGCAGTAATGCTATAAAGGTGTATGAAAAATGGATTGATAACAGGTGAAAATTCAAAGCTATAGTATATTAAGTTAAAGGATTAAGAGAAAATAAAGAGGGAAAGAAATTGCTGAATTAACTAACTGAACTGGAACACAAAAAAGGGAGGTATGAGGAGGTCAGGGAAACAAGGATATGAATGTAAGGTATAGAAAGATTGATGAATTTTTTTAAAGTGTTTTTTATTCTTTTATTCTGTATTTTGTATTTTTCCTGTATTTTTTTGTTTTGTTTTTTGTTTTTCTTTCTCCTTTTCTTTATGTAATTCTTCTTTCTGAAATTTTAATAAATATCATTTTTAAAAAAAAGAGATTGAAGCAATAAAAATAACAATAACAGCAACTATTTGAAACATTAAAAAAAATCAGCAATAAAGTAAAAACAGATCAACACGTACATCAACGTTTTACTTATCTGGAAAGACTTGACAAAACAAAAATGTTTTTAGAAGGCATTAAAAAAAGGCGACTGCCTGATGTCAATAGGAAGGAAGCTCCGATGTGTAGGTGCTGCCACTCTGATTTCTTACAAATGGAAAGCAGGCATGATGTGGACCCTGTAATAGTGCCGGTTCTGTAGATCAAAGTGGTTGAGTGGGCACATACGGGATGAAGCAATTTCTCAGGCAAACTGGTCCCAACTTGTCAAGGGCTTTATATTACCATGGGTTGAACTAAATGACCCTTTGGGACCCTTTACAAGGTAAAAGTAAAGGACCCCTGGTTGGTTAAGTCCAGTCAAAGGTGACTATGGGGTTGTGGCGCTCATCTCGCTTTCAGGCCGAGGGAACCGGCATTTGTCCACAGACAGCTTTCCAGGTCATGTGGCCAGCATGACTAAACTGCTTCTGGCACACAATGTGATGCAAGCAGGAGCACGTAAATGCCATTTACCTTCCTGCTGCAGAAGTACCTATTTATCTACTTGCACTGGTGTGCTTTCAAACTGCTATGTTGACAGGAGCTGGGACAGAGCAACGGGAGCTCACCTGTAGTCTATATACTACTGGTAACAGCTTCAATACGGCCCAGTAGCAAATTGAAAACCAGTGCATCTCCAGGCACAGGGGTTACGTGCTGACAAGTCTCGTCCCTGCACTAAATACAGCTTCCCAATTGAGTGAAAGGGAAGCCCCCATAGAGTGTGTGGCAATAATCTTTAAGCAATTCTAGGGGTTTACACTGTTCTGAAATAAGAGCGGCCAGGTGGAACAGAGGCAGGCTTCCTCAAACTTGTTTTAACCTACAACTCCCATGATCCCTAGCTAGCAGGACCAGTGGTCAGGGATGATGGGAATTGTAGTCTCAAAACATCTGGAGGGCCGAGGTTGAGGAAGCCTGGAATAAGGTCCCTGCACAAGTGTTAAGATACACTTAATTGATTAGAATTTCAGCAGCTTCTACACAGCAGAAAGCAAAGGAAGGGGGCTTCCTCCCTGGGATGAGTAATCAACAGGATGCCATCGAGCCCCGGTCTCTTCTTCCCTTTCCTCATTGCTTGCAAAAAAGGTGGGGGAGAGCAGGAGAAAGGGATGCTTCCATCAGCTCCCCCCTCTCCTCTCCCTTCCCCTCCCCCCTCTCCTTTCCCTTCTCCTCTCCCTCCTCTCTTCCCCTCCCTCCCCCTCTCCTCTCCCTCCCTCCCCCCTTCCCTTCCCCTCCCCCCTCTCCTTTCCCTTCTCCTCTCCCTCCTCTCTTCCCCTCCCTCCCCCTTCTCCTCTCCCTCCCTCCCCCTTCCCTTCCCCTCCCCCCTCTCCTTTCCCTTCTCCTCACCCTCCTCTCTTCCCCTCCCTCCCTCTCCCCCTCCCGTCCTCCCTTCTCCTCTCCCTCCCTCCCCCTCGCCCTCTCCCTCCCCGCCCACCACCCCTTGACTCCGCCCACGGGGGAGGGGAGACGGACGGAAGGACCGCCTGGTTTCTTTGCCGTCACGTGACGCCGGGCGGGGTGACTGAGGGAAGGGAGGCCAGAATAAAGGGGCGGGGAAGGCAGGCAGGCAGGCAAGCCGTCACGTGACCGTCGGCAGCTGCCGGAAATCTCGCGCCTCTGCTCGCACGGGGCGGCGGGGACAGGGGGGTGGGCAAAGATGGCGGCGGAAAGGGAGCCCCCTCCTCTCGGGGACGGCCGGCAGACGGAGTTCGAGGAGCTGGAGGACGGCGAGGACCTCTTCACCAGCACCGTCTCCACCCTGGAGGTAAGGCGCGCCCTTCGGAGGGAGCTGGCGGCCGGGGAGGCATTGCCGTTGCTGCCCAGCCCCTCTGCGCCTTCCTCGCCCTCCCGCTCCGTCCCCTCAGCACAGGGGCAGCGGCCCCAAAGGCCACCTTGACCCGGGTCCCTGGCCGGCGAGGCGCTTCCGCCCACCTGCCTCCCCGGCGCCAGGATGCTTCCTTCCACCTGCGCTTGACGTTGCGCGGGCCGCTTCCCTTCCCCATCTGGCCCTGCGTTTCTGCCCCTCCAGAGTCACCCGCGCCTTCCTCTTTCCCTGCCCAGTGAAGTCTTGTCACGTCAGCTCTGAAGGCTGCGTTTCCACTCCTGCATTTTCTGCTCTACAAGGCAAGCTTCTGGACCGGGTTTTCCCCAAAACTTGGGTTTCCAGCTGCTTTTTGGGCTGCGACTCCCATCATTCCTCAGCTTTGCAAGACCCCCAGGGGTCAGGGATGATGGGAATAGTAGTCCCCCAAACAAACCCAAGTTTTGGAAACCCTTCTAGACTGAAACCACTCTTCCCCCCCAAGACTTTAAATATGGCCGTAACTCTTCCTCCCAGAAGCTTTCGTTTCACTGGTTTCAGTAGTGGTGTTGGGTGGTATATATGGGCAGGGCTTTTTTCCACCAGCCAGAACTCCAACTTCTGGCACCTCTCAGGTGGGCGCCATTGCCATTCTAAGAGAATGAGGGAGGTGTTCGAGGTGAGTTCTAGCACCTCTTTTTCTAGAAAAATAACACTGTGAATGGACCTTGCAAAGTCTGAATGCCTGAGGCTGCAATCCTGCCCACACTTAACTGGGGTCCCACTGACTTCAATGGCGCTTACCTCTGAGTAGACATTTATAAGACTATACTGAAAGACCATGTTGGTACACAATAGCTAGTAGATGGTGAGTACCATATATGCTTATAAGCATGTAGCCTTATTTTATTTAACTTGCATCCTGCCTCTTTTACTCTTGTCTCTTGTATAAATATGTGTAGCACACAACTTCTGTCTTCAAAGCACCTTTATTTTGATAACTAGCCTATGAAGTCTGTAGCTAATATTCCTCAGGAGTTGAAACCTCTGAATAGGTACAGTTTAGCTTGTTAATGTTTGTAAAGCAGCGTGCTTCCTTTGATTTGTCAGCAGTAAGGGATTTCTCTTTCCAGTCCTGGCCTTGTTTCCACTGTGCACTTGGTGAAAAACATACAGGGAACAATCTGTCACAAAATGAAGCGTTGCTGTTTTGTTGGACAATGCTTCCTGTCCCTGAACTTTAAACTAAGAAGGCCAGGGAAAGTTAGTTTGTTTCCAGCTTATTGCGCTGTGTCAGTGATATACAGTACCGTGAGGTTTTTTTTAAAATAGAGAGGCTGCTTTTGGAGAGCAGCCATATGCTTTTAAGTGTAGTATGAAAGAAATAGTTTTCAAAACGAATTTATTATTTGTGAACCGTTTTCATCTGTGCCTCAGTTAGCGCTTCTCACAGCAGTTAAAAAGAGTACTCTGTAGTATAAAACCCAAGCATAAACTACAGCAGTTCAGGCACTGGTAACTTCAATATTGGATTACTCTGGTGAACTCTCAGTGGGACTTCTCTTGCTCTTGACCTGGAAATGGCAGATAGAGTTGCTGCAGCATGGCTGCTGACACGAGTAAGTCCCTTTCAACATATAACACCTTCAGAGATCTGCACCGGTTTCCAATTTGTTACCAGGCCAAGTTTCATTAGTATGGGTATACAAAGCCCTTATGGGTATACAAAGCTTGGGACTAGTTTACTTGCTGGATCACTTTACCCCACATGTGCCCACATGACCACTTTTATCTGCAGAACTGGCACTGTTACAGGTGTCACATAATACTCATTCTGCAGTTGTAAAAAATTGATATTTTAGTATGGCGGCACCTTGCCTGTACTGTTTTGCTTAAAACATTTTTCTTTAGGCAAGCCTATCCAGACATGCGGAACGCGGGTGGCGCTGTGGGTTAAACCACAGAGCCTAGGGCTTGCCGATCAGAAGGTTGGCAGTTCGAATCCCCGTGACGGGGTGAGCTCCCGTTGCTCGGTCCCTGCTCCTGCCAACCTAGCAGTTCGAAAGCACGTCAAAGTGCAAGTAGATAAATAGGTACTGCTCCGGTGGGAAGGTAAACGGTGTTTCCGTGCGCTGCTCTGGTTCGCCAGAAGCAGCTTAGTCATGCTGGCCACATGACCCATAGCTGTACACCGGCTCCCTCGGCCAGTAAAGCGAGATGAGCGCCACAACCCCAGAGTCGGCCACGACTGGACCTAATGGTCAGGGGTCCCTTTACCTTTACGTATCCAGACATGCAGTTGTGTTTTAATCTTTTTCTGTTGATTTGAATGATTTTTGAAAAAGGTTTTGAATTGTTCTTATTGCTAATTTTAATATTTCTTGTAAACCGCTTAGAAATTTTACTAAAACTAAGTGGCATATAAATTTTGTGAAATAAACACTGAAATATGAAAGGCAGCAAAACCAGAAACCATTTGATAGTTGTCTAGAAGAGGAAATGTGCACATTTCCACATGTGTGGAAGTTCTTCCTTTGGAACCTACTCTCTTGTTCTAGATTAATCTTGGTAGCTACAGTAGCTTTTTATTGGAGCAACACTACAAACTGAGAGTGAAACAACAGCAGGAATTGAGGCTAATGTTGATCTCTGCAATGGAATAAAATCAATGCACTCCTGGTGCTGATAAAAGGCTCTGACTTGGAGGGCATTAAGATGAAAGTACTATTAATATGTGGTCGATTTCATATCTGGCAGTCTTGATTTTGGAACTAACTTATGCCCTGATGCTTATTGCTGGGAGAGGTGAGGTGGTTGTTGCTAAGATATGTAGCTGAGAGGGGCCCAGGTCACCTCTACAGTTACTGCCACCATCTCACATACTAGGCCTTGAAATTCTGCTGTGCCGAAGACTAAATAGCACTGTGTAGTGTAGACTTGGTCAGACAGATGCTTCCTTAAGATTACTGAAATAATGGAAATAAAAAATTTGAATGATAAATGTCAGCTTCTCTGTTGCTTTGTATAAAAAGTTGACACTTTGTTATGTGAGACTAGATCCCTGACAATGTTTCTGTGAGGAATTCATCAGGAGTAGCTATGCTTTGCATGTTTACATGTTTGTGTGCACAAAGGCATGGATTGTGAAGTTGCGTGGAGTTCTGTCTTTCCCGTCTACAGAGCCACCTTACGATTTCTTTCAAAGTAACTTACTGCTACTGACCAATTTCTTCATGAACAGTTTACAGACACAACACTGCCTACTCCAGTGACTAAGCACTGTGCAAACATTTTCTACAAAAAAAAACACCTCTCAGGAACAGTTCATTCATCATGCTGGTGGTGTGATTTTTCTCCCTGGGAGGCTGAATTGTGTGGGCACCAAGATTCACACTTAACTACTTCTATGAAGTGCCTTTTACATGACTTGGGTCAACAGTAGCTACTCCAGAGAAATGGCACAGTGATGTGTTGCTTCCGTTACTTGTTTACAGTTGTCTTAAGTCCTGTGGTAGCCTTTTAATGAAAATAGCTAATTGTGAATCTGGTATCCACATGGCTTGCCTTCCTGAATAAATTATACACTTCTACTTAACTCATCTTTTGTCTTGCACACTTAACTTACTAACTGCTCCACATGTGCGTTGCCTCTTCTGGGTGCTCTAGGGCCTGCTATTTAAGAGTTAGCAGTGAAACATTTTTGGTTCTTGTGCAGCTTACCTGGAGGTGAATGATGGGGACTCTCTTTAGCTTCGCAAGTGTGCAAAATGTCCTACACGTTAGCTAGAAGAACGTGCTGCTTCCTGCTTCACCCCATGCATTCTGTCTTGTTCATTCTGTGCTGGCCTCTTGAAATCTGATGTACGCTCTCGTGGTCCCTTCCAACTCTGTGATTCTATTGAGTACATGTAGCATCTCTCAACATGGCCAGAAATATTCCATCTCAGTGCTAGAACTTGGGGTAACCCAATAAAACTGATGGACAGATTGGAATACTACTTCAGGCAATGCATACTGATAGGGTTTGTTTCCACAATAGATTATTATGATCGCTGGTTTTAATAGCTTGAAAATGGGATTAGTCATTGATAGGCAAATTCATTGCAGATGGGTCTATTGGATGGGTGTAGCCAAGGGGGGCAGGGGGGCAGCTCCGCCTCCTAACTAAATAACAGTCAATACAAATCTGAGGCTCTGGTCCCCCTAACAAAAGCCTCCCCCCCCAACAAAAATCCTGGCTACACAAATTGTCTATTGCCACCAACCTGTCTGACTAGCCTGTTCCTCCTTAGTCTCTAGCAACAGCCAACCACTCCAAATGCGAATGAATAAGGAGAAGTCCATCCACTTCTCTGTTTTGACCTGTTTCTGCTCCATATTAATTTGTTAGCAGTTTTGAAAAATTGGACTATAAATGATAGATATATGGAACCTCTGCTTTCAGATGTAGCATGATAAGTTTTTGGAGGGTGGGTCAGATGTAATATGTCAGGTGTTGTGCACTGCTTTTGTAGGTACAGTCATACCTTGGGTTACAGACGCTTCAGGTTGTGGTTTTTTTGGGTTGCAGACTGCCGAAACCCAGAAGTACCAGAATGGGTTACTTCCGGGTTTCGGCCATCACGCATGCGCCGAATTGCAAGCTGCGCATGCGCAGACGCGCCGCTGTGAGTTGCGGACACTGCAGGTTGCGAATGTGCATCCCGCACGGATCACATTTCGCAACACAAGCGTCCACTGTATCAGGCTTGCCACTGTTGGAAATAGGATGCTGAACTTAATGGACCCTGGGTCTTGATCCATTTAAGACAACTTAGAATGTTAGACTACAAAGTAGCAGTAGTAGTAGTAGTGGCATCTGTAAATGAGACATTAGTCATACAGTAGGGTCCTCACATTTGTAAAGTGGTTTGAAAGCTTGAAGGGTCACTTTGAACCTTGCTTTGGAATATTTTGAAGCTTGCAAGCTTTTTGTAATTAGCAGTAGCTTAATAGATGGACAGTTTGCAGCCAGATATGTGCTGATAGGTTGTACTCTTTCGATGATGCTTTCTCCAAATAAGTCTTCATATAATTACAGCCTTGAAAGACTTTATGTTGGGACGTGCTAGTTCTAAAGTTGGGGTATTTTGCCCCTTGGGTATTGGGCCCAAGGAGGAGCTTTCAGAAAACATAGTCATTTTAGAAATATTAGTAAACTTAAGTTATATTCAAAACAGTAAGTAAATATTTATGTTCCAATCGTATTTAACATGCGTTATCGTGAAGAGGAAACAGTTGTTAAGATATCCCCTGAAAGGTTAATGTTTCCTTAGTACATTGTTATCCTGTAACTGCTAGGAAATAGAAATTGCTGACATGGTTGCTTCTACATGCTGTTTTTTTCATGTTATGTGCTTGCAAATGATGGCATTTGCTGTGATTGTTTCATAAGTACTGATGCTGTTCTTCTCAACTGTTTGCTCCTTTCAACAGTCGAGCCCATCATCTCCAGAGCCAGCCAGTCTTCCTGCAGAAGACATCAGTACAAATTCTAATGGCCCAAAGCCTGCAGAAATCATACTAGATGATGACAGGGAAGACCTTTTTGCTGGTAATGTTCTCCCTCACATTTTTTTTTTAATTTAAAAAGGATATTTCAGATAGCTTTTAATGAAAAACATAATTTCGGAAGTCATTACAATGTACAGTTTCTAGAGAACTGGGAGTTGGAGCTTTGTCATAGAAGAGAAAGTAATTGAATTACATTTTTAGAACTGCTTTGAATCAAAGACTCAGGCTTGTGAACAGCTGCATACTTGCCTTCAAGCAAAAGAAGGGATTGAAACACTTGCAATCAGTTTGATCTCAATATATATTCTAACATGATGAACATCAGCTAACAAGCAGATAACATTCAGGAGAGAGTTGTATAGCCTTGAATGGGGTAGCAGTAGACTTTGGCAGGCTTGGTTCATACACAACAACAAATCATGGGTCTTTGCTACAAGATTGAGCCTACTTGAGCCTCAGGCTTGTTTGCTTTAAGGAGTCCTTTATGTGTACAAAGTGGATGTTGAAAGCATTTGCTTACCTCTTTGAACTACCCACTGTTTCGTCCAAACCTTGGGAACCACAGTTGGATCTTGGTTTGTTCTCTGAGTTCAGGCACACTTTCAGAAGTGAAAATCGAAGCTTCTGATATCTTGTCATGACTGAGGAAGTGGTGAGAGGATGTACATGAGCATAGTTCTCCTCATGCAAACTGTCCTTCAAAATGGCAAACCATGGTTTATTATGTCTAGCTCATAGTTTTACTCTATAAATATTTCAGTCTGAAATGTCCTGTGCTGGCCTACCTGAAACTGTAGGTTAATTAAACTGAGTCAGTCAGTTAAATGAGCTTTACTTGTACATAGTCAATGATACAAATGACGTTTTATGGGATGATCACATGCTTTAGACACTCCTTTCACACCACTTAAAGCTTGAATACATTGAGAGAGCAAGCAGACCTGCTTCTTCAACAGCTGTGTTGCTAGTTTTCATTTTTCTCTGTGCTAAACTAATAGAGGGAGAAAATGCAGCCAAATGCCCAAGAGCATTGCCCTATGAGTGCTCCAGCAACAGCTATAGCCAAGAACAAATGCTCTGCTATGTGCCTGCCTCTCTAGATTTACTTCTGCCTTAAAGTCTGGAGCCCTTAAAGCAAAGATGCAGCCCATCATAATAGACGTGCTTGGCCAATAACAAATACATCTTGAGTAATTTCCTCTTCAGTTGCTTGCTGGGGGAGTTTGTCATTCATCTTGGTCAAGGCAAAACACAAGAATTCACACTCCTTAATACGTGTGTGTGTGTGTCCACACACACACACACACACACACACAAAATCACATGTTTAGCTAAACTTTGTTTCTAGAACAAACTTAAGTAAAACTTTAAAAGCTCAGGTACTCAGATGTATGAAAAAGTTATGTTTGATTTGAATAACTTTTGTTTTAAGGATTTGAAGTAGTTTCTTGCTATGCCTACTTACTTGATCGTTATGCTATTCTGCATAACTCTCTGTCATTTTTGTGTTAGAAAGCTTTTGGGTAAGTGGTTATTTGACTGAATTGCCAGTAATCCAGCTTAGTAGAACTAGTGTTTCAGATACTCTATAACACGAGAAAACTGTTGTTATTCCTAAATGAGTTAAAATTCAGAATTACTTTTTAATTGGGAAGAAGTTTGTGGCCTTTTCCCACAATCCCCATGAAACATAATGTTCAGTCACTTAGCTTAACAGCTGAAAGAGGGTGCATGGTACGTAAAAGTACTTGGTACGTTTGCCCGCTACTGTTTGATAGTGCATCACATTAAGAAGTGAACTAACCCTTGCTTTGATGGCTGTTATCTCCTTGATGTTAGTGGTATCCAGAGTACAGGTTGTAACTGGCCAGAATTAGCACTAGTGGAAAACTTGTAACTTACTTTTAACTAATGGGAACATTTAATAGAGTTCCTAATCAAGCATTTGCCTGAATATGTGTTTTCTAAAAGGAGGGAGGGGGTAGAGCTGTGCAGCCACTGGAGTCAGGCTAGGATTGGTGTTATATTCTCAAACCATCTTGCCCCAGTGAGCAACCCAACCGCTTCACCAGTTGACATTTCCAGACCATCTTCAGAGACAGTCCCACACATAATGCATTGCAGGATTCTGGCCTAGAGATTTCAGAGCATAGACAACAGAAGTTAGGTCACACCTGTCCTGATAGGAATGCAGCCGGGCCACCAGCCGAAGCTGATGGAAGGCACTCTGTGCCACTGAGACCACCTGAGCCCAAGCAACAGCAGTTAATCCAGAAGCACCCGCTTGGTCTTATCCTGGTTGAGCTTTGGTTTGTTGGCTGTCATCCAGTCCGTTACTTAGGCAACACAACGGTCCAGCACATCCGCTGCCTCACCTGCAGATGTAAAGGAGAAGTGGAGCTGCGTGTCACCAACTTACTCCAAAACTGCTTAGAATTCCTCTTCAACATCCAAAGGCCTAAAGCAGAGCCGGCAGGTGTAGGGGCATTCCTGTGCCCTACTTCTATCCCAAACACATTCAGGCAAATTCCTAAAGGGACTACAACCCTGACGTTCTCTGGAAAATAGATATTTTGCCTAATACTACATTGAGATCAGGTGTTACACAACATAGCATAAATGAGAGAGATGGTGCAATCAATAAATAAAGGGGATTGTGAATCTCTTGCTGACCACAATAGTCTCGAAACTCTCTGGGGTTTGTGCTCCTGATATACATGAACTTTTCTCATTCTGTTTTTATCTAGAAGCCACGGAGGAAGTTTCTCTGGACAGCCCGGAAAGAGAACCGATACTTTCATCCGATTCTACTCCAGCTGTTACACCTGTTACACCAACCACACTAATAACACCCAGAATGGAGTCAAAAATAGTGGTGGCTCCTGTCGACTTTGACAGATCCAGGGAAGAGGTATTGAATAACCTGGTGAAACACTTCTATTAAACTGATTAACATTCTGTGTCCTTTAAAACATGGGGTGGGGGAAGGGAGTTATTGTTTTGATTTTGTTCCTGTTTTATATTGTATTTTCAGTTTTTATTATGTATTTTTATGTTGCAAACCACCCTGAGATCTTTGGGTGAAGGGCAGTACACACCTTTATATATTCTATGTGTTTATTATATAAAACATAATTTGTAACTGGCTTAACTGATATTGGTAACTACTGTTACAAGTAGAAATAGTTCGTGCCAATTAAGGCAGCTCCAGCAGCTGTCAAAATGATTCTTGCATTTACCAGTAACAAGCCTTGTGCTCATGCGCTCTATTCTTACATCATTCCTTCTCTCTGCCTTCACATTGTGTGCACTGCAGTTACGTTAATTGAAACTCGGTTTCTTCTGAAGACCATCCGCTAACTATGGTCTGCCAATGAGACAAAGGATGGTGGCTTATTAAATCATGTGCATCCAAACCCAGGCCTCAAGGGAAAATGAACAGCCACATCAGGGTCACAGGACAAGTCTGGGACGGAGAAGCATTTATAAGTTGGAAAGGATTGCATTGCTGTGTAGTTCAATCAGAATAGTTCAGTCCAAATTGTTTGCGATCTTAGGAATATTTGTTTGCTTGAACAATGAAAGCAGACACCCCTTAAACTCTCACAGTCGTGCTTCAGTATAGAAGGGGTTGCTGCAATGTTTATATGAAAATCAAAGTCACCTCAACTCCCCCCACTGAAATGTTTTTTGAACTGAGTGACCTAATTACAACACTTGCTTAGGTTCATATGAGCAATAACTGTGTTGCGCAATTATAACTGTTCAGATGAATCTTCCAAATCTGCTGATTTCTTCTTTTTTCCTTCTTTTTTTGTTGGAATATGTGGCAATACGCTTAATTTCATTCTATAGTATTGACTGTTCCAATAACTTTCTTACAGCAAACTAACTAGCTATGGCTACGGTAACTAGCTAGCATTGGGCTATTGGCTCGACCATAAATTTGAAAATTAGTATTTAGGCTTCCAGAGTTTGTGACTAGACAGTAGTTTGAACAATACCGTGTTTCTTTTCTTTCTAGATTGAAGAAGAAGCTAATGGTGACTTGTTTGATATTGAAATCAATGTGTCAGATCCAGAGAAAGTTGGTGAGTGAAAACAGTACATTGCAGAAAAACCGAATCAACTTTTTCTGGGTCCTCTTTTTATATAGCCCATCTTAGAATAAATGTTCATCGCATAAAGAGTGAAATGCTGAAAGAGATACTGAAGGGCTGATTTGTGTGTTTGTTTTACAGGCGATGGTATGAATGCATATATGGCATACAGAGTAACAACAAAGGTAACTTGTTGTAAAGGCAACAGTACAGAATTTTGGCTGTCATGGAATATATAAATGCTGAATGTTTTAAAATTACCTCTTCTGTGTTTTTAGACCTCTCTGTCCATGTTTCACAAAAACGAATTCGCTGTTAAAAGAAGATTCAGTGACTTTCTTGGCTTACATGCCAAATTAACATCCAAATATCTGCATGTTGGGTATATTGTGCCTCCAGCTCCAGAAAAAAGTATTGTAGGTAAGTACAGGGGTGGTTATTTTGCGGACGGCACAGGGAATGTGTTGCTTATACTTGAATGAGTTGGGGGGGTATATACCGATCTTGTGTCTGATAGTTGAATTAGATTTTGAGCTTGCAGAAAACCTACCCATTTTTTTGTGTACAGGAAGTGTTCTACAAACAGCCCCTGCCATTTAAACTTGATGAATAAAATAAATCAAGGGCATTGTTCCATCTAATAGTGAACTTAGTGCTTCTGAGTCAACAGCAGTGGTTTGCAAACAGAATCGTAGAATTGAAAAGGACCACAAGGGTCATCGACTCCAAACCCCTGCAATGCAGGAATCTTTTGCCCAACGTCAGGCTTGAACCTGTGACCCTGAGATTGAGTCTCATGCACTACTGAGCTCTGAACAAGGCCTCTAAGAAGCAAAAGATAGGTACTAGGAGTACTCGGGGGAATCTCAAGATTGTGTTTGTATCCGGTATAAATTGGTGTGCATCCTTTTGGCTACATTTCTAAATTTCTTGAAGATGTCCTTCCAGTCCCTAAGAGGTCTTCTTAAGCACCTCTTGTTGTCAACGTAGTCTTTTCTTTATGTAGGAATCTAATTCTGGTGTATTTATTTATTTATTTAGTATATTATGTTCTCTTTTTTTGTATGTTTCTGTTGTGAACCACTCTGTAATCTTTGGGTGAAGGGGGTGGTATACAAATTTAATAAATAATAAAGTAATAAGAAATTTGAAAGCATTAACCCTTCCCAACACAGCCCAATGACTGAGCATGTTCATTCTTCACCAAGAGTTACTGGTGTCAGTTGGAAAAGAACGATGGAGGGAGAGTAGATTGGCTTGTTTGAGCCTCTTAACAGCTTAAGGTATCCAAGAGGAGAGGAAAGGCTAGAACTCTTAACAAGAGTGCTCGTGCTAAAGTGTTAGATCTATCACAGCATTTTGTTTCAGGACCTCCTTCTTGTCTACAATAGAAAAGCACCCCTCCATTTTTTTTAATGCAATCAAGATTAATCTCGAAGGTGATTTGAAGAAGAACTGCCCGAGTGAAGTCTATATGCCACGTTCTTTAGGAAATGTAAAACCGCATGTATTTGCTAATGCAGGGTGGCATCCAATACTTGCTGTCTGTCAGCGGAATGGACTTGGGAAAACTGAAGGTTTTAACATGAGATAGATAAATGGTAAACCATGGACTGGGTTTTACTGATGTGATGGCTAACTCACAGCAGCTTTTAAAATGTTTTTGTTTTGTTTTTTTGAAACTTTTAATGGTTTCATTTACCTTTTGTGACTGAGAAATAAGTTATGAAGTTCAGTTAATGAGCTACATCAAAGTGTAAAATCTTTTGTCTTTCTTCAAAGGCATGACTAAGGTAAAAGTAGGCAAGGAAGATTCGTCTTCTACAGAATTCGTAGAAAAAAGAAGAGCGGCACTAGAAAGGTACTTTATACTTTCAGCTAATAAACAAATACATACTAAAGTGGGATCCTTGTCCTGTGTTGCCTTAAGCTTAGGTGTTTCAAGTCTCCATAGAACCAATTGTATAAAATACATTAGATGTAACAGAAGCTACAAAAGTTTATTTTTCATACAACAGTTTATGAAACTGTACTGTTTGTGTAACAAATAGGGGCAAAATTAAGTGGGAATCTATGGATATGTAATATGTAATATGTAAATTTTAAGAGACACATGCTAAAATTAAAGCTTCCAAATGCTGCTGTGAACATTTAGAAATGTGATATTCTTCAGGTGATAGACACTGTAGCCAGAGAAATTTAGATTTAGATTTAGATTTTATTGGATAGACTTCAAGTTCGCTAACTACTTTTCACAGGAGTGCTCCAAGTGTAGGCCATGGGTACATAACTTTTTTAAAAGCCTGGTACATCATTCCCTCATGCTAGTAGACCATTTTTTCACTGCAGTGAATGAAAAATTGCAATGTGTAAACATTTTCTTGTGTATCAATTGTTTAATGGTGGCTTCTTGCCTTCCAAGGCTTACCTAGCATTCTGGGACTGTCCTTTTTATGTATGGGGAGTTCACTAATGTAACTGTTTTACTCCTAAGGAAGACGTGTCCATTCAGCTTTTCAGTCGTTTCAAGTCTAATCCTCCATAGCAGGCAATTCTGTTGGGATTCTCAATTAAAAGTTACTGTTTAATGTTACTGTGATGATGCATCTTATGGAATTTTGGAGTCCATAAGATCATAAAGTTTGGCATTTTCCTGCAAAGGAAGAAGCGGGTTGGCACTCTTCTGTATCTGAAGAAATCTCACATACCTGGTCCTTTTGTAAAGGTAAAGGGACCCCTGACTATTAGGTCCAGTCGTGGCCGACTCTGGGGTTGCGGCGCTCATCTCGCTTTATTGGCCAAAGGAGCCGGTGTACAGCTTCCGGGTCATGTGGCCAGCATGACTAAGCTGTTTCTGGCGAACCAGAGAAGCGCACGGAAATGCCGTTTACCTTCCCGCCGGAGCAGTACCTATTTATCTACTTGCACTTTGACATGCTTTCAAACTGCTAGGTTGGCAGGAGCAGGGACCGAGCAACGGGAGCTCATCCCGTCGCAGGGATCCGAACCGCCGACCTTCTGATCGGCAAGTCCTAGGTTCTGTGGTTTAACTCACAGCGCCACCCACATCCTGTTGTAGACGAAAGCTATTAATGTTCAGAGGCACTGTACCTCCATCCCTGTCCTCCCCCCCCCCAAAAAAAAACAACCCAAGGTGCAATTTTCGTACTATTTGGAAAACCAGGCTATCTCTGTTGGGCTCCTTTTTGGACACGTGCCGTAACTTTTTTAAACCTAGCACTCATTTTGCAGTTAATATACCTGTAACACAATGGCTGGAGTCTTCCTGCATATGTGTTTTGCTATGTGAGGAGCTGCAGTGTTTATCCTTTGATCAAAATTTGCCCTTTTTGCTTTCCGTAAATGGGTTTTTAATATCACTGTTCTCACTATTCTCACAAGCAAACTGCACTTCTAAGCTGGAGTATGTAAATTAACCATGTCATGTCATGTATGTATTATTATTTTTATATATTTATTTATATCCTACCCTTTCCCCTTAGAGGACTCAAGGTGGCTTACATATAAAAATAAGAACCATGTTCTGATGGCAGAAATTTGATTTTTTTTTTTTTAATATGTTATATTTTATGGTCCCCTGATTGAGTTGCCATTGAGGAATCAACTCATAGTTGGGATGGTAATCTGAATAATTTTCAGCACCTTCCACTCCTACAGTTCTGTAATCATAGAAATCTACTTGACTGGACTGTTCTGCCGCAGGAAGCATCTTTTATGTCCTAAACAGTCATTTAGAAGGATGATGAAATATAACTTGTCCATGGGGCGGGATTGAACAAATGTTGCATTTCCCTGTTTTAATGATATAAAATTCCCCTGTGTCCTGTTCAGAATCTTGATCATCTTAGTAGGAAAAGTATGCAGAGCTGCTGTGGAAGCTATTAAAGCCAAACAGGCTACTAGATATCAAAGCACCAATGGCAAAGACTCTTGTGTATAAATAATATGCAGCTGTGCCTGCCCTATCATAAAAAGGATGTAATAGCCTGGTTTGCACGACACAGTAAACCAATGTGTGGGCTTCTGGAGAGGACCCCACAGCTCATTTGATCCCCCCTAGTCATTTTGTCCCATGCTAAGCCAAGGTTTGGTGTGGCATGGTGGCTGTGTCCAGGCTTGACATTTAAGCTCTCTCCTTGATAGCCACGAGCTGCAGCCAAAGATTGGTTAATGCATTCTTGGAAATGAAAATACAGTTTAGTGGATGCGACAAGCATAGATTCACTAAGGGAGATGAGGAGCCAAACTCCTGCGTCTTGCTTCTTGTTGAGGACCTTGAGGAGGAGGTGGGCTTAAGTGTAGCAGGAGACAGTATAGGCTTCCTGGACAGAACAGACTAGACTGACTGTCCTTGGCTTTCATGCGAGCAGAGAAGGTGGCTTTGGTTTGTGCTAGTGAGAAGACTTTTAATTCAATTGGCAAGAATGTGTGACCCTTCATTCCCCAAACCAGGCTTCCTCAACCTCGGCCCTCCAGATGTTTTGAGACTACAATTCCCATCATCCCTGACCACTGGTCCTGCTAGCTAGGGTTCATGGAGTTGTAGGCCAAAAACATCTGGAGGGCCAAGGTCGAGGAAGCCTGCACCAAACCAACCTAAATTGCCCCCAAGCTCTTGAGAGTCCTGAGCAGTACAATGTACAAATCAGGTTAGTGCTGGAGAGCGGAACACCCTCCCATAGAACTCACTGAAAGTCTACAGCCCATTTTGGTGTTTGCCTTTGAAGTTATCTGCCTTGTGTTGGTTAAATGAAATGGGGTCAGAACTAATGCCCTCACTTTTGGGGTATCCTCTGATTTCACCGACTGGGGATCTATATTTTTCGCCAAAAAATATAGACGCTCTTTCCTAAGAAAGCCTTTTTTCTGACTACCCACTCTTACTATTCATAAAAGCATTTTACATTGCTGCTTCATATTCCTACAAATGAACCAGAAGAATGGCAAATAGATGCACCAAGAATAATCTACCCTAACATTTAGGTTGTGCTGTATTAAGAATGGCATGGAGAGGGTCTTCTGAAGCTTCTGAAACTGACTTCTGTGGATGCCTAGCTGAATCACTTTTAACTCTGAAAAGGCAGAATTTTTCCTGTTGCAGCTCCTTTCATGTCATTTCCAGGAACACTGGATGACTTAAGAGTTGATATTCAAAGATAATGTTACTTAGAGGAAGAAAGCTATTTTGCATGCTCCTGTTGTGCATTTTGTGTTGCACAAACCTGGCTTACAGTGTTAGTTTTCAAGTCATACAGATACACAATACTATGAACATGACATTGCTTAAATCATCCTTCTCTTTCCTGTTCAGTGCTCTGACCTTTTGTTGGGGGGGCAGATGGGTGGGAAGCAGGCAGGCTATTTGCATCTATTAATTGCTTGCTGGCAAACTTGATATTTTAGGCAAATGCTCATCCTTAGTTGGTAGTCTCCGCAGAGAGGCAAAGGATTGAAGGGGCATTGAGACTGAACTATCCTCTAAAGTTTAGAGGTAACCATCTTAATGCACACTTAAAGCACATTGTCTGCCTGCTGAAGAATGGCACTGCTGCCGGCATGCTTTCTGTGCATGGCAAACATTTTTCAGTATTGTCAGGAACATTAAATGTTATCTAATTTTTAAAACCATAGGTATCTACAACGAACAGTAAAACACCCAACCTTGTTACAGGATCCTGATTTAAGGCAGTTCTTGGAAAGTTCTGAGGTATTTAAATTATCCTATTTTTCTTTCAACCTACAATGATGCTTTGCACAAAAGAAACATTCTCATCATATATGGAAATCTGGTCCTCCAGTTCATAAATTTCAGTTGTGCCCTCAAAATAGGAATTGAATGACTTCAAGCTACAAAAAAATTAAGTCGCCAGACATTTGATCTAGTGCAAGGCAAGTGAGAGCATCAATTTGCTCTGGCCTATGAGATTTAACTTGATTGATCTCGCTGTAAAATAGGGGCATTATCTCAAAACTCACTAGTTTGGGACATGGAAGCTAAATAGACCTGATCCTTCTACCACAACCATATAAAAGTTTTGCGGTCTGCTATGTAGTAATTAGTTCATGGATAGAGGACTTCAGTCACCAGTGCTGTCAGTCTGGCACCTTTCATGTGCAAGTGGAAATCTCTCTTAAAATCCACCCAACTCTATGAGAATGTTATACTGTACCAGATACTTCAATAACCTTTTTTTGCATACCAGTTTGTTTATATTGGTAAAAAGTTAGAATTTTGCAACTACTTTTAAAAACTACAGTTTGAGCGTATCCTGGGGGAGAAACCATGCATTAGGGCTTACAAGTTTAAATTTGATGTATTTAAAAAGCTGCAGCTTTCACTTCCTACAGGTAGGACCATGTTAATTCCTGTGTCCCTGGTGCATCAATCACTTGTAGCTTTCCAAAACTTACCCACCAACCACCGCATCTGCAACAAACAGATAATTGGCAGAAGAGCATAGCTAAACCCTTAAATCTCAATGTGTGGCAAAGGTTTTTGTAAGGTTGCCAGTAGTAGGCATAAGTCCTTTAATTGGTACTCACTCGATAAGGCAGCTATAGGCAGAGGATCTTTGTAGTCCTGTAGCGACCTTTGCGGGGTGGGATTTGAAAGTGCTTCGCCATACTTCTGGGCTACAACAGCTAGTGAAAAGAATGCTATGGCTAATATTTGCGTGTGTTTTCAGGAAAGTATAGATAGCAGTTCATTATCTTTGAGGAACTTTTGTATTTGTATAGCAAGATAGACGCAGTGTTTTCTATGAAGCATTTTGAGACAGATTGTTGCTGCACCTGTAACTTGGAAACAGCAGCAGAGCAGCCTTAAAAGCCACTGCTGCGGTTGGTATACAGGTGACCAGTTAAGGCACTTGGCGGCATTGTAACAACTTTTGACAAATGGTCTCTGTGTTCCATCTAAATGTAAAGGTGCGGGAGAAAAGCAAATTGAAAGTCTATTTTTTTAAGTTTTCCTCTGAGAATGTAAAAGTAGTAAATTTACGAAATTAGGTTCCACTATATTGAAATGTACGAGGGGGAAGAAAACACTACATCCTTTTCAGTCCCTTTGGTGCCCAGTTAAACCTCCAGCCTTTTAACCGGTTTGTTTGCCCTTATTTGTCATTCAATTCCAGCTGCCGAGAGCAGTTAACACTCAGGCTCTGAGTGGAGCAGGAATATTGAGGATGGTGAACAAGGCTGCCGACGCTGTCAACAAAATGACGATCAAGATGAATGAATCGGATGCAGTAAGAGCTGATTTTTCGACTTGAATAATGAGATGAATTAATGAGCCTCAACAGTTGCATTTTAAGACCGTAGGAGTAGAAAATGGGATATTAATTTACTTATTGGTTTGGGTTCTCAACTGAATCAGTTGGCTACCATGTTTGGACCCAGTTAATTTGTTTCCTGCTGGGGGGGGTGGGGTTGTGGTTTTTTTGGGGGGTTGTATTTTGCAATAGTAACGTAATTTGTAATGGCTGAATTTCACTTCTTGCCAGTGGTTTGAAGAAAAACAGCAACAATTTGAAAATTTGGATCAGCAGCTCCGGAAACTTCACGGTAGCGTAGAAGCCTTGGTCTGTCATAGAAAAGGTAGCTGTTTTATTCAGGTTTTCACAAAGTGAGCCCTTGCTGAATCAGTTTCTTGTCAAACATTTCCTGATTAATAATAAATATTTTCAGCACCAGAAGCTAAATACAGAGTCACACAAAGTGTACAATACCTCTCATACAAAAGATAATAGGGTCTTTCAGCAATAATCCTAACAGCGCATATATATTTTTAAAACAGGAGGGAACTTAGCAGGTTCTTACACCCACAGCCAATGATTTAAGCAGAAAGATGTAAATTGGGGAGTGGACAACATGGCAATTGTACCCTTTGCATCACATCAGATGTTCCAAGTTTTCTTTCTTCAGACTAGAGTACTGTTTTGTATCTGCATGTACTGTAGTATGAATTCATTATAACACATACATTATTTTCTTCCTCCCCAGGTATAGTAAGTATCTCGTCCAACTCATGTATGTTTTGCACAGTAACACAAGACTTTTCAATGAAATTTGCTACCAGATTAGTATACCTAGATGCATAGTCAATGAGGCACACCTGCACAATATCTGGTTACAGCTGTTCTGCCTGAGATTTTAGGAACACCTAACCCTTCTTAGTGCACTGAAGCAGGAACCTATACAAAATACTTCTTTAACACATGTGGAACCATGCTCAGTTTACCTTTCAAAAAAAATGTCGCTCTAGAATTTAGAGGAGCTTACACACCATAATTTAGGGAATTTAGGGAAGCTTACAAAATAACTTATTTGTGTCGTCAATTTATGCTTTTTTCATTTCCTAATTCACATTTCCTGAACAATGCATGCTCATTTATGGGCGATACGTTAGTCACAATCAGAGTAGATGCATTGAATCAAAGTCCATACATTTCAGTGGCTCAAATCTGAGTTTAACTTGGTTGGATATAAACCCTATAGGTTTATAAAACACAAACATACCAGTTTGCAACTAAATGGATTTCTATCAGAGTTAAGCATTGGGCTAACTTAAAGTCAGTAGACTTAATTGCATAGCACAAGTTGGATTGTGCATAAATGTGCATGATGTCTGGCAGGTATAAGTTGTCTTTACATGCTGCAATATAAATGACACAATAGGACACCTCTCAAGTGTTTGATTTCTAGCAAGATATCTCTCCCCACTTTCTTCTTGCAATGAGAAATAGGTTAACCTGTTTTTTTAAGGCAAAATGTTAACTTTAAATTATTGTATTAGTCAGATATCGTTTTAAGCATGCTTATTCTTAAAGACTATGATATTTTACACAATGCCAATTATATGAGGTCACAGACTTGCAGAAAGAGGCAGGTGTTTTTTAAATGGATTTCTTTAACAACTGTTGGCAACAGAAATCCTTTCTTTTATCAAAACTATCTTCTAGTACACAGCAAAGTTTATGAATGTTAATTTCTATTAAGCTGAATTACTTTGAAGCAAGCTTTCTCTTTGCTCTGTTGAGCTTTCCCCCTCAAGCCAATTGTTCTATCTCTGTACACGAAAATGCCATTGTATGCAAAGTAGCATTTAAAGGACTTGCATTTTGTGACTCACATTGTGACAGCTGACATCAACTTTAGACGGATTCTTGTTTCAGAACTTTCAGCCAACACAGCTGCCTTTGCTAAAAGTGCTGCCATGCTAGGGAACTCAGAAGACCACACTGCTTTATCAAGAGCTTTGTCTCAGCTTGCTGAAGTTGAAGAAAAAATTGATCAGCTGCATCAAGAACAAGCTTTTGCTGACTTCTATGTGTTCTCTGAGTTGCTCAGTGACTATGTTCGCCTTATTGGTGCAGTAAAAGTAAGCCCGGTTTAAAAACTACTTAATGACCTTACAAGACGATATTTACATTGAAGGTTATAGTGTTTGCACAGTACAGTGTTACCTCGGGTTAAGTACTTAATTCGTTCTGGAGATCCGTTCTTAATCTGAAACTGTTCTTAACCTGAAGCACCACTTTAGCTAATGGGGCCTGCTGCGCTGCTGCGGCACAATTTCTATTCTCATCCTGAAGCAAAGTTCTTAACCCGAGGTACTATTTCTGGGTTAGCAGAGTCTGTAACCTGAAGCGTATGTAACCTGAAGCATATGTAACCCGAGGTACCACTGTATAAACGTGTGCAGGATGGCATTCTGTAACAGAAAGTAATGTCTGTAGCTGGAATGGGTAACCTGTGGCCCTCTAGATCAGGCTTCCTTAACCTCAGCCCTCCAGATGTTTTTGACCTACAACTCCCATGATCCCTAGCTAGCAGGACCAGTGGTCAGGGATGATGGGAATTGTAGTCTCTAAACATCTGGAGGGGACGAGGTTGAGGAAGCCTGCTCTAGATGATGCAGGACTGCAACTCTATCATCCCTTATCGTTGGGCACACTGGCTGAGACTGATGAGAACTATGGTTCAGCAACATCTGGAAGGTCAAAAGTTTCCCATCCGTAGTTAGAAATGTTCTGTGGATTTGACTAGGTTGTGCTCATTCTCAGTCAGTGTTTCCCAAACTTGGGTCTCCAGCTGTTTTTGGACTACAGTTCCAATCATTTCTGACCACTGGTCTTGCTAGCTTAGGGATGATGGGACCCAAGCTGGAGACCCAGGTTTGGGAAACAGTGTTCTAGGTTCTTCAGGGACAGTTTCCCCTCAACATCCATCTTGTTATATTAATTGTAAAATACTTCCAAGTGCTGGGTTTAAGAGAGCAATCCTATCAAGAAACTAGAGCAGCAGATCCTCTACTGCATCTGAAGCCCTGCCAGTTCCAGCAGCCAGACGAGAAGTTGGATTTCTCTTTTTTTTTCCTTCTCAAGATGGATGTAGCCGAGGTTGCCCCCATGATTGGCTCCATGGGACTTGGGCTGCAGTGGATTTGAAGCCTCCAGCATCCTATCTCCACACTTCCTGTTTCAGGGCGTTTCATCATGGCTGTTTCTGGTAGAACCCTGCCAGTGGCACTCTGCTCTGCTGATAGAGAGAAGATACTACATGCCACACCACACCCAGCTGTTGACATAGGGGATTAATTCACATCTTCTGAGGCTATAATCCTAAAGCCCCTATTTGTCATTATATTGGAAGAGCACTTACAGCTTTTTACACAGTCCTTTGAATGCATGATGAACGAAATTTTAACATTTGTAGACATCAAAACCAATGGGTCAAAGTTCAAATTATAATAATAATAGGTAAAGGTAATAATAACTTTATTGTTTGTACCCCGCCCACCTGACTGGGTTGCCCCAGCCCCCCTGTGCGGCTTCCAACAAAATATAAAAGCAAAGTCAAACATCAAACATTCAAAACTTTCTTATACAGGGCTGTCATCAGATGTCTTCTGAATGTCATATAACTGTTTATCTCCTTGACATCTGTTGGGAGGGCATTCCATTGGGCGGGTGCCACTACCAAGAAGGTCCTCTGCCTGGTTTTTTAGACTGGATTTTTATCGAATGGTCTCATACTGTTTAAAAACTAATGTGGCATGTGGTCAGAATCAAACTTTTACCTGTTGAGATTCTTGAGATTTTTGCTATTTTGATGGCTTTAATATGAGAGGTAGATGATGGCCAAAGCACAGTTTAATATTGACAGGATGTTTACCTGTTTAAGTCTAAGATTTTGTAAAGACTCATCACTTTTTAATTGTCAACACTATTGCTTACAGGGAGTGTTTGATCATCGAATGAAATGCTGGCAGAAATGGCAGGATGCTCAGGTCATGTTACAGAAAAAACGAGAGGCTGAAGCTAAACTTCAGCTCGCCAACAAGCCTGACAAGTTGCAGCAAGCGAAAGATGAAATCAAAGAGGTAAATTTTGGAATGCAGTGCTTTTCCTGTGTAAGGCTGCGGTTTCCCCCTCCATTCATTGGCTTTAAGTGCATTATTTTTTAATTAATTTTAATCATTGCTTGTGTGTTCCATTATCAGAGCAGCAAATGGTTCAATAGTTTCATGCTTAAGTTAGGCTTCTATGGATTCTGAAACATGCCTTCATTCTGATGTTTTACAAAGTGAGTGGGAGACTTCCATTTATTTGAAATAAATATATATATTGAGACAAAGGTCAGTTGCTTCTCTGCTAATGCAGTCAAGTACGTACTTCCAAAACACATAATCCTGCAAAATCATGGTGAATAGTCAATGTTTTTATTTACTGATGGAACACTTCCTTCCATATATATATATATATACCTTTTATATATGTATGGTATAACTTCAGTAAAACTGTCAAAACATTTTGAAGTTATCATAATCTCTGCACTTTTTCTGTTATGCTTCACTAAGGAAATCGAAGAGGTAGGATAACTTATTTCCATGCTGCTTTTTCCTGTTCTGGCTGCTTCATAAGTTGCATAAGGAATGCAACTAATCACAGTATAAGAATATGCAAGTTCTCCATTTATGAAACAGCAAAATAGTTCATTCTCTTCACCTGAGAGTCCTGTGGGTCAGAATGGTAGCTTTTCCAACTATGCAGTAGTGCTGTATAGACAAGGACAGTTACAGCATTCCCGATTGTTTACCTATGGCTACATAATTGAGAATGGGCTCTTTGATCATGCCTGCTTTCTGCTATCTTAATAGCAAATAAGTATAACGTTGATACAGAGTTTGGCAGTTAACACTTGTCAGGTTTTCCCACTGAAGGGAGAGTTTGAAACAGTTTGCAAATTATGGTTATTCAGGGGCAATGGTTTAACAGGGTTTGATGTTAATACTAATATATATTTAAAAGTATTTACATGTTTCTGTAGTACCTTTCATTTGAAATAGCAAGGTGATAAACAATAAGGAAAATAAAAATATAAAATATGCAGTACAAGATAAAACAGCAGCTAGTAGATCAGAACACTCTTACAAGCAATGAAAACCACACACTGGTACTCTTGCCTTAGACCAGAAGGGAGGCATTTCCATAGAAAGAAGCCACAACTGAAAAGGTTGCCATGAGACAAATATCTGCAGGTTGTGGCATTTCCAGGAGGGACTCATCAGACATTCCTACTTCATGGTCAGGGTAGTGTGGTTGGTGCGCCTGTGAGTAGCTGGGCTCAAGTTATTTAGGGCTTTGACTTAAACCTTAAACCTGGTCAGGTAACCAGGGCAGCTCTTTTTAAGAGTGGTGTAATGTTTGTGTAATAGTGTGCCCCAGTTAGCATCATAGCAGCTGATATATTCTGCACTATCTGCAGCTTTCTGACCAGCCTTAAGGTCAGCCCCACATAAATAACATTACAGCAGCCCATTCTTGAGGTTAGCAGTGCATAAGTTGCAGTGGCAAAGCTATCTAGGTCAAGGAATGGTTGTAGCTGATACATAAGCAGAAGCTGGCACAAAGCAGTCCAAGCCACTGGGGTTACTGGGGCCTCCAGTGACAAAGGGGAGGTAAAGACCATTTCTAGACTATGTCCTTGCTTCTTTCAGTATAGTGCAACTCAGTGTAGAATAGCCAAAGTCGCCAGTTCTAGGAAACACCCAAAGGACTTCTGCCTTACATGGATTCAAGCACGACTTATTGGCCCCAGAGGTGGTTTTATGGGAGCGTGACCGGTTTGACTGCCCTGGGTGCAGTGCTGCAGGGGGTGCCATAAAAATGATCTAGAATGCAGTGCAAGAGGTATTGGGGTGGGATGGGGACCACAAATATTAGCATTGCATAGAGCACCACTGAAATTTGAGAGCCCAAAGTCTGCCACTTCCAGTAGCTGTATTTAAGCTAGGGATGAAGAAGGGAGCACAAACTCCTGATTGTTTAGTAGGGCGAATGCCCACAAAATCCCCTTACATAGATTTAGATTTGGTTCCCATAAAAGGAGATTTGGGATATAAGCACCCTTTAGCCACATAGGGTGAAAATCAAATATGAGCATGGTGTAGCTTTGAACTCTTGTTAAGCACTCTTATACTGGCTGCTGTTTGCACTAGCAGTTTGTTGCATGCCGTTGCAATCCTCCATAACATATTCTGTACATGACTGCTGCTTAGAGCACTAGGAGCTTAAACCTGAAGTGAACTTGACATGCTAATGACTTGTGAATTGGTGCCTAATCCCCTTTTTAATGCTAAAGATTATTTCTAAGTGTGGAGAATCAGAATGCTAAGTCTGATCGCAGTTAAGTTCTCTTCTAAAGGTCTTGGTGGTAAAAGTTGCGTTCATGTTGTGAGTTCCTTGTATAAAGTTCCTATCACACTGCTGTTGCCTGCATGTGTTTGGAAAGCCTTCCATTGTGGCTTTTGTGATGGAAGCTTTGGATGGCCAGTTTGACATGCTCATTGCAATATCCACCTAGCTCAGTCCATCTTTATTCTTCTGGTGGAATTCTCTCTGTTGGAAAACACTCTTTGTAGGGTGGACGATGACCTCTTCTGCATGTGACACTAAACAATGCCATGTCTTAATGCACATGAACTAAGAATCATGGCTTAGTGGGAATGTGTAGGCTCCCAGAGAGGAATTCATGGCTGCTTTGCTCCTCAAGTTGTTCTGCTTTGCTTAGCTATGGTTTGGCTTAGTGTGCCATCTGAACCAAGGCTTATGGTTTAGCTCTGAAAACCATGGTTACAGCTTTAAGTTTGCTTCTATCTAGAGAACTAAACTATGGACCCAAGTTTGGACAGCATGGAAGTAGAACCATGGGTTAGTGCAGTGCAGCAGCCAGTGTTAGAAACTGAGATATGAACGCTAGGGGCTAAATGTCATCGTAAACCTAGGTTATGGGCGCAACAACAGAATGTCTAGGCTTGCTTTTTTGTAACAAGAATACAGAGCTGAAAATGAATGAACTGCAGCTAAAATATTATGTTCACTTTTCACATGGTCTAGTAGTCCTTCCCCTGCCCACCCCCCTAATATTATTAAGAAGGTCTCTTCTGCAGTCTTCAGAGAGGAGCTGGAAGTGGGGAGGCAGGAAAAGGTCCTCCTACTCTGCAGTTTTAATCAGAAATCTTAGGTGCAGTACTGTGCCCAGAGCTCAGAAACTGCTCGTGCTAATGAGATTTCCTGTCGCAAAATATGCCTAGAACAATGGAAGTTTTGAACACTGGCAGCAGCAAAATGTCAGGAGAAGCAAAGCAGCCACAGTCTTTTCTCCAGTAGCCCACACGCTTGCTGGTGTGCACTAAACCATAGTTTGCCTTACCGTTACATGCAAAGTGGCCCACTGCCAAATATATTTGTGTGTAAACTGAAAAAATGAAGTATTAAATATGGATGTTTAATATTAAAAGGCAGCTTCATGGAACCACTAATACATCATAAACCTTAAGCTAGCGGTGTGCAGTCTGAGCTGCAATTCAAAAAATCTGAAGGGTACCAGGTTGTGGGAGACCTATGTCCTTCAACCTGGTGCCTTTTCGCAGTTCTGAATGGCATTTCACATCAGACTCAGCCAGTATGGCCAATGCTCAGAGTATACGAGCTGTAGGCACCAGGTTGAGGATTGCAGGTTCCAGGACAGGGTTTCCCAAACTTGGGTCTTTTGGACCACAATTCCCATCACCCCTAGCTAGGAGGACCAGTGGTCAGGGATGATGGGAATTGTAGTCCAGAAGCAACTGGAGACAGGGGTGCCAACTTGAATGGGGGGGCGGGTAAGCCCTGTGTCACATAATTGATCACATGGAGCGGTGCATGAACACCATTTTAATGGCCATGCTCATCAACTTGGGGGGGGGGAATCCCCTCAAATATTTTATTGTGGGGGAGATCCCTTGGCCCATAGGAGCTGGTTTGTATGGCTGGAGACCCAAGTTTGGGAAACCCTGGCCTAGGGTGTCTGCCACCAGATTAATTCTATTTCTGTGACTCTACACATTTATGCTTGGTGTAACTTTGATCTGACAGGGGTAAAGAGTTTTGAAAGTTAAATCTTCTTACATTTTGGGGTTAACTGTGTATGCCCAAGTTACTATTGGTTGCTTCACAATTAAACCCTTTTAATTTTTCGTTAGTAATTTACTGCTCAGCATATTTTGTGCTGTAACCTTATTTCTGCTCATTGGTGCCTTTTCTAGGGACCTTTGAAGAAAGGCAGAGTTTTCCTTTGCTCCTCACACCGTAATAGATATTTCTGAACTTCTGCTGTGTACTCTTGGCTTGTTTTCATAGGGAAGCAATTGGATCTGACAGCTGATTCCTGGGCTTCAGTTAGTGTCTTAAAATAAAACCTGTTACAGTTTACTTTTAAGTGTTCTTAAAACCCAAAGCCTCTAACAATAGCCAAGAGCATTATGAGAGGGACATTATAAAGGCGGCCAACTTTCTCCAGCCTATAGTCACTACAGTTCAGTACATACACATGTCTCCTTCAATTAGTATTGTCATTTTTACAGCTTATCCTGAACTTCAAGCATTGGGACCAAATGGTATTATTAGTCTTGAGCTAGAATACATGGTGAATAAGCAGTAACAATGCATTGCCTGTTATAGTCTACAGACTCAACTGAACTGTAGTGGATTTATCATTAGAGGGCATATCTGTTGGCAATCCTCACAGTAGACTCTTGTGGCATTTATTAAATGTTTAACGGTGAACAAAAGTGCTTCATGTGTAATTATTAGTAATCCTTAAACAACCGTGAAAAGCATGGGTAGGCAAACTAAGGCCCGGGGCCTGAATCCAGCCCAATCGCCTTCTAAATCCAGCCTGCGGGCGGTCCGGGAATCAGCATGTTTTTACATGAGTAGAATGTGTCCTTTTATTTAAAATGCATCTCTGGGTTATTTGTGAGGCCTGACTGGTGTTTTTACATGAGTAGAAAGTGTGCTTTTATTTAAAATGCATCTTTGGGTTATTTGTGGGGCATAGGAATTCGTTCATTTTTCCCCAAAAAATATAGTCCGGCCCCCCACAAGGTCTGAGGGACAGCCCCCTGCTAAAAAAGTTTGCTGACCCCTGCTGAAAGGCTGGGTGGCTAACACACAGCCTGCATCTGACCTGCCAAACCACAGGAAGTGGCCTGCCAGTCCTTAAGAGATGTTGTTGTTGTTGTTGTTAATCTCCTGGTTGGTTCTACCATCTCCTTAGAGAGCCTCTGATCCTTTATCCTGATCTTAGTGCTAAGAACCACAGGGCCATAATAAAGCCCTCTTGCCTGCTTTTTAAAGTAAAAGACTGCATTTTCACCCACCCCACCCCAACATTGGAGTGGTGGTGGGGAGAAATGCTACCTCTTGCTTTGCACAGAACACAGTGGATCTTGAGCACAAAGGAAAACGCAGCATTTCCAAATGCATCCAGGAGAGGTGGAAATATTGTGCGTGTGAGAGAGAGACTGCTGTGTGTGTCTGCATGTCTGCTGTGTGTGTATAATGCATATATTAGGCACACCCATTGATGGCATTTGACCCTTGGGCAGAAGAAAGTTAGCCACCCCTGCTGTAAAAGGCTGGGCCAATGTTATCAAGCAGGGAGGACTGAATGCTTCGTATTTAAGCTTTGTTTGTGCCTGTTCTCTTTCAGTGGGAAACAAAAGTTCTACAAGGAGAAAGGGATTTTGAACAAATCTCCAAGACAATACGCAAAGAAGTAGGAAGATTTGAGGCACGTATACATTATCAATAAACAATGTAAACATTCAGAAAATCATAACGGAGCAAAAATGTTGGTTAACTTCTTCTATATGTAATTATGTTTTGTGTTCTAACAGAAAGAACGCGTGAGAGACTTCAAAACTGTTATAATCAAGTATTTGGAATCATTAGTGCAAACACAACAACAGGTAAACTTGATATCAGTGTTTGTAATTCATTTGGTGCGGTTTTCATTCCTAACTCTGGATGAATAAATTAAAAGAACCACACACACACCCTGCTGCTCAGGAGCTTCTCTTTAAGTCTGTCTCTTCTAGTCTTTCTTACTTGGTTGATTAAACATTACTAATTCAGCAGGGAGCTGGCAGAGAAATTCAGTGTGTTCTGTGTAACTTATTTGTAGAGGCAAATATCACATTGCACTTTTGTTTCTTTAATAAGTTTACATAATGTAAATATTCTACAACTCTGAACAATAAAGCTGGTCATAGCATTTCTATTTTAGAGAGAAAGACATCTTTCCTAATGTCAGTGGAGCACAGCACAGTTGGATAAAAAGTAGGCTTGGGTCATATGAGTAATGCATATATTGGGTATCTCTTAAAATCAAAGCTGGTGTGTACATTTTACAAGCAAACTTGGTTTCATATTTGTTTGTACCATAACCCTTAAGAACTCATTTTTCTTTAGGGGAAGAAGGGAGCAGCCTAGTTCAGACTTTTATTTACATAATAGTTGCATGAATAGAAAAGAGTCTAAGCTTCCAAAAGTGATACTATAGTATTGAAGGACTTTCTTGCCATTTGAGATGCAGAAAAGCAACTGGTGATGATTTTGTAAGTAATTGAAATGTTTACTCCTTTCTCCTCTTTTCCCAAGCTGATAAAATACTGGGAGGCATTCCTACCTGAAGCCAAAGCCATTGCCTAAGAAGAAGAAGAAGACTCTTCCAAAATATGAAGACTCTTTGGATGTTTGTCCCAACTGAGCTAAATTCCATAGTGAAAATCACTTTAAAATTATCCAAATAAACCACTATATATTTTGAATTTAACATGTGGCTTTTTATATACTACAGCATTTTATTAACAGCTGCATGTCCTGACCCTCTTTGAAGTGGACTGTGGCATGACATTCTGCAATACTTGCTGAATTGAACACTATTGTGTCTTAATACTTGCACTAAAATGTGCGATGCAAGGCCAGAAAGTTATTTTTGTTCTTTACTCTATGTTCTGTCTACCTGATCTTTATGAAACAAATTGCATTTATTAATGTTCACATAACACATTCCTGTACATAATCAAGATTTTGTGATTTCAGTAATAAAAGGGATGTACCTTGTGAAACATTAATCCTTAACTTTGTTCTTCATTTCCTAGCTCGTTTAAGTGTGTTTGGCACTCAGTAGTTGTAGCAGCTATGCAGATTTAGGCTGAGAAGAATTTGGGTTAGTTTTCCTAACAAGGAACACTTTTTTACATGGTCTGGCTTCTTTAAAAAATGGATTTCTTAAACAACTACACTTGAATAGAAGCTTTTTTTTTCTTCACCGCTTCCGCGCATGTGCGTGACGTCATTTTGACCGTCTTCGCATGCGCGAGCAGTGAAACCCAGAAGTAACACGCTCCGTTACTCCCGGGTCGCCGCGGAGCACAGCCCAAAAATACTTATCCTGAAGCATATTTATCCCGAGGTATGACTGTACTAAATCTACAGACTTTGACTTAAATGTAACAAATGTTTCACTCTAAAATAGAACCTGCAAACCAACATCTAGTAACAGAGTTTCAGTTCTGGAGGAATTGTGGGCTTGCAAAAGAACCCAAGAGCATAGTTACACTAACAAATTGTTGATAAAGTAACATTTGAGGATGTTAAGATTTCGCTACTCAGCAGGAAATGGTGTTTCCTGTTTTGGGAAAAAAATGCTGGGTTTTATCCAGCTGAGTTCTTGTTGGAGTAGATCCACTGGAATCCATACACCTAACTTTAAGTAATGCCCATTAATTTAATTGATCTTTTGTGGGGTATGGTCAGCTTTGCATACAACCCCTTGTATGTTCTTTCCAGTCTGCAGAGATCATAATTGTCTATATCCTAACAACACCAGGGGAAAAAATACATTTCAGTTGGGCTTAGTTTATTAACAAAACCAGGAACTTAATAATTTACAATTATTTTATTAAAATACCAAAAGTATTCATAGCATTATATTGGGGGGGGTGTTAATGCTAAATTTCTGCAGCTCTTTTAAACTGCTTGTTTAAAAATGGGATAATTTCAAATCTTCCCCACCCTACCCTGCACACCTCTCTCATGAAGCTATGTCTATAATATGCGTTTGATACCCATCTACTTGATTTTGGACACTGAATGTGCAATGCAACATCTGAAACAGATTCCTGAACTAATTTAGTTTTGAGCTGAATCTTTTTGAAGAGCAGCAACTTCCAAACTTCCATGCACCCAGTACTGCTCAGTACTTACTACTATAATTTCCCCTGTGATTTTGCCCTCCACTTCTGATTTTCCACTGTACTGTAAATGTTTGCTTTTTGGAAGGACTTTGTGGGGGGGGTTATGGCTTTCTTTTGCTACTGCAGGATACAAAATAGTACAGCAAGACGTGCATCCGGTTTCCAAGAACAAAGCACTGTCTACGATGGTTCCTTGGAGTCCAAGCAGGGAAGAAGTAACAGGAACACACGCATACCTTTTTAACAGCATCACAATTATGTGATTATGAACAAGAGCAACTTGTACTATCAGGTGGTGGTCAATTACAGCACCTCTGTCTGAGCTGTCCATTAATGAGACTTTCCCCATACAGATCCAAGTACAGTAGAATGAGGAAGATGAATGGTGGAGAAATTAATCCACAAGTTGTGAGCCCACACATCATAGCTATCGGTGGAAATGTTGACCTATGAGGGTGGGTGGAATCCGGAGTAACGCAATTATTTTTAGTTTGCAGTTTAAAAGGTATGTTACCTAGAATTGCCCTTCAAGGTGGATGTTAACCCAAGTGGAGAGGGGAAAGGGAGAAAAGCAGGACACATTGCAAAAAGCCAAGCAGTTTGAAAGTCTTGAGGAGTGCAAATTAAAACGTGTTTACATCTAGCATTCCACTTGGCATGCTGCCACCACCTACCTTGTATCTTATCTGCAAACTGCTTGGCTTTACTATCTCCCCAGCTTCCCCTGACTCCCCGCTTCTCTCCTTTAGCTGCCCCCTTTCTCATTTTGCTTAAAATTCACCCTGAAGAAGAGTTGAGGACAATTCAAAACCACTACTTGTGGGACATCTATAGGCAGCACGAATAAAGAAGACTCGTTCCACTTGTAACTTCAGGCTTATACAAGAATGAACCCTAGCCACTAAATGCCACTAGCACAGTACTCTTTATTGGTAAGGTCACTAAAATTACTAAAAGTGCTTTCTGGTTGGTCTGAAGACAGGCTTCATAGAATCGCAAGGGTTCGAAGGGACCACAAAGGTCATCTCGTCCAGAACCCTGCAGTAAAGCAATCTTTTCCCCAATGTGGGGCTTGAACCCACGGTTGCCATGAGTCTGCCTCTTAACCCAAAGCCCTTCTTAAATGGGATGACTGGGAAGCCAGTGATGGTGAAGCTGAAGTGGGGAATGGAATACAAAGGCTACCTCGTCTGTCAATGGCTACATGAATATGCAGCTTGCAAATACAAATATATTGATGGACACCTGGGTGTTCTGATAAGGTGCAATAATGTCCTTTATATAAGTGGCATAGAAGAAGATGGAGAAATGAGAGGATAACTTTTTTAAAGTTTTTTTTTTAAAAAAACAAACCTTAAATTTAGTTGTCAGGTTTTGTTCGGTTTTTTGGTCAAGTACAGCCCTTCCAAGTGCCCCTGTTTTCCAGGGGCGGTCCTGGATTTACAGAAGCTGTCCCGGTTTCCGATTTGATCCCATAATATCCTGTTTTTCCTCAGGGTGTCCCTATTTTCATCAGATAAACACTGGAGGGTATGGTAGGGCATCCCTCTTCTCATCGTAGAGTATGGAATCATGAGACCCTTGAGCCAAGGAGATAAGTAACTCTACAACCTTTAAGGCAGCCAAGTGTAGGGAAGTTTTTAAATGTTTAACTAAGTGTGTGTGTGTTGAAAGCCGCCCAGAGTGGCTGAGGCAACCCAAACAGATTGCTGGGGTATAATAATAATAATAATTAATAATAGAATAGGATGTCCCTATTTTCATTGGAGAAATGTTGGAGGATATGCAAGTAACCATTCTTACAGCCACAAGTAAATACTGTCATTGAAGAAAGCTTACCACTATGGAAGAAAAATAAAGATACCATTTCTGACAGAGTCTCGTGCTCTGCTGACTGAGCTATCCCAGATCTTTGTGCATCTCCACCTTTTCTTAGGTTTGCCTTGTGGGCTAAGTGCTTTTGAGCTCTGAGGCGGCACTAACTGCAATCATGCTAATTTACCATTTTCCCTCAAGTTGTTCCCCCTGGAGCAACCACCAGCGCCAGAACGCTGGCCAGACGGAAAGAGGGGAGATCATCGTCCTTTAAAATATATATATATAAAAAATTAAATTTACAAACATTCATCAAGCAAACAAACATCAGTTTGTTTTGCCATCTCCGCATAGTCCATCAGTTTAATCTGCCTGCCTTCTCTGGTAGGGACTGTGCCTTTTTTCCATATCTGGGCTACAATAGCATCCGCACAGCAGTAGTTGCATCCACTTGGACTTTTGGCACCTACAATTCCTAAAAGAAAAGCTTCTGGTTTCTTACGATTTTCAGTTTTATACATTTCAATAATTTTACAGTCATTTTAACATTTCAAAATTTGGCATCCTTCCCCCTCATTCTGTGGTTCCTTAGATTTATTTTTTATATTTCCTGTATATTCCAAATTAACTTAATCTACTCATTTATTCATCTACTTTAAATATGTACTCTTATCCAACTGCAGGTTGTTACAATAATCCTGCCAATCTGTTTACAGTTTACTTGTAAATATTCAGTAAACCATTTCTATTATTTTATAAAAAGTTTATCTTGATTTCTTATTTTTCCGCTAAGTTTGGCCATTTCTGCATAGTCCATAAGTTTTTGTATCCATTGTTCTTTCGATGGGACGACTTCTTTCCATTTTTGGACAAGTAACCTTCTTGCCGCTGTAGTTGCATACATGAATAAATTTCTATGCAGTTTGGATAGCTTTGTCCCTATAATTCCCAAAAGGAAAGCTTCTGGGTTTGTTTGTTTGTTTGTTTGTTTGTTTTAGAAAAGGTTATTTTAAACATTTTTCAATTCATTGTATATCATTGTATCTTTTTTGGTGATCACTCGTAGTCGAGTAAAATTGTCTTCCATAAACATGGTCTTAACAGTGAGTCTGTGACTGTGGAGGCCAATTCTGGATCCGCACATCCTTCCACAGTGGGGACATAGGTTTCCGGCTGGGAGTTGATCATGGTGAGGGTTTGCCAAGCATGCCTTCCTCTTAGCATGTTTCTCCATTTCGTCCTGAGTTTGAGTGAATTCAAAGCCCATGACACCTTTGGTAAAGGCTGTTCTCCAGTTGGAGCACTCACAGGCCAGTGTTTCCCAGTTGTCTGTGTTAATACTACATTTTTTTAGGTTTGCCTTGAGGGTCTTTAAACCTCTTTTGTTGACCACCAGCATTACGCTTTCCATTTTTAAGTTTGGAATAGAGTACAGTAATACCTCGGGTTGAATGCGCTTTGGGTTGAGCGCGTTCAAGTTGCGCTCTGCGGCAACCCGGAAGTAACGGAGCGCATCACCACTTGCGCATGCGCAGACGCTCAAAGTGACGTCACGCGCATGCGCAGAAGCGACAAAAAGCGACGTGTGCGTGCGCAGACATGCCGTCGCTAGTTATGTTTGCTTCTAGAGGCGAACAGGGCTCCGGAACGAATCCCGTTCGTATCCAGAGGTACCACTGTAGTTGCTTTGGAAGGCACAACATGACCAGTCCAACGAAGCTGATGTTGAATAATAAATCTCTGCATATGGTGTTTATTGACCTAAGGCCTTTGACACTGTAAATCCTAATGCCAGTGGCCTGTGCTCCTGAAAATTGGCTGCCCAGATAGATCTGTGAACATCATTCGGCTCCTCCATGATAATACGACTGCAACAACCTCAAAGTGAACCATTCACAGTGGGATCAGTTGTGTTATGCCCCAACTCTAGTCATTATTTTCGTTCCCACGGTCCTACACTTTGTTGAAGGGAAACTCCCCTCGTGTGTAGAAATCATCATTGTACATCACCCTCCTGATGCGGCCGCTGCCTCTTACTCCCCGTGGCCCCCCTCCCCTTTCCCGGGCCATCTTGCACCAGGAATCACGTGGGGAGCATCGGCGGTTCCCATAGAAATAGGAAAAGGCTGTCCCTGCCAGTCACATGATTGGCGCTGGCCGACGGCGCCTTCCGCCAGGCTTTGCGCTCCTCGGGGCCGTGGAGGGTCTCCTGCTCCTCCCGCCCCGCCCCTTTCCCGCGGCCGCGCGCTCTCCCCGCCCCTTTTCCCATTCCCCCGCCCTCGTCCCCGTCCCGGAGGCGCTTCCATAACCGGAGCCTGCGCTCTTGCGCACCAGCGACCGCACCATGGAGGTTTTCATCCCGTCGTTCCGCTATGAGGAGAGCGAGTTGGAGAGGGGCTATACGGTGAGTGGTGGGCGGGAAAAGGCGAGGTTAAACTCTCCCTCCTCTTTCTTTACCCTCCGTCCCCCCCCCCTTTTAAGGAGCGGGTTGGTACAGCTCGGGCCGCCGTGAGGCTTTCATGGCGCATTCCATTCGCCCTAAGGGGGTGGTGCGGGACAAGCTGTGAGACGCACCTCTAAGCACCAGCCAAATTCCCTCAGTTTTGCGTCCTGCGCTACAGGGCAGTACAAAGCCCCGCAATAGTAAGGCGAGAGCTCTTCGTGATGAGGTTCCCCCTATGCCGTTTGGTAAGAGAGAAAAACAAGTCAGGTGCGTTGGCTACTGTTTCATGCAGGGTTTCCCAAACTTGGGTCTCTGGCTGTTTTGGAACTACAATTCCCACCATCCCTGACCTCTGGTCCTGCTGGCTGGGGGATGATGGGAACTGTAGTCCAAAACAACAACAACTGGAGACCCAAGTTTGGGATAACCTGATTTAATGGAGTTTGCTCGCAGGGAACTGGACATTCAATGGACAGGCCATTTCTGTTGTTGTTGTTGTTTAGTCGTTTCACGCCAGGCACTCCTGTCTTCCACTGCCTCCCGCAGTTTGGTCAAACTCATGCTGGTAGCTTCGAAAACACTGTCCAACCATCTCGTCCTCTGTCGTCCCCTTCTCCTTGTGCCCTCCATCTTTCCCAACATCAGGGTCTTTTCCAAGGAGTCTTCTCTTCTCATGAGGTGGCCAAAGTATTGGAGCCTCAGCTTCAGGATCTGTCCTTCCAGTGAGCACTCAGAGCTGATTTCCTTAAGAATGGATAGGTTTGATATTCTTGCAGTCCATGGGACTCTCAAGAGTCTCCTCCAGCACCATAATTCAAAAGCATCAATTCTTCGGCGATCAGCCTTCTTGTAGACTGGTAGAATTGGCATCAGCCAGGTCAGAAGCAAAGTACCTGGGGTCGTTTCCTAGGCTTGGTTGCGTTGCCACTTTTTCTTTGCCAAAACTCTGGCCCCTGAGAAATGATAATGTCCCCTTGAGGATACGCAGAGGGGCTTATGTGAAGTTGAGGGCTTCTGCCCAGGTATGCTAACCTAAAGTGCTTATTGGCCCCGTTGGCAGTGGCTCCATGCTTGGGAAGAATGCATCTCTGTGACTTGGGATGGGTTTACAACTCATGTTTAACTTCTTTTAAGTAAGGCAAGATAAAAACTCGCTGCGATACAACAGCTTCTGAGTACCAGGTTCTCAGCTTGCAAAAAGTGTCGGAGCTCTCCCAACAGCTTTCACGTTTGGAGTTTTCAAAGAAGGATGGCATCAACTAAGTTGCACAGAGATCCTTGTCAATTGTAGGCGAAGCTGCTGGGGTGGGGCAGCAATTGCATGCTAATTTTTTTAAAAAGCTGTTTTGACTGTCTCACCACCTGCTATTCTATCTCAAGAAAATAAGCCTGATATAATTTCTTTATTGGTTTAGCTGGAATAATATTCTAAAATGATATTGGCTACTGCAGCGAGCAAGAAAGAAACTGTCTTAAGGAAGAGCTAGCATATTTCCCAAAAGTGCTGCCTAAGATATAGCAGAGAAACCAAAACCACATCTGACACTTGTAAAGCCAGGATAAGCATTTTTCATAGTCAGTTCCTTGAGTTTCCAATGACCGTTGACCTTATTACAAGTGTCATGCTCAAGTCCCATTTCACACATTATAGCAGGAAGCAAGAGTTTCTTGTGCTTCTGAATTCCATATTGCTTCATATAATTTGTAATCTCACACTGGGGTCTAGTTGCCACTAGGTGTAAGCCAATGGTTCTTGCCCAGAGGGCACAGGGCTGCTATCTACAAATCGGGGGGGGGGGGGGATCCAGAGCTTTAGGGGAGGCAAAGGTGAGCATTAGGGGGTTTTTTTGACAGCTCCTTCACTGCTCTAGAAATGCCACCTGAAATTCAACAGAAGAAAGTTTTGATCTACTACTCATCCCCTGCCCTGAGGATAAAATCCCAGACACCTCTCTATCCCCCATATACCGTATTTTTCGCTCTATAACACGCACCCGACCATAACACACACATAGTTTTTAGAGGAGGAAAATCCGTAGGCATGCCACCCGTAGGCATTTCCTCTATAACACGCACAGACATTTTCCCTTACTTTCTAGGAGGAAAAAAGTGAGTGTTATGGTGCAAAAAATACGGTACATAAAGTAGCACATGACAGTGGCGTTTAAATGCTAAATACTCACCTCAAGCAAAGGTGCATGCGCAGAATCTGCTTCTGCCATTCCTCTCATTATATTTAGTCAAATGTGCCTTCAGCACAGTCATGGAATCATAGGACTGTAGAGTTGGAAGGGACCTTGAGGATCATCTAGTCCAGTGTTTCCCAAAGTTGGGTCCCCAGCTATGTTTGGACTACAGTTCCTATCATCCCTGACCACTGTTCCTGCCAGCTAGGGATGATGGGACTTGTAGTCCAAAACCAGCTGGAGACCCACATTTGGCAAACAGTGATCAAGTCTAACCGCCTGCAATGCAGGAATATGCAGCTGTCCTATATGGGGATCGAACCTACAAACCTTGGCATTATAAGCACCACATTCTAACCAGCTGAGCTATCCACTCATCTGCTTGGCAGGAAATGGCTCCTGAATAGTGCCGGTTGTTGAGAGCTGTCTACTAATACCAAACTTAATATCGGCCACAAGGGTCTTGGGCATAGCTGTCAACGTTTCCCTTTTTTTAAGGGAAATTCCCTTATTCCGAATAGGATTCCTCACAAGAAAAGGGAAAAGTTGACAGCTATGGTCTTGAGCTCAGCGGACATTTGATGCTAATGTTGTATACTTGGTGGGCAGTAGTGGATTAAATGTTAAGAACCATTGGGTTAGAACTGCTCTCCAGTGGGGATTCACATGAGTGAATGTTTCTCCATAAGGAAAGAAAAATCCCTCCAAATGCAAAACTGGCATGTTGGGGAGAAGGTAAAATTTAGGGCTGTAGCTCAGTTGGCAGACTTGTATGTAAATAGTGCTAGATCCAATTTCCAGTGTCTCCATGTTGGGCCAGAAAAGACTGCTGCTGAAATTCTGGAAGAGCTGCAGCCTGTCATTGTAGTACTTAGTTAAATGGACCAATGGCAGCTTCCCATGTTCCTAAGCTGGACCTCTCCTCCTTGGTGCCCAGTTAGACAGCACCAATTTTGACCTTCTCTCCTTGGCTATGTTGGGAGCCAGCAACATGACTTCCAAAGCTTACCATTTGGCAGTGAGATCGCCTTGTACGTTTTCCCTTTTAAGCAAGTCAAATTGACACTGTGCTTGACAAGATGTTGGTGATATTTGTTTTCCTCAGTTAATACCAGTCAACGGCGAAACTTTTTTATTGCCACTTTAAATTGATGAGTGGGTCTCCAAACTATTGAACCTCTACTTAAAAATGCAACAGTTGTTCATAATTTGGCAGCGAATGACCTTTAAATGTAGACGTTTTGTAAAGATATCCTTGGGGAACAATTTAACTTCAAAATGACACCCATGAGCACTTGTTATCATTTAAATATGCCTCCTTTGTCAATAACAGAATAGCAAGTACTAGTTGGATTTCTAATGTTGATTCAGATACTTGGACGCTGGCCGAATAAATTAGTGTGTACTTGATTTATATTGACCAAAAATGTTGCATTGGTGTGTTACAGGTCAAGGTGACATGTGTTTAAGTGGACTGAGGTGCAAAGGGCACACTTGACTGACATGCTTGCAGTGTTTTTAATTAACTTTTTTAATGCTATCCCTTAATTGCTTTTTGAGGTAGTTGAATTATGGAGCTGGGCTATGGTGTCAGATATTTTCATTTTTAAGTTATTAATCTCTCTCTTGTCTATAAAATCATTAAAGATTTATTCTTTATATTAGTTTATATAGTTTCCCACTTCCTTTTAAATCTGCTCTAGCCGTGGATTGTGCACCATAGCAGTGAAAGGAGTCTCCTATTGCAAGTCAGGAGGAAACACTGTAACTTCCTGATGCTAATATTCCAAATCTGTTGATCCCGTGATAAGCAGATGACGTCAAGCTAGCTAGTTCTCCCCAACTTTACAAGTAATTGACTTTAAATACAGTACAAGTACAGAGCTACGTCAGTTTTGCTTATGGGCTTTACCTTACCCTTATGCTTCGTTTTCCTGTGCAGCAATGTCCTAAGGTAGAAAGCAATGTAGCCCTGAAAACATGATTTGTGTCCTTCCTCCATTTCTAAGGCTTCTCAGTCCCTTTAATGCTGCTCTGTCAATTCAATTCAGCAGTATGTAGGTCTGTGGTTTAAAATAGTCTGACAGTTGGATGGGAAGTTGAACAGTAGGGAAGGTAAAAGGTAAAGGTAACCCTGACTGTTAGGTCCAGTCGCGGACGACTCTGGGGTTGCGTGCTCATCTCACTCTATAGGCCGAGGGAGCCGGCGTTTGTCCGCAGACAGCTTCCGGGTCATGTGGCTAAGCCGCTTCTGGCGAACCAGAACTGCGCATGGAAGCACCATTTACCTTCCTGTCGGAGCGGTACCTATTTATCTTACTTGCGCTTTGACGTGCTTTCGAACTGCTAGGTTGGCAGGAGCAGGGACCAAGCAAAGGGAGCTCACCCCGTCGTGGGGATTCGAACCACTGACCGACAAGCCCTAGGCTCTGTGGTTTAGACCACAGCGCCACCCGCGTCCCTTAAGGAGAAGGTAATTCTTTACAAATTGGAATACCGGTCATGTCTCACTTTCTTGAATGGAAACTTGCTCTTGAAGTCTTGGAAAGTTTCAGTCATTAAAAAGACTGCTAATAATCCCTTCTTCATTTTTTAAGCACCTCAGTAATGGATACTTTAGTGATACGTTATCCTCCTCCTGGCTTTTGTAGCCAGACTTTTTTCAATTCTTGTCCTGCTGGGCATCAAACTTTGGTAATACTTAGGTTCCAAAACCTAGATCCTTGGTATAATGTGGACCTCTGTCCTTTTCAACTGCTTGGTCCACTTTAAACAACTATGTGGTGAAATTTTGTTCATGTGCCTTAACGGACATCCCTTTTCTTTTAAAAAATCCTCACTTGGCCCTCTCAACTCAACAGTGTTGGCTCCTCTTTGCTGTCTATGCTGTTTCCTGTCAGTGACAGGGGATCAGAATGTTTCACATCAATAGGGCAAGTTCTGATAGTTCTGTGAAAGCTATAACTTTTAAAGAATTTCTGCAGCATGTTGATAATGGAACTCTAATACAGTTCTATTAAAACATATTTAGGATGGAAATGTGTGATTGTGTACTAAGTCCAGTATTAGGCTGGAATTCTACAATGAATGCACATGCTGTAAGGATGTTTTTAAAAAGTTACGCATTCCCAGCGTAGAGTTGAGATAGATAATATATTGAAATATGCAGCTGTTGCATGTATGTCTTGGTCTCCTCTCCTTCATTTAGACCACACTAAATATTCTTGTTAAAGTCCTGTTTCACTTATTGTTAGTGCCATATACGCAGACGTGTCTATCATGCTTTGAACTGGGGTAGGTGAGAATGATGAAATGTTGTAGTACAAAATTGCATGATACTTGAATCTTGGAAGCTCGTCCCTTAATGTGCCATGAAAATTCTAACATAAAAATTTAATGAAACACATTTCATTTTTGTTTGAAATAAGTTTAGTTTTTTAAACCGAAGCAAATCATACACTGCAGTGTCTTCATAGAAGAGAATAATGGAATCCAACATCACCTCATAATCCCTTACATAAACACAAATTAAGAATCTTGATTGTGTGGTGAAACAATCAATAGGGTAGCAGCGAGTATGTATTGATTAGGAAAATTGCTTTTATAAAAAGTAATCAGATTCATTTCAGCTGACTTGCCTTCTCTCATGGCCCGATCCTATGAACTGCAGTACTGAGATGACAGTTCATATGATCTAGAATAGCACACATAATAGAATGCGCTAAGATCAATTGAATTTGCTTTTAACAATGACTAGCACCAGATGTGTAACACTACAGCTTTGCACAGTGCTCAAGCATCTTACATATGGCATTCTTAGCTGTGGCACCATCTTTGTGTCTGCACTCTGTATCATATAAGGATACCTCAAAGGACAGTCGTTCATTTATTTATGTTCCACTCTATGCAATGCACACAGAATGGCTTGCAGAATTATTCTGTCTCCACTCTTAAGACGCATTTCACATATCTTTGTGAGACAATTAACACTGCTTTAAGAGTGTGTTTGTGTGTGTTCTCTTTCTCCTCCCCTGCCCGAAAAAAATGTATGGATAGAAATTGTAACATACTTTGTTACCCTTTCCAGAGGACTCATAACTTAACTTATTCATACAGCATTAACTACAGGTGAGTAACTTTAAGTATGAATGGCCAGAGTGCTGATTGAAAAACAATTCTTCTTCCTTGTAAAATGCTGTACTACCATTTATAGGTTATTTGTAAATGTCTGCACTGTCCTTTAATATAAATATTCTTAGTTACACAATAAAAATAGGAAGTAGCTATGACATCGTATGCTTGCAGACAAATCCCAAAGGGCAGGGGGATATTTCATTACTTTTTTTATTAACGAAACCCAACTTCTACTCCATTGGTTTTCCCTAACCTGTACCACTGTCAACATTTGATGTCACTTGAAGAAGTTAGCACACTTAATTTACCAATAACTCAGGTAACTGGGATATTCCACATTCCAAACTGCTTTTCCCTACTACTACTACTCAACTCTGTAGCCAGGTTTTTCCCTAAGCCAAGTGGTTTGACTACCCCATCAAGTACTTGGCCACCAAACTACTCTGGCTTCTTTTCAACTCTCCTTCCTTCCTGCTTCCTAGTCCTCTTCTTTTACTGTCTTCTTCTTCTAGCTGCCCATGACCGCCAAGCACCAGCCAACACTCCAAGCAACAGCTCACAACTAACTAATTACTGCTTCTCAGGGTTTAATGGGAAAGCAGTGCCAAGGAAAGTCCCTATTACTGCCTCCTACCGGCAAAAGTGTGATCACATTTCTGTGTATAGACAGCAAAATTTTAAATTACATTTTGTTTAAAATATGTGGCCAACTGTTGCAATTCTGTAGTTAATACAGGTTCCAAACCTGCATTTTATCCATATGAAAATGTGTGCTTGTGCCTTGCAAATGTGGGTCAGGGTCCAGACAGCAACCCCTTTATAAGCATGGATCTCCATTTCACATGACAAATGGCTTAGGAACTCATCCATTTTGGAAGCGGTTTGCTATGGTAGCTGCTGCTTGAGATATGGCTATGCAAAGTCGTTTTAACTCAGCACAGACCACTAGTCCTGATTCATTTTGTAATCTAAAACACTTCTGTTCAAAATGACACAATGGAAAGAATATATTGTTTGTTCTAGGTTCATTCAAATACAGTGGTACCTCGGGTTACAAACATGTCGGGTTACAAACTCCGCTAACCCGGAATTAGTACCTTGGGTTGAGAATTTTGCCCTAGGATGAGAATGGAAATCGCACACCAGCGGCAGTGGGAGGCCCCATTAGCGAAAGTGCACCTCAGGTTAAGAACGGTTTTGGGTTAAGAATGGACCTCCGGAATGAATTAAGTTCGTAACCCAAGGTACCACTGTAGATACTTATTGATCTAATACTTAAATCAGTTCCATTCATACAGAAAATGAAACTAAAGCATCCCATAATGATATATGTGCACGAATCTTTAAAGAGAGTTATGTGCATTAGTATTTTATCAATGTGTGTAGGCTTACATATTAGTTGATAACATTTTCCTATATTTGTTTTGAGTAAAGACTTGGATTTAATAATATACACCAGTCTTTAAAAATATTGATTTTGGTTTAAAAGAGTACAAAAATAATCCTCTTCCTGCGGAGCCAACAAATTTTAAATAAATATGTCACATGAAGGATAAGTCAGAATACATTGTGTGGATCCAAAATAAGCAATGCTTCAAAAACAATTACCAGGAAACAGAACGTGATAGGGTGAGGAAATATTTTATATAAGATTTCCCATGAAATGAGAGGCTGATTTCATATTCATATACAATGGGTTGTATCCAACTCTGCCATTCCAGTTCCACAGAAGACTTGCACTTATGCAGCAGGATTTCCCCCTCCTCTTCTCAGCAGCCTCTTGTGCACCCTTAAAATCTGCTCCAGAGGGTTGTGAGACCCTGTGAAGCAGATTTTGGGAACATGTGGGGAGTGGAAAGGAAGGGAAAGAAAGTTCTGTTACTTGAGTGGGATACTATTCCTACAGTGGTGGATACAAAAATCCAACAATGTAGGAATATATGTATTCCTATACACCCACCTGGGACGCGGGTAGTGCTGTGGGTTAAACCACAGAGCCTAGGACTTGCCGATCAGAAGGTCGGCGGTTCGAATCCCTGTGACGGGGTGCGCTCCCGTTGCTCAGTCCCTGCTCCTGCCCACCTAGCAGTTCAAAAGCATGTCAAAGTGCAAGTAGATAAATAGGTACCGCTCCAGCGGGAAGATAAACGGCGTTTCCGTGCACTGCTCTGGTTCGCCAGAAGCAGCTTAGTAGTGCTGGTCACATGACCCAGAAGCTGTACGCCAGCTCCCTCGGCCAATAAAGCGAGATGAGCGCCGCAACCCCAGAGTTGGCCATGACTGAACCTAATGGTCAGGGGTCCCTTTACCTTTATACACCCACACCCACCCACACTGCTGTGTGTGTGTGTGTGCACTGTAGGATAATGGAGAAAAAGAGCAGTTTAGGTAGGTTGATGTTGTGAGAGAATACAGGAGCAATGAGATTCTCATCACACTTGTTTAAGCCTTTCCTATCAGTCGGAGCTGGAGCAGTAATCTAAATTTTATTTTAGCACCTGCTGTGTTATTAATTTCAGTGTAGTGTATGCAAACTGAGCTGGGGGCTTTTACTACAATTGTTTATTTGGATTTTTCCTTGTATAGACTGGAGGGAAGACAAGAGACGAAACAATAAAGCCATTGATTCAAAACCACAGATTCATCTTCCTGTTAACAGGCTCTTTGTTCATTTTCTTTCTTTTCCTTTTGAAATGAGCCAATCGTATATAATAGGATTACATGTTCATGACACACTTTCTCTATGAATTATGAGAAATTTAAGTTTCACAATGCCCAGTGGACATATTCCTTATTTCTTGAGAGAAACTAGCAAGAAGAAGAGGCTTCAACCTTTTTTCTTTCTTTCTGCTAGTTGTAGACTAAATTGTCAAAACTCTCTCATTTGAAAGGAGAGAGGGCTCTTCTAAAAAAATCCACAAATAACTTTATCTGTCAGGGTCTACGAACTTAATGCCCTGTTTCTAAAATCACTCTTCTTCTCAGTTAACTAGATAACTACATAACCCTCTTAAGAGAAGAGCTCATGAACCTGCTTCTGTTGTTGTTTCTAACCCAACTCTTCTAACGAGCTCAACGGGAAAGTTGTTTTTGCTTATAAAAGTAGAAAATAGATTTGATAAAATGGTTAGTCCCTTGGTCCTTGTTTTATTTATCATATCAGAAAAGAACAATGTTTTGCTGTGTTGTGGTCAAAATAAGAGGCGACCTTGCTTGTTCACAAGTGTTCAAAGTCTAGAGATAAGAGGGGCAAAATAATAGAGTACAATGGAAAGAGTGCAGTGTAATTATTTGTGACTTGTCAAGTGACGCCCTTTCAGGCCCCTAGTGATTCAAATCTGGGAACTCTGCACAATTCTCTAAGCTAAGCATGGCCAGCATCAGAGAAATCTCGCCCAGCTTCTCCGACAGTGCTGAAATTGCATCAGTTTGTCATGCACTGAGCATGCCAGCTCTACACAATATCATTTGCTTGCAAATGGGCCTGGCCCCAAAGCCCTGATACACATTCCTTGGTATCTGACTCTTGGCCTGTGATTTGTCATGTCTCTGGTGCTATCAGTTTAAGGTAATTTTAATAGATTCTGATGGTTTGCTTGTGGGAGCAAAGAATGCACTGTAGCCTGTGTCATTTTGTGGTTCTTTCTGTAGCGTGTAACATGGGAGACGACCTCGTGCTGGTGATACCCAGTCAGAAGGACTACAGAGGAAACGAGGCTGTCTTGTGTGGTTTTTGCTAAAAGCTTGCATTGACAAATCTTCAAAGGAAGTTTCAAAATTTGCTTAATCATTATCCCCGTTTTTAAAGCACAGGGTTTCTTTTCTTACAAATCGTTTTGTCATCTTCAGTTAAAATGCAGGTATGAATGTGCGAGGTTTCTTAGACTTCCCCAACAGTGAACCTAACACTATACTTCATACATTAAAAAAAAAATACTGAAGTTGTGTACGTTGATGCTTAATAAATACCTTTAAATCCTATAACACTTTCCTGAGTTTAGGTCCCACTGAACACAATGGAGTTCTAAGTAGAGAAGTATAGGGTTGCGTCAATAGTATTATTAACTGAGGGGGAAAATACCAAACATTTTGGGCTAAAGTACATACCCTTAATAACTGAGTTTTAATATGTGAGTTCCTCTTATTAGTGTAACAGACATATATCATTGTCATTTTTTTCATCTTGCGATCTGTGCTGCATGGAGCAGGTGCTTCTAACTTTCTGAACTAATGAGAAGATAAAATCAATAATTTAATAGTTTGAAAATTAGGACATTGGGAAATTGTTCAGGAAAGTGAGTGTTTAGTTGTCTGAGAGAATTCAGGAGTGTTATGAAACAAATGGCATATTTTATTCTGATTTTGACACTACTGGATGAGATTATTTTGCCATTGACAACTCTGATCTTTACATCATTTTTTTAACTGACTCTTTTAATTGATCACTTCTGTGATATCAGAGCCTGCAGCATAGCTCTCTAGATGTCTGTTGACACTCATCGATTACCGTAAAGGTGTTAATGTTGGTGATTTCATCCAAGAAACGTTCAAAACTCTGTAGCTAAAAGCTCGCAAGCTTGTTGTTTTGAGCTTCTGTTGAATAACATGGACTTGTCTAGAGAAGCATGAGTTGAGTTCTTGAAAAATAGCTAGTTGTAATTTTGTATTAAGTGTGGAATACAAACACATTAATGTTTAGATTTCAGTGTTTTTAAAAAGTATCTATTAACATTCATTATTTTCTCTCCATGGAATTCACGCAAGATGTGTTAAGACACAGACCATTTCTTTTGACTTTTCCTTAGGGAATGTCTGACAGCAGAGTAACTTGGAGCATCCCTGAAGCTAGTCTGAGCTCTTGTCAGTTTCTTTTCCCTACACACACATGCACACATTGGTTTAGCTTTTTTTCTTTTTTTATGCAGAGAAGAATTTTTCAGCCATTATTTGCAGCATTTACAATTTCTGTGAGTCTGTGAGCATATACTGATTAACTTAGCTGAGAGGACAGTTCAGCATCCTATTTCATTCTCTCCCCACCCACTCCTGAACATGTTTCTCTGTGGACAGGAGATGGGACTGGAGCTTAGTGGTAGAGCAACAAGCCAAAGGTCCCAACTCAAATCCTCAGTATCTCCAGGTCAGGTTGGAGAAAGACTCCTGAAACCCTGGAGACAGTGGAGATGTTGTGGACTACAGCTGCAATCGGTTTATAATTTTGAAGGAACATTCACGTGTGCAGATATCAATTTGTACAGTTTACATCTCCAAGGTGCCTTCCCATCTATGTCCTCTATACAAATATTTCAATCCTTTCCCCTTGTCCTGATTAATGGTATAGAATCATAGAATTGTAGAGATGAAAAGGAACCTGAATGTCATCTGGTTCAACCAGCTGATACAAGGCCTCTACTTCTATGTTCTTGATTTTGGACAGTTCATTAGAAATTGGTTAGAAGTCCAGTAAAGTCGTACCTTGGAAGTCAAATGGAATCCATTCCGGAAGTCCATTTTACTTCCAAAACGTTCAGAAACCAAACGCGGCTTCTGATTGGCTGCAGGAAGTTCCTGCAGCCAATAGGTAGCTGTGGAAGCCCCATCGGACGTTCAGGTTCCAAAGAACGTTCGCAAACCGGAACACTCACTTCTGGGTTTGCGGCGTTTGGGAGCCAAAACATCTGAGTACCAAGGTGTTTGGGATCCAAGGTACGACTGTAGTATGTGTTGGCCAACTTTGATCTGTCAGGAAATGTTTAAATTGATGAACCTGTAGCCAGTTAAATCCAGCGTCTCTCACCTTCCAAGGTAAGTTGTTCTATAGATATAGGATTATGATTCATGTAGAAATATCAAAATCTGAAGATATTTGTCTTAATTGTGCTTCATAAGGCTTTTGTAGCATTGCTCTACAAGGCTAAGCATAGATATTTTGAAACATAGCATAGATATTAAAAAAAAAAAACTTTTTAAGGAGGACCCAAGTGCATTATTTTGACACCTGTTTCTGTAAATGATGTGCTGCCATGTTTTCCTGTTACTGTCAGTGTAACGGAGGCTAATTTATTCTTCAAAGCAGGTACTAGCATCCCAAACAGTTAGTCATTTAGGCCCATGGGGGGGGGGGTCCAAACAGATTAATATCTTTATTGGGACCTGTGAAAGCATAGTGAGCAAGCTTTCACCAGAACTGTTCTTTAAGCTGGATGTTAAGCAGAAAAAGAAAAGGGGAAGGTAGCAGTGGAAGAATGTTGCAAGAAATAATCAAAAGCCTAAGCCAGATGCTTGCCCATCTTAAGATGGAATGGAGGAAGTGTTAAGTAGAGCTGATTGGGTTAGATTTTTCCTGTGTGCACAGATTTCCAGTTGGCAGCAAAGTAAGCAGAGCTTGAAGAAGTAGTGGTTGTTCTCTCTCTCTCTTTAAAATGCTGTTAGGTTCAGATAACCAGCAACATCTCTCTGCCTCATCCCACCAACAGTTCTTTCTCACTAGTTTAGCAGCACCAACAACCAAATCGCAACGGTATTATGCTACGTAAGCTATTTAGTTTATTCTTGCCCTTCCACCAAAATTTATCCAGGAATGTCAAGTCAGTGGAGTATAATAAATCTTTGGCTGACCCTGAACTTCCTGTCACATTAAGATGCTGAATGTACACCCTGCTCACCTTAAGTCATGTTGGCCTATCTGATCTCTGGGAGAATTTAGCAACAGCTGTTAAGGGTATGGGAAAAATTATTAGATGAAAGCAGTGAGCATATACTTGCCCACACAGGAACTTTTCTTCTGGGTGTGTGTTCATGGACAGTTACTTTATTTCATCATTGTTTTTACTGTTATGGTTGCTTACATGAATAATCTCTTTTTTTAATAAATATTTTTATTAAGCAATTTCAACATAACAAATTATCAAACCGTATAATCACATACATTATTTCCCCCCCTTTTTTCCCCCACTCCCCCTTCCATCCCTCCCTCCCCCCTCCCACCAGGGACTTCACTCAGCTCCTCTCTCTGATTTCTCTTCACATATTATTCTCTGCATGTTATAAAGTTATACCTTATCTATCTATCATGTTATCAACCAATAAATTTGTGTATGTTTATTCAAAACCTGCCAAGGAGTCCAGTTCATTTTGTTGTCTTTTTAGATAATTTGTAAAAAGCTCCCATTCTTCCTTAAAGTCACAGTTGTTCTTGTCCCACAGTTTGTATGTCAATTTAGCTTACATGAATAATCTCTAAGCAATTTACTGAATATTTTTTTAAGAAAAGGATATGTCCTTTTTTTAAAAAAAATTAGAAACTTGTATAAGCTGCTTAATCAGTATTTTCAGTATTTATTATTATTGATTTCATAAACTTTATATACCACTTGATTGTTGTAATTTTTTTAAAAAAAATCCACCCTCAAGGTGGTTCACCTGTTCCTTAGCATTGATAATATACTTCTTACTTTAATGTTTGCTCATTCCAACCCTGGGCAGATTGTATGAGTGGATTGTAGAACATGAGGGAAACTATCATGAAACATGTGTCCTGGTTCCTTCCCAACACCAACACACACACACAGACTCTTACTTGGAAGTAAGCAAGAAATCTTTAGTCAGGCAAAGAACAGGACATATCAGCAGCAGACACCGTGCTCAGGAATCACAGTTTGGTAGTTTGGCAGCAAAGCAAGAAGTTCAGAACTGAAGATTATGTCTCCCAACAAATTTTCCCTGACAAGCTTTTAAAGATGAGGTATGGCGCATCCGCAAGCCGCTCTTGCCTTGAAGGAAAGTTGGGTTTGCAAGCGCAATGGCCATCGAGTGAGTGGGTCTACTCCCATCTGTGAAGCTGGCACCTGTTTCTGAGAAGACTGCACCCTGCTTTTTAGGCTCCTGTTCAGCCACTACCGCCTTGTGTTCAGCCTCTCACCTCAGCTGTTCAAAGCACTCCATAGCCTTCACAGAGGTGTCCCACTCTACAGGAAGGTTGGAGAGGAAAGCCAACATCCCTGCTCCCTCTTCCAAAGAGAAAGAATTTGGTGTGGAAATGGGAGATTCCCTCCATCCCCAACCCAAGTTCCCACACAGCTGCCCCTTCCCCCATTTCTTCCCCTTCTCTGTCAGACCCTGCCAGCTCAACCCCAATCCCAACAGGGTTGTGGAGCTCATGACAGCATGTATCAACCATCTCTTTTGGCAACATGCCCATAAGAATGAAGCCCCATCTAGCCAAGTATCCTGTTCTCATATGGCCAGTCATATGCCTATAGGAAGCACATAAGCTGAGCAATCCATGGGTGCTTTTCCCACACATTGGGCATGCCTCTTTGAAAAGCTATCTTTGTTCCTCTGCTTGTCATCACTACATCCTAAAACTTTCAGTTTCTGGGGGGGGGGGGGAGTTCACTCTCTATATGTTTTTGAGTAAATTAGCTACTACTGGAAATTGCAGGCCACTCCAGTGTGTTGCAAATAGAAGAGAGATCTTTGGTTTTGGATTTGTTTGTGGTCAAGTTGCTTTCTGTTTTGTTTGTAATAAACATTTAAATTCTGCCTTTCCATGACCCATGCCTAAGATGGCTAACAAAAGTAGTTCTGATCCATTGGAGACTCATTCTAGAAGAGATCGGGGGGGGGGCATTTTTATTCTTCCTTCCTCCCTACCCCCTTTGCAAGTCCAGTGTCACTTGCCACACTTATGGAGAGTTATTTCCACAGTGTACAGGAGCAGTTCTGGAAAAAGGTGTATAGGGGAATTATAAAGAATTGCCTTTCCTCTCCTTTAACCAGAGGCAGCCTCTGTAAGTTCAGACTGTCGCAGGAAACCCCGCCCCCCAATCATTCAGTTTGTACAAACTTCACACACACACACACACACACACACACACACACACTCACACTCACACACTACATACGCTACGCTTCTGTTATAAATTCATAGAAAATCAACCATACATCGGATCTGCACTGTTCCACTTTTATTTTACTCCATGAAGGAAGGACTACAAAATGGTGAAGGTTTGATACAGGGCAGCCATGATCCCTTGAGCATACCAGCACATACACAGGAGCCCTGCCCAGTTGCTATGCCAACCCTGATGGTCCTAGACAGAAGGCCATCAAGATCACAAAGAACTTGCATATGGGAGTGGATTCAGCACGACTGGAACAAAGGACAATGATCAGCTCTTCCCTCTGGGGGCAGGAAACTGCAAGCTCCCCTTTGTCACCTGGAAAGTACTCATGAGGAGGGGAAAAGGAGGAACCAGCCAGGTGACAGGACACTCAGGTTACCACCACAACTCCTCCCTCAACCCCCCCTTTTTGTGATGTAGTCTTAGGGGTGTAGTTTGGGGGATTAGTAACTAATTAAAGTTGGGGGTCTTCTTCTGTTCTGGGCTTCCATTTTGCTTCATCTTGTTGCGGGTGGGAGTCCTGTCGCAACAGTATTCAATAAAGGCCAAGCCTACAGGCTGCTGTTTTGCTCCAAGTTATCCTGGTTGGTGTCTTTGTTTTTGTCCAAGGGAGCCCTCGGATTTTTCTGTTAACAAGACCCAACCAAAAACACAAGAATAATAAGAAAATTAAATAATTTGAAACAGCAAAATATCAAATTCAAAAGTTATTTGTCTAGAACTCTTATTTTCTAGGGTCCGTGCATCTACCTTTCCCATGCAGTAACAAAGTGCATTCTAAAAAGTGGTGTATTGATGCTTTTGTATCTTGTACAGATATCAGAGTGGAGATCTTGAAATAAAGTTTTAGAATTGAAATGAGCAAACTGTTACAGTTTTGTATAATAATATATAGCCAAAGGTTTATCTTCAACACTGGCAAAAACATTACATAGTCAAAGAGCTGAGTAATTACTGATCTGTTCTATGGACTAGAAATAAGGATGATACGTGAACTGTATATCATCAGTTCACACTAACGGAAAGACAATTAGTTATATTTTAACAGAGACTTAAGAAACATTGTTGGGAAATGACTGTACCCATAAGCTTTGCACGACAATGAATCATTTACCAGGTTGGGCTGTCATTGCTTTTCCTTGGATATCCAACTTGAGTAACAGTAGGGGTCACTGTGTACATTGAATTTGACATGACATCTGAAAATTATCTTAAAAGACTTGCATGTTCAAGCAAAGTTTAAGAGAGGAGACACATAAACTTGCCCCCTAACAACCCTCTCTTTTGAAAAGAAGAAAATTAGATGTGCACACGCTGTTCTGAAATGAATAAAAGTTGTTTTAAGCGTGTTTCTCATGTGACCTTGTTAACATTTGAGCCCTATGTCTGATTCCATGAATAATGAGTGACTTACTAAAACGAGAATTTCTAATGACAATGTGGATTTCCATGGAATATGTTAAGTATGCAGAGATATCAGTCTGAGGATACATCAAATGAATGAAAAAGGCCAACATTCTACAATACAGGAAGCTGTATTTTCCCACCCCCTTAACTAAATGCTAAAGATATGACAAAGCAGTCAGTGCTTCATGCGATGCTGGCAGTGTCTTTTAGCTCTGGAAATATTTTGGTAATATTTACTTGGTAATATTTGTTTTCAGTGTGGTGATTGCTCTCTTCATGCTTTGCTTCCTGATTTTGTTTTCCTTCAGATGGCAAGTGGTAATTTTTTGACAGGAACACAATTGTAACTCTGACATGTCGAACCAGATGTTCTCATTTTACAAATGATCTTGACATTAGTTAACAAGTATCTTAAAGTGTCGTACTAGTATCTCCTGATGCTCTGCGTGGTGTCTGCATCTATTGTGGATTCTCAGTAGTTTAGCTGAATCATAGTTTTTCCACTTTCTTTTTTCCTCAGGGTCTTCTGGCTTCTTTTGTTACTGTCTCTTGAAAAATTTAAATCTTCCCTTTTCTTGACACTGTTGCATTAATCTCCTTGACAGCCTACTTCAAAATGAAAAAAGTGTTCATATCTTTTATCATGATGCTTGTAAGTGCAAGTCTCTGTAAATGCCACAATACATGCAGCAGTAAGTATTAGGGCAGCTACTATATTTAATGTCTGCTTATTGGTAAATTAATACCTCTCACTAGCAGAACTAAATAGCATGTTTCCTGCCTGTCTCTTTTTTCCGTTGTTGTTGTTGTTTGTTTGTTTGTTTTGCTGGCTTGGGCCATTTGTATGATGTAATCTTATCATGAAATATCAAGAGAGGATACAACAAAAGGAGACAAGGAGAGCCCTTCCAGATCAAACCATCTGGTCTTGCATCCTATTTCTCACCAGGTGCTTATTTGAATAATCTATCTCTCTGAATAAACCTAGCATGCCTCACTTCTCAGGAACAGATAATTCTAATTCCAGAAATAGTGTGGCGGGCAGGGGAGCCTGGAAAATCCAAAATGAGTGGAACTCATGAATCAAGCATTGCTTTCTAGGGGATTGGAAACATGCTATGCAAGCTTGAAAACTTCTTCCATGAAGCATTATCTGAACAGGGTTGCAGTGGCTTTCTTAGACTCAGTGATGGGTAACTCTGGCTATGGAATGGTTATGAAACTGTTCAATAGCCTGCCTGAAGCATAGTGGGAGTGGCAAAATCAGTACAGTGGTACCTCGGGTTACATACGCTTCAGGTTACAGACTCTGCTAACCCAGAAATAGTACCTTAAGTTAAGAACTTTGCTTCAGGATGAGAACAGAAATCATGCAGCAGTGGCGCAGCGGCAGCAGGAGGCCCCATTAGCTAAAGTGGTGCTTCAGGTTAAGAACAGTTTCAGGTTAAGAATGGACCTCCGGAACAAATTAAGTACTTAACCTGAGGTACCACTGTACAGTGTACACCTGCCCTTTAAATAGTGAAACCAGCCTTACATCAAAGCTAGATAATTTTCTGTGAGCTCTATTTTCATAATGTGTGTGTTGGCTTCTGATTTTTTGGGAGTGGGGTTGGGAATTGGTCTCTGTTTTGCTTCTAGAAGAGGCAATAAAGCAATGCACAGTGCCACTGAAAAATGCAAAGATGCAAATCAGACCTGAAAGTAAATCATACCACCAGCTAGTCAATGGGTTGAATACGGAGCTGCCATTCGTATGAATGGAAGAGCTCCATCTCTTTGTGGAACTGAAATCCTGTGCAGAAACTTCTTCCAGCCAGCTCTTAGGTTCTTAGGGTGCACCATTTAGAAACAAAACAATTAAAAAACAGAATGTCACACTGTTTAGGAAGTGCTCGTTTCCAGACAGTACATCATTTTTTAAAGTGTTGTTCACTTTAAGAAAATATTGTTTTGATTCCTTTGAGTTTAACTGAAAAAAACAGTAAAAGTCATTGCTCCAGTTACGGTGCATTTTTTGAAAATAAGTAGTGATACTGCTGCAGGCATGCTTAGAGCAGTGGCTCAGGTATTTACCCAGTTCACATATCCCTGTCACAAAGAGTCAGTTTCTGCCCTTTTGAAGTCTTAGACAGTGCTGTGAGCATCTTGCAAACCGCTGTAGAATTTTTCCCCACCAACAAAATGAATATTGTTTATTAGTGCTATAAAACTAGTCAGGGGTGGCGCTAAACGCCGGCAACTCACTTGGGTCACCTTTCAATGATGTTTATTTTGGTAGAATTACAAATTCATTGAAGAGAACAGAATGAGGCACCTAAGCATGCAGCAGCAAATCTTTCTTTTCTATTGCAGAAAGACGTTGGGTAAAGGCACGATTTTAAAGTGTCTGAATGTGCCTGGAAATTAAAGGCATTGTTTTTCAGTTTGAGGCAGGTCCTAGTTGTGCATAGTTTAGTGCCTTACACTTTGGATGCATAGTTTTACTATCGAGGAACAACTAATTCATTTTCTGGCTTCTTTCCCTTTTTTACTTAACAAGGCCATATGAGAACCCATTGCCCTTCATCATCCTTATCTGTTTTCATTATGAGTGTCAAAGTTGCTAAGTTATAAACATATAGAACGGCTAAGAATTCTTGTTTTCTCTATAAATACTGAGTACAAGGGGAAACGGCTTAATATTTTTCCATTAAGTCAAATGTCATTTATAAAGCAAACAAGCTGGTGAAAGGTTTGGTTGCGAAATGTTTCTAGATATCTATTTATATTTTCCTAGAAGAAGATTTTCAATAGAGGTTGAAAAAGCCCTTCACTCCTCATCATGTGTACTGAGGTGCTTTTGTAGTCACATAAATTCCAGGTGGGTGTGGAGAAGGGTTGTTCTCTGTCTCTGTCTGTCTGTCTGTCTGTCTGTCTCTCTCTGCCTCTCTCACATGCTTCCCATTTTTATTTCACAGTTAGCATTTGGGGTAATTGGGACTTCAGTATGATACGGAAGGGGGGGCATGTCTTCTTCACCTCCTTCTTCGCTACAATATATCCATTTATTTCCAATTGTCAATGTCAAAAGGGACTAAAATCTATAAAATTCATAGAAAATCAACGTGCCAATTTGCTCAATTTCTCTAGGACTCCATGACACCTCCCCTGTCCTCCATAATCCCTCAAGCAAGGTGTCAAGACCCTAATCCTGTCAAATCACTCTGCCAAGCCTTTCCTCCGGGCAAGGCCAGGTGGCAGACCATGCATACATGGACCATTGTCTTCTCATCAGGTACTCAGGATGTGCTTATCTGCGCATATCTCCAGCTCTGCATATTCCCCCCTCCCTCCTCCATATGTTAATCCTGTGTAACCCAACCTCTTCTTAATGTATTCATGATGTAACTGGGATGTATTTTGCACTGTATTCTGGGACATGGAGGGAAATTTCAAAAGTTCATGTCACCCCTTTCTCGCTGTTCAATCTCGCCTTGAACCTGTTGCGCAATAAACTTGGATCTTCTGCAGTTTGCTCCTGTCTCCGGCTGAGCTCATTTTCTTCCGCAGGGACCCGCAGACCTAGTCCGACGAGCTGGGTGGCAGAGTAGCTCCGCACCCAGATTTTACCGTAACAAGTAGAAGCTCAGTTTTTTAGCGTCTCGGAAGCCGAACATTTCGGTTTTCGAACACCAAAAACCCGGAAGTGAATGCTTCTGTTTTCGAACACGCCTCAGAAGTTGAACACCTTCTGAGGCACGTTTCTCCATTTTCTCAACGGAATTTGCCGACCGCCCATTACACCCCGGTTGTCGAACGTTTTGGAAGTCGAACGGTCTTCTGGAACGGATTAGATTTGACAACCAAGGTACCACTGTATATAGAGAGTGTCAGGTATCATTCCCACATAAAGTGCTGCTTAGAGTAGTTGGGAAAAGAGCCAGTGGCTATAGAGACTTATATCAATAGTTTGATAGATAATAGTACTTCACAGGTGAGGCTCTGGCAGAAGTCACATCTGGTCATTTAAAATTTCGCATGTTAGTTATGGGAATGGAAGCTTATGTACAGGAAAGACCATAAAATATTTCCCTAGTTTGTGGAGCATTTCTATGAAATGTTCTCCAGAGGGTATGGGAAGGAGAAATCAACTGGGCAGTATTCAATGTTAGTCATACTCTGAGTAGACACATACAATTCAATGGACTTAAATACACTGATTTTAGTGGGTCTAATCTAACTAACCTTGGCTGTTACCCAACATGACATTAGAAAGAACATTTGGAAATCAAAGGTTTTTTCCTGACAGTTTACCTTTTCAAGTGTGCATTTTTTACCATGTCTTTTTTACCATGTGTATTTTTTTAACACATTTTTTGCCTCATTGTTAGTTTCTCCATTGGACAGTTCCACCATTTCCCAGCTGTAACCTAGTCTAAGCTTTTCATCCATTTGTGCTTGGGAAAGCTGCAAGAGCTAAACACGTTTTTCCATTTCTCATCTCTGCAATCGCTTCCAGCTCTCTGTATTGTAAAATAAGTCTGTGTAAACACACACTCAAAACTTTTTTTTAAAATGGCTGCCATTAAAATGTTGACACTGGCAAATATGTATATCCATTATATCTCAAGATACAACTGCTATTATTAAGAACTGTTATTTCCTGTTATTTTTAATTGCTTATAGCTTTGCCAGCTTTCATCTTTTGGGAATTTCCATACCAGGTCTTTGCCTCAGGCTGATTCCCAACCCCCCCCCCCCCAAATCCGTCAAGGTTTCAGTAAAAACAATTTCTTGATTTGTTTTTTAAAAATAAGGTCAGGCAAAAATATGTGCATTTGACAATACTGTAGGCGTTTCAAGCAAGGGATCTGGATTTTAGTGATGGAAGGCAGTGTTGCAAATTTAGCAGTGTTAATAAAAGTATGGGGGGAAATAGTGATTTCAGAATTTGTTAAAAGCATGTTTATACTGCCTTTCGTTATAAATTGCCTTTCATTATAAAAATCTCAGGGTGGTGTACAGGATATTTCAAAACAACAAATTGAAACCCAAAATTATTTGGCTTTTTTTTTTTTAAAGTAGATCATTACTTCCTTTTTTATTGTGTTGTGGCTTTTATATTGTAGAGTGTTGCTTTGAATTGTTAACCACCTGGCTGAACCCAGCGGTAATAATTAAATGCCTGTATCCTATGAACAAATTCTACTTTCAGAACAGGATATGGGCCGTTATATAAAAATATTTAAAAAAAAAACCTGTAATCTGACTGTATTCACTAGACAGGGGAGGGTCCCTTCTGTTTAAATGTTCACATTGTATCACAGTTCACCAACTAATGATATATTAATATAATTAGCACACTTACGTGAAGTGCTTACCGTAACTTTATTTTCGCCTACGATTGGTTAGATTAATCAAGTATAGGGATGTTTCTAACAATGGGACTGTGGTTCCTATTAATTATTTCCTAGTATCCAACATGTTTGTTGTATGCACTCCCTGGTATGCTTTTCAACAAATACCAATATGATTTAAAGCAGTATTTTTATTTATTTATTTCCTGTGCGGTCATTCATCCAAGGATCACAGGGTGGTTTACCGTATAAAAACACAAAAAATACATAATATAGTAATGAACAAAAATTATTTTTTCTGAGCTTCGCTGTTTAAACTTTTGGCTAGATACTTGCGTGTATGGTAGCATGTATACATACACTTTAATTTGTATGTTTCAATAAGTGAATGAAGTTGCGCCTTTTCTAGTTTCAGTCCAGCATCAGATGCATTGCCTAGTGGTGCTAATTCTGTGCAGTAGCCGTCAGGAGGAAAAGATGGGATACTGATGGTGGAGTTGGCTTTCATCTTGGTCCCAAAGCAGGACAGCTGTTCAACTCAGCAGTGGGGAAATGGTTCCCATTTTCTAACACATGGGTAGGCAAACAAAGGCCCCAGGGGCCGGATCCGGCCCAATCACCTTCTAAATCTGGCCCGCGGACAGTCCGGGAATCAGTGTGTTTAGAATGTGTGCTTTTATTTAAAATGCATCTCTGGGTTATTTGTGGGGCATAGGAATTCGTTCTTCTTCTTTTTCCAAAATATAGTCTGGGCACCCAACAAGGTCTGAGGGACAGTGGACCGACCCCCTGCTGAAAACGTTTGCTGACCCCTGTTCTAAGAGCTGAATTTCAAATAGCGGAAGGCTTTGGACACTTCATGAAAGGATGACAATCTGATCTTCCATATCCTTCCTGTAATCACCTCTTCTCTTTACCTTTAATGATGTCTCTTTCCACTTGCCTGGTCTCCAGCTCTACCTTCCCATCTGGATTCTATGAGACTTTTTAGAACTTAGTCACTGGCAAAGACACCCGTTCCAAACAGTTAAAAAGCCATGTAAGCATGTACACTGAGAGGTGTGAAAGTTTTAAAAGTGTTGAAACCCGAGCCATTGTTCCCTTCTAAATGGTAACACTGGGTTAAAAAACAAAAAAAGGTCAGCTCAATTAGGATTTTGCAAGATTGCGACTTCAGTGCCTGTCTGGTATATTCATCTTGGCAAGTTGGCTGATAGTTTGCAAGTGTTTATGAGCACATACCAGTGCAAATAGATTGTCTTCATCACTGCGTACACAAAAGCAGTCATGAAATCTGTGCAATGTTTTAAGCGCTAGTGGCATGATATAATGAAGTTGTATTCCATTAAGCACTTGTATACAGGGGAACAAAATGTCATCACCTGAGTGTAGCCGCAATTCAGTAATACAACCTCATCTGTTCCATCAACTAGTTTTGCTCTGATCAATAAGCAGTTTTCTGTGGCCTTTCACTACTGTCAAGTATCATTGAGTGATGTAAATACACATCAGAAACTAGAAACTTGACAGCTCACCCAGACTAAGGAGGGAAGGAAGGAGGGAGGGCAGACTAGTGGAATTGACAAAGATGACAGCTGACATCTGCTGTGTATAAATTATTTGGTATCGCTACACACACAACTTCTTTTCTATTGTCTGTGAACATACCACTAAATTACCATTAATTGATGGATTTTAGGTCCAAATGTTAGGTCCAGTTTTGCAGAATACACTGTCGTATTTTAAAAAAAAACTTCGAAAATGTACATCCCTGAATATGATAAATCTTGGTAACTACTTCAAAGAAACAAAACTGTTCATATTTTCAAGTATCTAGTTTAAAAATATTGGGTTGTATCCAGCAAAATTCTACTCAGAACAGACCAAGTAAAATTTATGTAACTAAGTTTTGTAATGTCCATTAATTTCATTGGGTGTACTCTGAATATGACTACTGTTGGATACAATCTATTGATTTTAATACACAGATAATTATTCAGGATTTAAACATATAGCACAGGATTTACCTAACAAGCCCTGCAATGGAACTTTCCCCTTTACCTGCACCCCCGAAAAAATTGGCTCACGGGGTCAAGAAAATTCCTGGGAAAAGAAGAGGGGGGATCATTCTACCTGGCAAGCTGAAATGCTTTGCACATATGGAACTTTTAAATAATGCTACAGTTTCCCTGTTAAATCAAAGATTATGCAGTAACAGTAGTTGGTGCATTTAGCCTAGTACAGTGGTGCCTCGCAAGACGAAAAGAATCCGTTCTGTGAGTCTCTTCGTCTAGCGGTTTTTCGTCTTGCGAAGCAAGCCCATTGACGGATTAGCGGATTAGCGCTATTAGCAGCTTTTAGCGGCTTATCAGCTTATCGGATAAGCAGATAAGCGGCTTAGCGGCTTAGAAAAAGGGGGGGAGGGAAAAAAAACCGCAGGAACTCGCAAGACATTTTCGTTTTGCGAAGCAAGCCCATAGGAGCTTCGTTTTGCGAAGCACCTCCAAAACGGAAAACTCTTTCGTCTAGCGAGTTTTCCGTCTTGCGAGGCATTCGTCTTGCGGGGCACCACTGTATAAAAAATAAGAAATGGAAAGCTCTCAGAGCATCGCTCATAAAGTTGTTGTTTTCTTTTTTAAAAAGTTGCAATCTGTTATATTTCCATAGCAATAAGGCTTCATGCAGGTATTGCTTAATCATGGTTCCTTTCCCTTTTTCTCCTCATTTTCTCCTCATTTCTGTTTTCAGCATTCACCATGTTTTGACTGTGACCTGGTTTGCACAATCAAATCTTGCCTTAGTAAGCCAGGTTATGCGTAATAGCTTGCAAACAAACAAACCAGGATTCATAAGCCAGCTTTAGACTTCCACTTTGTATCCTGGCTTCTGGTCAAACCATTAGCCATAGTTTCATCTTTGAGTGTAACAGGAAACTGTGGTTAACTCTGACTTTCTGACTTGTTTCCCCATTCCCGTTCAGTGAGGAGTGATAGAGCTATGTGCTAAGGCAGGATTTAATTAATCCCAAGGCAGCCATAATATCAGCTTGTATCTAATACTGCCCATAGTAAGCTTTAAACCAGAGTTTGAAAATGTGCTTTGAAGCTATGCCATGTTTAACAATGTGCTCCTGAAGGTTACTCCCAGTTGCTTAATGGTTAAGAAATTTGAAAGCGTCGTATCTCCACTAAGCCAAGGACATGCATATATAGAAAACAAGAGCATCTGTTTAATTGGAAGTACTTGTATAATTATTGTTCTTCTAAGACTGCACCTCACTTACTTATTTTTAACTTTATAAACCATGTAGCTAGAGTTGAGGAATGCTGTTTGCTTCCCGATATTTAGAAAAGTAGGATGAATACTTAAAACTATTTTCTGCGCAGTTAACCATATGGATCAATACACTGTGCCTCTAGGCCATTCTGTCATGCTTTTACAAAGCACTGCAGAACTCTTCTATTAAATAATTAACCTTGTTATAAAATGAATGAGTGGAGTTTTTAAACCTTTTAAATGTTATTTTTACATCAGGTTTATGTCATCAACCTCCCATATGGTAGAGGAGGTGAAAATCTTCTTGCATAAGCTTGAATGTAACAGTTCTCTCGCTAAAGATGAGCATGGAATGATGTTGGATCTTTCAAGGTGTTCCCAGCTTTGATCTACCACTGGTATTGCCAGTACTGTATTCTTATTCTCAGCCATTCCATTGTGGAAGGAGCTATCCTGGCTGTTTAACCAAGCTATTCAGTTTCCTTTAATTTATTATTTATTTTCAAAATTAGTACTTGCCGCTTTCAAATAAGATCCAGAAGTACACCCAAATTATGAACCTGCTGCTTTGAAACAAGTATAAACTTGCCCAGAACAGTTTGTATACCTATTTCTGGTTCACTTGAATCTTTCACCGCCAGGTACATCTGTCTTTTCTGGATTAAACTTCTAGAGTTTAGATTCTCATCCCAACCCAAAGATGGCTTTCAGGAGAAGCCATTATATTTAAATTATGGCTTTTGAAGATGGATACATTGGTTTATTTGCTGTAATGACTGTCTTTGTTTCTGATATTTAATTTGTTTCATAGCTCTGATTTTATTGGTGTATTCCAGTTTCATACCCCTCAACTGTTCCGCTTTGAGCAGCGTATTCCAGTATTATAGAAGTCACCCTGGCTTCTGATTGGATCCCTTGCACACTGCACATACTCCTTCCGGTTCAAGATTTCTCTGTCAAATTTCAGGTGATTTCCCCTCATGTACAGCACAAACATCAGAAGGGAGGGTACAGATTTCCAAATTATCTGGAACTCTGAGTGATGCCAGGGAAAGAAGGTACTCAGCACACCTGACTTCCCATTTGCATGTACAACTCAACCATTGCAATGTCCAAACAGCACTAGATTAAAGCCCCAATCCAAAGGACTGGATGGCAGGGCTCCCACACACAAACCTTTCCCTTGAAGTAGCAAACCCTGCTGTCCAACAAGACCGCTCCTGAAAAAGGAGGGAGTTTCAGAAGCAGACTGTTAAGCACCACACAACAAGCAGCTATAGCTGGGTGATGGTAAGGTGAAACAGACCTGAATTAGATCACAGCCCTAAGCCTTTACTTGATGTCGTTCTGTGAAGTGTCATGTCATCTCCACAATCACTTACATTATTATTTTTATTATTAATTATTTTTAACCATTCCTGGCATTTCCACTTCACGCTGCTTATTAAGACTTCAGAGATACAAACCAGTAGCTCAGTAATTGCTTTCTTGAATCTGCCTTTAATAATTACATTTAGTAAAGCTGTATTGAAAATTAGAAAGGCAGAGACTAATGGAAAACTAGATTTTTCACTGAATTAGAAAGCAAGACAATCCATATATTGACAACATTTCAAGTTGAAACAGATCAGGAAAACTGTTTTGGACTGTCTGTTCAAAGAGCCAAACAGAGGCCTGATGTGCAGTGGCATCTACATTTTATACCGACAGAGAAACTATAAGAGATTTCATGTAAATAGCTGTCTTGAGAGGATAATGCAATTCCAATTTGAATGCAAGTCTTTTGAATTTGGGGTGGAGGGGCACTGAATTTTCTCTTTTGGCGTGTAACGAAACAAGGAAACTGAGCTGTTCTGCTAATGGAGTGAAACCATCTTTAAATTAGAAAGGAAAAATGTTTCATTGAAAAATGTAGCAAATATCAATAGTACAAAGAAGTTTATCTGAATACTTGGCTCATAGGTGACATACAATTTGAAGTTTTAAAAAAGCTATCCTCACTGGCCTCTCCTTTTCTACTTGACTAGCTGTGCTAGCTATTACTTGGTACTAACTAAGCAAAAGTACTTTGTAAACCAGTAGTATTATGCAAACAGCAGAAATGTTACCAAATGGGCCATGGGTGAGTCCTAATACCTGCTTACCTGGGAGAAAGCCCCAGTGAACTAAATGGGATTTACTTTTCAGGAGACATTTCTAGGCTTGTGGTATTAATGCAAGATCTAGAGTGGTGCTGTGGTCTAAACCACAGAGCCTAGGGCTTGCCAATCAGAAGGTCGGCGGTTCGAATCCCCACGGCGGGGCGAGCTCCCGTTGCTCGGTCCCTGCTCCTGCCAACCTAGCAGCTCGAAAGCACGTCAAAGTACAAGTAGATAAATAGGTACCGCTCCGGCGGGAAGGTAAATGGCGTTTCCATGCGCTGCTCTGATTCACCAGAAGCGGCTTAGTCATGCTGGCCACATGACCCAGAAGCTGTACGCCGGCTCCCTCAGCCAATAAAAGCGAGATGAGCGCCACAACCCCAGAGTCATCCATGACTGGACCTAACGGTCAGGGGTCCCTCTACCTTTACCTAGAGTGCCTTCTAAAGTATACATCACCATGCTGAGTTGTGTAATTCCTGAATACATACTCAATGTTTTGTCCAAAATGGCCACTATGTCTGAGGACTGTGGGAGACTTGTAAACACCTCTCTTTCCCCTCCTCCCCAATTTTGGGGGTGGTGTATTCTCAGGCAGAAAACTGGATACAACATGTAGAGTTTCAAAAGACGAAGTGAGAAGATTACATTGGGTATTTTACATTTTTTGTAGAGCTAGGTCTAGGCATTGGGTAGCACCAGTATTGGAGCTGTATGCAGTGGTACCTTGGTTCCCAAATGGCTTAGTTGTCAGATAAATCGGCTCCCAAACACCGCAAACCTGGAAGTGACTGTCCTGGTTTGTGAACGTTTTTCGGAAGCCGAACGTCCGACGTGGCTTCCGCTTGAGTGCAGAAAGCTCCTGTGGCCAATTGGAAGCTGTGCCTTGGTTTTCCAACAGTTTTGGAAGTAAAACATACTCCCGGAATAGATTAAGTTCAAGAACCAAGGTACCACTGTAGTTGGGAACTCATTTGTCTGCTTCTGTACAGGGATCAGGTCCCTTGGAGATAGTTCAAAATAAATTTCAATTATCATTACTGTTGCTTCCCTACCCCCCATCTGTACCTTCTGGTTTATGCAGAGCTGAACTGGCTATACAGTGGTACCTCAGGTTAAGTACTTAATTCGTTCCGGAGGTTCGTACTTAACCTGAAACGGTTCTTAACCTGAAGCCCCACTCTAGCTAATGGGGCCTCGTGCTGCCGCCACGCCGCCGGAGCACAATTTCTGTTCTCACCCTGAAGCAAAGTTCTTAACCTGAAGCACTACCGGTATTTCTGGGTTAGCGGAGTCTGTAACCTGAAGCGTATGTAACCTGAGGTACCACTGTATAGCAATACTAACAGTGGTATACAAAATTATGTTTAACCTTTGGCTAAAATTTACCCTTTTTTTGTCCTCTTATGGCAGCCTTTGAGGAAATGAACAATCACTCTTGCAAGGGGGTCATTTCATCCCTGTAGTGAATTTGGGGTTTTTCTTTAACTATATTCAAAGAGTTTGGGTGTGGAGTTCGTTAAAAAGCTTTTGAAGCAGGGATTGACTGATGTGACCTTTCAGATGGACAGAGCAACTGTATCTGTTTCTAAAATAGCACGACTGCATAAGAATTTCCCTTGCATTCCTCATGTATTACCTTCTTCTTTTGAGAATTTGCAGAGACTGAGAGATAGGATGGTCTTTACTGAAGCCCAGTTAAAGCTGATGCCCTCAGATGATTTAAAAGCAAGTTTCCAAAACATGCCGTATTCTGAACGTATCTGTCGTCGTAACTTAAACTGTGCTGTGAGGACCTTGTGCATATTATTATATGTTGTCTTTTGTATAATGCATTGGGAAAACAACACTTGGGACAAATTTTAGGGAGAAATGAAGAGAGGTCTGACCTCGAGTCTGTAATTTATCTGCTAGGCAGACAAGATAAATATACAACTGTGAAGACTGCACGTTTTCTATCTGCAGTAGCTGATGAGAGGGGAGAATTCTTGAGAGAGACTCCTGTGTCTTGTCAGGGAGGTTCAGAATTTGCAAAGTTTGTTTTATCCTTTTAATCGCTTGCTTGCTTTTATTCATAGTTGTGTAAACTCATTTCATTTTAGTATTTATTGAAAGAGGCACCATTTTATTTTATTTATAAGGGCACATGATCTGCCAGGGAGATCCGGCATTTTAAGCTTTTTGCGTTTTATTTGGGTCTGATGAATAGAATAGATTAGCTCAGATCAAATTCATTTATGTCTAAACACCTTTCCTCTCCCTGTGGCCTCTTCCACCTGGAATCAGAAGCTGTGAGAAACAGCAGCAGCTGCCCAAATGAGGAAGCCTTGCCCTGTGAGGGACTAAAAATTAATTAACTAATGTGGCCACTTAAAATAGAAGTGAAAACTTTCTATTTTATCTTTGCATCCGCACTGGAGGAGAGAGGAGGGGAGAGCACACAAACCTGAGGTTTCCCTAATACAGTGTTTCCCAAACTTGGGTCTCCAGCTATGTTTGGACTACAGTTCCCGTCATCTCTGACCACTGGTTCTGCTAGCTAGGGATGATGGGAGTTGTAGGTCAAAAACAGCTGGATACCCAAGTTTGGGAAACACTGCCCTAATACTAATCCAGTGGTGGGGAACCATCAGTCTGCCAGACCTTCCACAAGGCCATTTTCACAAAGTCATGCCCACTTGTCTTACACCTGATTTCATCTATGACATCATGCGTGGTACAGGGAAAGTTGTGGCTGGGGAGAATGGGAATTTGTGAGTGCTTGCAAAGTCACGAGTGTGGAGCTTTGCAAGCCCCACTTATCAGCTAATCACCAGTGCTTGCAAAGTATTGTGCCTTTGCTCTTACAGCCTGATTTCAAACCATGTAGGCCTGTTGTCCTTGCAACGTCAGGCAATTGACAGGTGGGTGACCCCACCCATCTGCCAAACTAGGCCCAGGGATGGGTAGTGGGATATAAGGATCCAGTCGAATTAGATTCCCATCCCTGCACTAAACCAATTGGTTCACTTTTAAGAGTCTATATGTATGGTTTTAATGTGCATTTAACTATAATTTTAACCTGGCTATTTTAAAAGAAACATAAGCAGCACTCTAACATTTGAAATATCTGATTAAGAAGTTCAGTTTTTATTCTGCCCAGGGCCCAACCACCTTCCTTCTCAAAGTGGACTATTGATAAATTTCCATCTGCAATTGTTTCACTTTCACAGTATTTCTCCTTCCTGGTTATTCTGACAAAGGGAATGGAAGGAGAAGTATAGGAATTATGGGTACAGAAGATGAAGCAGATTCATTCTCCATTGCTCCAAATGGCAGAAGGTATCATGTTGTTAGTGTAAATGTGTTATATTTACAGTACTGAAATGTTGGTTGTTCTGTATGTTGTTACATTTGTTATTACATTGCTGCTTCATTATGTTACTATGAAATTGTTCTTGCAAGGGTTGATTTTGAGATGTACAGTGGTACCTCAGGTTAAGTACTTAATTCATTCCGGAGGTCTGTTTTTAACCTGAAACTGTTCTTAACCTGAAGCACCACTTTAGCTAATGGGGCCTCCCGCTGCTGCCATGTCGCCGGAGCACAATTTCTGTTCTCATCCTGAAGCAAAGTTCTTATCCCGAGGTACAATTTCTGTGTTAGCGGAGTCTGTAACCTGAAGCGTATGTAACCTGATGCGTATGTAACCCGAGGTACCACTGTATTTCAGTTTTTGTTGTTGCTGATGTTCGAACATGATTCTTGGTCTACTGAGACTGTCAGGGATACTGCAGTTATGTCCTGCAGAAAGCTGGACAAGATAAGAATTAAGTTCTCTTTAAATTCTGTGAATGTCTTTCAGAGCTTGAAGGGTGGTATGAGCTGGCCTATTCATATCCCACTATGGTTTTGCTGTTTTTGTTGTACTTCCTTAAGTTCTTCGGTCTTTCTTTGAACTTCTTTAAAAATACGAAAGCTGTTAAATTGTTTTGTTAGTCTTCCTTTGGTACCAAATTATTGATGAATCAGAAAATATTCTTTTAGAGATTTGTCAGCTAAGACAATGCTCAGTTACAAGTTTTCCTTTCCCATTCCTCCATGCCCTTTGAACTTTCCTCATTTGTATTATAATGGATTCAATAATACATTGAGTTCTGCATATCCTGGAATATTCTAGAAAGCTTAAAGCTTCTTGCTTTTTATAACTTCCATTAAAATATAACTTGACCGTACAGTGTGCATCCTTTCTGTTTTTGTATTGCTGGATCCTTCTGATGCTTTAAGAGTTCCAGTAATCACATATTAGAATAACAAAATAACCAATAAGATTTCCCCTCTTGGTTGCATCTGGTTCTTTATGGTCAGAACAGCTATTTCTTTTTGTTCTTGTAAAGCTATGTTCAACATACTTAGAAGGGATAGCTTGCTTTTAGTCAGTGAACTATACTCAGATTTGTTTCATCTGTTTTGTAAAATTGATTCTGAAATGGGTTGTTATCTCTTGAATGCTCTCTAGGTTGCCTATGAGAAATCTTGACCTGAGTGGAATTAGTTGTGATGATGTTCAAGGGTTACAGGTGGCCAATAAAAATGCAGATTAGGTTCATCAGCATTCAACCAGGATTTGTAATGTTGACTAATGCTAGTTCGCAAGCAGCTGACCTCTTATGTTTTTATTTCCTTATGTTGTTTTTAGTTAGGCTGTGTTTGTGTTTAATCAGATTATGCATTAAGTGGTATATTCGTGGACCTATAATAAATATGCATTTCATTCATTGCATCATATTATTATTATAATGCTAGTGCTACAGAAGATGCACTCTGTATTTGCTGTCACTAGTGATTCCAGAAATGATTGAAAAGATGGTTTCAAAAAGAGGTAAGGAAAGTTCATATTAAACGGAGTGAGGATGAGCTGATTGACACATGTCAGAAAACAGTTGTCATTCCTTGAATTATCTATATAGATTTTCCCTCTCAAGATTCACTTCCTGACACTTAGGCATTCCCGAAATTCTTTGTAAGATCATGCCTCCAGCACAGGCACCCATCCTGACCTAGCAGCTTTTATTTTTTTAATTCCCAGGAAAGCTTCCTGCATCCAGTAGGTAGAACTAGAGGAGCTTAAAGAGTCAGTATCCAGATTTCAGTATGTTCTTCTTTTAGTTAGAATTACTTTAAAATCATTACATCATTGCTATTTCGTTAAAATGTATGTCTTATATATTTTTATAGAGAATTGTTCTAAGAACCAAAGCATTCTTTTGAATGGTTTGTTGACTCATCCGAAGTCATTTTTTAGGAACTAGAAGTGAATTATATTACTGTGCATAAGCTCTTACTACAATTCTTGAGTATATGAGTCATTAACAGAAAGCAATTATTTTCTTTTTTTAAAAAGAAACTTTTGACATGCTGAAGCAGACCATTCCTGGGTCACATTCAAATGCTTGCTGAAAGGTAAACAGATGAGAGAGAAGTGATTAGGGTATTTAAAAGAGAAAGCACAATTTTAAACTTTAACCAACGTAAGAGAAAAATAACAAACGCAATTGTTTGCATTTGGAATGAGACAAACTCAACTTAGACATCAGACCTTATTTTCACAACCCTTTCATTTTCTTCATAAAAACCTTTCCTCTGAAGGATGGACTGGTCAAATTTTGGACCTCTTCCTTGTTCTGACAGAATCAGCCATCTGTAGAGTGTTTTCTGTTCTTCATGAGAAACCTCCACAAGCTTCCAGAGAATCCTAGGGGTCTTGGGAACAGAGTTTGAAAACCAGAGCTATAGTGGATTGAATGTTCAGTTGGAAACCAACAAAGTTACCATTAAATGCAGGGTCTAAAATCACTTAAGGAAATCAGCCCTGAGTGCTCACTGGAAGGACAGATCGTGAAGCTGAGGCTCCAATACTTTGGCCACCTCATGAGAAGAGAAGACTCCCTGGAAAAGACCTGATGTTGGGAAAGACTGAGGGCAGAAGGAGAAGGGGACGACAGAGGACGAGATGGCTGGACAGTGTTCTTGAAGCTACCAGCATGAGTTGGACCAAACTGCAGGAGGCAGTGAAAGACAGGAGTGCCTGGCGTGCTCTGGTCCATGGGGTCACAAAGAGTCGGACACGACTAAACGACTAAACAACAACAACAAAATCACCTGGCTTCACCACTGTCTGCAGCTCACTGTTGTATATGCACTGCCAGCCAATAGCTTTGCAGGGTTTGGGGCAGGTATCTTTTTGAACCCTACCTGAAGCTGCCCTGGATTGAACCTTGGACTTTCTGCATCCAAAGCATTGTTCGAAGTTCCCCAGGTGCCAGGAATCTTTGCAACTGGCACGGGTCCAATTGCAACCACATGGAGATCTGTGGATGCCAGGTTGGCGTCTGACATCTCCATCTGGCAGGGCCCTCCAGTTGTCTTAAGCAGGTAAGCAGAAGAGCTTATATACTGCATTTGTCTCCCACCTTTTTCTCCAAAGAGTACAGTGGTATCTCGGTTTTCGAACATAATCCAATCCAGAAGACTGTTCGAGTTCCGAAACGTTTGAAAACCTAGGCACAAAGAGCAGTCTGCAAATTCAGTAGAGAAAATTGGGGGGAAACTCAGCGGAAGCCGTTCAACTTCTGAGGCGCGTTCGAAAACTGAAGCATTTACTTCTGGGTTTTCTGCATTCGAAAACTGAAACATTCAACTTCTGGAACGTTTGAAATTTGAACCCGGATCTCCCAGGTCCTAGTCCAGCGCTCTGACCACTACACCACACTCGCTTCCTAGAGTACTGCTGCTATGGGGCAGCTATTTAAATAAAGTAGGTAAATAAATATAGGGAAAGGAAAACGTCACTTAGAGAAGGATCTGAAACATTTCCCTTGAAGCTTGCATTTGTTTTATTTGATGTTTTAATGTGCTGTAAAGCACTTTGAGATTTTTCTTAAAAAATATAAAGTGGTATTGAAATGAAATAATGATGATGATAATTTCATTTTTAAATCAATTGGTGCCTAGACATTCTGTTGTGGCAACCGTAATCTAGGTTTAGGGTGTCATTTGGCGATTCACTTATATATCAATGAGTTTTTGACCCAGATCCAAAGCATATATTCTACACTGAACTATAGCCCTTCCCACTATGTCACTGGCTCTCAGTCACAAGGCTTAAAACTGGAATGCAGTCAGAAAAGGAATATGGTTCTGGTTCTGGAAATTGGGATGGATATGCTTTTTTGCTATAGTAAGATGGAAGATAGTCTCCCCAACTTACGACTGTCTTTCATATTTTTATTATAACTGGTAATCAGATGATGACTTACTGGTCTATGTTAAAAAATAATTTTAAATAAAGACAGCTGTTATGCAGATTGATCCAAGAACCTTGAAAGACTTTGTTATGGCTTCCTAAAAAGAATTCTTAAAACAGGACTTTGATTTAATAGGCCCCAGTTCTTCCTCTCCAGCTTTTTGATGGTTATAAAATAAAATGTCATCTACTTGGCATGATGGTCAGAAGAAAAAAATATGAGTTTCCACACGTACTTCAAACCAAAAGCTATCCTTCCTATTAATATGAGTTAAATTCTGGCAGACATTTTAAATGTCTAATTGTTATCCCTATTAGGTATTGGCTCCATGCAGAAAAAAATACTTTGCTACGGATTGAGCATGGCTTTTATTATGGTAATGGTGAGAAATTAAGATTATTTGGCTGACAAATCATTGTAGATCTTATCTGTTCTATTTAATGCGCTTACTGATTATGCAGTTAAAAGACAATGTATAGCACTGTATGTTTGCCGGTTGCTAAACGGATCAAACCAGATAAATGAATAATACACATTTAACCTATTAACGAGTTTTCTGTTTACTTAAGAAGTTACAGCCAATCGAAAGAGGGATTTGTTCACAACTGAGGCCATGGCTTGCAGGAAGTGTTCTTAACTCTGAATCCTGTGTCCTAGTGAAAATTGTCCCTCTACTTGCTCCCCCAAAGTCTGTCATTTTCCTTGAAAGGGAAACTGCCATTTCTCCCAATGGCTGCTTCTGTCCTAGGGCAGGGATGGGTGAAGGATCAAATGTTACTTCAACAGTAGCAGGGAAGGCAATGGCTAACCTCTTCCCAGAATGGGATATTAATATTTTTGGATGGTTAGACATTGAGGAGGCAGTCCTTATGGGAAGTCCCATTACTCTCTCAACTTTAAGATAAGAATGTGGTATGGTAAATGCATGAATATTTCATATGGGGATTGTTCGTGTTGTGTAAACACAATTGTTAGGGTTTAAATTGCTAGAAACTCATTACTTGATGCTTGGTAAGATCTTTTATAGGTGACCTTTACTGCTTATTATGAAAATTTCTACATACATGTCCATATTTAATAAAACCTCAAAATGTTTAACTGTTAGGAAAGTTTCCCTTTCTTTTATGCACAAATCTGTATTGCTTCAGAATACACCTATGTTCCACATTAGGCTGACCATAGTACTCATGCTGAGATTCTAAATAGTGATCAGATAATCACAGTAGGACTAATTGAAATTAAATTAATAATATGGATGATAAATACACTATTTTGAGGGATGCAAAATGCCCTTCCTCATACTGACATGTGAATGCATAACCAAAAGAATAGCAGTCTTCAGATATTTTCTGAATGTGGAAGGAGCAGAGACAGAGTTTTCTACTACTGGCTTCCCCATTCACTTTCAGCATAATGTCCGAAAGAGCCTGTGCATCTATGTGTGAGTATAAGCTCTTTCCGACATTACAATTCTCATTGGCTGCTAGTCCTGTGAATCACTGCAACCCTGTCGTTTGTGTCAGAGCATTTAATTTGAAGAATTAGTACTCACAGTCATTGGCACCAATGGCTTAAGCTACCAGAATAAGGTTAAGAAAAGGGAGAGAAAAGATGAAGGTGACCAAAAGTGTGCTGTGTACACAGATTCCATGCAGATTCCAGTACCTGATCTGAAATGCTGACTCTTCTAACTATCTCCCCTCTCCGTGTAATGTGAACAGATTCCATTAGAGTGATAAAAGTATCCTCGTGACAATGTAGAGAACAGGTTCAGGGGTCTTCAGGCATACTGGCCATGTTTACATGTAATGCTAAGCTAAACCATGGGTTGTCGCAAGCATGCTGGTTCAGGTTGAAGGCCTTCTTTGGTTCAGTATCTTGTCCTCACAGTGACCAGCCAGAAATCTGAATGTGACAGCACTCTCCCAACTTTCGATGTCCAGCAACCCGGCAAATTGCATCCAATTTGCTCCTCCTCTGCCTTTTTAGTTTAGCACAGCACAGCAGCTAAGGCAAGGTTCCCTATCCAAAATCCTTTCGCAAGTTAATTTTAAAAATTCAGTAGTTTCTGGTCTAGAATTGGGTTCTAATATTGGTGCCCTGACTTTATCTAATCCAAGGATCTCCTAATAGAACAAATCCTGAAAGTAAGCATATTTGGTTACAGTAGCAATGGCCTCTCATTATTATGCTTTTCTGCTGGCCTTGGTTTTGCTAGGTTATGTTTTCATGAGCATTTTGAGATACTTCTTGTCACCTGCCCTGAGATCTGACCCAGTGACCTGAAAATCAAGAAAATGTCATGTTAGTGGCTACTAATTAGTGGAACTAGAGAGCATCTTCAGCTGGCCTTTCAACCTTCCACAGGAGGAAGCAAAAGCTGTCATACACATCATGCAAAGAAAATGAGCCCAAACCATTTTTTTTAATGGTGTAAACACTAGAGCAAGCCCAGCTGAGACTAGAGATGAATATGTAGGTTAGGTGGAAATTAACCTGCAGTGTAGTCTTTGCATTTATATTTTATGTGTTCCACAAGACATGCTACCACTATCACTGAATTGTATGTGTGTAAGGTTGTTGATGTACTATATAGCACATCGCTGAAAGACCCAGATATTCTTGAGTTGTTTTGCTATATATATATATATATATATATATATACACACACACACACATATATACACACACACACACACACACATATATATATATATATATATATATATATATATATATATATATATGCTTCTACTAGGTTGATTGTATAGTGGAAGTTTTTTAAGCCTCACAAATCTTCATTGTCCTTGGATGTATTTGTGGAGCCCACTGGTTAGCAGGGGATTTAACCAGCACACTCATTAATCAGTGGCTACACCTCAGTATCTCCTGAGTGTCTTGTGTTTGGGGGGAAGGAACAAATCAGCTTCAGTAATTCTTTCCTTTAAACACATCACAAAGCAAACAGGGTTTTGAACAGGTAAAGTAATCTCTTGAATTGGTTTTTACAGGTCTTTAAGATAGAGGTACTAATGAATGGAAGAAAGCACTTTGTTGAAAAGCGGTATAGTGAATTTCATGCTCTTCATAAAAAGGTAAATATTGTACGTAAGTTGTTAAAGTGATTCTGCTTGAACCTTCCTTCCACTTGTTCCAAAGTGATTTCTCTGGTTTCTGAATCTTTTGTGTTTCATTTCTTTCGTCTTTCTAGCCCTGTGAGGAAAGGATACAATATTTAGGGCTCTTTAGGGGGAAAGGCAAGTAAAGATAGAGGGGCATAAAATTGCACATGGTGTGGTGGAGAAAGTTAGAGGTATTTTTATTCATTTTGCATAATACTAGAATCCCAGGGTTATCCAGAGAAGCTGGATTTTGGAAGATTTGAGACAAGCAAAAGATAGAATTCACTCTCACAACATGTAGTAATGGCCACCAGCTTGAATGGCTTAAAAACAGGATTAGAAGAATGGCGGATAATGGCTACAGGTCATGATGGCTTTGTCCTATGTCCTCTGTTTGAAGCAGATGGGAGGATGGGCTGTTTTAAAGCCCTTTGTACAAATTCACAGAGCAGGGCTGGGATGTTTACAAAAGGTTTACGTACCCCTCTTTCCTCCCAGTTTCTCTTTTAAACCTCAGCAGTTTGAAGGAGAAGTGGGAAAGGGGATGTGCTCTGATCTGCCCATCAGAGAATGATGGAGAATGGGAGTATGCCTTTGAAGGCCCTACCTTCAAGAGGACTGAAGATGCACTGTGCTCCATCCATCAGCTGATGGAGGATAGACAGAGAGTAGCATGCTTTGCTGGATCCATCGAACAACTGGGGAGCTTTAAGCTCCCAGCTGCTCCATTGAAATCCTCCTTTCACCCATGTGGCTTGCTGAAAATGGCCTGCCAGGCCAAATGAGGAGACCTAGAGGGCTACATTTAGTCTGGAGGCTCCTCACCCCTGCAGTAATGTTTCTGTGATGCAACCATACTTTTTTTTTAAAAAGTGTGCTCAATTCACATAGCATTTTACCAGGAAGTGGGGATGTGTTGTAAGAGGAAGAAGGTGTGTGCCTTAATTCTTCCAAACTAGAAATACTACACATACAAAAAAATCACTTATGAGAGGTCAGTGGAATTTCAGTGGAATTTTTGGGTTTTCCCTTTCTGCCTTACTGGTTTTCTTATTAAAGACCTCTTCTAGAACAATTGTGTGGGTGTATGAGCCATTGTATTGTATAGTCTTCCTTGAGCAATGGTTTTGGATGTTCAAACTTTTTATCAGCAGAGACTTTTGTTGACACATCTTTCAGTAGGGTGACATCTCCTCAGGCTCAAAGATGAAATGTAAATTTCTCAACTCCTGTGGGTGTTCACGTCAAAGTCAATTTTGAGTTTCTGTCTTTGCAGTTCCGCACACACATCCATCACATTCATTTAGAGGTGAGAGAATACCTATGTCGCCTTGTATCAAATATAGGAAATCCACTCTAAGTGCTTTTCACTTTCTCTTTTTCTCTTTTGAATTGTAGAGGGGCTTCTGCTTGGAACCTTGTTAATCATTCATTCAGCTTTACAAATATTTCTCTGGCTCATCTTTATAGCAGTCCTGAGTTGTAGTTGTTACTACACACGAGAGAGACCTAAGGATAAGAGAGGGTGACTTGATAAAGGCCGCACAGATGTCTCCCAGTAGTTAGTTGTTTAAGACATATGTATCCTGGCCTTCCATCATAAAATAATCCAAAGGATGGCTAGCAACATAAAGAAAATCCATATGCATATCATAAAAGCAACACAATGGAAGATAAGCACAACAAATTAAACAAGGTGGCTAACTAGCAGACGAGATATGGAGCTCTCCCATCCTTGACAATCCATTTTGGTAAATCTCCTGATGTCACAGAACCTCAGGTGATTCAATTTCAGATGAAGAACTGGGAGCACGCTGAAGAGTGCAGTCCTGATTCTTCCTTTCTTCCTATACAGGTGTGGCTTGTGCCATTCCTACAAAGGAAGACTTCCAATCCATTGCGTGGAATCCAGTGTAGTGCTAATACCATTGTTCCATCAGCACGAGGATTTCTGTTGGTTCAACAGAACATTCTCCCCCACCTTTGTGGGCTCCCAAAATATGGCCTAGGAGTTTTTCCAACCATCTGGAGCAGGTTTGGGGAGGGCATGGGGAGCAGGGAGGAAAAGTATTGATGTGCAAGCAAAAATCCTTGCACTGATGGAATGTGTTAATAGAAGACGGTTAATGCACATTGAAATAATAGTGCAAGCCCATGTTTTGTGCGTCCTTGTCAAGCAACTTTACCTACCCAATCACTTCTTAAAATCCTCCAAATTTAAAAGGTGGTTTGGAGACTGGAAGGAAGACAGAATAAAAAACCAGCTATATATGCAATCCTATAAATTTAGTTACCACAAGGGAAGTACAGTTACACTTATTCCATTGGAACCATTTTCCAGGGCCTGGAATAGGTCACTAATAGAGCACAATATACATCCGAGTTAAGATTTACTGAACTTCATTTTTCTGTTGTGTTTTTCATTGTGATTTCAGTTGAATTCCCTTGGTTCCTTGCTTTCTGTTTCTTCAAATATCTGTGAAATATGGGTGGTTCAGTATTGCACAGCTTATTTGTTGTTTTCTAAATGCCTAATCCTGGAAAAGGGACTAAAGTCAAATTGCATTTTGAACAAGTGATACTGTTTTTAAGGTTTGTTTATACACGTAATACACAAGAGTGCAGCTAAAATCTGTGTTAAACTAAATTCTTTAGATTTTATTAGGTGTGTAGATTGGCCACTTCACATAGTAATATTTAGCTGACATAACAATGCTTAGTTCTTGCTTAAAAAATTGCACAGCATGTTGCCTGTTAATAGTATTTATTTCAAATTCACTTCACCATCTTGTATACAATAACATTTGTAATGGAATAAAGTCAGTTTATTTGTAGACTGTTAAGGTTTTTGATAACAAAATTCATTTCACTGTCTTTCTGTCTCCTCAACCCTCCTTGCTGTTTCTTTCTGGTTTTGTATTCCCTGTATTCACCTCCCTTTGAATGCTTTCCTTTTCATTTCTAAAGGGACTTTATTTGGGAGAAATTTATTTCTGTTCATATTTGTAGCTTAAGAAATGCATAAGAACACCAGAAATCCCTTCGAAGCATGTAAGGAACTGGGTGCCCAAAGTTCTGGAACAGCGTCGGCAAGGCTTGGAAGCTTATTTACAGGTAAGCTGCTTATAGCAATGCCTATTTCCTTGAACTTTTGGTTGGATGCAGACGTAGTCATGGTTTGACCAGACCCGCTGAAATCCATCAATGCTCATCCATTGTTTCAGAATATTGACACAGTGAAGAATCATGATAATAAGGTATAAAGGTAAAGGACCCCTGGACGGTTAAGTCCAGTCATGGGGTTGCAGCATTCATCTTGTTTTCAGGCCGAGGGAGTCGGTGTTTGTCTGCAGACAGCTTTCCGGGTCATGTGGCCAGCATAACTTAACCACTTCTGGCATGACGGAACACCGTGACAGAAACCAGAGTGCACGGAAACACCATTTACCTTCCCACCACAGTGGTACCTCTTTTATCTACTTGCACGGGCGTGCTTTCGAACTGCTAGGTTGGCGGGAGCTGGGACAGAGCAATAGGAGCTCACCTCGGCGTGGGGATTCGAACTGCCAACCTTCTGATCGGCAAGCCTAAGAGGCTCAATAGTTTAGACCACAGCGCCTATTATTATTATTATTATTATTATTATTATTATTATTCTCTGCCCATCAGGCTGGATTTCCCCAGCCTCAGTGAACAACTTGCTGTTTCAAACTTGTGTATTCAAGCAACCATTTTATCTCTTCTGTATATATTTGTTTAAGACATTTATAAACTACCCTTTTAATTTAGTAGCTAACTGCTTCTGTACTATTTGGGATATAGTTGTAATGCTGTTGTACTATATTTGAGCTTGGTAAAGCTCTGCGATGTAAATTAAGTTGATTCAAAGATGGGCGGTCAAGAACCATCATAGTGTAATGAGTAGAGTGCAAGACTAGGACTGAGGAGACTGGCTCAATCTCTGCTTGGTCGTGAAGCTCACTGGGTAACCTGGTTCCAGGCACAATCTTTCACCCTAAACTAGCTTACTGGTGAGAAGATAAAATATATGTATGGAAGAGCCTTGAGCTCCTTGGAAGAAAAGGTAAAGGTAAAGGGACCCCTGACCATTAGGTCTAGTCGAGGCCGACTCTGGGGTTGCGGCGCTCATCTCGCTTTATTGGCCGAGGGAGCCCGCGTACAGCTTCCGGGTCATGTGGCCAGCATGACAAAGCTGCTTCTGGCGAACCAGAGCAGTACACGGAAACGCTGTTTACCTTCTCGCCGGAGCGGTACCTATTTATCTACTTGCACTTTGACGTGCTTTTGAACTGCTAGGTTGGCAAGAGCAGGAACCGAGCAACGGGAGCTCACCCCGTCGCGGGGATTCGAACCGCCGACCTTCTGATCGGCAACTCCTAGGCTCTGTGGTTTAACCCACAGCGCCACCCACGTCCCTCTCCTTGGAAGAAAAGTGAGGTATAAATACAATAAACAGTAATAATAGGTGTTGTAAGAATATGTGGAATGGAAGAACATACCAGTATATACTATCCTCACCATCTTGCTCAGGAAAACATTTACATATTGGCTCAGCTCTCATGTAATGCTGAGCCAAATCATGGCTAGGCAAGAACACATGAATGTGCGGGTACCTCTAGTAAAAACCACAGTTAACTTCACCACTACCGTGATTGTGGTGTCCAAGCTAAGCTCTGGGTTTGCTTAGCATTATGCCCCAGCCTGGGTTTGTGGTTTGTGTCCCCCAGGTAAATCACGGCAAGCCAAACCTTGGCTACAGCTTGTGGTTTGTTGGTTCCAGACATACCATGAGCACAAGTTCATATGTAATGCTAAGCTAAACCATGGTTTAGCTCCAGGCAGCATGGCAGCAGGACAACCGGGGAGCAGTGAATCAACCACCATTTCCCCTTTGAGTACCGCCACACTCAAACATTCTCAGTTAGCCATGGTTTTAGTGTTAAATGTGAGTCAGTTTACTGGTTTCGACTGAATTAATTTCGGCCAATTGTGTCATCTCTTTTACTAGTTAATAAAAATCTGAAGTTATTTTACTCTTCTTTTACTTTTCTGCATCAGTAGCCTGTTCATTTTTATAACACTGCACCAAGATCAGCAAATTATCACTCTTACAGCGAAGACAAACAATTAAAAAAAACTTCTCTGCAGCTGTTCACCAGGCTGATAGATACTGTGTATATGAAAAATCTTTTTTTAAAAAAATAATATTTATTAAAGTTTCAAAGGGGGGAAAAAATCACATTAGTAAAAAAAAATTAACAATGAAAAGGAAAAATACAAAGTAGGAAGGAAAAAAAAACAGTTAAAAACAATTCCATCTTTTCCTCACTTCTTTTACATTTACTTGTTTCCCGGACCTCCTCATACCTCCCTCTTTTGTATTCCAATTAAATTTGTTAATCCAACAATTCCTTTCCCTCCTTTTTAATCCTAATCTTTAATCTTGATATATTATAATTTTAAATTTTTACATATTAAAAACCAATTTTTCCATATTCTTTTGTACCTGTACAGCTAGAAACCACTTAACTTCAATCCAACATCATTCTAACATTCATTAATTTTGCAATATTTCTGTAAATAGTCTTTAAATTTCTTCCAATCTTCTTCCACCAACTCTTCTCCCTGGTCACGGATTCTGCCAGTCATTTCCGCCAATTCCATGTAGTCCATCATATTCATCTGCCATTCCTCCAGTGTGGGTAGATCTTGTGTCTTCCAATGCTTTGCAATGAGTATTCTTGCTGCTGTTATAGCATACATAAAGAAAGTTCCGTCCTTTTTTAACACCGATTGGCCGACTATGCCCAGGAGAAAGGCCTCTGGTTTCTTCAAGAAGGTATATTTAAATACCTTTTTTTAGTTCATTATATATCATCTCCCAGAAAGCCTTAATCTTTGGGCACGTCCACCAAAGGTGAAAAAATGTACCTTCAGTTTCTTTATATTTCCAACATTTATTATCAGGCACATGATAGATTTTTGCAAGCTTGACTGGGGTCATGTACCACCTGTATATCATTTTCATAATATTCTCTCTTAAGGCATTGCATGCCGTAAACTTCATACCTGTGGTCCATAACTGTTCCCAGTCAGCCATCATTATGTTATGTCCAACATCTTGTGCCCATTTAATCATAGCAGATTTCACCGTTTCATCCTGAGTATTCCATTTCAACAGCAAGTTATACATTCTTGACAAATTCTTAGTTTTGGGTTCTAACAGTTCTGTTTCCAATTTTGATTTTTGTATATGAAAAATCTTAAAGCAGAAGAATAACATTTAACTCCAGTGTTCCTCCCTGGATTATTGTTTTGGATTTAGGGATGGGGTTGTTGATCATTATTGCTATTTAAATTGTATCATATTTTTATATGTTGTAACACTGCTCCCCTCAGCCCCCGTAGATCTACTACTGAAGTGCAGGTAAGAACTATAATAATCTCTCCTTCAATAACACATTTGACACAAAAAATAAACCGTTTGTTACGTTAAGTCAGAGATAGAACCTCCTTCCAGGGTTCTGCTTTACTCTGAACAAACAAAATACATGTCAAATATTCATCAAATTACGTATCTCTTAGAACAGGCATGTCCTAAGTCCGTTTTGGGGGGCTAATCTGGCCCGCTGGTCGATTTAATCCAGCCCCCCATGGCAGTATATGTGCTGGGTAAAATCCTAAAAAAAAGCTCAGCAACTTTGGTCCCCCCTCACCCATGTTCACTTCATCAAATCTGGCCCTCTTTGAAAAAAAGTTTGGGCACCCCTGTCTTAGAATAAAGTATGCAAATGCATTTATGGCACTAAAAACTGGTCTCATTTTGTTGGTATCCAACAGTATACCCATATAATGAAAGAAAATGAGTCTAATACCAATTATTTGACTAACTTTTGTGGTAATGAAGTGAGACTATATAGTAACTTATTTGTTATTTCATTATGAATCTTTAACAATTAGTATAGCTCACATTCACATCTGTATTGTAGCCCTAGTGTAAAGCATGTTGTGATATTCTGAGCAGTAAAAAAAACCCATTGACCTAAAGCAATACTATGCTGATACAAAAATTTATATATTCAGCCCTAAGTATACAGTGTCTTGAACATGAAATATTTAGCTCTGTAGCAGCTATAGGATAGCAATGCAATATAAATTACAAAGCAGTTGTGTCATATATAAATGACTTGTATATTGGAACTTTTTTAATGTATGAAATTCTTCTATCATGTTGCCAGCCTTCAAGGAATTTGGGTTCCTGGAGATGCAACACTTCTATAGTGAAGTGAACATGTTGTTGTTTTGTTTCTCTGAATGCTTGTTGTGTAGTCTGTTGATATTCTGAGTACTGGCATAATAGATCATATCTCAGTTCTTTCAGCAGAAGAATCTCATTGCTAATGGTTTCTGTCTTGGTTAAGATAAGGTGTAGCTATCAGAGGCTGTGATAAAACAGTACTAGCTTAGAATAAAAAGTGTCTGCTGTAGGAGTAAACAGTTTGCCTCTGCTAAGCTTCTAGATACTAATTGGCATAATGAGCACACACTTAGGATTTCTGTGGTCTATGCAGAAGGAATGTTATTGGTGAAAATTAACATTGTCTTTGGATTTGAAGAAAATATGACTGCTTCCAATATCTTCTCAGTCATCTTCCTCATACAGAATAAAAAAAATAAAGTGTGCATGTTAGTATGTATTGCAACAATAACTTTGTATGACTTGATTGACCTACTTAACTTAGGCAAGAAAGAATTAAATGTCAAAAATATAGCTGCACCCAGGGAAATAATTCATTGGTGCAGTTAATGCTGTGGAAGCTGAGTTTAAAGCTCTTTAATCTAAGCAGATTTTTAAGTTTTAAGCAGTAAACAAAGAGATGCAGATTATAAATTTCTCCTACTTCTATGTTTTGAAGTATTATTTATACTTACTTATATTAATGGTCTGCTTGCTACTTGTATGGGTTCACAGTCTCTCAAAGAAGCACCTGAAAACTTGTCACAGTTAAGATTAAACATGTTTTAATCACGTTTCACCTACACTGGTGACCAACAATCTTCATTTTCAAGTCTAACAATATTAGAAGAAAAAATAATTGGTGTTAATACCGTTCATTGTAGAGTTACATAGGCAAATCCCTGTTCTCAAGTAGCTTCTAACAATCTAAAATAAACAGTGGGAATTCAAGTTCAATAAATTTTATTGTTGGTAGCTGGTGGCCATCACAATACAGTATGAGCATAAATCACACAGCTACTAAACAAAAGACATTAAATTGTTGGAGTTTGTTATAGGGAGAGGAGAATACGAGTAAATGTCCTTATATGTACTTAAAGTTTGATTACCATAATTATTAAGAAATGTCAAATATCTGTTATTTTACATATAAAAATAACCTAGATATAGAGATTGCCAATGAAATGTATTGGAAGCATTGAAAAAGCTGCTAGTGAAAGAACTTACCTTAGCTTGCCATCCACATTCCCATTCAATCCAAGAATAACAGTTAGCAAATAGGCATCCCTGAGCCAAACGCCCAAGGCTGAGCCAAACGCCCAAGGCCCAAGGCTGTGTCTCATCGTTCCTTCCAGTATCCTTGAGAAGATTTGCAGCAGCTTTTTGCATTAGCCAAAGCGTCCAAGTTAGTATCAAGGGCAGCCCCACAGAATGTGTTTATAGTAAAAAAGGTAAAGGTACCCCTGCTCGTACGGGCCAGTCTTGCCAGACTCTAGGATTGTGCGCTCATCTCACTCTATAGGCCAAGAGCCAGCGCTGTCCGCAGACACTTCCGGGTCACGTGGCCAGCGTGACAAGCTGCATCTGGCGAGCCAGCGCAGCACACGGAACGCCGTTTACCTTCCCGCTGGTAAGCGGTCCCTATTTATCTACTTGCACCCGGGGGTGCTTTCGAACTGCGAGGTTGGCAGGCGCTGGGACCGAACGACGGGAGCGCACCCCGCTGCGGGGATTCGAACTGCCGACCATGCGATCGGCAAGTCCTAGGCGCTGAGGTTTTACCCACAGCGCCACCTGCGTCCCTCCGCGTTTATAGTAGACAAGCGTAAAGGTTGCAAAATAGTATATCAGTGTATATGTAGATCTCCACTCTCAGAAAAATGGCACAGAAAAATGCAACAAAAATAATTGATAAAAAAAGAACTCCTAGTTACTACAGCCACTTGTTTATCAAAAAGTAAGGACAGGTGACACAGTCCTTCCAGTTTCCATATCTGTACAGATGGGGGAAAATGTTACCCCATCAGTCACTGTCAAAGCTTAGGAGATCCAACATGTATTTCCTCTTATTTGTCTAGCTATTGTTCATCCACTTTAGTAGAAGGAACTGTTTTTAAGTTCTAACAAGTGTAAGAGAAGTAGTTGTAATCAACTGTTGGGGCAGCCCTTTCCTTCAGTTGATTTTTGTGTTTTTTAACATGTATAATCAGGTCAGCGGTTTGAATCCCCTCAACGGGGTGTCCGCCCGTTGCTCGGTCCCAGCGCCTGCCAACCTAACAGTTTGAAAGCATACCAGTGTGAGTAGAAAAATAGGTACCGCTCCAGCGGGAAGGTAAATGGTGTTTCCATGCACTGCTCTGGCTTCGGTGTTCCGTTGCACCAAAAGTGGCTTAGTCATGCTGGCCACATGACTCAGAAAAACTGTCTGTGGAGCGGACAAACAGCAGCTCCCTCGGCCTGTAAAGTGAGATGAGTGCCGCAACCCCAGAGTTGTTCGCAACTGGACTTAACTGTCAGGCGTCCTTTACCTTTACCTTTTTAAACAAATAGCAATAGCACTTGCTATACATGGTATGTCACCACACCCAGGATCTAGGAATATCTGTTCAAAATCATAATTTTGTATTTATTAATTCATTTTTTCTTAAGACTTGCTACTTCTTTCTGTTTGCATTTCTGATTTTGTTTCTGGTAGAATTGCCTTGTTTTTACAGTCCATATGTGGTAGTAAAAAGCATTTAAATTCATGGTTTCATCACCTTAGTAGGTATATGTGCATGAACTGTGAAGCTCGGTTTCTTGAGGGGTACAAATGAACGGACATTCATCCTGGGAAGAATGAATGCAAATTTTATTTAACTTCATTTTTATCTATTTTAAAAGCAAACCACTGAAAACATCTATTAATCAAACAGAAAACCTACAAGAAATTATTCAGTATCCTTCGTCCTTTGAAACCCCGATTAGTTTTGAATAATCACTGTTGTGCTGTGTTTATAAGGATCTCTAGAAAGGGCAGTATGATAAGTGTAAAGAGACAAAATGTTCTTTATCCTCATTAAAGATTGTGAACAGTGTGTTAAATAATATTAATGGCTAGGATTGTCAGTGTTTAACAGTACTTTCCTAGTACAAGTGATTTTATTGATCAATGCAGACTCAATGTAACGGGGCAGATTATGCTACTGATTTTATCGAAACCTTAACTAAGTTTGTTAGTGCACCACATATCTTTAAATAGATCTAGATGATGATGTAGATTAAGAAAAGCAGAACACCATCCATCTTTTTTTGATCTGTTAATAACTTAAATCCATCATTGTTGCTACCAGCTGTTTTTAGATTCTGTAGAGAGAGCGCACATTTCTTTGGTATTTGATATAGAATGCATCAATAAAAGTTTTTACCAGTGTTTATTCCCCCGTCCCAGTGCATTTGGTATATTTAACTGTATCTCTTCTAAAGATGGGAGAATCTCTTGTACTAATTATAGAAAACACCAATAATTATTATTTGTCTCACAGCACAGACATTTTAAGAGTCTGGTGCAAGCCTTTGCTTGCAGTTTTTTTTTTTTAAATACTCCATAGTTTACTGTTTATCGGATTGCAGATATTTCCATGCATTGTCCAATTTGTAGCCCATATTGCTATATACTTTTTAGAAACTATTGTAACATTTTAATGCAATATTTCTAAAGCCTTCTGATATATCCAGGTTCAAAGCTAGGTGCAGACTTGTCCTTCTGGAAGGGCCCATTCTCTAGTGGAAAGGACCAAAACCTAATAGAAGCTCCCTGCTAGAAGAAGCGGAAAAGCGGATTTCCCACCAATTCTCCTTCTGCAGCCCTTATGTTACCTCCCATTCTCTTTCAGAGGACCCCGCCCCTCTCCAAAACATCTGGAGTAGCTTTCTGGGGAATGTGTGTTTCCTGAGCTTGTGGGAACAAAATAGAATAGATACCTGCACTAAGGAGGCAGTTAAATGCCCCTTGGGATCTGCAGTACTGCATGGCTATTTAGAAAAAAAGTTAATAAATAAGACTTAGAAAAAACAGGAGACATTCTCTTTGTTGTTGTTGTTTTGAGAGTTGGGTTACAGCTACATTTGGATTTTCCAGTTGATTTCTATGGACAGCTCTCACGTCAGTCCCTGGAGACATTTAAAAATAGATCCTATGTATGAAACAGGAAATGTCCTATCTGACAATGAGAGGGCTTCTCTGTACTTTTTATGTGTGTCTCTTCTTGTATCGCTTTTTACTCAATGTCTCTCTTTCTGCGGCATCCACTGGGTGAAGGAAGGGAAAGGAAGGATTGAAAAAGGACAATGTAGGAAGAGATGCACAGAGATAACAGCTCAGCTTCCACATGCCTGCTTGTCTTCTCTCTCAGCTGGCTTCTCCTTTCTGCCTGCCAGCTGTCTCCCCTTCAGTTTCCCATACATCACCAAGCCTAGCGAAGTCCGGGTAAAGAAGTTCATGGTAGTGAGAAGTGAGGAAATGAAGAAAGAATTCCAAACAGTGGGGAAGTGAGGGAGAAAAGTATTGGTTTTGCCAGTTGGCTTCTTAACTTCTTGCAATCAGCCTCTCCAGCCAAGTAGTCATCCCCTGCGTAGGATACTCTGTTTTAGATCCCATCCCCCAGTTTGCTTTTTTGACTGCTCCCCAAAGGTCTGTGACTACTGAGCATGCTCAGCCCTCATTGGGTTGTTTTAGGTTCACTTCCTACCACCCCTTAGGATTTACCTGAACATGCACTTACGTTCTAGTATGCTCAAACTGAGTTCAGCATTTGAAGGTGTGATATTACCAAAGTGTCAAGGTTATCTTTGTCCAGGAAGGGGGCCCTAGCTATAGCCCTTGCTGAAACTGGTGCTACGCCAAAGCACTGGATATAAACAACATCTCCAAGCTATGAACTTGCTCTTTAAGAGGGAGATGGTTTCGAGTGAGATTGTTCAGTTTGTCACTTCCATTGCTACATCTGGTTCTTACATAAAGGGAACAGTTCTGGTACCATTGTGATAGCATCACTCCTTCAAATCCATGACATGCCAGCAGTTTCATGTAGATGTTAAGTAGCACTGGAAACAAAACAGAAGCTCTGCAATACTGTAGAACAAGTTTCACAGTGTGAAACAACACTTTCCCATCACCATCTCCAACCTACCAGCCCAGTGGAAATGAAACCACTGCAGAATGATGCCCCCATCCCCAAATTCACCTTCACCGATGAAATCAAAAGCTGCTCAGATTGTTAGGATCGTCCTACTCATGTGTAGGACCCCGGTAGAGACACATGCCCAACTGGGATGTTCTTTCCCTCCTGGTCAGTCGTTCGGAAACTTCAAAAGCTTTCTCCAGCCCGAACATCACAGCGACTGATGCCAAGAGGCATTAGCACACTTACGAACAGCAGAGTATTAGCCGTTCGCGTAACAGACTCAGTAGCTCAGCATTTTGGCTAATCTACTTTATTTACATATAATACACTCGGCGCATTCTGACTTAGCTCCTTCCTCTTTCTCATCAGACAGCAAAGAGAAAGAAACAAAGGACAATTAATCCAACATCACGGTACACAGTAACACAAAACATCCTGTCTCCATCACTTCCAACACTGTGGAATGAAAACATACACCGTCATGTGATAGAAAACAATCCCAGGACTGCAAACACAGAGCAAGAATCCTAACATAGATATCCAGGAAAAGCATCAGTTAAATTCCTTCGGTGTTTTTCCTAGCAGAAGTTATCTACTCAGGCTTCCCAAGCGGTTTCTGTACCAAACCAGTTTGGAAACAGATCCAGATAATCAATTTTATTTGGTTAGCACTTAGGGCTGGAGAATCATGAGCTTTACACTTTAGTAGTGTAAAACAGCTACTTGATGGGAAATAAGCCCTAAGATTTCAAAAGCAGAAGCAGTGTCATTCTAATTTAAAATAAAATGATTCCCTTGATAGGTCTTATGTGACATGGGTTTTCTCATCCTTGACTGATCAGTATCTGCTGAAAGTTTCTGTGAATCTCATTTGCTCTATAAGAATGATCTAGATAGACCATAGATTTGTTAATTCACTATATGAATCCGCAGTCCCAAGCTGTGACTAACCCACAAACCCTTTCACACTTGTTAAAACTATGTTCCGGGTGTTGATGCACCCAGGTCCTATTCTTGACAGGAGTACAGCAACAGGAAAAAGAGCACTACCATTTTTTTTCTCTTTTACATGCCCAATCCCCAATGCCTCTTTTGCCTTGCACCTGGTTCTTGATCCTACAGGTGAAACTCTTAAAGTTTGCATAAACTAAAACAAGCATGAAGTAGACCCGGTGCTTTAATTTCATTAAACACCTTGTAACTGTTGAAGATTAATGTATATATCTCTTGCTAATTCTTTCCAATTACTTAGTTCATATAAATTCCCAGGCCTTGTTAATTATGCTGAAGTCAAGAGGTAATTTTTAACAGTATTTCCACAACAGGGGAATTTTCCCAGCATAACCTTGCCCTCTAGTAGAAACTCTCAACAGATTAGGCTCTCTGACTAGAGTCCATTCATTTTCAGCTCAAGCCTAATTGCTGCCGACTGGCTGCCCACAGGTACCTGGCTATTGTACACATAAAGAATGCAGGTCCTTCCGAGAACAAATAAGGAAAGATTAATTGTTCCTTTTGTTTCATCCCAAGAGAAATGTGGGCCCTTAATCAAGAAAAATAATTTCTCCTGTTGATTTGGCTTATTTGGAGGGACACATAATTGTGGAAAAGAACGGGGTAGACATGCATTTTGCAAGGAATGTAGCCCTTGCGTTGCACAGGAGGCAAAGATAAAATGAAATAAATGTAAGACAATGCTGGAATTGATGGGGATGGCTCACATTTCTCATAGTAAGTAATTTGGCTGTTGGGCTTTTATTTGAACCAATATTGCTAGGTAGTATTGTCATTTGTTTTGTCTGCTGCTTTGGAAATCTAATCAAGGAGACAATAGTAGTGGGGGCGGGGAACACTTCTCCAAATTGTCCTTAATTGCTAGAACACAAAGTGAGCTAAACACTCTGGTGTTTCCAATTAAAGAATCTGTTTCAAGCAAGCACCATTAAATCTATCTTTCCCTGTCTGATAAATAAGCTATCAAAGACTGGAACAGATTAATTGAGAGCAATTAATTCAAGGCTTAGTAGAAAAGTCAGACAAAGCCAATGCTGTCAATGGCTACAAATTTGACATAAAATAAATTATTTCTTGGATTAGAAGCATTTTAGCCCTTGCCATCTCATTACCCTAGTCAGCAAAACACTCGAGAGACCTGGGTTCAATTTTCTGCTTCTCCAGTGTGTGCTTTGCATGAGCTTTGGGCAAACCTCTTTGTTGACCATCCTCAGTAATGGTCTTCAGTGGCAGTATTACAGCAGAGGTAGTTTGAGGATTTCAACGTTTATCTGCTTGATATGATAATATAGGACGGCCTTCCCCCACCTGGTGCTCTCCAGGTGTTTGGAACTACAGTTCTTATCATCCCTGACCATTGGCCATTGGCTGGCTGCGCTTGATGGGAATTGTAGTTCAAAACCTCTGAAGGGCATCAGGTTAGGGGAGGTTGTCCTCCTTACCAGACACATCAGAGGAGTTATTTAGATATGCTGACAGAAAATGGAAAATAATGTCTCGGACAAGAAATCACTAAAGGTTTTCTCACCCCCCCTTTCTTTTTCAATATGCATAGGGAGCCACGCTGATTTTAGTATATTATATGTCAGAGGTGGGGAACTCATTGCACTCCAGATGTCTTTGTACTACAAACAGAGATACCAACTTGTATAAAAAAAAAATTGGGAGGAGGTAAGTTCCACCCTAAGGGACGCGGGTGGCGCTGTGGGTTAAACCACAGAGCCTAGGACTTGCCAATCAGAAGGTCGGCGGTTCGAATCCCCGTGACAGGGTGAGCTCCCGTTGCTCGGTCCCTGCTCCTGCCAACCTAGCAGTTCAAAAGCACGTCAAAGTGCAAGTAGATAAATAGGTACCGCTCTGGCGGGAAGGTAAACAGTGTTTCCGTGCACTGCTCTGGTTCGCCAGAAGTGGCTTAGTCATGCTGGCCACATGACCCAGAAGCTGTACGCCGGCTCCCTCAACCAGTAAAGCGAGATGAGCGCCACAACCCCAGAGTCGATCACGACTGGACCTAATGGTCAGGGGTCCCCCTTTACCTAAGCTCCACCCTACATAATCGATCACAAGATGCAGCGTGCGCACACCATTTAAATGGCAATGCTCATCAACTTTGGGTGCGGCCACCTCAAATATTTTATTGGGGGACCAAAGGGACCCCTCAGCCGCTAGGATTTGACTCCTATGACTACAAATCCTATCATTCTTATTCTGGCAAGGGCTGATGGGGAGTTGTTGTCCAACAATATCTGGAGGAAGACTCTGAAGAAGTGTGCATGCACACAAAAGCTCATACCAATAACAAACTTAGTTGGTCTAAGGTGCTACTGGAAGGAATTTTTTTATTTTTTTTATTTTGTTTCAACATCTGGAAGGCTACAGGTTCTCCACTTCTGTTATATGTGGGCATTCAATGTAGCTCTAATATTTATTTTGGGTACCATATATATTATGGTGTGTTTTTATATGTGTGTTTAATTGGATGAAATTATAGACCATAGGTCCATGAATAAGTATTGGCCATAATAGCTAAATAAAGCATCCATGCTCATGATATTTACATAGCGTAAGCCGAGGCAAGTAACTGAGGGAGGTTGTCTCTTTTACATTCTGCTTGCGAGTGCCCAACCTGCAACATCTGACTGACTATTGCTGAAATCATATTGCTAGACTAAAAGAGCCCTTTGTGCAACTGATGAAGGTGAACTAACTTGGATATAGCAAGGCAGAAAAAAATACTAGATTGTTTCATCTCCTGTCCTGACTTTGAGATCAAATTCCATGCACATGATGCAACAGATAAGTGCCAACCAAAAGCATCTAACTAATCTGAGAATGAAGTCCAGAGCCATAAATCACGAATCAGTGATCTCACATTACTTTTCTAGTGTGAGTTGAGTAGCAGTGGCTTCACAGCTTTCTAAATAAGTGAAAAGCTTATTAAAATCTCAATATTGACACATTATGCTTCTACAGACGGCTTTTTATCGTGCCTGGGGTTAAACTGTTGGAATCTAGTGGTTACTCCTCATCCTATTTCAGCTCAAAGGCACAATGTGAAAACACCAACTGACTTTCCAACAAAGCTCTGTTCTGAAGCAATGAACTTGGACTCAGCCTGTGGGAAGCTGGACCACGTCTGAGGTAATCAACGCCAGTTAGAATGATGGAGTGTTACACATAGCCATGTACTATGGACAAACTGTCCAATGATATAGCATGGCATTTGTAGCAAATAAATTAACAGAATACTTAACTTATATATTCCCAAAGTAACAAGTGAACTCTGAGCTGCAATTTGGAAAAAAAAGTGTTTACAATATTTTCTGGTAACAAATGGCAACATAGTACAGTGAAGTACTACAAAGAAAAAGTATATTATTGCCTATTTTACATGCACATTTCTTTGTGTTTTTAGAAGCATACATCACACAAATTAGCTAGTGAAGCATTCTGTTCAAGAAGTTCAACTCATAGACATAAAAATGCTTAAAATTAGACAACTCCAAAAACTAGTATCTGGGTTTTTTAAAAAACAGATACCCCCTCCCGTTTGCCTTTATAAAACAGTAAGGCTAAGCTTACTTAAGTCTTTGCTTTGAACTGTATCTATTTATCTGCTTTTCAACAAAATTTGTTGTGTTTCTGCTTACAACAGTAATAGTTGTAATAGTTATTATAGTGGCAATAGTTATTATCAACTGATTTTCAAGTATTCCCTTCTTGGGATATGGATAGGTCCTGTTCAATTTATGCCATGATACAGTAGCTCAGCTCAAATCATTGCAAGCCATGGTGAAGGAAGCTTAAATATGATTTATCATTCTGTCTGAATTAACAAACCATGGTTTTCAATTAGCTAGTTAATCAGAAACCATGGTTTGAACTGGCAATCCATGGTTTATGCTAACTATGGTTTGGCATAAGATGAGATGGGGCCATCCTCTGTGCCTCCAGATTCTGCTACACCAGAAGATAATGGAAAAAGGAATCAAACAAGCAGTTCTAAACCATTGTTTGCTGTTCCATGTTTGAAAACTCAAAACTCTGGTTTGGCAGAGGGATAGAGAAAGTGATGCCCTTCAGGTGCTGTTGGACTGAGCTCATTATCCCTGAATACTGCTCATGCTAGCAACCAGATGAATGCTACATTGAAGAACAATAAATCATAATTACTGAACAAAACTAGTATTGGCCTTCTAATTTCAACTCCAGTGAAATAGGAAGAGAAAGCGTCCCGATCATATGTATGCTTAGCATATACCAACCTTGGAGCAAAAGCAAAAGACTGTACAATCTGTCTAGTTTTCAAATTTTAAACTGCTTTTTACCTGTAGGCAGAAAATATTCAGTATGCGAAGCTAGTTTTAATGTGAGAGGTTGACTCAATTAATCGTTAATTCCTCAATCAATTTTATGAAGCATATAAATACACAGTTTCCTTTCATTTATTTTGTTGAGCGCCCCCAGCAGCTATATAATGAAGACTGGAATGATGTCAGAATAAAGCTGCAAGTCTCTGTAATACGCAGTTGTCAGGCTTCTACCATTTGTCATCAGTGCAGAAAGGGTTAGTAAGTGTTGAATGTCTGCCTTGTGTTGGCCTTTTAAATTGCCAATTTCATTTTCCCTGCCTTTATTAAGAAATCCCACACACGTGAATTAGGGAGGGACAAGTGTCAGGGAACAGGCACTACAATGAAGTACCTTTGATTGAGCAAGGATTACATTCCTCAGTTCCTTCTATAAAAACGTGTCATGTTTGCCACCCAAATAAATGCCTAGAGCGCATAAAACATGGAGCCAAGTGACCCCTAGGAGAAAAATCAATTGCAATTCATATTTCATATGCCTATAATTGCTAGTGAAGGCAGAGCAGCAATTCTTTATGGCGAAGGCTTCTCCATTGTTAGATGTTTCCTGTTTGATGACCGGGGTGGGGGTGGCGGTGGGGGAGTTTTCTGTGTCTGGTGTTTGAAGTGTTCATTCCTTTCACATGGACTGAATTACTCCAATCTGTAACAACAGAAGTCAAGCTTTCTTATTATTGCTCACTGTTCGGTGTTTGAGCTGGAACACTGAACTGTAGACAAAAATACTTCATGAACAGCTATTCTGTTGGAGATTCCTGGAGCTTTCACAAGCAAGCCAACAAAAAAAAGAGAGACGCAGGTTCTATAATCGGTGAAGTTATCAATTTGCTAGCATTTAAACCCTCAAACTGAGTCTTGTTTCTGAGTTTCTTTTCCTCGAGCAGGCAAAGAATCCTGTTTCTTTAAAAGCAGAATTTTGAAAGTGTCCTCCTTATTTCTTTTTTCCTCCCTCCTTCCTTATTTCAGTCTGATTTTCTTTTTACAAGGCTGCTGTAGGATTCTTATCCCACTGTGGACTGAGATGTCATATGGATAGAGAAAATGCCGCTCACTTTATGGATTACTGTTAGGTCAACAAAACTTTGGCAGCATTGATTAACTTGACAGTGAGTACAGCAGTACATTTATCACTTATGGCTGTGCTGTAGAAAATCTAATAAGAGGCAAACAATTCCCTTTAGAGTAGTAACAGGTTCACTGTGGCTAACGGTGCATGCACTGGAAATTTCTGCCTTTAAATTATACTCTTGCTGCTAGTTGGATCATTGACTCAAAGCTACTACTGCACTTCTCCATGACCATGTTCTATATTATTCATTTGATCAAAATCGTATGGTTAAACGGAAGCTTGCGCTTGAGTCTATTTAAAATGAGGTGGCCTGTAGTTAAAAAGCATTAGATTAAGGTTCATGTTTTATGCGATCAAATGAAAGCGGGCTGCTGCCATTTGTAAGGCATGAGTAGTTCCCAAATGACTACATTCATGTGGAAGTATTGCAACTGATTATTAACCAACATTTCCTATAAATACAGCAAAGATTTCAAGAAGTCTGTTTTCTAGTAAGCAGATTTCATTGGAAGACAAAGTGCACAAGCAGCACATTTATGGGTATAAATATTATATATTATTTTGGATTGAATTGGATTTTCAAGACCAAGTGCGCAAAAGCCTCGTTGAAGGCTTGTTTGAGGAGTTTAAAAAGTAGGGCAGTGTGCGCTGAGCCATAAAGAAAAAACAGTATGGTCAACTCTGTTCACCTTGATTTTATACAAGTTAATTTACCCTCTTAAGTGTGGTTTGTATTACTATCATAGAATTCAATCCCCCCCAAAAAAGAACCTACACAACTCCCATTAACTCCAACAGGTTTTGTCTCTGAACATCCCTTGGACCTTTCATTGTTCTGCCTCATGTTACACATTCTCCTTTGTGAAGTTTGCTGTGACTAGACTTGGACAATCTCTTTACACACGATGAACACAAATGCAAATGCTGATCAGTGCTAGCACTGCAAAAGCCCTAGTCCGACAAGCAATTTATGCTTATTCATGTTAATTAGCCATTTTAGATTGATACATAATTACTGGTAAAAGCACGAGGAGATTTTTATTTATTGTACTACATACTTGAATTGGTAACATTTCCCAGTAGGCATATGTGCTGCAAGTCCAAATAAATATTGGAAATCTAGGAGCATGCATTATAAATTTATCATATATCTTCTAGTAGATGGTTTTTTGTTTCGTAATATAATCATGAATATAGTTTGTTTCGTGATGTAAACTCACTTTACTGTAATTGAATGCCATTGAAATCAATGGGAACTTCTCCCCAAGCAAGCTTATTTAGGTTTCAGGTGCTCATGCTTAACTGAGTTTAGTTTAGCATAAGAACATAATGCTAGCTGGGTTGGGGTATGACAGGGGAAAAGGTTGCTTTGAAAACAAGTTCTAGCAACCCTAGCTTTACTTGAAGAAGCAGTTTTATTCCAAGACCTCTATCAAGCAGTGTAGTTTTCATTGTTGGACAAGAATAATTTTACTTGAATCAATTGCCAGGAGGCCTAACGCAATAAGGCAGCTTGTGGTCTGACTCGAAGAGCACATTGTAAAGGAAAATCCCATCACAGCTTGATTTTTAGTAGAAAAACTGTATCTACCTGAAACTTTATTGTATTTAGGGAACTGTGCGGTTAGAACAGTGGGTCCTCATTATTAACCCCTCTGTTTAGCATAAATAAAAGCTTTGGTTTTCTAAACAAGCTTGTTTTTAGAAACAGCAAGAGGCACTTCCTTAAATTTGTGGGTTTGTATAAAAGCCAAGGGCTCCCTCCACTCGCCTTCTTAAGAGTGGAGACCTGAATATTGATTAGCTATCACACTGGCATCAGAACTACTCTTAGGATTCAATTTTTTTGTTGTTTTGCATATTTTATTGATCAAAAGTGGTAAATGAGCATCAAGCGTGCAAGAAGACGATGAATTGTTTACTTGCATAAAATAACCTTTCAATAAGGGAAGATGCATTGCTCACACTTTTGGTGCTGTTCTGCTGCCCGAAGCAGATGGCATTCAGCTGCTATTGATTTGCTCCTATAGTTACAGAGCAGCACGTAACTAGGCATGCTCATTGCTGGTGGGTTTTGGTGTGGTGTTGATTCCCACCCGCCACCCCCCTTCTTTGCATGTGTGCAAAAGGGAAGAAAACTGCACTCATTTTACAAAAGGAAATAATACATTGTAGCCTAATATACTGATGGGAGCAGGGGGAAATGGAGTAAATATACAAAAGAAGGGGATGTCAAATCCCATGCCTAAGCTTCTTGTTTTACTTAGCTTCATGATAGGGCTGGCTCTGGTGGCGATTCCCCAAAACCATTTCCAGGGCTAGTAATTACACCCTACATGAATGAGGGGGGGAGGTGTTTCTTGAGAATAGTGTTCAGAATTCCAGACTGTCCAATCTGACTTACTTTGTTGGGACTTACCTTCTCCAAACTCAGCCAGAAAGGGCTAGTGCAGTTCAACATACAGTGGTACCTTGGGTTAAGAACTTAATTTGTTCTGGAGGTCCGTTCTTAACCTGAAACTGTTCTTAACCTGAGGTACCACTTTAGCTAATGGGGCCTCCTGCTGCCGCCACGCCACCACACGATTTCTGTTCTCACCCTGAAGCAAAGTTCTTAACCCGAGGTACTGTTTCTGGGTTAGCAGAGTCTGTAACCTGAAGCGTCTATCACCTGAAGCGTCTGTAACCCGAGGTACCAATGTACATGCTAAAACTGCTACTGCCTGACAGAGATCCCCTTCCTGCATCTTAAAATTATTATTATTATTAATAATAATAATAATAGTAATAGTAATTAAGTTATACCTCGCCCATCTGACTAGATTTCCCCAGCCACTCTGGGCGGCTCCCAACTGAATTTTAAAAACACAATATTGTACAGCATTAAACATTAAAAACTTCCCTAAACAGGGCTGCCTTCAGATGTCTTCTAAAAGTAAGATAGTTGTTTATTTCCTTGACATCTGATGGGAAGGCATTCCACAGGGTAGGCGCCACCACCGAGAAGGCCCTCTGTCTGGTTCCCTGCAACCTCACTTCTCACAGTGAGGGAACCACAAGAAGGCCCTCAGCACTGGACCTCAGTGTCCGGGCTGAATGATGGGGGTGGAGACCCTCCTTCAGGTAAACAGGACCAAGGCCGTTTAGAGCCAATCCCAAATCAGAATCAGACTATTTCATATGGTCGGCACCATTAAAAGAATTCTACTGTGCTCAACTGGAATTCTGCACATCAGTTCTGAAACTGTGAACTATCTTATCATTGAAGACAAAGTAAAGGACTATAGTGGTTTTATCAGTAATGAAATGACATTCCATGCATTTAAGACAGAGGGAACAACATTGAGGGTAGGTTGGAATATCCTAAATTTTGATGAATCAGCTTCTCCAACAGCAAATCACATATCTCCTGTAAGTCAACCCTGCGATCGCTAGAGGTTATTGCAGAAACAATGAAAAGATCTCTCCAAATAGCTGTGGAGTGCTGGCAAAACTACATCAATGTGACATTAATTTGACCCTTGCAAAATGTACAATATAAGCAGATGGAAGTTCTATGTTAGACGAACATCAGAATGCTTGGTGTATTTCACTTCTTGACGTAATACAAGACATTGGGAAAGTTTGTTGAGGACTCTGGAGGCAGAAGTGGGGGTGCTTGCAAAGGATGGCTGAAGAGCTTCATAGCACGTAACCACTACAGGAGATGTTAAAGGGTACACATTCTCCTAGCTGAAGCTGTGATAATTTTACACTTCAAAAAATTCTGAGCCAGTTGTGACATCCCTTCTAAAATAGTCGAGGAGCTTCATTTTCTCTGTGACATGCCCTTGACCTTCAGCATTGAAGATTTGACTTATGAAATTAGAAGTTAGTGCATATGTGGAATTTTCAGGGGAAATTGAATCAGGTGAGAGCATGAGAAAATGGCACAATACAGGTATTCCTGCCAAACGCACAATGGCAACCACAAGTTGTTTGCTTTGGTTGTATGTCCAGGTTTCTTCAGTCAGCAGAATTATGCATATCCAACTGCAAGACAACATGCCGAAAAAGGAGGGGACTCATCCTGAAATTTAAAATGACTTCAGACAAGAGGTTCTGTACATAGGTGGACCATGAAAGCTATCTGACAACTATCTGACTTTTAGAAGACATCTGAAGGCAGCCCTGTTTGGGGAAGTTTTTAATGTTTGATGTTTTATTGTATTTTTAATATTTTGTTGGAAGCCTCCCAGAGTGGCTGTGGAAACCCAGCCAGATGGGCAAGGTTTAAATAAGTTGTTGTTGTTTTATAAGATCTGCCTTTTGACACTTAACATAAATAAATATTTATGGGATTTCTAACCCACCCTTGTGCAACTGGTCCCAAGGTGGGAATACAGGAAAAAGTCTATAAAACAATATGTATCAATTGAAATTTCATAAAAGATCCTATGTGGCTTGCTACAGTTCTTGCTCCCTTGGCATAAGTGAAAAGGAGTATCTTCACAAACCAAAGAAAAGTAATTTGAAAGCAGAACACTTGAAAGCAGACTTATAGTCAGGAACCATCTAATATAGACTGCACACTGGTTGATTAAATTTTCCTTCTCCATACTCTAGATGAGTTTCTCTAGCGTGTGTGTATAATTCCTTATGTATTTTGTTACGTGAATCAGTGTCATGGAGCTGACAGGCAGATTAGGTTATTCACAGGTCCGGGAAAGAGAGAGACGCAAGGCTAACTTGCAGTTGGTTTCTTTATTAAGGAAAGAAAAAAATACAAGGAGGCGCATAAAGGCAAACTCATCTAATGAAGCAGTTGTTTGAACTGGCGTGCAGCCCCTCATGCGCTCTCTAGCCTTCTGAGTCAGGGCTCCTCCCTCTGTCATCATCGTCTGCTATGGTGAGCCCCAGAGGCCTCCCTCCGTGCCCGCCTGGCTTGGTGATCAGCATCATGTAACATTTGCCATGTTCTAGAAGTAAATGGGACCAGAGAGCCGTCTGCAGAGAAGCTGTCAGAGTGAATCTGTGGGAGAGCTGTGGGGTCTGGCTCCCCTCTGTCATCTCTGTCAGCGCCTGCATCCAAACTGGTAACCTCATCACCCTGCCCTGTGATCCCTCAAGCTCCCTGCTTCTAGTACCTCTCAGCTTGTCCCCTCCTATGAGGTGTGGCTGGTGTCCCACTACCAGGCTTCAGGATCTAAGTCATCTTCTTCTCTGCCTTCCCAGGGAGGCTCTTGGGTGGGTTACTTCCACCACTCTTTCTCATCCAGCCAGTCCCTAACAATCATTTGATATGGTTTTATTGCACTTGTGTGTGTAAACAGCTTCAGGATCTTTGGATAGTAAAGTGGTCTATAAATGGAAATAATGAATAAGGTCTCGTTGCAGTTTCTTTGCACAACCATTGGATGCAACCCATTGTGTTAGGAGCTGGACTCATGCTAACTTCTGTAAGATGTGAAATATGATTTGTGTATTGGCTGGTCATAGCAGAAATGCAGCACATGACCTTTCTCTTACAAGCTTTCTCCTATCCAAGCCACTGAACAGGTTCAAGAGAAGAAGACACAGAGAAACATGCACATCCTAATTCAACTTTTCAGCTTCACTCCGCATGGTTTTCCATGTGCCGTTCAGTTTGACCATTGGCATTTAAATGTAGTAGTTTGATATCAGTTATATTCATTTTTTGGCTGGGGAGCATTTCATTAACCTATGGGCATTCTGGCTCACTTCCTAAATTGTGACCTATGCAGGTATGAATGTGACTACTGTTGACTCCTAACAGCATCCTTTAATGCTGTTTTTTGAACACATACTTTGCATTACTGTGACAATGTTGTAGAGGGGAAATAAGATACAAATTAGGAAGACAGGTTTTCTATTCCTTTTTTTAAAAAAGACAACCAAAACATTGGAACCTACTTGGGAACCTTCTTAGTTTCCCCCCATCCCCCACCAGTATATAATGTTCTTTTGCCAACTTTTTATCATTGTTAGTGCTCTTTAAGCGACTGTTGGAGACAAGGCAAACAGAGGAATATATACTACAAAGTGTTCTATAAAGACCGTGGGTTTAAGTCCCAGTGGAGGCAGACGCTCCAGTCTACTTACTGTAGCTAGGATTTATTGATTTTTATTTTTTTTCCTTCCCCCATTTTTAGCTGCACCACTGAATTGGATATTGCAAAGCATCTCTCCCTGTGAAGAGAGGAAAAACTGTCATGAACTTTTTCACCCTAACAATAGGGCATTTCAGACTGAAATCTCGCACAAAGGATTTAAACCTACAGGAACACAGCCTACCACATACCATGCTGAGTCTTCTGGCCAGAAGATAGTTGTGGTCTTGAAGAACTAGGTTGGATGATTGGTGGCTTGCGGGGTGGGGAGTGTCCTGAATTTTTAGAGCTGTTTTGTGTATTAAAAGGGGGGGAAATCAATCTTTGAAAACAATGCAGTCCTCCAGTGCGCTCTCGGAAGGTTAGCGAAATGGTCTTGTCCAAGTTTCTAGCAAGCTGTTCAGTTACTGTTATAATTGGCTGATGAGTAGGTCTGGACCTAACTAGAATGCCAGGGTTCGATTTCAAAGTGTCCTCTGTGAAGATGTGTCACCATTTATGCTGGCTTTAGTGACAATTTTTTAAAAAGGAAACTCATGGGAAATCATTATGCTGTTTATATGTCTCCCATCCTGGAAAGCATTATCCTGTGATATTTTAGCACTGTTTTCTACTGCGTGATGGCATCTACCTAAGGTTAAGGCAGAACAAGTCCCTGTGCAATTTTGTGACTATATTTTACTTACCAGAGGAGAAAAGATAACTGACAATTAAGAACTGGGGATGTCACTGAGAGAACATGAGCAACTAGCCAATAACATCCTCTGGGATAATGCTTTTTTTATGAGGCTGAGAAGGTAGAAGAACAGGGGTTTTAGGGGTTTTGTTACATAATATACCAAAAAAAACCCCACTTTTGGTAAACATTTCTAGAAGAGAACTTCTTAAATAGCCTTCAAAATGGTTAGTGAAGGTGGCAATGATTAATACACTCTTGATTAAATTTTCAGCTCAACTACAATTTGATCTCCTAGGATCACTTTATACCTGTACCCCCAGGTAATGTAAGAAATGTTTCTATGTCACGAAACTTTATCTGGATTATTTTACCCCTTTACTCCGGCTACAGAAAGTGGAATTTAGATGTTATTTTGGAGATATAATTTCAGACACTGCATACGGCAGGAAAAGCAGTTCAGAACATCAGGTGGGCAGGGCTCGTTGCAGTAGTTTCCACACTAGTGTGCCAAAAATAAGCCATCATGTTGGATAAATCTGCCACACTAAGCTTATCAGAGTGGGGAAGCCCATGCAGCCTGGACTTCCCTCCCCTCTCTTCAACTAAACAGACGCATCATTCTTTGGAATGGAATAAGATTGCACCAGATTTCCTTGCCAAACCCTGGCAGAAAGCACAGTCCATATTTGGGTCCATACTGGGCAGAGGGCAGGGTGAAAATGCAAGAAGTCTCTTTCTAAAGCATCCTAAATTATTATTTGTCCCTGGTTTAAGATTCTGGTTAACCAAATGACATTATGTCAGATTTCTCCATTTGGAATTTATGGGAAAATCTCATTCAAACAAATGAGATTGCAGGATGGGGAGGAGGGCAAGGAATACGTGGGCTCAGCACCCATTCCTGGCTTGCTAAAGCATAGCTGTGCAAGCCAGGACTGTTATGTATGGGTCAGCTCAATGTATTCCACAGTCGCAAGGAGGTTTTAAGCAAAACAACTGTGTCCCAAGTATCAACAGCTTGGGAAAAACTAGGTCTCCCATGTTACAGGTGGCATACAGATTGTGAGTGAAATATCCGTAGAATGAGTTAACCAATTTCTCTTGCTCATAATCCCTCTAGGTCATGCCATGCCAATTGCATTAAACTGCCATGAATAGACATAATTTAATTCCATACCAAACTGCGAGTTGTACACATATAACTTAGACCTTTAATGAAAAATCTTGGGTGCAAATGTGCAAAAGTATGTTCTTTGAAACTTGGAGCAGCAATTAACGTTTTTAGACAGTTGACATGTTCCTGCTTGAGCCACCATCTGATATGGGGTGGGGGGGATTTGACTGCTTGCTGTCATGTGACTAAAACTGGCTGTGAGCTGATGGTATATGGATGGAACACCCTGAAACATTCCCAGCCTTCTCAGACTCTCTCAGGAAATGACAGAGACATTTACATTTGATTTATCTTCATAGAGAGCTAATGGCTGTGTTCAGACATAACACAAAGCTATGGATTAACCTTACATAAGCAAGCACTGTGTTTGTGAGCTCACTCTCCTCCTTTTTCAGCAGAGCTGTAAGAAAATCAACAATGTTTGTTTCCCTTTCCACTGGACTGGCCCTATCATGAGCCCTGTGGTTCAGGTGGCAGGTAGGGAGGGGTGATAGATTGTGCTCCATCTTTCCATTTGCCACCTGCAGTGTTGGCCACTGCCCCTGTTCACTGCTTCCATTCCTTCCTGCTTGACCACTGCCGCTACTTCTTCCTTCAGGGCTGCCTTCAGATGTCTTCTAAAAGTCAGATAGTTGTTTATTTCCTGGACATCTGATGGGAGGGCATTCCACAGGGCAGGTGCCACTACCGAGAAGGCCCTCTGCCTGGTTCCCTGTAACTTCACTTCTCGCAGCGAGGGAACCGCCAGAAGGCCCTCAGAGCTGGACCTCAGTGTCCGGGCTGAATGATGGGGGTGGAGATGCTCTTTCAGGTATAAACTATTCCCTTACAACTAGTGGTGGGAGAGGGAGGAGGAAGAGGGTAGGAAGAGAGGCTGAGCTCATCTCAAGTTTTGCAACATCTTGCGCCAGCCATGGTTTTCAACTACAATGGTACCTCGGGTTACATACGCTTCAGGTTACAGACTCTGCTAACCCAGAAATAGTACCTCGGGTCAAGAACTTTGCTTCAGGATGAGAACAGAAATCATGCTCCAGAGGCGCGGCGGCAGCGGGAGGCCCCATTAGCTAAAGTGGTGCTTCAGGTTAAGAACAGTTTCAGGTTAAGAATGGACCTCCGGAACAAATTAAGTACTTAACCCGTGGTACCACTGTAATCTCTGATTTCAGCTAATTAACCTCTGGCTTCAGACTGGCTCCCCCTCCTAAACCATGGTTAAGATGAACTTTTGTCCAAAGTCTATAGAAAGCAAAAGGATCAACTTTGTATCCCACATGGGTTCCAGCAGACTTAAACAGCATACAGCAGTTTTCCCAACCTGGTGCCTTGTGAATGTTTTGAGCTACAACTCCCATCATCCCTGGCCACACTGACAGTCTAAAACATCTGCAGCACAACTGGCTTGAAATGCTGCTATAGACCGTTAAAGTATACTGTAGGCTGAGTCTAAACTAGACTAAGCTTTATTTGCCTGCATTAAAAATAGGATTTTGTTGCCTGCAAAGCTTTCTCGATACTTTCTCTCGGTATCTAGATCAGTGACTATTAGCAGTTTCTTTTCTTTGTGATAACGTGTATTGTTATGCAGTTCACATACCCTTTGACTTGCATCTCCCTTCACCTCTCCTCCCATGCTGAGCACGATGAATTTTGTAGCAGCAGAGTGCTGATTTTACAAAATGCAAATGAAAGACACATTTAATGCAGAATTCTCATTTAAAGATGAACTGGAAGGCTTTTCACCTGCCAGAATTCCAAGGTTTATGTCTTATCTGTAAAAAAAACCCTGATGTAACCATGGAGATCTACTTTAGTGTTGTCTGCCTCCTTCACAGTGGTTGGCTGCTGACAGACTTCCATGTGGCTAAAAGCCCCAGATTGTCCCCATAGTGGCGGTTCGATTTTATGACATGTGTCATAATAATAATAATAATAATAATAATAGTAATTTATTATTTGTACCCCGCCCATCTGGCTGGGTTTCCCCAGCCACTCTGGGCAGCTTCCACAAATACCAAAAATACACTAATATGTCATACATTAAAAACTTCCCTGAACAGGGCTGCCTTAAGATGTCTTCTGAATGTCAGATAGTTGTTTATCTCTTTGACATCTGATGGGAGGGCGTTCCACAGGGCGGGCGCCACTACCGAGAAGGCCCTCTGCCTGGTTCCCTGCAGCTTTGCTTCTCGCAATGAGGGAACCGCCAGAAGGCCATCGGTGCTGGACCTCAGCGTCTGGGCAGAACGATGGGGGTGGAGACGCTCCTTCAGGTATACTGGGCCGAAGCCGTTTAGGGCTTTAAAGGTCAACAGCAACACTTTTAATTGCGCTCGGAAACGTACTGGGAGCCAATGTAGGTATTTCACGACCGGTGTTATGTGGTCTCAGCGGCTACCCCCAGTCACCAGTCTAGCTGCCGCATTCTGGATTAGTTGTAGTTTCCGGGTCACCTTCAAAGGTAGCCCCACGTAGAGCACGTTGTAGTAGTCCAAGTGGGACTACTTTAGTGACCAGTTGGCAGTCAAGTGGTAAACCATTGTAGAGTTCCTGAAGAATGCTCATCTATAGCTTCCATCTCCTTCGCTTCCCACCATCTTGATGTAATAACTGCTCACATGCTCGATATTATCTGTTCCTTCTGGAATAGTAGAAATATCCTGGGTTTAAAGGAGATGGCTGAGGTCATAAATCAAACTACAGTAGTGTGGATTTTAGCTTGGATATACCTTTCTCCTCTTCCTTTGCGGCACTCTGTGAACTAAATAATGCCAGGAGAAATTAGCAAACGTTAGAGGCTCATTTGCTGTGGGATTGGAACAAATGATCTTATGGCCCTTCTGCGTTCTTATTATGCACTATTCTGTAAGGAGTCGCATTAAGTATATTAGACAATACTGGCTTCTGCCTTTGTCAGCCAAGATCAATGTGAGGCCTTTTTTAATATGAAAACTTTTTTAAAAAATCTGGTTTCCTTTTCATTACCTTGGATAAATGGGATTAACTGGGTTTTTTTATTTATTTAAGGTTTCAAGGATTGGGTCTTTTCTCCTGTGGAAATATGCTTTTCATTATGTAGGCATTTGTGTGTAATCTTATCTAGAAAACACAAGAAACTCATCCTCTAGGGTGATGGATGTTTTAAAGCATTTATGGTGGTGGTGGCAGTAGGAGTATTATACTATCTTTCTTCCAACAAGCTATTGGAGGTTTTCCATTTTATCTCCATAACCCTAAAAGGGATCATTGTGTGCTTCCTCACCAAGCAGGATTTGAACTCAGGTCTATCTGATCAAAATCTAGCCCTCAATCCACTACAATTTATTTCTTCCTTCTCTTGGCTTGTCATAGGAGCCAGCTTCTAAGATAAATAAAATAAAATATTTGAGCGGGCCAGCCCCCTTCTCCTAAATTTATGGGCATTGGCATTCAAATGGTGTGCATGGACCACATCATGTGCATGGACCACATCATGCCCCCCCCCCCCATATTTTATTTACCGTATTTTTTGCACCATAACACTCACTTTTTTCCTCCTAGAAAGTAAGGGGAAATGTCTGTGCGTGTTATGGAGGAAATGCCTACGGGTGGCATGCCTACGGATTTTCCTCCTCTAAAAACTACGTGCGTGTTATGGTCGGGTGCGTGTTATAGAGCGAAAAATACGGTAAATTGGCACCCCGTGGTTTATTTCACGTTGGAAGAAAAGAGTAACTTCTGATTACATCATTAGGATTCCTGACTCTGAATTATGTATTGTTTTCATAGTAGGACTCTTTAATAGATGGGTACTCCAATAAAAGCTTCCTATTTTGTATTAAATCTATTGAAAATTAACAGTTTTCTAATAAATGATAGATCCCCCCTTGAATGGTTGTTTGTGGTAAAAGATAAGCATTTTCCCTCCAGTACTTTTGAGTGTCACACACTCAGTGTCCCTCCGTTACAAAACTTTTGCCAGATCACGATCATTCTACCGATGAACCAGTGCATTGTAAGCTGATCTGTCAAGCCAAACACTTGCCTTAGCTTGTTAACATGCTCTAAATCTTTCATTAATGAAATCAGCTAGACCTCCAGACACTCAGAAGACTTCCTCGGCTCTGCTACCATGATGGATGAGATGCTAGAAATTGAGTGGCTGCAGCTCTTGGAGGTGTCATTTCAAAGGAGGAAGAAAACAATATTTATTTCTATGAAAGGAATAGAAGGATTCTATTTAACGTATGCATTATCTTGATCGGAATTTTCTTTGTTACAGAGTATTATTTTAGAAAATGAAGAGCTTCCCAAATTTTTCCTCGACTTCCTCAGCATCCGTCATTTTCCTTCTCTCCCCAAAGCAGAAAGCTGTGGGTAAGGCTTTTTCTTAGAAATCTCAAAATACAGCGTACAAGTCCCCACTGTAGAACTAGTTCTACACTCTGGTACAACTCCACTGTCTGAAAATAGTCACTGCTATTTTACAAAATGAGTTTCATGTTATGGTTGCACTTGCGTTTGATTTAAAAAAACAATTCAGCACTCCAGTGGCTGTTTCATAGATAAAGCATTTGACTTAATAGAAGAGAATAAGAAACTCTTAACATCAGAGTTTGGATTACCCCAAATTGCGTTTTGGGGTCTTCCCGAGTTCCTAATTATATGCTGTTTAAAATGGGACAACTGCACAAGCCACAGTGCATGATCTCCGCAGCAGGATGCAATGAAGTAAAGAAAGAATTTTGGACAACCGGCTGCCAGGGAGCTTTATTGTTAAGATAGCATAAAAGACCATTAACATTATAATGATTCATTGAAATGAATGGGTTTGACCAACTTAGGTCCATTAATTTAAATGGTTCTACTCTGGGTATAACTTAGTTGCATGCAACCCACTGACTAGGAAAAAAATTACCTTGTTATTACTGTTGCTTTTGTTTAATGAGGATATTTTCTTAAGAATGTAAAGCTTGGGGGTTTCAGGTATGTCCAGTGTAACCTATTTTGTACGTATTATAATATTTCAGCTCTTTTGAAGAAATAGAATCTGAAGAATCAAGGTAAGCTGTTGCCACTTCAGTTTCCAATTGAGAAATATATTGTTCATATTTTAAAATGTGAGATCAATAGAATAATTGAGCATGTTTTAAAAACCATATTTTAACACCCATTAAAAAGGGTACGTGTTATCTGCTGTTTCTTGCATTAATAAAACTTTTAACTGGTCCAATGTGATTAAAAATAAAATTATGCAATCTTAAACTGACTGAATACTCAAAGGCAGGTAAAACAAATTAATGCTGCAGTGTTAAAAATAAAAAGTCATTGTGAGTTGTTGACATCTGCAGTATTCAACTCCTCACTTTAGAATTGGATCATTCCAGCATGTGTGTGTTTTAGGACAGGATTACTAGGTTTGATTGCTGGGGAGTAAGTCCCATTGAACTCTGTTTGATTTGCTTCTGAATAAATATGCTTAGTATTGAGTAAAATGTGACCTAATCTATAATGAGCTTTATTCCTTGAAGATGGTTTTTTGTTTCTTTTACAACAAAATTGGTTTATATAAGCAAACATTCTACCTAACCAGCTACATCAGCTCACTTTATCAAAGCTAGTTTGTAGTGCATTCAGTTTACTGTCCCTTGATGCTGACATTCCTGTTCTTGACCTTTCTAGCAAACTGTCCCACCAGCCTGTGCTGCTGTTCCTAAGGGATCCATATGTCTTGCCTGCAGCCAATGGTAATCAAAGCTGTCATCTGTTAACAGCTCTTTACTGATCTGACCCTACACCACACAAACCACGTTGTTATTAATACATGCTGAGCCCCAGTTCTAATAAATGTGCAATATATCAGGAGTTTTAAAGCTATTTAAAATCATAGCTGGGAACCAAGGCTTTTGTGAAAAGAGAAACAACACCCTTAGCAACTGAAAAGGAGAGGATTTAATTTTTAAAATGCTAACATCTTAATCCTAGGTTATATCTATCCTGCATCAATTTTGAAGTATAATGTGGTGTTGTTTGTTGTTTAGTCGTGTCCGACTCTTCGTGACCCCGTGGACCAGAGCACGCCAGGCACTCCTGTGTTCTAATGTGTTAGGCAATGTTTAATACATGATAATATTTCAGTAGGTATCATGCCAAGAATTAGCGTTCCCCAACCTGATACCTTCCAAATGTTTCAGAGTACAAGACCTTTGTAGTCCAAAACATCAGAAGGGAAGCCTTACTTAGTTCAAAGGATTCAAAGTGTAGCTGGACTGACAATTAAGTGTAGAGTCAAACTACGCATGATAGAAGAAGAAGAAAAGAAGAAGAAGGGGTTGCCCCAACCACTATGGGCGGCTTCCAACAAATTAAAACACAGTAAGACATCAAACATTAAAAACTTTCTTATGCAGGGCTGCTTTCAGATGTCTTCTAAAAGTCAGATTGTTGTTTATTTCCTTGACATCTGATGAGAGGACGTTCCACAGGGCGGGTGCCACTACTGAGAAGGCCTTCTGCCTCGTTCCCCATAACCTCACTTCTCACAGTGAGAGAACCGCCAGAAGGCTCTCAGAGCTGGACCTCAGTGTCCGGGCAGAACGATGGGGGTGGAGACACTCCTTCAGATATGCAGGGCCAAAGCCGTTCAGGGCTTTAAAGGTCAGCGCCAACACTTTGAATTGTGCTCGAAATTGATGCAAGAGTTCTGTGACTGGAAATTCTGAAGTCTTTGAATTTAAAAAAATAAAAATTCGCATGCAGCGGAACCTGATCTGGATCACAGTATGATCTGGAAGAAGGGGATGTTTATTCTATAAGGATGTGAATTCTATTGCCACCCAGATATTATTGGACTACAGCTCCCATCATTCCTGGCCATTGACCTTGTTGGGGTTGAAGGGTGTTGGGCGTCAACATATGGAGGACCGTAGGTTCTCCACCTCTGCTTTAGGCTCACACTGATCCCTAGTCACTTCACTTCCAAAAGCTATTATTTGTGGAGGATTAAGCCCCTAGCAGTTCCTTCTCTGTGGCTAATAGCAGCTTTGGAGAACAGGGAATTGCAGACAGCTTGGGAATGGGCTGCAGCATGGGAATAAAGGTCTACCATGGGAGAGAGGGGAAGTCCAAGTCAGTCTCTCTTGCTTTTTGTAAAATAAAAAGATACCAACAGTTCCACTGTCTGAACTCCTGCATCTGATATCCTTATATCCTGACTGCATGGAATCAGCACAAACAACCCAAGAGCAATGAATATATGAGGCAAAAAAAATATAATTGCAATAGTTCTTCATTGGACAATATTAGTGAGGCAGCATGTTGGTTGGATTATATCCTCTGACATTCTTAGCAACTTCTCGTCAGTATCGCATTGTGATGAAGCTAATTTGTGAGATTGTATGAAGTAGAACATAATTTTCCTTGGGAGAAATCAAGTACATCTATCCTGTATTGGAAAAGGTCAGTGTCACCGTATGTCTAATTCTTCACAGAAGCAGCCTTTTGTAACTAATTGCTTCCAGTTTTGCTTCTCTATTTATACCCAGCCCAAATGTTTTGCTAACTCTTAAAATGGTTCAATCTATGTTACACTTCAACTGTGATGGACAACTCTTGTGTTTTTGTTGCTAAGCCCAAGGGTGGTCCAATGGTCAATGCTGCTAACATGGTCATGCAAATTATCTACCAGCTTGGTTAGCTGGGAGTCTGAATCCTCACCCACACACCCCAATCCCCATAGTCAATGAAAGCTGGGGTGTCCCTATATTCTTACTCCACAGCTCTTCAAATTAGCAATGCAGGCGTGCAGAGCACTGCTGCTGGGTGCAGCCTCGGTACTCGTAAGCTTAAGCAGTTTTCTTTCTGTTTGATAAATATGTAAGAATGTTGCACATAGCCCCCACTAGATGGTTTGCAGTACCGTATCACAATCCTGGATTTGTAAAAAGTGAGGGTAGAGTAGAGGAGCAAAAGTGAAGGCACAACATCAGTGCCCCTGACATGGGACTGAGAAGGGAAAGACACTGAGAGAGGAAAAGTGGTGGTTTAAAAAACGCCAATGTTTGATTAAAGCAGAGATGGAGGAAACTGAGAACATGACATTTATAGACTATGGCAGAGGTTTGAGAGAGGTGGGGGGAAGCCGGTGTTTAAAACAAGCTGTGAGTGCAGCGGGAATGGAGTTTGGAGGGCAGTTGTGTTAGTTTTTTGATGTTAGTTTCTGTTTTGTACCCATCTCTGCTGTTTCGCCTTAAAATTGGTGTGCTTTGTTTTAAGTGTTCCACCATACCACCTTTACTCAGATTTCTGCTCTTGTTTAGAACCACCACTTTCCTCTCAGTGTCTCTCCACCCCTGCTTTACTCAAACTTCTGTCATTTAAAACAGCCACTTTTTCCCTTTCAGCATTCCTCCCTTCTTGCTGTACTCAAGTTTCTATCTCTCCCATTCCTCAGCTGCTTCATGTGAGAGAGATAAAGGATTTGGAGCCCTCAAATATTCCAGAGTACCTTCACACAATGTATTTCACTCCTGGAACTATGTGTTGTCTGAAGTTCCAGATTCAATGTAGTAATTTAGAACAGATATTTTTTTAACAAGCAAACACCCATCTATATATGAACTTTACCTTCCCTAACTGAACAAGCTAACTGACAGTCTTGCGCTTAAGATTGTCGGCATCCTAAAGATACAATAACATATATCATTATGGGATGGATGTGTGCCCAAAGGGGGCTGCAGAATTAGGCAAGAGGGGGAAGGAATGGAAATGGGGGTGATCTGTGTGCTAAGGTTGAGAAAAGTAAGGAGGGGTATAGGAAAATGTGTGAAAGTGTAATGGGGGGGTGGTCCCAAAAAGGGAAGGCATAGGAGGCATGGAAATGGGAGTGAAGATGGAAGCAAGGACATGAAAGGTATAGGAGAGGATGGTGACTTCAAAACTGGGCGGAATGTGAAAAAAGGTGCTTAGTAGCTGCAGTGTGTGGGAGAAGGAAAATGCAGGAAGTTACTCAGAAAATGGTTTATGTGCAGCAGGAGGTTTGCACAAGAGGAGGAAGTATGGACATGGCAATGAAGGTGAAAATGAATGCAAAGCAGGGCTGTCAAGTAGAAGAAAAGGCTTCAGAAAGAGTTTCAAAAGTGATCTTAGCAGTTTCATGGTGTGGGAATAAATTCTAAGGGGTTAATGTAGGGAGGAATGGCAGGGGAGCTGGCAAGCAGGGGGCAGCCCCTAGTTTTTCAGGTCAGACAAGTGTTTGTGAAATTCCAAGAGCTGATTTTAAAAACTGCTGAATAGTATTGTAATTTTATGTTGTGAACTGCCCTGAGATCTATAGATGAAGGGTAGTACAACACCACCACCACCACAAAAGTTTGGCTTATGTTGAACAGTTACAGCAGTCAAAATCCCTGAACAGTAATAATGGATCAGTGTTTGTTAAATAAATTACTTAAGTCTTACTATATTTAGTTTCTTCACAATGCTTTGTCTATGTCTGTTTAGAGTTAACGCGAAACTGGAGAAAATGCCATGGACTTGTAGAATAAATGTGCTTTAATCACATTTATGCATTTCTTCTCTTCTCTGCAAGTCTCCTCCCGTTAGCTTATCTGATGATGATGATTAGCATCCTTCGTTTTTAGGAATACTATTCCTTTATTGTAAGAATCTGTCCCTTTACGTTGACTAGATGCTTTAAGGATGCTTATGTGATGGCATCAGGCTCTTCCAGTCAACTTGGACTAAACAGTGCTGTAAACTACAATGGAAAAACTGCTGTGAAGTATTCCCAGTAGAAATCTTGGAATTCCTTCAAGTGTATTGAGATTTTGTTAGAAATTGAATTGCCAGTGTAATCCATCTTCCTTGTGAGAAAAGATTCAGATAAAGAGCTGGAGCCTAGCAGCATTAAGTATTAGAACATCCCTTTAAATCAATAAGCTACAAATCTGGCAGTGCATTCAGGCAATGCCCAGTGCTACACTAAAGTGGGTTTAGTGCTGAAACAGCATTACTAATAGCACAATTCTGAGCATGGATAAACATGGTGGTGATGCAATATCCTAAATTACACTGGGCCTTGCCTTGTTAAGTTCTACAAAAACATTTATATTGTATTGACATATGTAAGAAAGCAGTTTTTCTTCTTTCCTTTTTTTTCCAGATGACTTTCCAAACGTAGTTATTGAAGGTGTTCTCCGCGGATTGTTTTATCCTCATCTACAACCCAGGTAGAAAATGGGTTTGGATGGATAGTAACTGAAATAAACTCATCCTCTTCCTGGAACTGCACATTTTTAGTAAAACTCCTAAGACAACAGAATGTGGTCACAGTGGAGATGATATTTAATGATGGAACATTTCCCCTTTTAAAATTAATTTAGTGTATCACTAATATTGCTGCTTTTAAATTTATGAATGGAGAAAACGCTACTGTTGAATCTGTCTACCCAACTCCAAATGTTTTAAAAGCTGACATTCATAAGCTGAATTACACTAACAACTTTCATCATGTATTGATTTTTTAAAATAATAAATTACTACACTAAGCCTTTTGTCTCAGTGTAGTATCCACTGCTGGCAGTGGGTACACAGGGCAACTTATTACACAGGCAAGACCTGAAAAAAATGTTAAGAGAATTACTGCCTAAACTTGAAATGTAATCTAAGCTTATTATTAGTATTTCTGATGTGATTATATCATATCTATATTATCTTAAGTATTACTTAAATTTACTTCAGGACCCTGGCAACAAACCTTGTGCTTTCAGCCAATACACTCTGTTTGGTGAGCATAACTTTCCCATGTTAATTAACTTGTACCATTATGTAGCAGGAAGCAGACAGAACATGATGGGTAAAAATAATCAGCTAATAAATATTCAGAGGTCAATTGTCTAAGTGAACCATATGCTTACGTTTCACAAGATGTCAGAACCCAAAATAAAACATTGGCATTACATTGCATACGTTAGCGTTTGATGTGCATCTATTTCCGGTCTAATTCTAGTGTTTGTTAATAGCAACCTACTCAGTTGAATTCTTTTGTCCATGCTTGCTGCTCTATTAGTCCGGTGGTTGTGTTAAGAATTATGAAGGAATCACAGCTTGTGGTCAATTTCTAAACAGGACAGCTTCAAGCTATGGATTATGCCCCAGACTGTATACCAAACCAGGATTTAAACTATTATATCTGATTCATAACTAATACTAAGCCACATGTCTTTGAAAGTGAAAGTAACCCTGCATCAGAAGTCCCAATGCTCTGCAGAGCAAGGGGCGCACCACACAAGCCCAGCATTTTTCTCAAACCCCTTCTACTTCATCCCCAAAGTAGCTAATCAAGGTTTAGCATTACATGCAAATGCAGCGAATGAAAATACTTTTACATCTTTATACTGTTGCGTGGCAAACAGGGCAATATGTTCAGAAAACAAGAATAGCTTTTTAGCAGAAGTTTAATGTATGTATAAAATATCAATACACAACAGTGGGTATAGACTTATTTGCAACAGTAATACGCTCACATTCTGCATATATTGAATTTGAACAAATTTAAATTCATCATACATGCCATAGGACCTGCACACCTGTCCATCATTGATGCAGGAAACCCCTGTTATAAAAAGGAATGGAAAGAAGAGTCTCAAATATTCTTTATATGAAAAGAGAACTGTGTCAGGTGCTTGAAGCAGAGAACATGTTTTAGAGGAGCAGGCTGAAGGAGTGTGTTTTCCATTCGCCACAAACTACTAAGTGCTTTAGTGTTTCCAGGATGAGATATTTTATAAAACCCTATAAGCAGATCTATCCATAAGGTGGTAGACTCGCATGACCAAAAAATGAGGGCGAGCTGTTAATAAAAGTAGCATGTGAATAATCAAAGAGCAGGAAAATTATTGCCTTCAACCACTCAAGTCAATACATTCCTAATGTTTCCCCCCCATAAAACTACTTCCTGGAAAGGCAATCAAGTAGTCCTCTGGATTTAGCACCTAGATATTTCAATGCTACCTGTGAAGTTACCACGTTCTCTTGCAAAAGAATCTTCAGATATCCTTGCCTGCTTTTAGCCAGAGGAGAAACCATTGCAGTTCCTTTGCTCACGTTGCCGTCAACTTCTCCAGTCATCTACTTCAACCACAAATGGTTCTTTTACATCTATTTTTCCACTGTTAACAATCACACAGTCTTGAAGAGGACGGTCGTCGTCATCTACCGGCTGAAGTTCTATGGCGTGCACCACTAACTGAAAGAAGAAGAAAAACTGACCTCTGGTGCCAAACACAACATAGATGTGAAATGTACTGCTGAGTTTACATTTTGTGGGATTTCTCTTAACTTCTGCTTATATTTTTTTGCTCTGTATCTCCCCACTAAGGTCACAATCAGTCTGCTTCTGTGCTTCTGATAGAAAATAGTAGGCTGCTTTGAAACCTAATTGTGGCATGGGGGTGCTTTTGAAATGGGAAGTGACAGCTGGAGATAGTTGTAGACACCGCCCCACACACCACAATTCGGCTTGAAAAAAGCCTACAGTAGAGAGCCATCTTTCAGGCTTTATTTCAGCCAAGGCAGGAAACAGAACCCTTGTTGGCACTGGGGGAGACCTCTGTGGGCACCAAGAGCCTGCATTTGTGCCCCATCCCCTAGAAACTGTTTTAAGCATTTATGTCCCACACGTCAACGCTTTCAGTTTTACATTTTTAAAAAATTAAAATACAATAATAAACCGGAGCAGCATCTAAAAGCAATATTTAAACTTTAAAAGCTGGAAACAAAAACACCCTCACCTGGTGCTAAAAAGATAATGTGGGCTTCCAGGCAAGTCTCTCTGGAGAGGGAATTCCACTACCTAGGCCACCACTCTTTACCACAGAGGGGGCATCCGAAAATTCCATCAACGCACAGGCAAGCTGAAAAGGGGGCAAGTGTTCCTTTTGCTATGCAAGCCCTGTGCCGCCTAGGGCTTTAAAGGGAAGCACCAGCACTTTAAATTGCGCCAGATCACAGCCAGTGAAACACCAGCAAGATGTTTGCAGCAACTGACTGCAGCCAATAACCCGGAAACTCTGTTTTGAACCAGTTTCAGCTTCTGAACAGTCCTTCACAAGGAAGCTCCACATAGAGCAAATTACAGCAGTCTGTCCTGAAGTTTACCAAAACATGAATACCAGTAGCCAGCTACCTGATGTGCATTAATATTTTAATTTTGTTTTAAATGTATTTGCTGTTTATAATCTGTTTTTAATTGTTCTTGCTGTGCACCACCTGGAGACAGTTGTGTACAAGGTGATTAATAAATCCAGTGCTTTTTTGGGGGGACGACAACACAGAGGTACGCATACCCCTAAACATTTTGTGAATCTTTGTACTTTTTCCCATTTACTGTATTTCTTTTACCCGATTTGGTGATTTTCTTGAGTCAAAATGAGAGTACCCTTAAACTTTTTTTAGAAAAAAAGCACTGAATAAATCAGTGATGATGATGATGTCATTCCCTACTTTAGTGATGTGTACACATATATCATAATTAAGAATAGTTAGATAATTGCTAAGGGCCTATAAAGCAGAGGCTACACCAGAACTCATGTAGACAATTCTAGATAAGCTTTTAAAACAATCATTAATCCATACCCCACAGATGGCTAACCAGCCAGGAGTCACATAGACCCATGATCAAATCTCTGGAGGACACATGTCAAAGTGAGCCTGGCCATTTAAAAAAATTTAAAGGACACATTTTTGGGGAACCTCACAAAAATGTTGTGACATCACAGTCACTGCAGGGTACCCATCAATCAGAAACATTTCAAATGGACTGGTTTTACAAGTCCTTGCAGGGCCCCAAAAAAGTCCTTTTGGCATCTCAGTGGGGGACCTATGGGAGCAATATTTTTTAAAAATGTTTATTTTAAAAATAATAATTATAAATGGGGGCACAAAAAACCTACTGTGGGGGAGGATGTGTCCCTCAGGCCACAGGTTAGCCATTCTCTGCTATACCCACTGCTTCCAACTAATGAACAAAGCTAGTATAGTTATTTTTTTTACCTACCATTCCATCAATGACTTTCCCAAACACTACATGCTTTCCATCTAACCATCCAGGCCTTGTCACAGAAATGAAGAACTGGGAACCATTGGTATCTGGGCCAGAATTAGCCATACTGACCCATCCAATACCATAATGCTTCAGCTTAAAGTTTTCATCAGGAAACGTCTCTCCATAGATGCTCTTTCCTGGGAAACAAGACATCAGGTTCAGAAGAAACAATATTTTGTTTAAGACTTTTTTTTCCTAAAAGGGTTTAAGATATAGGCCAACACCTGAATCTCCAGAACACCTTCAACTGCCTCAACCTCACCAGTGCACCTAAATGGAACTTCTTAGATAGTCTGCTGAATCAGCTACCAGGAATCATGCTAACTGCAACAGTAAGAGCAATCCCAGCATGCAATGTAATTAGGCACTGGCTGTGTTAATGCACCCCCCCTTCCCCAGCACTAACAAATTATGAAGGTTCACTGAATCTGCAACTTGCGTACTATAGCAATAGGAGGAATCGGCTTGCATCTCTTTCTAGACATTTCCATAAAAATGGTTTTCGGAGGGCAGGGGGGGTGCTGTTCCCTACGGTGATATAATACCACCCTGGCCAAGATCAAGAGAATGCATCTGCAAGCTGATGCACAGCTGATCATGTATAAGATGGGAAAGAGCGGGAATGGATTCATCGTACCTGCCAAGCAGGTAACTGGCAGTGGAAAAGCCGACAGAAGCAAGGCCTGGCCCTAACATTAGGCAGAGGAAGGCAGCTGCTCCCGGAAGCAACAGCTGGGGGTGGGAAGTAAACAATGTCTAACTTGCACCCCCTAACTAGGCTGCTGTCCATAGATGCATCATAGGACTCACAAATGTTGCTTTGCTTTTGTACATGTAAATGAATGAGGCACCATTTTCCCTTTGCCTTGGGCCAGCATTACCAGAACTTCTCCTGCTCTACATACATCCACTTGAGTACTGGGTTCAGAAAAGTGCTGGAAACCAGTGCAACAGGCAACTGCAGGCGGTTTTACAGCAGATTCTTGAGCTGCTACAATTCTCCAGACACTTCAGACTAGAAAGGGAGGGAGGGAGCCAAATAAAGCATGCTTTGCACCTTGCTTTTACTCACATCCCATATCAGTGGCAGTTTCTCCACAGTAGTTAGTCATCTAATATCTACTGTGCAGCGATGATTCATTTATGGATCTGTCTTAGTTAAATAATTAGCAGGCACAAAAAATTCAGTACTTTAAGGGTATTTACTGTTTAAGGCTTTACCTTAAATAGTAGTGAAGAAGAGAAGATTCTTGCCCCCCAAAAAAGTGTGGCTTTAGGTTTGGACAGTGTAAAGTAGTATATTCTATCCCTATATTTTATGTACAAGCTGTCCTGACATTGCTAGTCATGCAAGTGCTTAATAAACATATACATGTAATGTGTCTAATTTCTCATTCCACCCAACAGCACACAAAAAGATCTCTTGCCCAACTTGACACACATTTCAAGATCTGAACAGGAGATTTGTATGCAGATGTCTGCTTCTACATTTAAGTCACCTCTGCAAGAACAAGACAAATGAAATTAATTCTTGCTTCTTGTACTAAATTAGTCTTTAAATGTGTTCTGAAAGCTTTATTTGCTGAATCAGAATATGACAATTCTCTGCCTCACTTTGTATTTTTACATTCAAATTCAACACCATTAAGGCAATGATTGTGGATCTGCAGTAAGTAGCAGTAAGACCTAGTCAATGGGATTTATTCCCACTCAAGTGTGGTGAGAATTGAACACAGTGGGACCTAATTCCAACTACCAATGCTGAACTTATCTATATACAGGGGAAATGGTTTTGGGAAGGAAAAAGAGAACTGCTTCTTTGAAGCTGCATCAAGACAGAAATATTTTTCTCATATTAAATCCCAGATCAATTGTGTTTTCTTCTGTAAATTAACCTTAACCATGCTTATATCACAATAAAATTATCTATTTACATATGCCACGGGAAGGTTGTTTATTGATCAGTCAGTGACATAGAGCCCACTAAGTAAATAGCAGTTAGTTTGGCCAAAGATGCACCAATTTTGGTTTTTCTAAATTTGAGAAAATTATGATTATTTTATATTCTAGATTTGTTTGATTGTTGTACATCATTCCTCGACTTTGTCACTGGGATCAGTTGGACTACATAGTTCTATATCTTTTATATTTATGTATAAAATTCATTTAAAAAGAAAGCAACTTTACCCCCAGTGCCGTCTCCAGCTGTGAAGTCACCTCCTTGAATCATGAAATCTTTGATTACACGATGAAATTTGCTTCCTTTATAGCCAAAACCTTTCTACGAGACAAAATTCAGAATGGCATGATTTCAGTTCGGCAAAATACTATACACTATAGTGAAATAAACAATTGATTAAATAAAGATTAACAACAAGATGCCTGCCACCCTGAACTTTTGAGATAAAAGAGATGGCGGATGGAGTTGTATCAATTAATTATTATTATTTTATTACTTATTAAATTTCTACACCACCCTTCATCCAAGGATCACAGGGTGGTTTACAATATAAAATTACAAAAATACACACCATAGTAACAATAACAAACTGCCCTACAGTATAAATAATAAGAAATAATTTCTTAATTTTATTATTTATTATATTGAGGATGTGTCATACAACAAAAAGGTAAAGGACATGGGTGGCTCTGTGGTCTAAACCACTGAGCCTCTTGGGCTTGCTGATCAGAAGGTTGGCGGTTCGAATCCCTGTGACAGGGTGAGCTCCCATTGCTATGTCCCAGCTCCTGCCAACCTAGCAGTTTAAAAGCACGCCAGTGCGAGTAGATAAATAGGTACTGCTGTGGTAGGAAGGTAAACGGCATTTCTGTATGCTCTGGCTTCTGTGATGGTGTCCCACTGCACCAGAAGCGGTTTAGTCATGCTGGCCACATGTCCCGGAAAGCTATCTGTGGACAAACGCTGGCTTCCTCAGCCTGAAAGTGAGACGAGCGCCACAACCCCATAGTCACCTTTGACTGGACTTAACCGTCCAGGGGTCCTTTAACTTTATATTACCTTTACCCAACAAAAAGTAGAGAAACCACTACAACAGGGTTCAACGGATTATGGCTGGTCATTGTCACCAAGCCAACACTTCCAGTCTTCAGGACTCTACCCTTCCCTTAATCCAACTTTGTATAAGGTTACAGATAGCCATTTACTCTCCTCCCATAGGGCTAGAGTAGTGGGCTAGTGATTATCCCCGCAGCTGTTTTGGACATCTGAGCTCAGCACAAATGCTGGGATTTGCTTCCACAAGATAGTGACGGCCACCAACTTTAAAAGAGGATTGGACAAATTCCTGGAAGACAGGGCTATCAAGGGCTAATAACCATGATGCCATGCCCTGTTGTTGGAGGCTGTATGCCTCTGTATAGCAGCTGTTGGAAATCAAGAGCCTTCCTGCACACAGGTTCTGCTTACAGCTTCCCATAATCACCTGGTTGGCCATTGTGAGATCAAGAATGCTGACCTCTGGTCTGATTCAGCAGAGCTCTTCCTATGTTCCTATGAGCACTTCCGACACACAGTGCAAAGCAACCTCTGACTTTATCTCCATAAAGTTGAAGCTGTTTTAGTGTTGAGCAAAAAGGTACTTCAAACGCCTCCCATGTCTCAGAGCCAAAGCAGCGAAGCATAGGCAGTGCAGACATTCGCAGTTTAACTACGCTTCTGGTTGCAGCAGAACTCGGGAGGCCAATTCCTGCCCCAGCTGTAAACTGAAGAGGAGGGCCGAGGCTACTGATTTCAACCTCACTAGAATGTGATGGAGTATTTGCCAGGCTGCACCACATGAATATGTGTGCACGCACACACACACACACACACACACACACACACACACACACACACAAAGAAAACTCTGTGCATTTGTCTTTTCACTAAAATGCATGTACAAAACATTTTTTTAAAAGTTCTTACTTCTCCAGTTGCTAGTTTAACGAAGTTTTCCACCGTCTTTGGTACTACTTTTCCAAACAATCCAATTACAATTCTGCCAGCATCTTTGCCGCCTATCTGTATATCAAAGAATACCTACAAATTTCCAAAAAAATAAAAGCAATCATTGAAAACCACAGAATATCATTAATGCAAGAAATAAGTCTTGTAGGATCCAAAGGTGCCCTTCCATTCATGGGAGGAAGGGGAAGTGGGGAGGGGACTTTTTGCCAATTCCACCTTGCCCCCATAGCCCTCTGGGTCCCCTCCCATGCTGATCTGTGGAGCAAATTGGGGGGGGGAGCATCAGCAAAGTATCACCTTCCCCATTCTGATTACGTAATCAATCAAACAATGTACATAGCATTTTTATAAAATGCATTTCTGCATAGTAATTCTTCACTTTCACTATTTTCAATATTGCTTTTAAAAAGCTACAATATTATTAAACAGGCAATTCCTGGGAGCTTTATCTCCCTCTAAAAGTTCAAGAAACAGAATGCAAACTGTTACATTGGTGGCACTAATTCGGACAAATAGGAAGTGAAGGCCCAGTTTATACATGCAAGCCAGATGCTTTCTTCCATATAATCATTTCAACCTTCTCTGAATATAGAAGAAACATCAGCTAAGATATGAAATATCAAGGTATATCCAGAAAACTTATTTTATTCAGCTGGTTATGGAGATATTCAAATCTCTCATAGGAGGCAAGTGAAAGGAAATGTCAGATGGAATTGAGAATTCAGAAATACAAGTGTACTAGTAGGACCTTAAACAAAGTATATCCCTATTCAGGTTTCCAGCTTCGTGATAAGCTATAACGAGCTCAATTAGGCCATTCCTCCCTCCATGGTTTTATCTTTTTATTATCCAGCATTCAACATTTTGTGGTTTTGGAGCATGGTCAATCCTTTTTGAGCTCTTCCTAGTGTTGATTCAACACTCAACCATCTCAGTTTGCGATTAGAGGGAGTGACTGTGATAATATTAGGTCAGGTGGACGTGATTTTTCACGACGTACAGAATGCATGAAGTGTCATGTTTCAGAAAGGGATAAAAGCTTAAGAAAACACACAATACCAATGAGATTTAAAAAATAAATAAATCTGGGTATTCCTTTGTGTTATCAATAGGCTGCAGAAGCTCTCTTAAGTTACTGAATTTTGCACTGCTTTTAGCAATGGTGGAAAAATTAAAGACACAATAGCAAGTGATGCATTTAGCATCATACCTAGTTTAGCCCTAAAGCCCTTTCAACCAACCCAACACAGGTAAAAAGAGGAAGATCTAAGTACCTGTTCAAAAGAGATTGTTTTACTGTATTCATTTTATTGTGTTCAGTTGTCTTCATATCGCCTTCTCTTTCCTGTTTATCTGACCCCCACTGTGTTATTGATCCTCTTATTAAAGAAATTTTAATGAGACAGCCATTCATTATGAAAGGGGAGGGAAGCAACCAGTTTCAAGAGTATTGTGAGTGTCCCATGAGGTCTATTCAACTCGTTCTCAAATTCTTCCTTTTGCCTCATCCAGGGATGGAAACCTGTGATTCTACAGATATTGCTGGACTCCAATTCCCATCAGCTCATTGTCAGTACAGTCAATGGTCAGAATGGGAGTTGTATGCCAACATCTGGAGGGCTAAAAGTTCTCCACCCACTGACCAAATCCATTTTATCCATTTCTAAGAATGTTTTATTATTACTTATAAAATGATGCACAGATCTGGATTCAAGCTTCAATGACTATCTATTGCCTTGGAAGCAAAACACAGAGGAATATTAAATTGAGATGAATTATCTGTGTTAATTGATACCAGAATGTCAATCTTTTACAGCTTTTACGGCACAATTTATACTAGGCTGATGTCATAGTACCTGTTCTCTAATGCACTTCTTCAAGAAGAGAACATGTCAGGAAAACAGAACACAAGGGAGAGGTGGCAAAGCAGTGAGATGATCCAGCTTTCAGGAGAAAAACATCTTTCAAAAATGGGGGTCAGAGGTAGGGGCCCCTGAGCTCACTACCACAGATGGTTAAATACTGCCAAATTGATTGCATATGCTGCCGAAGAAGCATACACATTAAGTTATATTAGAAGGAAGCATAAAAAATACCCATTAATCTTTCCTTGCTTTACTCTTAAATGACCATTTAAAAGCAAAAATCTGGGTTTCTCATCAATTGGTGCTGATCGGGATATCTGCTGAAACTCGCCATATCTTGTAATGACTACTACTATGAAGGAATTAAAGCCCTCACCAAGGTCTGTAGATTGTCAAATGCTAGAATGCACTTGGCTTTTGCTCTCTTTTGCTCACTAACTGAGGAGCAGCTGCAGACCAGGATTTTTCCACAAAATCCAATGTATATTCCAGTTGCCTAAAGTACACATCCCTACCTTACAAGAGATGTACAGTGGTACCTCGGGTTAAGTACTTAATACGTTCCAGAGGTCCGTCTTTACCTGAAACTGTTCTTAACCTGAAGCATCACTTTAGCTAATGGGGTCTCCAGCTGCCGCCGCGCTGCCGGAGCAAGCTTTCTGTTCTCATCCTGAAGCAAAGTTCTTAACCTGAGGTACTATTTCTGGGCTAGCGGAGTCTGTAACCTAAAGCATATGTAACCCGAGGTACCACTGTACATCTACAGAATTTTCTTTTTAAAAAAACCTCACCATGACCCCCCACCATTTCCGCCCTCTGCAAGCTGTTCTGGGGACGCTCCCAATATCACCACCCCAAGATAATTGTGGAGATGCAAAGGGTATGGAGGGGATTGGGAGAACCCCCACTACGCAAGTTGAAGTCCTCACACCAACAATACACAGTTGCTCTGTGCATTTCACCACCTCACCTCACTGGGTATCAGTAGTAGCAATGGAGAAATCACAGAGCAGTTGCATCCAATAGAAGAGGGATGAGGAACCTGCGGCCATTCAGATGTGGTTGGTCTCCAACTCCCTTCAGCCCTAGCCAGCAAAGCCAATAGGGTGGATCAGAGCTGTCATCCGGCAACGTCTGGAGGGCCACAAAGTCCCCATCGCATCTCAATATTAGAATGCCACTCCCCATTTCTTGTCGATGCCTAGCTCTACCTTAAGAGTTGTACAAGCAAAAGTCTACTGCATAAGAATATATTGGCCACACCGTGGATTAAACAACATAAAGTGTAGGGAACAAGATATGTGCAAACAATACATTCATCTTGGAAAGCAGTCTACTGTGGGTGGGTGACTACCTAAATTACATGGGCCCGAATGCTGAATGTGCACACGTTAAACGCGCATAAGATGCAAGTTTACTGAACGGTCATAGGCTTGTGTCCAGCCTGTGGCTCTCATACGATATGCAGGAACTATTACGCATGTAAAACATAAATTTCACCCAACATGGGAGCATCTGATTTTATCCTGTGAACTGCCCTGAGACCTGCGGGTATATAAATTCAATTAATAATAACAATAACAACAATAATGATGATGATGGTGTCCTCATTTGCCTCCAGCACTGCCCCCCAAAAAGCTTGGTTATTCATCAAGCACGCACCCAGAAAATAGAGAGGAAAAGCAATTTCCTGGCATTATTACAAGCACACCTGCATGCCTAGGTGGTGTCCAGCATTTTTCTGGCAGGGCTTCTTGTGCCACAGCGACCCTTTGGCTCTCCAGCTGCGTTTGGGGGTTTTTTCGGACTACAACTCCCATCATCCCTAGCTAGCAAGACCAGTGGTCAGGGATGACGGGAGTTGTAGTAAAAAAAACAAAAACCCACAGCTGGAGAGCCGAGTTTGGGAAACCCCGAGGAGGCCAGCGTGGACAGACGTTGACCTCAAGCCAAGGAAAGAGGGGAGGGAGAGGGGCAGGACGACCACCCAGCCATAGTCACCTTGGCGGTCACGGCGGGTCCTCTCTTCTTGAAGCCCTCGGCCCCCCAGATGAACGCCAGCAGGACGAGGCACGCGGCCGCGACCAGCCAAGGCGAAAGGGCGGCGAGGCGGCCCATCTCCTCTTCCCCTCAGCGGCCGCGACTGAAGAGACAGGCGCGCGCCCCCGGCCTCCCGGCGCCTGCGCGTCTCGGCTCTGTAGGCCCCGCGCCCCCCCCCCCCCCCAATAACGGACACCGTGGCAGGAGGCGGAGCGAGCCGGAGACACGTCGTTTCAGGGCTGAGGAAGCGGAGCGGAGCTGAGGGGCTCCGGACTCGGAAACGGCCCGAGCTCGCCGGGCTTTCTGTCAGGGAGAGAAGCTGCCTCGACAAGGGCAGGCGGCCTCCGCTCCGCGCAGCTTTCTGCCTCAGAAGCCCTGAAGGCCCGTTGGTTGGTTGGTTGGGTGTGTCGTCTGAGGTAACTTTAGGCCTCCTTCTGCGCCTCTTTAGGCCCCAGATGAATTGAGTCACGAATGGTAAAGAAAATAATTCCCCAGAGCGCTACAAAAACACACAAAAAGGGGTTCTTGGTTCTTCAAATCGCTGCTCCTGGGCAGTGGCGGATTTACCTATAAGCTAAACAAAGCTATAGCTACCAAAAAATTTAAAGGAAGTAAAAAACTGGGTGTACATTTCCAAAATATAAGATAAAAAAACAAATAAAATAAAACCTATATGCAGCAACTGTTTTGTGTTGTGTAGGCTCCTATGATGTAATGGGCCCCGCCTGCTAGCCTGCTCCCTAAAATATCCCTGGTTTGCTCATTTCTATATACAGGGTGCCTACATTCTGCATGGGCTGGTTGCATGGCAACATGTTCAAATGGCTTTAGATACCTATTAGGTCCATAAATTACCATATAGCATATATTCAACACAGAAAACAGCAACAATTTGTTGCTGACAAAGGACAGCTGGACATAGAAAGGGCCCCATTACCTTTGGTAGCTTTGGGCCTCATCAAACCTAAATCCAGCCCTGCTCCTGGGGCTGCCACCCCCCCAATAAATAAAAATCAATAAAAAGGAATAGCAAACAGATTCTGCTCCGCCCATCCCCTAACAAAAGTCATGCAGCCTCTAACCCAAATCCTGGCTGCGCCTATGTCCTGTGGGACGGTTGGAAAAAGTCTGGTCCCTCCAAACTATTCCGCCTCTAAAAGCAGGATTTGGGTCTCCAGTTGTTGGTTTTTTTGGACTACAACTCCCATCATCCCTAGCTAGCAGGACCAGGGGTCAGGGGGGTTGGGAATTTTAGTCCCCAAACAACAGCCGGAGACCCAAGTTTTGGGAAACCCTGCACAAGCCAAAGGTGTGCATCTGGGATAGATAGTGTTCAGTCTCTGTAGTTCAACCTTCACCAACCTGGTGCCTTCCAGGGGTTTGGTGCTGCAGGTTGGGGCTGTTGGGAATTGTGGTCCGAAACGTCTGGAAGGTGGCAGGTCGACGAAGGCTGTTCTGGTGTCTTGAGATTGAGCAGCTTTGGAGTGACAGCGCATTCTAGGGAAGTTCAGTGGAAGGAGGACCACAGTGCTAGCCGCGTTCAAACCACTGAGCCTCTGGGGCTTGCCGATTGGAAGGTCGGCAGTACAATTGACGGGGTGAGCTCCCATTGCTCTGTCCTGGCTTCTGCCAACCTAGCAGTTTGAAAGCACACCAGTGCAAGTAGATAGATAGGTACCGCTGCAGCGGGAAGGTAAATGGCATTTCCGTGCACTCTGGCTTCCATGACGGTGTCCCATTGCGCCGGAAGCAGTTCAGTCATGCTGGCCACATGAACCGGAAAGCTGTCTGTGGACAAACGCCAGCCTGAAAAGTGAGATGAATGGCGCAACCCCTTAGTCGCCTTTTTATTTTAAAATATAATATGGTAGAATCTGTTTTAAATTTACTTGGCAGTGTGTAAGCACTGATAGTTAAAGTATCTTTGGAATAAGATTAATTTATAAGTCATATAAAAGGGGGGCTGTAAAGATGGCAAAACCCATTTGATGTCACTAACTCCACACATGCACTGAAAGGGGGGGATTTATTGCAAGATTACGTTTATGTTATGAAGAGGCAATGTTGCCAGAAATTTTAGATCATCAAATCAAATTGGTGCATGGGGGTAAAGGAGTTTATGGTAAGTAAGTTCTTTGAAGGCAAAGGCAAAAGCAAGCTTTAAATATGTTGTAATGGACAAATTGACCAAGTTTCACTTAGTCATTCTTTTTAAAGGGTTCAAATGATGGATTCAAAAGTGGGACTTACAACAAAATGTTATTGTTCCGGTTTAGCATTCCAGCTAGATATGCTCCATTTCATTCCCCTTCTACCACTATCTAGCCACACCAGTACTCTATATTGTGTGACCACTGATCAGGCTCACTCTTCATTGGGCTGCTTCGTTTCCAAAAGGAGTCCGTTTTTATACACCCAGTTGTTTCAAACTGCACAGTATTAATATCTGCAATATGTTGCACACAGAGGTCTTTGCACTAACTGGTCAACTTCATTGGATAGAACCCACAAAGTATATCAGGTAGTAAATTTCTCAAAATCACTGGTTAGTAGAATAACCACAAAATAAATGTGCCACAAATACCTGTGCTTCCCATTGCCCTGAATCTGAGCACGAAAACCTGGCTCCCTGCTCTAAAGATTACATATGTTTGACACACCATTCATATAACCTTTAATGTCCAAACACTGTGGTTTGTCTATATTTACTGTACGGCATTCCTTCCAACATTGTAAATGTTTACTCTTTATGCACTGTTACAAGCCATGTTTTATACTACTGTTACTTGTTCCTGTGTTGCTTTAAAATGAAGCACTAAAATACATTAAGAAACACGATATTTACAACTGGCTTACATCTTCTGTGCAATGAAGAACTCAGGAGGTACAGTAGATGATGTAGCTTCCCTTTTGCTTTACTTTTTCACGTAGATATAAAGCTACATTTAATACAGCTTGAAGCAAATGAAGCTTCGGTTTCAGTCCATAAACAACTTACTTTGTAATTATGTGCATTAGCGTCATTACGATTGCTAGAGAGGAAGGGATTTGTAGGCTGCAACTACTTGAGTTCTAGCATGCTTTACTAGATACCTTGATGAAAAATAGTTCCAGAGAATGGAAGACAAAATATCTTTAAAAGCATGCTAGACTTCATGTGGTTGTAATTCTCAAGTCTCTTCCTCTCAGTCAAGGAATTATATCAAAATATAGCAATGAATTATAACAAATTAAAGGTTTTGCAGACATGTTTTAATGTTAGGAAATCATACCTACATTATCAAATCTGCTTAGATGAATTAATGTCAATGTTCTGTTATGTCTTAGATGTCTTCTTCCCCCTTCAAAACTTATAGCTTTGGGGATTCAAACACAGGTTTTAAAACGTCTATCTGCTGATGATTTACTCCAATGTCCATTTTTGCATATGTCTGAATACGTCCCTGGTTTCTAGCAGCAACAATAGCAGCCTGGAAGCAGTGCAGATGTTTCTTTGATTGTATCTAGGGACATGTCAATGGTATTCTTAGAAGCAGAAAGATTTTGGCTTGGCAAGACAACTGGTGGCATTTTTCTCCTCATTAAAACATCAGCTTGATAAAGTCCATATTCCACTGCGTTCCAAAATGTTCAAGCTTTTTTAAACATTAGCATTCTAATCATTACATCGGACCCATTACATGCACAGGCTTCTAGCAAATTAGCTTTTTAGAGAGCTCTTCTTTTAAGGTCTTTCCTTCCATCAAGTTGACAAGTGAGAAAAAAGTCATTCTTAAGATTGCCAGTCCTGGATGCTTGTCGAGACAAGGAGGTTATAGTGAACAGTTAAATAAACTCGCCAATAACTCCCTTCCCCCAGGCCCAAGTCTTGTCTCACTCTGAGTTGGAAGAAAATTCAGTGCCTTCTAAGTCTTAGCAATGTTCTTTGTCAACATCCACTAACTTCAGACAGCATGAGCTGCCCAATGACAGTTTTATATGTGTCTCTTGGTAGGAGAGCTTAGTACTATTGTAAATCCCGTCTATATTCACAACTGTTGTGAGAAGAGAGAGCCATAAAATAAGACTGAAGCAAGAGATGAAGTGCAAACTACTTCATTTCGTACTTTTCATCCGATCTGAATCTGTAGATTCAGGCTGGTAAACCTTTTTTAATTCAAAGTTCTAATTGGCAGTTATTTTATAAACATCCTGGCAATGTGTTTATGTCTTAAGCAACCAGTGTTCCCAGGGAAGGTAAACATTGTCATTTTCTTCAAAAGTGTTGTCTTTTAATAACATGAGGAATAAATTATACTGTCATTAATTAGGAAATGAGACTCAAAACAATGGTGAGAACAGAACGGGGGGGGGGGGCGAATGCTTCACCTTTGCCAGCTCCTTATAAGACCATTTCATTGAAAAATATTTGCAGTAGTGTTGCTGATAGATGTGGCCCATTGTGGATTGCACACCATATAGCATTTTGTGTTTTCAAAACTGCTGTGGCCATGGGGTGGGGATATAGGGGGCTAGGCTATTCCTTGATGTACTTTTATTTATTTCAGCCATTTAAAAACAACAATTAGGTTTCTGGACCTTCTACAGTGGTACCTCGGGTTAATAACTTAATTCATTCTGGAGGTCTGTTCTAAACTGAAACTGTTCTTAACCTGAAGCACCACTTTAGCTAATGGTGCCTCCTGCTGCCTCTGCGCCACGGCTGCACGATTTCTGTTCTCATCCTGAAGCAAAGTTCTTAACCCGAGGTAATATTTCTGGGTTAGCAGAGTCTGTAACCTGAAGCGTATGTAACCCGAGGTACCACTGTACTTGAAAGGAGAGTTCTACCAGCACTATTTTACACAATTGTTCAGTAAGAAGAAGTAAACCTCCTGGTTTCCAGTTTTCTGTACAAGGTACCTTGCATAAATGAAACCTACTTGACGCTCCTCCCCCCAGGACATCCCATTTACCCTAAAACCTAAGCATCATATACTTACTGTTGAATCACCTTGAGATGTTTCCTAAGGAGCAATTCATACATGAAAAGAAGAAAACAAACAAATTGATTTTGTATCTTTGTTGGTAAGTTAGCTTCGATTAGTAGGTTGCTTGGCACAGTCAATGGATTGGGTTGCATGTAGGCAGGAGTTCACAGTTCACACCTTTTTGGAGCTAGAAGATGATGTAATTGTGTTACAAAAAAGGATGTCCAGCTTTTTCCTGATGGGCATGAAGATCCCTCAACAGAAGGCTCAGATTGTGACCTGTGAAGTAGTGTGAATCACATGGCTTGCAAACTTAGAAGTAATGGATGACACCACGGAGGTGTCTGATGGCATCATGGTGCCCACGGGGGTCACACTGGAGACTCATAGAATCATAGAACTGTAGAGTTGCAAGGGATCCCAAGGGTCATCTGGTCCAATCACCTGCAATGCAGGGATCTCAGCTAAAGCATCCATGACAGATGGCCATCCAACTTCTGCTTATAAACTTCCAAGGAAGGAGAGTGAACAACCTCCCAAGGGAGACCAGAAAGTTTTTTCCTGATGCTTAGTCAGAATCTCCTTTCTTGTAATTTGAAGACATTGGTTCAAGTCCCACCCTCCAGAGGAGACAAAAACAAGATTGTTCCCTCTTCCACATGACAGTCCTTGGGATATTTGAAGACAGATATCATATCTCCTGTCTCCTCTTTTCCAGGCTAAACATACCCAGCTCTTTCAACCATTCCTCAGAAGGCTTGGTTCCCAGACCCTTGATCATCTTGGTCGCCCTCCTCTGCACATGTTGCAGCTTGTCAATATCCTTCTGAAATTGTGTTGGCCAGATATGGACACAGTACTCAAGGTGTGGTCTGACCAAGGCAGACTAGAGTAGTACTGTTATTTCCCTTGATCTGGACACTACACTTCTATTGACTCAAGGCATAGACAATAGTAAGCCAGATGGAGCAATGACCTGAATTGGTATAAGGCAGAATCCTGTGTTTCTTCCCCTCAGTGGGCCCAGTTTTCCCTGCCACTCCACCCAAAGAGAGGATGATGCATAGAAAAATTAGCTGCCTGTGCTCTCGCTCTGGATAACATGAGATTGGACTTTACATTCCCCTGGAAGAATGACCATTTCTCCTTCCCACTGCAGCTCCCTGTGCTCCATGAAAAGATGGGTGGGGGGCCTTCCAAAACAGTGTGGGATCTGCAGCAAAGTCAGCTTCTGCTCTTCCTCTAGCCTCTGCTGGATCTCAGTTCCTTCTGCAAATGGAAGGAGTCAATTTGCGGAAGGTACACGCAAGATCCAACTCATCTTCTCTTACATGGTTTGCACAACAACAATGCCTTTTAGTCCAAGCTGAAAAAATGTGAACAGTGACCTTCAACTTGAAGAAGAATTCAGTAAGGAAAACTCCTGCTTAAATGTAGGTCTTAATGACTAGTAAGAAATGAGGACTTTGCAAAACCAGTGAAATAAGTAAGATGGGACACTTTCATAAGCTGAGCTACATTCAACATATTCCTCATAGTGAGGGATACTTGAGACCTATGGACCTACAGTGCCTGAGGAAATAGAGCACATGTTTCATAGCCAGTTGTGGAACATATACTTTGCATGCCAGTGGTTGGCAGATTTCACCTCTAGTATCTTAAAATGATTTTGGGCAGCAGACGGGGGCGGGGACCCTTGACCTGGGACCTTGGAGCACTGCCAGCTAGAGTAGGCAATATGACTATAGTACCCTCAGTAAAAGGCAGTTTCGTTGTTTGCAGTTGTGGAAATGTAAATGAAATTGAGCAATCACTGTTAGGCTCCAGTATTTCAGTCTTAATCATCTAGTTGAAACGCTAACTTTTGTATCACTTTAAAATATTGCTTCATGAAAGAATAATTAGTACCTCAATAAAGAAGAATATCCTTTAGGGCACATATGTTTCTAACCAGGGAACTGACCATGGTACTGTATGCACAGTCAGTTTCTCTGATGTGACAACAGAAGTGAGGAAAGAGCCCCTGATTATCCAGGAACTCTTTTCATCTACTTATGTCCTAGATTCAGTGGTGGAGCTTCAAGCTCTGGCGGGGGGGAAGCAGGCGGGGGCGTGGCATGCTGCCTGCAGGGCTGTGGCATGCATCCTGGGGGTTTGGTGCAACGCCTGCAGGGGCATGGTGCACAGCGCTGGGGGGGGGGAGCCACGATGGCACCCCACCAGGATTGTGCCGCCGGGGACGGTGCGCTCCCCCCACATCCCTGTTCCTCTGCCAGTGCCTAGATTTGGTCATATGGACCTTAGAATTAAGAGAAGAGTTCTTTCAAAATAAACAATCTTGTAAACTTATTCTAAGGGATCCAGAAGTTGTAATCATTGTATAAATCTTTCCACAGGAAAGAAATTGTAACCACTTTGTTTAATAATAATAGCAGCAGCAGCAACTCAAAGTGGAAATGCATATTTAAATAAATATTTAAATAAATAAATCCCCAGGCTTCTGGTTTGAAAAACTATTAGCTGGAAATAGAAAGTTGTAACCTGACACTGTATGTTTGATAGCAATCACTTGAAAGAAATCTAATTGAATATTTATATCAACTGAATATATTATATCATCAAACTAAAGCCTCATTGAGAAACAAATGGGAAAATAAAGTAGTATTATAGGACCAAGCCACTTACATGAGTAATCCCCTTTGAAGCCAATGGGGTTGTTATGAGTAATGTCTGTAAAATGAGCTCAATTTCAGTCAATCTCCTTTGCTATTTTGTGATATCAATAGATATTGGTAAACATGTTTAACTAGTTATTTGTATTGTTCTCTCCTGTATTGGTCCCTACAGCCACAGCAGGTGCTGTAATTTTCCAACAGTTTCCAACCCAAACTCCTCCATTGTCTCCCAAGACAGACGGATGCCAACAAAAATGTTTTGTTCTTTTACAAGCCAGTCCTAAACCTGGAAGATATGATTTTCATATTGGATGACAGTAGGGTATTACAATCTGGTGTAAACTCTCTAGATATTTGATGTTCTGCTATACTTACTCCAGGATGTCAAAGGAGATATTTATGCAGATGTTTTTTGTTCACTTGGCCTTGTACACCTGGCTTCTACAAAGCCTATGAGCTCCATAAACTAGTAAGTTTCAGCCATAAGTATCTTCTGTTAGCTTTGAGGTGATTCAGAAGAAGGAACAGGTAGGACTCACGGAAAAGAAGACATATTAAACAATGAGTCTTAACTAGGTTTCCCAACTGTCAGAAATCCCTTTGACATGGACATGAAACATATTGGGATGTAAATCTCAGAAGTTGTGGAAGCTGTTCTAGTTCTCATGCAAAATCTTGGCAGTAGAACAGAAAACTTGGAGATACTGTGTATTTGGCTTCTAAAATGAAATATAGAAACCCAAGAGATTAAAATGGGAAATTCATCTGCTGAAACAAAGAGAAGGGGAGCCAAAGTCAATGGCATGAAGTGCAGATAGATACCAAGAGCCCCTCAGCTGATGTCTTCTGGCACCAAGGGAAACATTTCTCATTGGTATTAGTGAATCTGGGGGCATGATGAGAGATGGAGGACAGACTTAAAAAAACAACAACCAAAATCACTACGTTTCATAGGGGGCAATTCAAAAGAAAGTAAACATCTGCTGTGCAGCATTGGCAGCAAAGAAAGAGTCACATAAAATATTTCTTCTGAGTTGAGGGTTCAACCATATAATCACAGTGAAAATGAACATCTAGAATCAGTTGCTATCAGATTTAGGGCATAGTCAAAGGAAATTGATTCATTTCTGGACTAGATTAACTTTCTACAGTATAAAATGGAGAAAAATCTGAATAGCCCAATTATGTGCCTGTTCACTAAGGAGTGAAAAACTAAGTTTTAACTCCTGTTTCTCATCTCTGAATGCCATACTGTATATCACTATTTTACTGTTTCAGACATAGGGAGGGTATAAGAGACTGAACAGGTTGGATAGTGTATGGTTCTGAGAGAGAAAGGTTGTAGAGTTGATAATCTCGTCTCCATTCAAACATACACCTACCGTTCTTTGCTTTCCTTCCAACTCACACTAGCCTGCAATTATTCTGGGTACTCTGGAATTCTGCTGCAGTCCTGGATTGGGCCTGTTATGAAGCAGCCTGTAAGCTGAATGCAAAGCTTTTGAACATGACCTCAGCTGGTGAAGGGATAGTGATCAGTCCCCATTATGCAAACATAGGTTGGACTTTTCACTACTAATCAAAGTTCACCCATTACTCCACTTATTGGCAGTTACTCCTTTATTCTAATCTTGATATATGGCGAACATTAAATAAGGCTATACACCATAAGTTAAATGCGCTTTGAGGGCTTCTTGACTTCGTGTACATTTAGAGGTTTGAGACATATAAATGTGTGCAGGCACGTTTGAAACAAGCCAGATCTGCTTACTTTTCCAACTTAATTGCAGAACGGGCAGACTGCCCTGCTCTCCTGCAACTTTTTAATGTAGGGAAACTGTCAGACCTGGCTCTTCCTCTTTCAGCAGAAATGTGTGAGCTGCTCCCATCCACTTTTAGGACAAAATTAAGATTACTGGTGCATTAAAAAAAAATCTGGTACACAATGATTATATAAACATCTGCAATTTTAAAAATGTGGGCACATTATGAGATGCTTCTTTTAGGACATCCTTGAAAAACCAAAGATGCTCTTCTGTTCATGAAAGGGTTTCTTCTGACCATGCAGAAGAGCGCTGGGTGGAAAAGTGACCGTGAATCCAAATAAGTTGTTCCATTTGCACAATACCCTGCATAACACGTTGTACAAGCCTTTTCTGAAGACCTTTTTATGACTCACTGGAGTTTATATGTTGCAGCCTGTATCATTTCACAGGCCCAAAGCCTTCCTATTCTTCTTACACTCCCTGCAAAAAAAAAAAAAGGAAAATATGCTACTTTCATGGATGCTTTAGGTGAGATTCCTCCATTACAAAGGGTTGGACTAAATGACCCTTGGGAGTCGCTTCCAATTTTACGATTGTATGAATCTATGATTGCTCAGCCCAGAGAAGTAGTTGGTTCACCTAATAATAATAATAATACACTAGTTTTCTTCAATAGGACAAAATGAGCTTAAAGCTCAACTGGTGTCTAAATCTGCTTGTTTTCTTTTTCTCTCCGAATCCCTTTCTCCTTCTGTGTCATGTCTTTTAGATTGTTAGCCTGCGGGTAGGGACTGTCTACTTTGAAAGCCACTCCAGGACTCTTTGTCAGAGGTGAAAAAAATGCTTTTAAGTAAATAAATTGTTTGTGAGTATACTTGAAGTTAGGCATGAAATGTTGCATTTACACCCACAGGTATGTGAAATATTTGGAGAGCGAAGTGAACAAAATGTAAAGATACAATAAATCAGATGTTACAGGATTGCTTTTAGAACCCAAATGTTTTAAGATTGATAATCCTGTTTAGCTCTCCAAATCCCATTGGTTCATTTACCATGCTATTAATAGACCAAGTGATTGCCATCATTAATATCTCCCACTTATTTTATCCATCAATATCCAGACCCATTTAAAGAAGTTTATAGCCCCAGGAGCAGAAATTAAAAGCATAGGTTCAGAAAAATATATAAGGTTCAGAAATTATATATATATATATATATATATATATATATATATATATATATTTCAGAAAAATATAGGAACGAACACCTGTTGAGAGGACGAATAAGTTCAATCAATCAATATAAGTTTATTGTTCTAGCCAAAGGCCATGACAGACCTTCAGCAACAGTACCAATAAAAAACAATACAGATCATATAACAAATGTCTAAAACTGTGCACAGATGAAAAGCATGGACAAAAAATACATTGAAATATGGCGTTGAATAATAATGTGCAAAGTGGGTTTGCAAGAAGGGTAACAATAAAATAACTGCATAGGATTTGAAAGGGATGAGGGCTGAGGCAAAGTGGGAAGAAGAATTATCAAGTCATATAAGGAATATTGTAAGAAGTGGTTAATTCAATATATAATTGAAGAGAAATGAGAAAAAATAAATCAGCAAGAACTACATAAAGCAAAATGAATATGACAAAATGGCATGCAAAAGATAAAGAGAAGGGTGTAGAGTTGTTGGCAACCACCAAGCTGTGGATTTTTAAATTCATATATTTTATAGTAGACATCCTGGCAGCTAAACAAAGAACAAATAGGTGCATATATTAGAACAAGAAGCAAAATCACATTGTCGCCTTTCTGAAGCCTGTAAAAATGAACTTTTAATTTCAGTGGAGTCGAGACTATACTTCTTACTGATTCTCACAGCCATATTGAACTAAAGGTAATTCAGTTTCTTCCCCAATGATTTTGTTTGACTCTTTCCCAAATCCAGGGATTCATCCCACTGAAAAGTGACATTTTGAGATACATAAAAATGGTCATATTTGGAGGTCTCCAATTTCAGCTGTGCTGATATCATATTGAGCTTTAACATACCTGCGTTCTGCTTTTAGATTTCACAGATGTGCATTACCAATTGACCCACTCTGGCACACCCATTCAATATATGTCCAAATATTGCCCCCAAATTCTCCCTTCCACTTAGGGAACCTCTACTGAATAAAACTATATGTGCAATAAGAAAAGAGGCATTTTGGATTCTCCTTGTTAAGCATCCAACAGTGCAGTCCTGCACATCTTTACTCAGGAGTGGGTTTCACAGTATTCATTGGGGCTTACTCTGTAGTAAATGTGTTTAGAAGTTCTTCAACCTTGTTTTCAGGTTCTTCACTGCCAAGTCATCTCATGCTGAAGTTCTGAAGGAGTCCATCTCTCTTCCCATGAATTATTTCTCTTGGTGTATTCCATTTACCTTCATTACAACTTGTTCCTTTACCTGTGTCTTGGGCATCTATTTTGCATTAGGGTTAGGGTTAGGTCTTTATTATCTTCTCACAACTGCATGTTACTGTGTGTTTCATTGTACATGAGTTTCCATTCCTTTCCACAGAGGCAGCAAAACTGTCTGCAGATGGATCAGATGCCTAAGTTGAAATAAATGTGAAGAACCATTTTATGGCCTGGGGGAAGTTATGCATACACCAGAGTTCTTGCACCGGTAGGAAATGTGCAAAAATCCAGGTCTTTCTTATACATTGCAATCCTATACATAAATGGAGAAGTAAGTTCAGTGGGACATTCTCCAGCAAGTGTGTTTAGGATTGCAGCCATTAAAAGCTAATTTCCTTATTTGCATTCTTCCTAGATGATTTTGGATTGACCCTGAAAAGAGAGTGCATTTTTTTTGGGGGGGGGGGGGGGGAATCATTGTGCTACAGACATTGAAAAGGTAAGAGATTTAGATTTTCTCTTCCCCCAACCCTAAACTTTTGGAATTAGTTTGTACTGTGTGTGTTTTTTAAAGAGCTGCCAAAATGCTGATTCATTCCACTTTGTAGATTAGATTATTTTAAATGTCTTATAGAGTCAAGCCCTCTTTATGTCTTCCTCAATTTGCCACAATATTTTGAAATTGTCCGGGACATTCCCATAAGTGATCTGAGTTTCATCAAGCTGAAAATGAAGTCACCAAAGCAAAGCCATTTCAGTGTTCTTCGGGGTTTTAGGTTTTGCCTTTCTTTTCCTTTTTTTAATCAAATCACAGTTCCAGCCAGGTTGTTTCATTCTTTCCCATACATACCACAAAGGATACACAAAGTTAATCAAGTGTGGCCAGATGAAAAGCTGCTTATGTTGTGTGTAGGAACTGACATCAAGCATTATTTCAGTGACATCATGAGAGATTTTTAGAATTGGCAATTAAATGGGGGGAAAGTGGTTCTAAATAATTCTGGAAAAATGACATGTGATGTGGTTCTATAAAAAAAAAAGTTGGTGTTTCTAGGTCAAATTTGCCAGATCTGAAATTACACAGGCAATTTCATTGCACCCCCTTTTCACTGCAGCCAATCCCGAACTTGAAATTTGAAAACTCTGCCTTCATTAGGCACTGAGCAAAATCCAAAGAAAGCTAAATCAGATTAAGGGTGCTTCTAAGTGGGAAACTGCTTAGGTAGGTATACTGACGTAGCAAACCTGATACATGCAAGTCATCCATGCAGATTTCTTTCTGCACCATTGCTTGTGCCAAAGGCAGACCAAAGAATTAGCAGCAGGACTGCACCAGTGTCACTGCACTGCATGGGAAAAAATTGTGCGTAAAGTCCAGTGTGATAACTGGTAGGGTAGCATTTTTCCTTGTACTTTCAAAGAGGTAATAAAACATGGAGCTGGTGGTCCTGAAGAATGGTATCTAGCTGCATTTTAAATGCTCATGAAGCCAATGGCTTCAATCCTAAATTTCTCCCTTTCATATAAGGAGAGCACCTATTCCACAAACACCCACTCCATCTGCATCCCCTGCCCCGCAACATAACCCAAGCATTTGGAGGGAAAGAGGAAGCTGGTGAGTGTGGTGCAGAAAGCTGTATCCTGAAAAAATGAACCCAGTAATAGTCATGGGAAAAGTTAAGATCAAAGCCACTTAATTTCCTCATTCAAACTTACCTTTACCTGTATTGTATCCACCCTTATAAAATGTAATAAATGTTTAGTAACATCAACTTGGTTTTAAAATACGTTCTTTGTGCTCATACTTGGAGGATACATCCTGTTTGTTCTTCCTCGTGTACATGAAAATGTTTGCAGATCTTCCCTGGGGCCAATTGAAGAAGTGTGAAATGATTTGCTAGGGAGACCACTTTGTAGACAGACACTCTCAAGTAGAATATATATCATCATTTTGTGATATAATCAAGTAAATGTTGACAATGACTTTTAGGCAACTGATCCTGATCACTGGTAAATCTCTGACTTTTCAGAGAGTTACATTTGTTTGGGATTGTCAGCGTGTGAATGTTATATACCAAATATTGGACATTCGCTACAGTTTGTGTGTGTGTGTTGTCTATCTGTGTATGCACACACATATTCAGAACTCTCTGGTATATGTACAGATATTCACAACATTTACATGGAACTGTGAACATTTGCATGTGAATAATCAAATTTGGACATTCACTGTATGTGTGTGTGCGCGCGCACACACACATCTGTAGCTGCCAACTGATGCAAGAATGGGTTATATTTACATGACTCCATTAGTTTAACCATAAACAGCTGCTTTAATTCATACCATATTCTCTTCAATTCAGAATTACATTAGTTTTAAGGAGATTAAATGGTCGCAATCCAGAGAATCACCTCTTCACAGAGAAACAGGTGTCTGCCAATGAGTTCATGAGATGTAAGAAGGGGAATCTGCAGTGCTTCAGACACCCAATAATATTTGTGGTGTTCAAGTTGTGCCTCTTTATAAGTACAGTACATATTGTCCAAATATTTTCTCCTTTTAAGCTTTTAGGCTACAAAATCATTTATTCTGGAGCAGTACCAGTCCACTAATAACCCAGTCCTTGTGACACCATTTCAGAGGTACTTAGGTATATTATTAATAAGTTTATGACAGATGCACAACTTCCCAAAGATGACATTATGCTGGCATTATCTGCATCAAGGCAGATAAATTTAACTGCAGTGCCATATTTTCCAGTCTGAATTTAATGCGACTGCCCTTTAAAACGTTATTGAGCTAATTGACATGATTCTGTGGTTTTAGAAAAAAAGAAGAAGAAGAAGCAAAGCAGATGTGTATTATTAATCCTAATCTAAAACATTGGTTTTTGAATGTTTTCTTACTTGTAAGCACCAAAATATCTTGGAACATATAATAAAAAAACAAGAAAACAGAAATCTGAGATGGGAAAACGGAGTTGCTGGAAACGGACCTTTTAGCAGAGCATTTTTCCTATACATTAACCACATTTTAGTGATAGATAATGTTAAACAGGCACAATTGTGGAGGAAAAGTACAAAACAGTGGATTTTAATAGATCCCCTCCCACAAGCAAACTGATAGGTGAGTTAATTTAAAATCCTGCTGCTCATAGAATTTCTATAGTGGTTCTGGCTACATTTCTCTGACCAATGACCATCTGGAAAGGCTGTCTATGGGGCTTCCCAGATTATCAGGGTGAATTCAGTAAGGGCATGATCTACACATGTCCCTGATGCACGGGCCACTTCCTGACTATCTAGTTTTCACAAGTGAGCCCTGTCAAGGCCCAGACGTATCTGAACTCCAGGCAAATGCTCTCTTTCTGCAAAAGTGGCTATAACTAGTAGAAAAAAACCATGATAGCCTCTGACTGGAATCTGAATAGAGAAATGCTTCACAGGTTGCTTCTGTATTGTAACATACTGGCACAGCCTTCCCCAATCTGGTGGTTTGGTGTTTTGGATTACAGCTGCCATCAGCTGATAGGGTGTATACCGTATTTTTCGCTCTATAGGACGCACTTTTTCCCCTTCAAAAATGAAGGGGAAATGTGTGTGCGTCCTATGGAGTGAAGACGCCATAGCCCCGCGACCCTCTCCCAGCTGGAGAGGTGACACACGGCTATGGCAGGAGCCTCTTTAGCTGTGCGCCACCTCTCCAGCCGGGAGAGCGCGCGCGGGGCTAAAGAAGCCCCCCGTGACCCTCTCCCGGCTAGAGAGGTGACGCGCGGCTATGGCAGGAGCCTCTCCGCTGTGCCTTTCCGCTGCTCCCTGACCTGCTCTTTGGGGCTGGTGGTGGACTTCCCCCCGCCAGCCCCAAAGAGCAGGTCGAAAGGAACCTGAAGCCTGGAGAGCGAGAATGCAGGTAGCCGCCTGAAGGCACCTTAAACGGCACCTTGTTTTAGAGCGGGAAAACAAGAGGGGGGAAATGCTCCGGCATGGTTACTCTCACAAACTGCAGTGATACACCACTGTTTTGTGGGATATTAAACTAATAATTCATGTTTTGCCAGACAGGTGCATGAAAGGACTGAGGCTCACAGAGCTTTCCTGGTGGTGCCTCCAAAAGTGGGAGACTCCTTTGACCCCCTCCGCAGCAGCAGCAGCAGGAGGAGCTGGCCACTGAAGCTGTGCCGCACTTGGGTCCACGTTTGGCCTCTTCCTCCTCCCCCTGGTCTTTTGGGACATGGGGGGCCCGGCCTCTCAAAAAATATTGGGGGAAACCAAAAGGGCTCAGCCCCCAGGAGTTGGCAGCCCTGCTTGAGGCACAGGTAGTCTCGGTGGCTAGTAGTCCCTTTTACCAGCTTCAGTTGGAAAGACAACTACAGCCATTCCTGGACCAAAAGAGCTCAGCCACTATATTTTTGATGTGGATAACCTCAAGATTGGATTACTGCAAAGTGCTCTATTATGGCTTCCTTTGGGCTTAATCTGGAAGGTGCAACTGGTGCAGAATGCAGCAGTGAGATTGTTGACTGGGGTAGCCCATCACACCATATAACCACCTGCTGAAGGAACTGAACTGGCTACCAATGACACAGTTCAAGGCCCTGCTTTTAGCATTTGAAGCCTTAAATGACTTGGAACCAGGATATCTAAGGGGCCACCTTGTACACTATATCCCTGCCCAGCAACTGCTCTTCTTGGATTGAGCACGGCTGAGAGTACCATATGCCCCAGAGGTGCACTTAGCCTGCACTAGAAACCAGACTTTTAGTGTTGCAGCTCCAGTTATCTGCAATAAATCACCAGCTGAAATCGGACAAGTGCCTAGCGCAATGATGTTCAGGTGCCTACTGAAGACATTTTTGTTTAGGAAGGCTTTCCTTGAGGTGCAACCCAGTCATTTATGGAAGATCAATTTTATATCTGATGAAATGGTTTTGCTGTTTTTAGAGTCTGTATGGATGGTTTTATTGTTTTATAGTTTGCTGAATTGATGTTCTTGTTCTCTGAAGCACTTGTGTTTCAGTATTTGATTCTCCTTTTTTCTTTTTCTTTTTACTGTGTCCACTGCTTCACACAAGCAAATGTGTGCAGGATTGGGGGCAGCAACTGCTTTGACAGCAGAACATCACAATGTGTGGCTTTACCAAGCAAAGATAAACCTGTATTTGGCAACGGTGCATAGCTGACAGCCCTTATTTCAATATAGTATTGAAGTATCAGGATTGCCATGAGAGTACAGAAATGGGAAGAGGTGACAAGCCTATAAGGTAAAAGGTAAAGGACCCCTGGACAGCTAACTCCAGTCAAAGGTGACTATGGGGTGCAGTGCTCATCTTGCTTTTCAGGCTGAGGAAGCTGGCATTTGTCCACAGGCAGCTTTCCGGATCATGTTCCCAGCATTACTAAACCGCTTCCGGTGCAACGGGACACCGTGATGGAAGTCGGGGTGCACAGAAACACCAAATACCTTCCCACCACAGGTATCTACTTGCACTGGTGTGCTTTCAAACTACTAGGTTGGCAAAGGCTGGGGCAGAGCAACAGAAGCTCACCCCATCTAGTGGATTCGAACCGGCAACCTTCCGATTGGCAAGCCCAAGAGGCTCAGTGGTTTAGACAACAGTGTCACCTGCATCCCTGGAAACCTGTACCTATACTCAGAACTAAGTCCCACTATGTCCAATAGTGGGATTAACCCCCAGTGAACATGTGAACATGTGACAAAGACTGTGTACACATTAGTGGCTTAAAACTGATCATTCTTTTTCTCAACTTGGATTGAAACTGGTTTGGGGAAAACACATCAAAACTATGTAGACACACCTGCTTACTCTGCATCCAGTACATTCCCATTGCTGGTTTTGGAAGCAATATACACTCAATCCATCTATCCTGTTTTTGCTTGGGAAATACTGTGTTTTGATATGGTTTTCCCCAAACCAGCATCAATCCAAATTGAGAAAAAGAATACCCTAGCTAAGTTTTAAGCCATTAATGTGTACACAGCCACTGCATTTCATGAGAACCCGCAGGTTAGATACAGGATAGATAGGGATTATAGCTAACATTGTGTGTACACTTCTTCCCAAACCAGTGATGGGAGTGCACTGAATGCAAATTAAATGAGAACGTGTGCACAGCCAAAGTCCCAGGGGCTTAACACCGAAGTAAACATGCATAGAATTGTTCTGTGCAAGTCTTTTGGCCTTCTCCCCCCATGCAAGTCAGTTATGTCAGTGAAACACTTCACACCTGATATATCGTCGTAACCTTTTTAAAAAATGGATTGCCACTGGAGAGCTGCATAACAAGATGTGTGTCTCTGAATTTGGAGACACACCATTTCCCAAAGAATTAAGGTGGTCCAATACAGCCTACATTGCTCGTAGTGCACACACTCTGATTTCTTTTGCCATGCCATTAGCTCTGGTTGAACAGTTGGCTTTTCTTTCAAGTGCTGCAAGAACGTGGAAAACCTGTTTGATCAGGGATGGTTATGGGACAGAAAGAGAAATGAGTGCATGTATATGCTACAAGCAACACTGAACATCAGAAGAGGCTGCTAGATCAGGCTAATGGCCCGTCGAGTTCAGCATCCTGTTCTCGCAGTGGCCAACTCATACCTCTATCTCACACCATCTCTCACCAGCCTCAATCGCCTTACATAAGATGTTACTGAAATTAAGCAAGCGAACTCAATGTATACCAAGAGGACTAAGCAGTAGATTAGATTCTCAGGGCAATTAGTTCTGGCCAAGTTCCCTTTAACTCCAGTGCCTGCAATTAATTTGCTCATTTCCTGAGCCCCTGCACATTCTCATTGACCCTTTGTCAACTGAAGTGCAACTCAGAAAACAAGAGAGAGGGGGGGCTTTTCAGTTGTGGCATCTTTGCAAGGATTATGCCCTTAAGACGGGCATGTCTGATCCCCTCTTTGCCCACTTTTAAGACTGCTTTATCTGTTGTCATCTTTTATACGATGTGCTTTTTACTGCTATTTGTTTAATGCGTTGTATTGTTGGGCTTTTTTATATCCTAGATTTTGATTATGTCTCAGAATGATGGCATATAAATGTTGGAATCAAATAAATAATTATTTTCACTGAATTTAGAGCCCTGGTTCACACATCCATTTTTGTCTCTTGGTGACTACAAACATGTGAAACCGCCATCATTGATGAATCAAACCAAAAGGAGGGGTTTTGTATTGCCTACCGTACTTCAACTCAATACTTTGCCATGTAAGCAATTCATACATTCATGTTTGTGTCACTGAGTAGTGAGCTACCAAGTGATGAACATGCATTATGTGAATATGCCCTTATAAGAGTCCTGATTCTTTGAACTACATGTTTAGGAACATCATGCTGGCCATTATTTATAAATTCAACTACTGTCCCTCATGGTTTCCACAGAAACTGAGCCAGACGACCAAATTCAACACATTTTCATCAGGCCAGTAAACCTAGAGAATGGTGAAATACTTTTTCCCCCTTCTGCGAATCAAAATAAAACAAAATGTGTTATCAGAGCGTGGTTGCTATTCCTCTTTTGTGGGCAATTATACTATGGGGAAAAGCTGTAGGAAAAAAAGTAATGATGATTCTGTCATTTCTTTAGGCCATTTTGTTTCAGCTAAGGAGCCATTTCCCTCCTATTAAATTGCTATTTTAGGGAATTACACTAGTCCCCAGGCATGACTTAAGTCTCTATTAAAATGATTTCACGGTGCTTGTGTTTAACTGTCTGATACGTGCTTTTCAAGTCTACAGTTCTCTTGTGATTCCCAGTTAACGACAAAAAGAGAGGAAAATATATGCTTCATTAACCTATTAAGAAGGCAGGGTTTTTATTTTATTTTTATTGTCTTCATGAATACTGGTCAGGATCAGCAATATGTTGCTTTGGCAGTCGTTGGACAGGATCAAAACCAGGCATCAATATATGTGCTGTTAGTCAAGAGAGAACTATAATAAAGTGCATCGTGCAGGAAAAAGGAGAGACAATTACACAGCAATTGGCTCTTGGAGTGACAGTGGGGGCGTGCAGTGCTAACTGAACAAAGATATTGGATCAGTCTTTGCCAGCCTAGATGCTGTGGACAACAACTCCAAGACTGATGAGCGTTATGGTCAAAAGAAATCTGGAGGGCACTAGGTTGGCGAAGGCAAAGGTTGCCGGTTCCCAATCCCATACTAGCATTTCCCCCCCTTTTTCTTCCAGGTACCCACCTGTTCCACCCTAAAATAATCCAGTTGTAAACCCTAGGGATGGGCATAAGGAATAATTTTGGGTATGGGGAAAAATTGAAATGATAGACGGGCAGAAGTGTGTTTAAGAAAAAGTGCAAGGTTCTCTGTTCTTCCTTTTCAGATACTGTACTGTGGTTAATGCCTAATGTGTCATGTTTAATGACATCACCAGAGCCCACCCATGACATTGCTGCGGCCTGCTCCTAGGTCTTAGGTTTGCACCTTGAAATATCAGGATCTGGGATGTTCCTGACCAGGAGGGCTGTGAATCGCAGCACAGCCAGGTCAAAGCAGGTGAGGGCCCCTTCCAAGCCACTAGGGCACAAGTTACACCTTCTTGTCAGTTAGATAGATTTTCTAGTAATCCAGATAGGTCTGGAAAGAGAGAAGGAATGAATCTACTTTTTCCAGATAAAGCACTGAATATTCCTCCCACAAAGTTCTGTTACTTTTCCTTCCTGACATCAGCTTCCTCTGATACCTCTCCTTTCCAGACCAGCAAATGGTTTCAGAAGGGGGAAAAATACAATTATGAATGTGGAACAACATATAAAAGATTAGTTCTATTATTTTATCGTTGAAGGAGATGCCCTAGTTACAGCAGTCATCAATTTCCTGTTACTGGCTGCTCCCTTATCACATAAAACCAGCCATTTCAGAATTAAAACAATATTTGATGCACTGTCACAGAATCAAGAACTATAACATGACAGAATCCAGTCTCCACAAAGAATATTAATAGATAAACACCCCAAAAACTGCTCTTCTCGTTTGGACTCAGTCAACCTTATTTTTGGAAAAGTAACCTTTTCCAAATTCTTCAAGATGTACTTAACAGAGGGACACCAGATACCTCCTGCTGCTGTCAGTAAAATTCCTTTTGCATGGCTTTTTGAATATTCTCTGGCATTCATTTTAAAGGTGGTCTCTCTGAGCATGTACAGATGCTCTCCCTCTCTGGTGCTTAAAGAGATGCTAGCAATCCTTTTGACATGCACGCACAGGGTTAAAATGTTTGCCGGACATTATACCGTGCCAGAACCGTCCATGGTATTCCTGGATATTTTGCAGCCCAGAGTCTCTCCAGAGAGAAATGTTGCATTCGTGTTACTTGCCCTGTCTAATTTAAGTGCAATATTTTGAAATGCAATCCCCTGAGGGAAGCCTGGAACAGAATCTTTCTCCCTTTTTTGCTACTGTTGGGGTTGTTTTCACATGAAGATCTGTGAGGAGATTCTGGAAGACAGACTCTGTGAGAAAATTCAGACAAGGAGAACTGAATATTAGGGAAAGAAGAAGAGCCACTGGAAGAGATTGCAACAGCAGTAGCCTTTTGCCCTCACAGAGCATTCATCCTGCAATAGCTCCGCAGCCAGAGAGTGACAGAGACCCAAAGGTGCATTCCTGTCCCACACTGTGTCACAGCAGACAGGTAATTGGTCACTTGCAAACCACCACCACCACCCCGCAAAAAAACCCCTATTTGATTCTTTCCACTTCTAATTTTGTTGCATTAAAAACTTTTCTTAAATGCCACATTTATCTGAAATGCTCCTCATGCTTCTTCCTTTCCTTCCCCTTTCCTAGTTAAATAAATTCCTTCTTGTTTTCCCACTTTATCAAGTTGCATACTGACCTTCCTTTCAGGAAACATGGAGGCTGATTGGCTGGAGGCACCACACACTATTTGGGAGACAATATTACCCCCTGTCTCCTAAGATCTCTCAAGTTCCTATAAGTGTTCAGCTTCCTGACACTCAATTGCCCACACCCAGCTATGAAACGGAAACAGCTAAGCAAATGGCAGTCAGAAGAAACATGCCTCTTCTGTCTACACAGGTCATACTGTGTGATCTGCAGGGCATATCAGCCACCCCAGTAGATGACAACCACATGTTATTTATTATGTAACTAATAGAACATGGTGATTTTTACCAAAAGATACAAGGTTTGCCATTATGTTTGATTTGCACAGCACTTAAAGCTTGCTTTTGCTCTCACTCTCAGAGATGACTTTCAGTGCATCCCTGTTTATGCCAATAAATCTTCTTTAAATGATAGTTTGAAGTGAGTAATTTTGCTTTGGGGGAAAGAATACTGGAGAAAGCTGGAATGAAATATTGAAAGTCAGTGCTTCAAATCCGAAATAATTTTGATTGCCAAAAACTCATTGGATAAAGTTCCTGTGTCTTTAAAAAACAAAAGCCCTCAAATACTGCATATTGTTTTAAGCATTGCAGGGATTATCAGATTAGATGGCTTAACATTTACTGTATATTAATTGTATTCATCACTTAGATTTAAGATGATAGTTTTCCTTGTTGGGATCCATGAGTCAGATTATTAAATTTATCGTAATGATAAATACCGATATTTGAATCTGGTAAGTGGTGGCCAAGGGACTTGGTAATAAGATACATGACCTTTCACCCCTTGGGTCACTGGATCACACCCGTATTAGGTCAATAGTGGCAGAAAGTCATTACTTGACTGGCATCTGTTTGGTGGCCTTTGTGGAATCAGTTGACAGATTTCAGACCAGTACCAAGTGAACAGGTGCTCTTCACATAGAGGCTGTACGAGGCATCCTGCAACTCTTTGCAAAACTTCAGAGTCCTTGCTTTGCTAACCCCTTGTTACAAGGAGTAACACATTTATGCTGAGAAGATACACAACACAATCATTTCATGATTGTTTGTATGAGATTGGATTGCCTCTTCATTACTATAAAGCAGCTAAACTACTGTTGCCTGGTTCTCACAAACAGTATTGTACTTGATAAGCCTGTTACTTGACTATACCACATAGTGAGAATTACACTAAGACATGAGAAAGATAAATCCTGTGGTCTGATGTGGAATCTTTCCTTTTGGTTTGAGTTGGGATGAGGAACCCTGGAGTTAGTTGCACACCCAAAAGATCTTGTTTGGCTTCCAAACGTGAATTCTGCAAAATCTGATATCTGTACAGATTTCTTAAGAAATGATGTGTGCTCTCTAATGTTTAATTCCAAGGACTATGCATCAGTCATGTAAAGAGTTGGGCAGCTGTACCTCTATTAGCAGACAATCTAGGTGGAGTCCATTATCTGGTCGCGCATCATTAGAAAGGATGTGGAAGAAAAATGAAAGACTGCTTCCAAAACTGGAACCAAATACCCAATATTAAAAAGACAAGCACCATGAGGCTAGCTTGTGCCATTATTGTAAGGAACAAAATTCAAATATGTGAAAATAAATCCTACTGCATGCTTTCTCCTCCCAATTCAGTTGTTGCTATGTACCTGACCTAGAGACGGAATGCTGGATCCATAAATGTGTCTGGAAATGCATTTTCCAGATCATTTAACACACTTCTCAGCTAGCAAACAGTAACCAGATTTTCATTAGAGCAGAATGATTAAAGTGTGCTTTAAAAGAGGCAAGTTTACCTCTCCTTGCAAAGTGCCTTGCATAGTACTTTGAAGTCTCGACAATCACGTGATTGCATCACCTGGTGTAATTGTGACATCAGGTGATCAACAGGTGGGTGGCTCTGCCCACCTGTCAAATCTGGCCCAGCAGTGGTGAACTTTGGGCTTTCAAATTTCAGTGGTGCCCTGTAGAATGCCCAAAGTTGGTGCCCTCTCGCCTCTCACCTTACATTTTAAATCATTGCGGCACCCCTGCAATGCTCTCCTAAATCAGTCACGCTCCCCTAAATCTTGAGGGTCATCTAGTCTAACCCTCTGCATTGCAGGAATATGCATTGCAGGAATATGGGGATCAAACCTGCAACCTAATCTGTGCTAGCGATCATGAGGACAGCACCAAGAATTACCAGTATGTACTGTGACCTTGCATATATCCCCTGAACTGCTGTACAGTGGTGCCTCGCAAGACGAAATTAATCCGTTCCACGAGAGTCTTCGTCTAGCGGTTTTTTCGTCTTGCGAAGCAAGCCCATTGACGGATTAGCGCTATTAGCGCTATTAGCGGTTTAGCGGCTATTAAAGGCTTAAAGGCTTAGAGGATTAGCTGCTAAAAGGCTATTAAAGGCTATTAAAGGCTTAGCAGATTCGATAAAGGGGGGGGGGAAGCGAAAAAAAAATCGCAAGACTCGCAAGGTATTTTCGTCTTGCGAAGCAAGCCCATAGGGGAATTCGTCCTGCGAAGCAACTTCAAAACGGGAAACCCTTTCGTCTAGCGGTTTTTCCGTCTTGCGAGGCATTCGTCTTGCGGGGCACCACTGTATTCTAGCATAATCCTAAGCGTGTTTACTCAGAAATAAGTACCAATGTTTTCAAAGAACTTGCTTCCTAGTAAAAATGTACAGCATCACAGACCAGCAGTGCAGTCCTCTACATGTCTGCTCAGAAACAAGTCCCACTGAGTTCAGTGGGATTTACTTTCAGGTGTGTACAGAATCCTTTGTTCATTTATTTGTAGACTTCATTAGGTAAAAAGGTAAAGGACTCTTGATGGTTAAGTCCAGTCAAAAGAGACTATGGGGTTTGGCGCTCATCTCGCTTTTCAGTCCGAGAGAGCTGGCGTTTGTCCGCAGACAGCTTTATCATGGCTAAACTGCTTCTAGCACAACGGGACACTGTGACAAGTACCAGAGCGCACGGAAATGCTGTTTATCTTCCTGTCACAGCGCTGCCTATATAATACCTATAATACCTATATACTTGCACTGGTATGCTTTCGAACTGCTAGGTTGACAGACCTTGTTAACCTTATGAGGAAAGGACTTGTTAAAAGTTGCTTTTTCACATGGCATTAAATGGGCTTTTTAACACAAATGTAAAACACTCTGCTTAGAGACAGTCAAACACCATTTAGAGGTTATTGTAAGTAATTGGTATATAAATTATCCAAATAAATAAATAATATAGATTTGGTAGAATTCATAGATAGGTTTTTAAAGTCTTCATTCCACATAATAATACAGATCATGTCATGAGAAAAGCTTATAAAAACTTAGCATAATGTCTGGAAAAATTAATTGTAATGTCGCTTTTAAAGCCCCCCCCCTGCTCTTTGTGCCATATGTGTATTTGAAAAGTGTTAAATATCCAAGGTAACCAAATCAAACCTTGTTATTAAGTATGATATACAACTTATTCAGAACAAGGCATTCAAACTGTATTTTCTCATTTGTTCCAGGCCAATGTTGTCATGATTGTTGCTGCTTGGCTGACGATACTGACAACTGTGATAGGAGCGGTCCATGCAAAATACTCTCTGGGTAAGAAGTCTTATGTAGAACAATTTCTGTGTTCTGTAAAGCATCTAAATTGATGCCTCATATGTCGTTGTTGTAGCAGCAAAAGAAAAAGAAAAACCAGCAGTTGTAAGCACAGTAATCAAAACAGTAGTAAAGCAGTGATAAGTTGTCCTTAACTTCTGGTCATGACAAACACTTTGGAATCAGAGATGCCATCTATCTAAAATTTGCATGCCCTCCCCCCCAGCCTCTCATGCTCCACTCATGTGTGTGTTTTGCGCCCCTTGCAGCGCAGTGCCCAGTGTAACCCCACTGGTCATGCTACCCTACCAACAATACCTCTGTTGTTGGTATTACCAGCCTGCTGCTACCACATAGGAAATATTTTCGGTTACCCTTTTGCCCTTAAGTCTGCAAAGACAACCCGGCTGTTGCTATGATTGTTGTTAACCCTGAGAATAACAAAGTGAATTTGTCCAAGCCTCACTGCATAAGCAGCCATGTATTTGAAAGCAGACAAGTTGGTGGGACAGCGCCCCTGTAGCCTTAAAGGACTAGCCTCCACTGTGTTGTGGCTCATAGATAATCAAGATGGTGAGGGCCAGGCTCATGCTGCTTGCTCATCCCTTGATGACAACATCAAGTGATAACTGGGCTGTCACAGATATAGCACAACAAGCTGCATTTGTTTCACCACTGATGGAAGTTTCATATGGGGTGACATCAACACCTCAAATGCAGAGCTGTTTAACATTCAGCTGTCAGTCATCACGTGTCCAATAATCAAGCAATGCATATTTATATGCATGTGTGGACCAGTCAGTGTTAGAAACTGAGATATGAAAGCTAGGAGCTAAATAGCACCTTAAACCGAGGTTATGGGTGCAATAATTGAATGTCTAGGTGCATTTTTTTATAACAAGAATACCAAGCTGAAAATGAATGAACTGCAGCTAAAATGTTATGTCCATTTTTCACATGGTCAAGTCCTTCCCCTGCCCACCCCCCTAATATTCTTAAGAGGGTCTCTTCTCCAGTCTTGAGAGAGTAGCTGGAAGTGGGGAGGCAGAAAAAGGTCCTCCTTTCCTTCCACTTTTCAATTTAAATCTGAAATCTTAGGCGCAGTACTGTGCCCAGAGCTCAGAAACTTATCACACTGCTGAAATTCCCTGTCACAAAATGTGCCTAGAATAGTGGGAGTTTCGAACTCTGGAACCAGTCTACAGGTTGACCTTTGAATTAGATTCCACAAAGGAATGGAGCAGATTGGCAGTCTGGTTTGGACCAAGGAGGACACTCCCATAATCCTAATTTACAATACAAGATACACCCTTATAAGGTTTCCATTCCTTTTTAAAAGAGTGAGAACGGAACAGGAAGGGAAAAAGTGTTCCTGTATCTGAATAGTTGTGTCAAATAGGAGATTTTTGGAGTGTGCAGTTGGATGAACATGTAACAGCAGAATTTCCTTTTCCTTAACTCCATTTTTGGGTTACCCTCCTTTTCTCTGTGTAATCTTTTCCTGTTGCAGAATTGTGCACTATTTCATTGATGGTGGTGACCCCACTGTTACCAGATGACTTATATGCCTGGATAGCTTGGCTGACTACAGCATGGGGCCGATAACGCCAAGGTTGCAGGTTTGATCCCCTTATGGGATCCCCAGTATGGGACAGCTACATATTCCTGCATTGCAGGGGGTTGGACTAGATCCTCAGGGTCCCTTCCATTCTGCGATCAGGACGTGCCACATTAGTGGGTCCTCCTAAACCAGCGGCTGAAGACAGGGGAAGATCGATCTCTCCGTGGCCATTTAAAGTACGGTGCCTGCAAGGGAATGAGGCAGGGGATCCTAGACGTGCGGCGGGAGAGGGAGCGGGGCTGGCTTTGAAGCTGGATCGACGGTCACGTCTGTATGGGGTGCGGAGAAGGACCTGGCATCGGTTGCGGGGGAGGTCTCATCTCCCCACATACACGCTCGCTCCAGATCCAGGGAGTGCAAGAAGAGTTTCTCTCCCCTAACAGCCTCCTCCTCGCCCCTTCCGTCGAAGAAAACTACCTCTCGGCAACGCTGCGCAGGGGCGCGCGGAGTGGGGCGTGAATCGCTTCTGAATAAACGTCTCTATTAATGAATTATTAGCTCGGCTCTCCTGACCTTAAAAGTGGGATGAAGAGGCGCCCAGGGCAAGAAAGGAAAGCTGCTGGAGCCTTTATCGGTCTCCTGTCAGAGGCGCCCGACCATTTGTCTTCCCCCTCAGATCGCGAGAATTAATTAATATGAAAGGAAACTTTTTTAATTGTGTGTCAAACGAAATCAGATAGGGTCTCCGCCCCTCCCAGATTCAATATATATTCTTTAGGGTCTTCGCTTCTTCCAGCTTATTCCCACCCCCCTTTCTTTCACAAGGAGAAAGTGTAAGAAGCAAAGGGGTGATGTTGGGGGCGGCGGGGGCGGTATGTATGTAATATTCCCAAGGAGGGGGAAAATGATGGATTTGGGGGTAGATAATTTATCGATCCTGGCTCCTCTTCCCGCTTGTTTTATTTTAGAGGTCATTAATCAATGAAGAAAAACACACCACCGCGTCTCACCTTTTTGCATGTAATACAAACACTTTTCCCTTCCTTATTTATTTCTCTGGGAATGGATTCCTAACAAATATTCGCCGATCGATCCGGTGGAGGGGGCGATGGATTTTTATCAAAGTTTGACCGCTCGCGAAACCGATCGATTTGATTTGTTTCCAGCGTTCGTCCTATAAATAATAATCTTTTTCTTTCTTTTAGGGGGGGAAAAAATCAGATGAGGAAGACAGCGCGAAGAGGCCAGGTGTGTGCGTTCGTGTCCGTGTTGTGGGCGGGTGTTCATAAGATATAAGCTTTTGCTGCCTCTTTAAAGGCAGGAACCAGCGAGAAAGTAATAGCACGCGCTGAGAAGAGGCACATTTAAAGGAAATCAAGAAGAGGAAAGCGAGGCACAACGCGCGCTGGCGCGCACCAAACAGTCTGGCGAGGCAGACGCAGAGCGAAAGGGTCAAGCTTTTTGCTCGCGCGCCTGTCGCTGAGCATCCGGACGCAGAACCGGCCTCCTGTTAAAATGCGCGTGCACCGCCAGGCACTCTCGCTTCTGCGCTGACCCTAACAATCCTAAACAGCAGTGTATGTGTTTTTCACGTTGTCTTCTTGGGGTGGGAATTCTTGGGGATCTTATTTGGGCCATTATATTTCATGGCTATCCCTTGCTCAGTTTTAAGAAACGTGCATCACCACACCGATTGAATTATGTACCTCTCTGTGCAAAGAAAGAGGCAAAACAATCCCCTGGGCAAAGTGGAATCGATCTCCTTGTCCCTCGCTGCATGAATGACAGCGGGAAAGTAGGGAAGGTTGGCTCGGGAACCGAGAGACGTCATCGGGGTGCTGGACACGTGGCCGGTGCAGGACAGATCCAAAGCCGCCGCAAACTTTCGCGAGAGAGAGCGGAAAGACCTACACAAATAATAGTTAGCGCCGTCGGTTCCGCAACATCCGAGGCCTTAATTCTTAAGGAAATTGGGAGGAGGAGCGAAGGGTAGGTTTGCACTAATCCGGCATAAACCCCTGTTTAAAGTTCGGATTTAATGGTGCAGGATCTCCGAGGGAACCCTGATCTCCGGCTAGGAGAGCGGATTGCATCCCGAAAGGATCCGTTTGATTCGTTCTCGTAAATTGCCTCTCTCCCTCCTGCAAACAGCCTGTAAGACAAATGCAGCTATTGACAATGCATTTAAGCGCAAGGAAGGGCGATGAACAATCCTTCCTCCTAGTTGGTGGATTGTTTCTCCCTCCCTCCTCCCGCTTTTTTTTCTCGCATCTGAAGGGTTATTAGCAAAAAAAATAAATAAATGTGGAAGGACAAGGCCAATAGTTGGAATCAGAGAACTGGACCCGGACCTAGAGACCACCTAAGGGCCTGCCGTCATTCTTAACGCGTTAAATTATAAGTGATTAAAAGCGATACAGTTACAAAGGGAATGCAGGCAAAAGAAAAGTTGCTGAGAGTTCAAACTTGCGCAGGAAGTTCCATCCTGCTTCTTCAGTCACTATGCCTAGGATCGTAGCCTAAAAGCGGCGACAGAGTTTAGATCAACGCAGTAATTTTGCGGGAGCTCTTCGAATTATTCCTGGTTTTGTAGCGCATCATCGACCATTTTACACTCAAGAGTTCTAGAAAACTTGTTTTCGCGGCTCCCCTCTCCCTTTCCTCCACCCGCGTGCTTAAAAGAGCAACAGAACTTTTTCTTTTTAGAAAATGACGACTTAGAAGGGTAGTAGGAGTGGAAATTCGTAATATTCGAAGCGATCGAATTGATCAAGGGCAGCGAAAGGACTTTGACAATCAGCCAGCTTTAAATTTCAGAAAATCAGAGGCGCTGGTTCCTTCTCGCATCCTTCTCCCTCCCTCGGTCCACCGCCCCCCTTTAGTTGCGTGTTTGCCTTTAACTTAGGTGTTATCAATCTGTTCCGAAAAATGACGAATGACCTTGTCACAGTGACGCTAGTCAAAACATTCTCTCGCGCTGCCCCGCCGCCGCCTTTTGTCCTAGCAGTTCTGTTCAGATTTGTGTGAAAGTGTCTTGGACGCAGACGAAAACTAAACAGCACCGGCGTTTCCCAGGCTCTCTAAAAAAAGCAAGGAGTGTGGAGCAGTGCGGGAAGGGGTGGGGGGCAGGAAGAGACACGGGCTTCGCAAACACTTCCCTGCGTGGGCTATTATTCATTGCTAAACTAGGAGCGTGGAACATGCGTCCTCGGACACGCGTGGCGCAGGGAAGCGGGTCTAGAAATGGAACCATTCATTTCTGTCTGAGCAGAAGCGCTTTTTGACAGGCTGTGCGCGCTAAAGCAGATCAATGCCCCGCGCAATCTATCCGCCTTGCAAAGGAAGCACAGCAGAAGTTGGTTGGGGGAAGTTTGTCGTTTGTATTCTTTTTTCCCCTGGGTTAGGTTTACAAGCTACACGCAGTGTGCTCATGAACAACCCAAGGAAAGCGCGGGCTGGTTGGGGTACAGGGAAATGGTTCAAACGTTGACCTCGCCTGAAATCCCATCGTGTTTAACTTAGCCATTGAGACTTTAAGGGGGCAGAAGCGCGTTCGTCGGTGCACACGACCGTCAGTTCCTAACTGCTAGGCGTTTATGTGTCGTTTTGAGCAAAGGCCCGGCGACTGCGCCTCAAACGCTCAGCAGGTTGCTGCACGAGTTATTCTGTAAAAACTGTTTTATCCCGGGGACAGGAGGAATGGATAAATGGATGAATAGATTAGCAGCTTCCATTTGGAGCTGCTCTTGGCCAAGGGATAGAATAATAGAATTTCAGAGTTGGAAGGGACCCTGAGGATCATCTAGTCCAACCCCCTGCAACGTCAACATAATGACGGAGTCCACAAGCCGCTTCCTTAGGTTTTGAAGCGGCTCGGTGCACGTTCTCCTGGAACCGACCCAAGTGGCTTGTGAATCGCAAAAAAAAGGGGCTACAAAGCGGCTTTGAAAGAGGACCGTGTTTAATTCCCTATTTCCAACAAGGGGAAAGTTATGAGCCAATGGTTTTTTTTTATTCGGCAGCTAAGACCTGGGGAATGGGGGGTGGAAGATGGGGAAAGGTGGGACGGGGAGTGGGAACAGAGAGTCGAAAGCCAAGCACTGGAATACCTGTGAGCCGACGGGACATCCAGAGGCCAGCAAGGCCGATCTGTGGGGTGGGGGGGTGGGGACTCCGAAGCGTTTTGCTCGGTGGAGCCTGGGCTCTGGGAAGGGGCTCGCCTTGGCAGACTTTCAGGAGTGCCAACTTGAATCAAATACGGAGGAAGGGGCAAGTAAGTCGCGCCCCACATAATCGGCACACCATTTGAATGGACACTGGCCATCCACTGGGGGGGGGGACGGACCACCCCCTCAAATATTTTATTGGGGGGCGAAGGGACCTCGACCCCTAGCACTTGGCTCCTGGGGACGTTTCACCCTCTTCCGGAACCCAGAAGTCTACCAGTGACCCCCAACCCTGCAGATTCCCTCCCTTCCCTCCAGCCGTCTGGCAAACGACGGAAGCAGCAGCCGCCTTCTCGAGAACCAGGCTGCTCTGAACTTAACCTACGCGAGGTTGCGCGCGGCGGGGAGGGTGGGGGTTGTGTTGCGAGTTTAAGCAGCGCTCCGATCCGCCGCTCTTTCCCCCTCCCTCTCCTCCCTCTCCCTCCTGCCCCCCTCACACGCTTGTGTTTAGTGCTGTCGTAAAACCCACGTGTCTCGCCCGGAGGCTGCCAGAGCGCCGAGCGCAGCGGAGCCCAGCCGCTCCTGCCGTAGAGCGCCGCGGCGAGAGCCAGCGAGGAAGGCGCTGGAGATCTCCACGCGGGACAGCCTCCCCACGTCCCCGCCGTCCGAAGCCCACCAGTGCGCCTCTCCCGCTGCTTGAGCGGAGCTTTTCGGGAACACCATCTCTCCAGCCCCCCCTTCCCCACTTTCCTTCCCCTCCACGACCCTGGATCTCCTCGGGGAGAGAAGAGCCCTGCGCGCCTTCAGATCCGGGTAGCCCACAAAGAGATCCAGGTAAAAGAGAGGCGGGCGGGAGGATATGTGGCTGGGGGATCAGGGTAAGAGATCTGGCGGGATCCTTCGCCTTCTGCTCAAGTTGCCTCGCCGCGCGCCAACTTCTCTCCCGGACGCTGGGGAGAAAAGTGGCCTAGGCGCGTTTTGCTGGCGGCGCGCTTCCCCTTTCGCTTTGCGATCTTTCGTCCCTGGAAGTCCGTGGGGACTTCCCTCGGCCCAGAACTTGGCAGGATGGGACGGTCCGGGGTAGGGCGGCGGAAGGAGGTGGGTAGTTCAAACGCGATCCGGAATGTTACTCGCCTGGGAGGAATTTGGGGATGGGGTGGGGGTGGAGAGGCCAGATCCCTGGCAAGAGTGGGTGCCCCGGGGTCGCTTTCCTCCCCATCCCCCCCTGAAACTCAGGATCGCGGCAGACGCTGAGCCGTTGGCGGGCACCAAATGCGCCTCCTCTCCCTCGCCGAGCGGCTGCTGAGAGGGTCGAAGTCCGTCGGGAGTAGCATCCTTCAGACTCTGAGCCCCTCTCCGCCGGACGCCTTGCGGAGCGCAAAGTCCCGACGGCGCCTCTCACGGCTCTTTCTCTCCCCTCTCCCTCTCCTCCTTCCTCTCATCCAGGCTCGCAGAGATGCTGAAGCCCGGCGATCCCGGCGGATCGGCTTTCCTCAAGGTGGATCCCGCGTACCTCCAGCACTGGCAGCAGCTGTTCCCGCACAGCAGCCAGCAGCTCAAAGGCGGCGCCGGGCTGCTAGGTCACCTCCAGGCGCCCGAAAGAGCCGTCGAGCCCCAGGCTGACAGCCTACGCCCGCTGCCGGCCTCTCTCTCGTCGGCGGCGTCCTCGTCCTCTTCCTTGTCCTCTTCTTCGTCGTCTTCCTCCTCCTCCTCCACACCGTCGTCCGCCCCGTCTTCGTGCGCCGTCGCCTCCCTGGCCAGCTTGACTGCGCTGCCGGTGGCGCAGATCCCCGTCTTTGGACCGATTCAGAGCTCCGAGTCCCCGACGGGAGCCCCGGTCGCCCTCCTGCAGACCAAGGACCTGGGTGGAGGCAGCGGGGTGGCCAAGGGCGGCGAGAGGGCGCCGGCCCGGTTTCGCTGCACCGCCGAGGAGTTGGACTATTACCTGTATGGGCAGCAGCGCATGGAGATCATCCCGCTGAACCAGCACACCGGGGACCCCAACAACCGTATGTACTCCCCACCCAACCTTCCCGACGCGCGGCAGGGCACAGCCACTTTGGCTAAAGTTTGGGGTGCAAATGTTTAATATTGGGGGGGGGGAGAGAAGGACCCGCTCTCAAAAGTGAGAGAGCCACTGAACTCAAGAGAGCTTATGGAAGAAGGAGCTTACGTCAAGGAGATGAGTAACCCTATAACCTTTAGAAGGCAGCCCTATAGGGAAGTTTTTAATGTGCAATGTTTTATTATGTTTTTATATGTGCTGGAAGCCGCCCAGAGTGGCTGGGGCAACCCAGTCAGATGGGCGTGGTACGAATAATAATAATAATAATAAACCCTTGACTCAAAACTAAGTCCTGCAGTGGGGCTTAGCCCCAGAGATTTTGTGTGCGTGAGATTGCAGCCTAAATTAAGGGCACCCCAAGCAGAATTGGTCATCCAGCACACGCAGACTCTCCTAGAATTACTGCTTGGAACTAAATAAAACACTTCAAGATGCGGCCTTTAGACGCCTCCTCGTTGCAGAATGCCCCCAAATGATCGCTGGGAAACTTTGTAACTTCCCCCAAAGTCTCAAGAGCACATACTCCGAAATAAGTCCCACTCCCAACAACGGGGCATTGCCAAGGCAGGACTTTGTGGTCGTCTGAAGCACTTAGCGCTATAGCAGGACTGGAGAGTGACCGGCTGCATACCAAATGTTTTCTAGAACTTTGCTGAAAATAGGGTGGTGGTGGTGGTTGTTCTAAAAAATGAATATGTTTTATTTAAATATTGTATGGAAAGCTAAAATGTGTGGAAGATGTTTTTCCTACATTGAGAACAAACAAACAAAAGTTTTGCTTTTTATAAGGGAACTGCTTTTTTCCCCCCCTTTAAAAATACTGTATCCTTTCCCCTTCGGCCCTTGTTCCTGCCAGTAGCACCACGCAGCTAGGTTTGTCTTCGCAGCGTCAAAGGCGAGGCACGTTCGTTCCATAGGAAGTTTGTTTTCAAAAGTATAAATGTCAAAAGCCTAATTGGGTGTCAAAACCAATATGCTATGGGGGATTTCAGAATTACTGAGACCGCCACATTGACCTTAAAACAAAACAAAACCGGGGAGTCGAAAAGCCCCCCCCTCGTGAGATTTAGGCTGCAACCCCAGGCACACTTACACTGGTGTAAGTTTAAACGGAGTAGGGCTTACTTTTGAGTAGACACACCTAGAATTGCCCTTTTCTAGGATTACTTTTCTTTTCTGAAGTGTGGATTTGACCAAATACCCTTTTCTCAATTACAGCATGTTCCTTTACTTGCACGCCTTTGGAATTGCTTAAAATCTTTTCAGCTGTCTTAAATACATTATGTATTATTATTGGCATAGTTAGGAGCAATCAACCTTATCAATGGCACATGTGTAGCTTTTAAACGCTATTTCTCCTGTTGAAATAAGGGTTTGTTTTTTTTAAGTATTTTTGTAGTTTCACGAACTACGGTTAAACAATATTTGCACTTGGATGAATTTACAACCGATCCTCACAATATTTGTATGAAAACAAATGCTATCAAAACGAGGAGATTTGGAGTAAATGTGCTCTGGGCTGAAAGAGGCAAGCTCAGAGACTTTGCAAGGACTGGCGGAAAGAAGCCCGCAACTTGTTTAAGAAGAGTGCTTGCATTCTAAACCTTGCTGAATCTGGACGTAAATGGGATGGAAATCGGTTTAAACATAAATAGTCCGGTTTAACTGGTCAGTGCATGGAGCAGGAAAAACGCAATTTCAATGTAACTTAGAAAGTTTGTATATATATTTTTTCCAACGAGTTGAGGAAACTTCCCAGTGCTGACGGTAACGCGGGTGGTTCTTTTTAATTAAAACAATGTCACGATACACACAGTTCCTTAGCAATAAGCCGCACTGAATTTACTTCAATGTATTTTGAATCTGGCGAGGATCCGTCCGATCCTAAGCACTTTTACTCGGAAGTAAGCCCCACTGGTTTCAGTGCGGATTAAGCCCAGGTAAGTATTCATAGGACCGGAGCCCTGCATGAATATCCTCCTGCTTATTGGGCCCCAGGAACCATAAACGGTGCTACCAAGATCTAGCGCGTACAGGATTGCAACCTTACAGCGCAATCCTGTATGCATGTTTTCCCAGATGTGAGCCCCATGGGGTTCAGTGGGGCTTACTCTCCAGTTGCAAGCGTGTTTAGGATTGCAGCCGGAACCTTGCACATTAAATGTGACGTTTTAACCGCAAAGTGAATTTTCGGTTCGCGCCGGTGTCGCAAAGCGCAAAGGTTTAGCGATCCTGATCATGAGCTGTGGGAAACCTGACCATTTCAGCGCATCGTTTGCCTCCAGAGGCGACGCAGCCCGTGTTTTCTCGGGCGGAGAGAGAGAGAGAAAATCTGCTCCCATAAATTACAGACTCATAAATTAATGGGCTCTGAAACGCGCTTTTAATGGCCTACAGTACGCGGCTTACTTTTCAGAGACAGAGCTCGGTAAATCTAGAAGATAAAGGGCTTGCAAGAGGAAAGGTAAAACAAAGGGTGACCTCAGAAAGGGCAGGGCTGCTGAGCCAATTCGTGCTTCCCTCGCCAGCACTTAGAGAAAGAGCTTTGGAAAGGCCAGTGGTACTTGATGTAAAATACTCCACGTGATCCACGCGGGATCGCGACGCGGCTCAGGAACCGTCGGATTTGCTGGCGAACGCAGCTCCGCGCGGGTTCAAGCCCTGGGTGTGCCAGGGAACTGGAGTGCGCCTAGTTCTAGGCTGGGCTCCCAATCTGCTCCACAATCCAAATCCCAATGCGTTGATCCCTCCTTACTCATTCCTACCTATGAACCGGTTCCGATTTCTTTGGAAGCAGCTCCGAACCGAGATCCTTCCTAGTTTCAAACTCACAACCTCAGGGTTTGGCCAGACCATCTCGCCCGAGGGCTCGGGCTGTGTCGAGGGGTGGTGGATCGAGCCCGTTGTTAGTGAGCCCGTCTGTTTCTCCTCTCCCCCCCCCCCCCAGTGTGCCACAAAACCCTCTTCCCACGCGTCTCGTGGTCTGGTATCTCTCGTTTCTTTCTGAGATCAGAAGTGGTGCCTTTCCAGAGTTCACAAATATGGAGAGGAGGATCTCCATTTTCAGAGGATATGGGGACGGTCAAAAGATAAAGGGATTTTCGGCCCGGGAAGGTGGAGATCCTTGGCCAGAGAGTGGTGGACTGTCTTTGGTTTGAGACTAGTTTTGATTTGCGGCGGAGATCGCTGGGCCATGGAAGCAGTTGTTGGGCCAGGGATGACTGCAGCAGAAGCTAAAGAGAATCACAGAACGGTAGTCCAGCCCACATTAATGCGCCTTCGAGTTCTTTTCACAGGCTGCTGGTTGTGGAGAGTTGGTTTTGCTTTGCAATTTCGCGCGCCTCCCGTTTTGAATGTGCCCATTGGCTAGCTGTACACGCGACGTGCCCGCCGTAACAGCATGCACAAGTGACGCGTTCCACACTAAAGCGAGCTCTCAGCCCTCATCTTGTGAAAGCGCGCTGGTTTTTGGAACGGGTTCCCGAAATTTTGAAGTTCTGCGCCAGAAATATATAGCAGATCTGCAAGGGTGGGCGCTGGGGAGTACGGAACACGATGACCTGTTGGAGTTGATTTTAGCTCCATTTATCCGACCTCGCCTCCCATTAATTTCATGTTGATTGACCAGAAACTCTCTTACATTCTTTAAAAAGTGGAGAGTCCAGTAAATTAAAAATGCAGAGTTTGCCCTTGTAATCGAACTACGGCAGGTTATTGGATTTTGCACTCTTATCTGAAGCACATTTACACATTTCGATGGGTCTCTTGTCCACTGAAGGTTTCAAGTAAGGATAGCAGACTCAGCCTCACTGGGTCCAAGTCGTTTGGCTTAACTGGGACACCTAACTCGATGCTGGTAAACCTTGTTCAGTCCAGATGCCCTGTGGTCCGAATATGTACCATATTTTTAAAGGATAATGAGGTTTGTGTCGGGGACATAAAGCTTGCTGCATTGTATCTCACATAACCAGATTCCGTCAACCTTTGACTATGATTATGATTAATATCGACATATGCTAATTGCAAATGGAATAATTCAGAAGACTCATAGTTTCACCTGAATATCTTTTATTGTATAGTATGTACTGTTTTAAAAGTCATAAACTAGAGATGATGAGGACCCCAGTGTGAGAATACCTGTGGACATTCCGATATGTACCACGAATGGCTAATTTTTCTCAATTGATATCGTGCCTAAATGTAAAGCAAAATATTCTACTTTTTCACTGTGTGTTCTGTTTGGGTAGATGAGGTTTAACAATCCTGGAGGCACCAAACAACATTGAACTGAATGGGGCTTACTTCTGAGTAGACGTGCAAAGTATTGCCTCGTTAGAGCGCCATCATTCATACTCAGAAGTAAGTTCCACGGAGTTCGGCAGAACTTACTCCCAGGTAAATGGGAGTAGGTTTTAACTAATTTAGGGCTCCTCAATCACAGATATAGATTATTTGAGAGACTATTCAATAGGTACTAGCCAGGAGTCAATTTTCAAAGAGGATCTGTTTGAGGGTATTTTTTTAAGGGGAAAAAAAGGAAAAGTGATTTATGTTATTGTTTCAAGTGGAGACATTTCTAGCTAATAAATTGTCACAGTCTGACTCATTAGGATTGGAAATCAAATGGGATTTTGCTTAAATAAAGCGGCAGTTGTGCATTTTAATGGCTAGATTCACGCCCATGATCCTGAGCAAGTTAGGGTGTTTTCACGCCTGAAGCTTGTATTGGTCTTAAAGGCGACTGCCAAATAAATCTGTCTTGGCCAGAATGCGCTTTCCACTTGAAACCTCTTTTTAAGCTTCTATCTTGTATGAACAAACTTCACACGAGGCGCAAAAAGAGGCTCAAAAGGCTTTTTCTGGCCGTGTGTGATATGCCAGAATTTTCTTTTACTGAAAGCTGACATTCAAATCAAGTAACTCCAGTTGGGATTTGACGTCAAAGTCTTTGAAATGTCCTCGCTCCTACTCACTTTAGGGGGCAAATGTTTAGATGTTTCGATTCTTACCTATGGAAGAAACGGGGCTTTTAATTCATTTTTAATTATCGTGACGTGCAGAAGAAAGGATGAAACCTACTCCGCCTTAATTAATCCGGAATGGAAGACAGTGATTTTGGGTTTGAGGCGACATGATCTTTAGGATCGCAACAGAGATCCGTGTTTTATATCCTTGCGCTGCAGCTTTCGGAACTGGAGGTGGCGCGGCTCTTCTTCCTCCCTTGCACTGAAACGCCGACAACAAAGAAAGGGATCTTTCTGACCCCAGCTGCTCTGAATCGTGTCAAACTAATGCAAGAGAGCAGTTGCATTGTCCGTCCTACTGGATCGAACGACAGGAGCGTTTGCCCGCAGCAGCGCTCTGCGAAATATGGACCGTCCCTGCCTTTTACGTTTTAAATCCGCATTTCCCCCAATTGCTACTAACGCCTCTGATTTAGCTACTTTCCATCATCATCCGTTTCGCCGGCGGCAGCAGCAGCAGCAGCAGCAGCACCCTTAAAGAGAGCAGCTCGCGGCCCATATATTAGATTGAGGTTAGAAAAGGTGGTGACTGTTTATTTAAGGTGATAAAATGGTCCATCAGCAGTAATCTCCATCGATATGTGCCACAAGGAGATGAAGGATGAGGGGACAAGGCACAATTAATTGCCCTATAGTTTTGTAGGAGAGAGTGGAGGCAATGCGGCCCTCGCTTCGATCTCCTCTCCCAAAGCCCATTCATCATCTGCACATTGTATATGGGGCTCCCCCAGGGCCAAGAGGGTGGCAAGGTTTATCTACACACAATATTCTCCTAACCTTCTGATACCTGACACCGAAATTTAATTCATTCATACGCGCGATCGAAGGAGGCGAGATACACTCACACACACACAAAATACACACGCGCTCTATTCACACGCATTTTCCCAGCATCCCAGCATTTTCCCAGCATTTCCCAGCATATCACATGGCTTCGCACAAAAGCCACTTAATTCGTAGTCTCTCCTCTTCTCATTCATTTCCCTGCCCCCCCCCGCAATAAAACAACTAAGGTAAGAAACTCACCAGATGGGTCCGAATACAGTATATGCACACACTTAAACGGAGGCAGTGGCGTGGCAAGCGTGCAGTGGACCCCCCCACACCCCCGTTAAGCATAATTATTTAATTTCCTGAAATAGGAAGGCTTACTTATGTTAAAATGGCTCCTCTGCATTGCAAATCATCAACATTTATTTTGATATGCATAACAGTGCCCACCAAAACTTCTCCCGAGTGATCTGCACGGATTTGGCGAGAACCTGTCTAATCCCGCATCTGCTCAGATCCAGATGCCCCGGATTAACCGGTGTGCATGTCCGGATCCTGGCTGCGAGAACTCGAGATGGGCAGCCTGATCCTGTGCGGTCTTTCCGAGCAGCGCGCAAGTCTGTCCGGCGGAGAAGGCTCATAATAAAACAGGTCCTCGGAGGGCAGAGAACTTCCCGATATATAACCGATCTCTTCAGCTCAGGGGTGCTAACTTGAATAAAATATTTGGGGGCTGGGGCTGGTAATAATCACATAATCCAATATGGGGGGAGGTGATAATCGCTCCGCATAATCGATCACAAGAGGCGGCTCGTGCACACTATTTGAATCGACTTCTTTTTGGGGGGGAGGCTCACATATTTCATGGGGGGGCCTCCTATGGATCTCTTCCTCCTTTCCTGGGCTCATTCGAGCTTTGCATCGCCCTTGAGATTTAGGGATCGCTTTAGGATTAGATCTCCACCTCCTGCGCTCTCCCCCTCCCCTGCCTGCGCGCTGCTTCCGCGGAAGCACCTGGGGCTCAGGTGGCCGAGAGCATCTTGACCAATAGGATCACCTGCCGCCGCCGCCGCCGCCGCCTCGCGCGGGGTCTGAGGGAGACGCCGAGCTGCCTGCCAGGGTCGCTTATTCGCGCACAGGCCGCTGAGCCGGGCGGCAGAGTTTCCCCTGTGAGGGCGTTTCTTCGGGCGGAGGCCACAAGGGCGTCCCCAAGAGGAGCCCGAAGGAAGGCCTGTTTCCCTCGAAAACGCGGGCCTTGCTTGCCTTTGGGCCTCGGAAGAGGCCTAGTCACTCGGCTTTCCTGCCTCTGTGTCAGGTAATGGGACTTCTCCTCAGGTTCCCCAGACGGGCCTCCCTGTCCTGGCTATGTGGGGCGACACACTGGGGTGCCTCTTTGCTCCCCCCCCAATCTTTTTATTTATTTTTATTTTCCCTCGCCCTCTTTTTTCACATCAGTTCAACAGCACCAGGCGCAAAATGGAGAAGACTTTTTAAACCGCAGGTACATTTTCTTTGGAATAGACCTGTTCTAAGGTTTGTGTACGACAATTCCTTTTTTTAGACGTTCAGGGGATGTTGGCCAACCTTGGGCCCCTTCAGAGCGGGGCGTAACTTCAATATTGAATTATAAATAAATATCAAATCCCACCCCAAGTGCAAAATATCAAAGAACCAGAACATGTTGGGTTCCTGTAGTTATTAGCTTGTAATGCATTATTGCATTGCCGTCTGATGTTATCCAAAAACTTTGGGTGGTTTGTAACTGCTAAAAACAAAATTTTGGTGTGTTTCTAGTATTTGTTGTTGCTGTATGTAGTTATTAGTCAAGTCATGTATAGGAAAAAGGGGGAACAAACCCATGCTGGATCACGAAATACTTTTGAAACTTCCTCAGTTTCAGAAGTTGGTTGCTGATAATGATATTTAGGGTGGGGACTCCTGTTTGAGAAATAATAATTTAAAAAAGAAGCTTCTTTGAAGGCTTGTTATTTTTTTTTTTTTTCATTTACAAGTGATTCATTGTGATTTTTGGAGTCATGGTTTTTCAACCAAATATTAGCAAGTGAAAAATATCCAGAGGTATGAATTGCAAATTAAATCCCTATAATTATCTTGCCGTTTTTGACTACGAGACACTTTTCTGGAGATAATTTTGAGTTAACACAGCTAATACAGAAAACTATGTTATTTATTAATAAATCAAAAGGCAGGCTAGCCTCAAAGTATACCTCTTATATAGGGCAGGACTTTGGGAGAGGGGGAAGTTGTTTGGTTTAAGAATTGGACAGTTTGTGGCAAATTATTGTCAACTTTGCTGTTCAGAGGAGTTGTACCTACAACCAGGAGTATGTGTTTGAAGTTGGGGAGCGCTGAGTACAATTCATAAAAAATAAATGAACTCATGACGCTCTTTGGCTGATATTTTTGGGTGGGGTTCAGTCACATTCAGGTTGTGAAGTTATATTTGGTTATAGTCTTGGCAACAAACCTGCTTCCCCAAAAGATCAGACTTTAAGAATAAGGAAATTGACACCAAGGTTACAGGTCCGATCCTGGTATGGGACAGCTGCATATTCCTGCATTGCAGGGGGTCAGACTAGATGATGCTCAGGATCCCTTCCAACTCTACAATTCTATGACAAGAAAATGCACTGGAGTAACACTTTTTGATTGCAGCATCAGTCAGCTGCCTTGCAAACAAGCCAGAATATATTCTCAATTAACAAGTTGTCCGTTTCATGAATATGAAGTGCTAGGTATTTGCTTTCTGTGACTAGTGAATGGCACCTTCTTTATCAACACATTTTAGCAAAATTATCCAGGCTAAAGGAATATGCATGCTATCAACAAGGGGAAAATGACAAAAGAATACAGTGGTACCTCGGGTTACATATGCTTCAGGTTACATACGCTTCAGGTTACAGACTCTGCTAACCCAGAAATAGTGCTTCAGGTTAAGAACTTTGCTTCAGGATGAGAACAGAAATCGTGCTCCGGCGACAGCAGGAGGCCCTGTTAGCTAAAGTGGTGCTTCAGGTTAAGAACAGTTTCAAGTTAACTACGGACCTCCGGAACGAATTAAGTACTTAACCTGAGGTACCACTGTACATTAGTGGCCATAGGTCAAAGATTTACAGTATCCTGGACCTAAGGCTACCTATGCATTTCTTACTTTTTAAAGACAAATTCAAATTTCTTTTGAGCAACATAACATGACACATTATCAAGAGGAAACTGCAACACTGTTTTGTTGTTTTCATTTTTTATGGCTTTCACTTCTTTGCTTTCACCTTTTAGTATTGTATTTATGTTTAGTATCGTGTTAAAGTTCAGCTAGTGAAAATCAGATTGCCCAATTCGGGCAGAGCTAGAGGATACTTGAAATGTGTGGTTGCATTTCATATCTTGGTTTTTTTGTTAGCTTGTTTAAAAAAAAGAAAGAGCAGACACAGGGGCAGATCAGCTGAAAAACTGTAGGAAGACAGGTCACCAAGAAAGAAACAGCTCAAGTGAGAAGGTCTAAATCTGGCATGGAGAAACTATGGGCCCTCCAGATACTGTTGAACTCCAACTTGCAGCAGCCCAGCCAGGACGGCCAGTGGTGAGGGATGATTGGAGTAGAAATCCAGTAATATCTGGGGGAAGTTCTCCATCCTTACTCTATAGCAGGCATAGGCAAACTCGGCCCTCCAGATGTTTTGGGACTACAACTCCCATCATCCCTAGCTAACACGACCAGTGGTCAGGGATGATGGGAATTGTCGTCCCAAAACATCTGGAGGGCTGAGTTTGCCTATGCCTTCTCTATAGCTATGTCAAGAACAGACACTTTTTGTCTAACACGGTTCCCATGCAGTTTTGTCTTACAAAAATGCATACTTGTGAAAACTAAAGGAGGAATGGCTGATTAGCTGATCCTGTTGATGCCTTATATAAAAATAGCAAGGTTGTTTTGGGAGGCATGATTGAAGGTTTCATTTTGTTTCAGAAGCCCTCTTGCCTCAGACATCTGACCCTGAATGTTTCCAAAACGTTGTGTACCCAGTTTTATTAAAAGTAGGAATGTTTGTGCCCCAAGATGTGATATTGTATTATTTGTATATCTCATTTAGTTTTAGCTTCATGTTTTATGCAGTTTTAAGAACTCCTGGCTTTTTTATGATGAAAAAGCTTGACCATCTTTTGCTCAAGGTTTGTGTGAGTTAGAAATGAAGTAAATATATAGATTTTAACCAAACCTTTAGTGTCGAGCAGTTATACTAACTGTGCCAGTGTCTATTAAAAAGGTAGATATTTCCCCAAAAATTCACTTAAACTTCGTAGATGGGACTAAATTGTATTTGCTTAAATTAATACGTAATATACCGTATTAACCCAAGGCATTCCTTGTTTGTAAAATTGGGACGGTAGAGATAACCATGCACATTTTAAGATGGAAGGGATTAAACTATTAATGGATGAGAGAAGTTAACATATTTTATTAGTAGCCAATTCAGTGACTTCTAGTGTTGTTGGTTTTTTTAAAATAAAAAGCACTGGCCAACAATAATGACTTCTACAGCGTTGATGGTGTGATATATATATTCTTACTGTAAAAACTTGCAGATGGGAAGCTCAGTGGAGAGCATCTGCCTTGCATGCAGAAGGTCTCAAATTCAATTCCCAGTATCTCTAGGTAAGACTGGAAGAGAACCCTGCCTGAAACCCTGGAGAGCTACTGCCAGTTGGTGCAAACAGCACTGAGCTAGGTGGACCAATGGGTCTGACTCATGTTATGTGGGGTCCAATCCACCTATTGCTTTTTATTCTGGCATAGTTGTTATGCTGCTTTTCCAAGCAGTAAAGTATGTTATATGTAGCACAAAAGTTTGTATGTTTACTCAGAAGTAACTTCCACTGAGTTCAGTGAGACTTGGGTTTGGTGGATTGCAGCAGTCCTAAGCACACTTTCTTGGAAGTAAAGCCTGCTGAACTCCATGGGATTTACTTCTGAGTAATCATGCTCGGAATCATTGTGCGTATCAAGAAAAAATGTTATTGTCATCAGCTGCTATGATCTCTGTTGAGGAAGTGTAATGTTTACTGCATCCAGTTAATTAATTGATTAATTGGTAAAAAAACACGACAGTTAATCGACTAAAAACCTCTAATTCACTGACAACCATAATGTATTTGGGTTTTTGTTTTTTTTGTTTACAACTGATTCTTCCTAAGAGGATCATGTAAGAAACCTTTGTTAACAGTTCCCCCAGGAAATGATAAATTTTCTCTCTCTTTTTCATTCTCCTTTTGACACAATGTGGGGATTTAAGGAAGAATAATGTGAATTCCTTTTAAACATTTTTGGATACTCCGCACCACCACCAAGTGATCTTCAATCAAAATCCCCATTTGTTTATGTCAGTAATGCCAATTCACACCAACAAAATTACTCTTAAATTAAATATATAGTGGCTCATGGTTTTAGTCAAGCCTGCAATTCTATACACACTTACTTGGGAGTAAGCTCCGTTGACCTCAGTGGGACTTACAGCACAGTTCTATTCATATCTACTCAAAAGTAAGTGTAAATTCTTGCAAGAGACTTTTGCAGTGCTATTCTGTACATGTCTACTCAAAAGTGAGTCTCATTCAGTTTAAAGGGAAGTTATCCCTAGGAAAGTGTGTGTATAGGATCACAGCCTTAAAATGCACCATGAATCCCATTCAAATGCTTTTACTGCAACTTTTTTCTTAATTTACAGAATAAATTTTCCCTGAAATAAAAGTTGCCACTATTTTATTGTCTATCCGATATATTGTGATAATCTTCTACTGTTTCTTCTTGCTGATTAGGAGCCTGTTCAAAAAGCCTACTGAAGTAAACAGAACAGCTCCTTCTAGTTTCGAGAGTTAATTCTGTGGTCAAAGATGTAGGGAAGAAGCAGTTCCTCATGTCTCCGACTCTTTGTTGCCCTTCGTGACAGATCTTCTGCAAATATCAGACTTGTTCTGTTACTTATGTCAAAGTCACAGTAGTAGTTTCACATGCACCATAAGGAACCTCAATTAAAATCTCCTGGTTTCAAGATTCTTGGATTTCTCTACATCTAACAGCAAGTTCGGACTACAGTATTAGAATTTTCTCTTGATAAATTCAGTCAATCAGAATGTGGCCTATGTTGCAGTTTTCTCTTTATGAATGATAATTCATACAGATAGATTGCTGATCTCTTCCTTTGTATCACTTTGTTTGCTTTGAAATGTAGGTTCCCCCATTTCTATTTCCTTGGAAATGAGTGGTTTCTCCCTTTTTTAAAATACTAATCTCAGTCCTGAGCAGTGTATAACGTGTAAATTCCAGTTTCTTGTAAATGGACCAGGGAGCAGATAAATTGCACATCTTTCTGATCTGTATAGCTGTAGCCAAAAGGCTAATTGCACCATTTACACTTTACCAATTATTATTATTATTATTTTGAAACAAATATTCATATTGTGAAAAGCAGTCTTTATACATCAGGTAACCAGACTGATTTCAGTGGAACAGATTTATACACTGTGTGCATTGGATTTAGATGTACATCTGTATAGTTTCTAAGTGCATACGGCTTAGAAGTAGTATTAACTAAAATTAATACAATTTGTATCCATGTTATGAATTGTATGATGCAAATTCTACTGAAGCCAATAGGAGTTACTTCTTTACACTGAGTGGGACTGGGCCACCTTACATTTAGTTTTCAATTAATCTGAATGAAATTTATGTATAATTTATGTGAAATTTATGTATAGAGGTATGCTTGACTCCTAAATACTTGAGCAGAACTATTTCAGTTACTTCCAAATAATGAGTTTAGGATTTGAATGGTAAGCTTTTTTAAAAAAATGGAACATTGTGGTTAGCGTTTAAACAGCATTATAAATACTGGGGACACAATAAAAATACTGTAAAATTCAGTTTTACAGACCTACTCTGAAATCAAGGCAAACATATATTCAGAAGATAATTACGTACTCAGATAATCTTGGAATGCCTTTTGGAATATAGTAGAATTCAGCAAATTGTAAAGTTGGGTTTATATTACATCATGAATAATGCTTGTAGCTTAGATACTGTTCAGAGTAAATAGCCAAGACATTTATAATAATTTTATGACTATATGTGCTAGCAATTCTGGCTACAGAAACTGTTGTCAGTCTTTCTGGATATGCAGTTTCAGTATAAATAAGGAAAATGCATAAAGCAAGGATATTCTTTACATAAGTCAAGCAGATCACTTGTTTATTTGTCTTTTAGCATAGTTTCCACAGGTGGAATCTACTCTTAGAGCTGGGAAACAATTGGCATTTATGTAGTCTACATTCCCGCCCCCCAAATTTTTGTAATACAGTACTCATTTTTATTTCTTGTACAGGAAAGGAGCAAAGAGCCCCCCCAAAAAGCTATTGATTCCAGCATGTATGCCTATCTCATATTTTTATGTTTTATCAGAGGTTCTAAAACCCTCATGTATGTGTAAAAGTGAATGATGTTACATATCTAGTGGCAGAGTGCAGAAGTTTGAGCTTAAAGCTGCCTGGCTGGAGTAAAAAAGATGCTTTGGCTTCATTTAATTGAAGCTGTTCAGTAGACATGGTGTCTCCAAGAGAGCCATTAATAATCAGGAAGCTGGGAGGAGGTTACACATCTAAAAGATTGTCAGCAGGGAACAAATTATTCCAGAATCAAGGGTCTGCTCTGAAAAGTAACTGAAATCTTGATCAGTCGTTTCCTAAATCTTAAGGCTTTCCAACAAGATCCCCCCCCCCCTCAGATTCATACAGTAAAAGAAATCTTAAAGAGGCTATAATGAAAGGTTAAGGGGGGGTTGGTGGGGGGGAGAGAATGGTTGCAAGTTTAGTTTTGGGGCTAGCCAGCATGAGTTCATTCTTTATAAGGAACAATCAATTGGGTTTATTATTGATTTTGCTTAAAGAAGATTAGTATAAATCAAATGATAGTGCCAAGCTTTCCCTGACCCATGAAACCAGGCTCTGTTTTTATTTGTTTGAATTCCCTGAAACTCTGTTTATGTGCTTTTACTGGTTCTTTTATGTTCTTTTACTAGTTTTATGTTATATTTTTGTTTTAATGATATTGTTTATTGCTCTTATGTTGTACCCTGATTAGAGATTTTAAAAAATATTCAGTGGTTCTTAAATGCTTTCAAACAAATACTGTAAAATTGCATTCCCGCCCCCCCCCCCCGGAGTCGGCTTCCTTGAATTTTTACCCCTTTGTAGTGGGAAACATGTTGTTGAGCTATTTTCATATCTAGGGTGGTGTCCACTCTAGGCTGCATCTTTCTCATCTCACATTTCAATTACAGTGCAGTCCACAAAACGCTTAATTTTTGGCATGTGCTCCTCTGTTTTACACATACTTACTCAAAAGCAGATCGTATTGCTTTCAGAGGTGTAAGGATTGACGTAACCAACTGGTATAGTTTATAGAAGGCAATGGAACTAAAGCAGGGTTCAAGGATCCTGGTTTAATTGATTTCAGGATTGTGGTCTGGCATGTAGTAATGATACCACTAGCAAACAATTGTCCTAGGAACCAGGGCGGGTGCTATCATTAGGCCAACTAGGCAGCTGCGTAGAGTACAGACCTCAGAGGAGAGCAGTACTAACCTTGCGGGCACAGTTTTATACAGATTATTTTTTGTTATATAACAAAAAAAGGCTAACTTCTATATTAAGAAACACATGGCTTATAAAAATGATAAAATTATTCAAAATATAAAAATAAAATATCATAAATTTATATTTTGAATAATATTATCATTTTTACATGACATCAGTTTTTGAAAACTGAAGTTAGCAGTATTTTTTTGGTGATGTAAGCCTGGCACTGGCACTGCTTGGAACATTTCCATGTCTCTGTGCTTTTTCAAATATATTTGTCATACCTGAAACAGGGTTTACCAAAAGCAATGCATATATGTAGTGATTATATGATATTTCCCAAACCCCATCCTATATAATATGCTTCCAAAATAAAAGTAATGGTCCATAGTTTGAATGTGTATGCGGATATTGAGTAGTGAGAAATTTTAGTTTTACACCTGTAAAACCATATCTACTCTATGAAATGAAAGGAAAAGGTTATGAGGAAAATAGGAAGAAAGCCTATCTCTTCTTCACAAAACATTAAAGAAATGCATGGAGCCTTAATGCCACTTTTATCAGCATTGGCTTCTGTAGTTTTCTACAGCACTAGGGAATATATCTGCGTGTATTAACAGGAATTATCATCCTGATCCAAAATAATTTCTGGGTACAAATAAAAGGATTTAAGTAAGCTTAAATTGCATTGAAGCCAACAGAATTAAAGTGATTTCAAGTATTTCATCTGAGGATGGGATAGGATTGTATATAGGATTTATAATCCTTTTGACCACAGCCAAATGTCCTGTATCTCTGTGGGTTGGTTCATACATAATGTTTCTAGTTTGTTAGAGTGGGCGGAAAGCAGTGAGTCTGAACGCCCTTTTTATCTTCCGCTTTCATACACCTGGCTGCAGAAGTGACTTCATGATTTGTTAAATCACAGTTCGCTCAGGGTGTCTTGACCAGGAATTGTGTTTAAGTGCTGCCTGCAGTCCAAGATTGCAGAACAGTTTTAGTTGCAGGCAGTGCTTAAACTAGAGTTTGTCAGTTTGGATGCCTTGGGGAAATGATAGTTTCGCAAACCAGAAAGTCTCCTCAGCTGGACATGAAAAGGAAGGAGGAAAGGAGGGAACACTTGAGCTCATCACTCATTCCTTCTTCAACTGACCATAATTTGTTGCATCAGCAATATTACACCTGAACCTAGCTTTTAGCTGGAATCCCTAACATACTCACTTGTAAGTACGTACCACTCCAAGTAGGCCTAATAGAGTACCAAGTGATTTTCCTGAATCTAAATAACTACGTCATAGAATCTTAGAATTGGAAGGTAACTAGTTGTTTGTGCAAAAGAATCATAGAATTGTAGAGTTGGAAGGGAACACAAGGGTGATCTAGTGTATCCCTTGCAATGCAGGAATCCTTTGCCCAACGTGGGGCTCAAACCCACAACCCTGAGATTAAGAGTCTTGTGCTGTACTAGCTTTGGGTTCACATTTCTCAAACACCACCATCCAGTGTTTCATGGCAAACTGCTGTTGAAACCTACGACCTTAAAAAAGTAATATGTATAGAGATCGGCTGTTCAAAGAAGAAGTCAAAAATCCCATTTTGTACACTGCAGTTCACTTCAATCAGTTTTTGGGCAAAGGTGCTTAACAGCTAGAGGATAACTGTTTTACTTTGCTGCTTAATGCTGTATTCCTTACAGCCTTGCATTTTTAAAGGAATCTTCAAATTAACTATAATTTAATACTGTATGTATATTCTGATTTACTGTTCATCTAGATGGTTGTAAAAAAACCATGTACCGTATATACTTGAGTATGAGCCGACCCGAATGTAAGCCGAGGCACCTAATTTTACTACAAAAAACTGCGAAAACTTATTAACTCGAGTATAAGTCTAGGGTGGGAAATGCTGACAGTGACAAGGCAGCGGTGGAGGAAGGAGCAGCCTGAAAGGGCTGCTTTCGGGCTGCTCGTTCCTCCTCCACCACCAACAACAGCCTCTGCTGCTCACAAGGGCAGGCACAGGAGCCGTGCTTGGCAGAGCGGCGGCGGCACGAGTGGCGGCAGCAAACAGTAAGTGGGACCCTCACTCGAGTATCAGCCGAGGGGGGTTTTTTCAGCATAAAAAATGTGCTGAAAAAGTTGGCTTATACTCGAGTATATACGGTAATTAATTATGAGCCTTTGAACAGTGATAAATTAACTTGAGCAGTGATAAATTGCACCTAGGTGCCATAATATACGTGTGTAAGTTATCAATTGCAGAAATAAGAGGCTGCATTTTAGTTATGTGACTCATAATCACATTGAATAGGTAGAAACGTTTTGTACTTCTCTGAAAGAGTCTTACACAGTATACTGTATTGAAGTTTATCTAACATAGGAGGCAAGAAGGCCGTGACAGTCCTGCTGGGTTTATAACCTGTGGTTTTAGGCTGCTTACTTATTCCAGATTTGTGGTTTAGACCACCAAATCCCTAACCAACTGGTGAATATTTTTGTTTTATTTTTAGCTGCTGGATGTGTATGATGCAGAATTATCAAGGGGAAAGTAATTGCTGTGTAAATAATGTAGAACAAGTACTACTTTTTGAAAATATTTCTGGAAAAGAGTTGTCTGAAACCTTTAATTGTGTTACAATGTACAAAATGTGCCAAGAACTGTAATTGATTCAAAGAGATTCATTTTTATTTTAGTTGCAAAACATATTTCTGAGCATGAACTGTTCTCTTGAAAGTCCAGAACCTTCATGTAAAGAATATGGAAACCATTAACATGAAACAGATTAAAATGAAAACTTCTGAAGTCCTTTTTATTCATATAAGGGGGAAAAATAGTAAATTTTTAATGTATCATAAGGATGCTATGCATTAGTTGCTGTATGTACATAACATTTTCTGGTGTCAGTAAGGATTAGAAACTTATTATAATATTGAACTGAAATTGAAGGGGCTGATAATGGCACTATAAGTGGGGCGTGCACATGGGGAACGAGCTCTGCTTGCACTACAAGACTTGTTCCTCACTCTCCTCCCCATGTGTGCCCCCGAAACCTGTTATAGGGGTTCCCTGAGCCCTCCAGGGCAGGTTTAGGGAGTGCAGGAAGAAACTCCCATTGCATGAGCAGGTCTCATTCCATGCACACAGCTTAGTAGACTCCCACCCTGAAATATGAATGGCCAAAGGTGCAGTTTCATGAATAGCTTGCCATTCATAAAGTTGGCATAAACAAAACATGCATTTACATTTTACTGTGGAAACGAGTAAACATTTCTTCAGAAATAATTGTGTGAAAATTATTTGACTAAAAGCCTTAAGTGAAAGCATGGCTAGCGAAAACTTGGGAGATTCGTATTTCTATACCCTACCACAGTCACTACACATCTTATTTTCATGATAATTTCAATTAGTCATCATCGGTTTACTTTGTGCGCTACTTTTCCCACAGAAGACTGTGCCCAAAGTACCATATTTTTCTGTGTATAAGACTAAAAAAGTCCAAAATTTTGGGGCGTCTTATACACGGCTAGATCTCCCCCCATTTTCTTAAATCAGAGTCCCCAAAAATAGGGGGTGTCTTAAAAATGGGGGTGTCTTATAGACAGAAAAATACAGGATCTTACTTAGAATACATAAGAAGCAAACAAATAATGAAAACAGAAGCAGATAGTAAAATATAAATGTTGGCATATCAAGACAGTTTACTGTGTGTCATATCAGGACAAGAGTACAGCAACAACATATCAAACATATTAAATGCAATAACACTTCCCATATCAACAACATATTTGAATATTTATGCGAAAGGATGCAGTGTAATCCAACACCCCCACAATATGGATTGCTGAGGGGATGTGTTGAATGGCATGTATTTGCTTTCTCACAAGCCTTCAGTGGTGGCAGGACTGGCACCAGTTGGAGTGGTGGAGGCACCCGCAGTGCCCATTCAGGTGAAAGCTACAATTTGTGGTCTCCTCAATGGCAGTAGCCAGTAGAAAACCCTAAAATGACATGTTTCAGTGTAGTGGCAGGGCACCAGTGGGTTTAGATCTGGATCCAAAGTCATCGAGATCCCTCAAGGGGCTGGGTCCTCAGCACCCTCAGGTACACCAGCCTGGAGCTGGTGTAGCGAAATATGAAGAAAATAAACAAATGTCCCCAACCTTCTACTTTTGTTGGCGTGGTCCAGCATGCGTTTGAATGGTGGGTCCACTGTTTGCTCCAGTTAGGATTGCTCTGTCCATGAGCTGATAATAAGACAACAAAACGTAGCAAATCCTAACAAACGTTTGAAAACATGTAAAAATAATGCTTTTAAAGCATTTTAAACTAATTTTAACTGATAATTCATTTATTTTTTAAAAAAGGATAAAAATAAAGTTTCAAACATAAATGGATGAATACATAGCCTATAAAAAACGCAGTGCTTATGTTATCGAAGTCATCTGTAGAAAACGTAGCTAGAAATTGCCAAGCTGAAGGACAGTCCAGTGACTTCAGGATAATGCAGTTTATGCAGATAAAGGGAAATAGAATATGTATGTTAGATATGGAAGCAGTGATGAAGCAAAGTAAAAAAGGGTGCTTTAAACAGTTGTAGTAAAAAGTAGCACAAAATACTGCCATCACCAGAGAGCCAGTCCACAAGTATGAGAATAGCAGTGGGAGGGAAGATCAGGAGGAACAACTGCTGGAGGGGGCCAGAGGTTGCTTCAACTCAGTATCCATGGCCTGACTCATCCTTTTGCCTAATGGCAGGGCTGGCCCTGTGTATATTGAAGTCTTGGTCATTGTGAGCAACTGAACAGAACAGAAAAGTACCTTAAAGTGGCCAGAATGTGAACCTAAGCCAACTCTTTAAAAAAATAGCTTTAAAAGCCTATGAATGCATGTGAATGTGTTCAGGCTTCACTTGAATGAACCTTCTGTACACCTTCTAATGTCCCAAATAGGTTTACCTTGGGAACATGATGCTGCTTATGCATATATGTATTATAACGGTGGTTGAGATATGAAAGATGAGCATACAACAAGAGTATGTTTATATGTTCCTATTTTAAAAAATGGTGGATTAATCCACATATCTCAGCCATGAGATCTGATGAAAGTAGCCTAGCTGTGACAAACTAATTCCTTTTTGTTTTTTGTCTTTGCTCTATAGGATGTGACATGTGTGCAGATAATCGTAATGGAGAGTGCCCCATGCATGGCCCTTTGCACTCTTTACGCCGTCTGGTGGGCACTAGTAGTGCAGCTGCCGCCGCCCCTCCACCTGAGATTCCTGAGTGGCTTCGGGATCTGCCCCGGGAAGTGTGTCTGTGCACCAGCACTGTGCCTGGTTTGGCCTATGGCATCTGTGCTGCTCAAAGGATTCAGCAGGGCACCTGGATCGGGCCTTTCCAGGGAGTTCTCCTTCTGCCAGAAAAGGTGCAAGCAGGAGCCACCAGGAACACCCAACACCTCTGGGAAGTAAGTCACAGTTCAAAGCATTTTGTTTTTTAATGTCTGATAATGCATTCAATATTTGTTTCATGAGATTTTCAAAAGAGCTTTTTTTCCACTATCAAAAGCTCCCGCTATAGATTTGAAAATATATGCTGTATATATAGCAATGCAGGCATATAAATGTTCCTCACATCTTTTCTGTTTGGATATGTTATTAGTAGCAAGAAGCTGCAACTTCCAGTATATATATTTTTAATAATACAGACTCTTACAGATGTTGAGAAAGCTGTACAATAATATTGTTTTTAGTTCTGCAGAACAACTGGAAGTAAGTTTAGCTGAAATTAGTAGGACTCCAAAGCAAATACAGTTATAGGGATAACAATCCCTTAAATCTTAAAAGTCATAATTTTTGAAGAGTTTTGCAAATTATTTTGTTATTGGGCTGCTTTTTACTTCTGACATAGTGTGAACCATCTGCAGCTAATTCAAAAAGTGAAAAAGAGAGCATTTTTTCTATTAGCTTCTGTATTAGCTGCCAAAGCAGGTACTAATCCTCTGTTGTTCGATGAAAGAAAAGTCAGCTTAGTTTATAATCCTGTTTTAAATAACAAAGGGTTTTACAGGGCCTTTTAAAAATGTAACATTTCTAGCTTTGTAAACTATAAAGCTGCGAATCAGGCCAACTCTTTCTTCCCCACCTCTCTAATATGCTGATTATGGTGTTGGATTCCTGGGCTTTTAAAACCACAGTTTCCTGCTTCATTCCAAACAGATAACTGTGTATTAATGTTGGTTTATTAAGCAGCACAGGATCTTAAACCATGTTTTTATCCTGATTAGTAAACCAACATAAAACTACAGATCCCCCATTACTTTTGAAATGGAGAACCGTGGTTTAAAGAGCCTCTTGGAAAGCACACACCTAGTACCCTAATCAGTTGACTGGTGCAGAAAGCATGTCTTCAAAGAAAGTTGCTGTAACCATTGATCAGCTGATCGGCTGTTACAGCCACTGCCTATGAACTTTCATTGGTGTCAAACACTTGATGTTATTATCCCATCTGTTGATTGACAGGTCAGTGATCTGCCCACCTGTTAAGTTGACCCACAAGGAGTGAGGAAGGATCTGGTGAGCCATCTAAACCGAGTTCCCCACTTCTGCTGTTGCTGATCTGAAAGCTACTCAGTTATCTTAGGTGCTCACTAAGTGACAGAAAGTGTTGGGCCATGGTTCCCCACGGGGGGTTACCTCCCCCCCCCCAAGGGGGCAATTTGATTTTTAAGGGGGCAATTTGGGAACGAGTTATTAACAGTTAAGCCTTTTAGGCTTCCTCCACGTGAATAGGAGTTCACTTTTTGAGTAATAAGAATTATATGTCACGGGGGGAGGGGTGGATCAGGATTTTAGAGATGCTTAGGTGGAGCATGGCCAAAAAAAGGTTGGGATCCACTGGTGTAGGGGAAAAGACCTATGCACAGGGAACACTCCTGATTTGTCTTCACACATGTCACATCTTACGAAGTGCTAAGTACAGAAGCAAATAGGGAAGCAAATAGGAAGCCATTGTAGCAATTAAAAGAGGAGTCTCATGATCTGAATTAAAAGAGTTGAATTTTTAAAACTGAGTAGGCTGAGGTGTGACAACAAAATTAGAGAGACAATTGCAGTACTAAAGGCCAGGCAGTTTACCAAGGGGGAGGGGGTATAAGAGGAACAGCTGTATTTTCACAATGTGGTATAGAAAGAATCACATGACTTCAAAATGGACTGTACGTAGCAAAGAAGAGGAGACAATCAAAGATAAATTCAAAGCTTTGTGCCTGATTTACAAGATGGATTTTGAAGAGGGCCAATGAATGTAGAGAGCAGGGGAAGAGAGGAAGAATTGGGAAGAAAAATGAAGAGTTTGTTCTTAAATGTACTAAGTTTGAGATGCCAATGCAAGAAATATTAGGCAGGCAGTTGATGTATTGGATGGAAAGAGAATGTTCTCAGTCAGAGAAATGGAACTAGATACCATCAGCATAAAACACAAGATTTTTGTGTGTAGAGAGAATAGTAAAGAGCCAATAATAGGTCCCTGAAGCCCCACAACAGAGAAGAGGAAAGCAGAGGGAAAAGGTGCCCAGGGTTGAAATACTGAATGAGTGATGTTGGAAAAGCAGTCGATGAGAACAGAATCGTGGACACCAAGGTATAAAGGGAGTTAACCAGGATAGAAACAGCGGAAGGTAGTCAAGCAGGATGAATATAGTTTCAGTGCAGTGCAGATTATGGAAGCCAGATTGTAGTGGGTCTAAAGAGGATTTTGAGAAAATACAGGGGAAACAGTCTGAGTTTGTGGCAGTGGTTTGGAGGCAAATGGTAGGAGTGAAATTCTAGAGTATATGAAGGGACAGAATAGGTCAAAGGCTGTATTTTAAAAATGAGGGTCATTATTGCAATACAGTACATGTAGAAGAGACCAGAGGGGAGAAAATGGCAGCCCAGTTGTATTTACGCTATACAAACTGCTCTGTAGCAAAATCCGTTAAGATTCTCAGAATGAGGATGTTCAACATAATTGGCGCACTAAATGCGCAGCCATCTTCCTAATCATAGTGCTGTTTATGCGCTCTGAAAATGCTGATTCTGAATGGTCCCATAGTAGTTTCCAGCATGAATAAAAAACATTGAAGGACCATTGCAAAGACAATTAAACACCAGTCCAGATGTGGTGCTCTTTTATTTGCTTTGCTTTGGCAAACATCTGGATTATTGCATTTGATGTATAGTTGGACACTTTGGACATATTTTTTGGCATGCTTGTGTTAGAGCTCCTGCCACACATTCAGTGTTTGCTTTGTATGTAATCCATACAGTTCAATGTATAGCAGTTTGAAGTAAATTAAACACCATTCCATTACCTCACGACATGGCCTGACACCTATGGGTGTTCATTGGGAAATTATACAGTTCTTTATCAATCAGCCAAGTCCTTTTTATAGCTTACAGAAAAGATCATCTCTTTTGAAAGCCAAAAATATGAATCATTTTACTTGTGACTCCTTTAATTTTTCCTTTGGCCATTTTTTTAAACCAATGCAGAATTTGCTTGTGTGTTATGAAAATACAATAAACACTGATTTATTTAAAGCAAAAAAATATTGCTGGGTTTAGCAAGTAAACACTGTTCTTTCTAAGACATAAATTGATTCCATCCGAATTCAATAATATTTCTAGAGTTTGTTCATTCCGAGTTAATGAAAACAATTCTTTCCTAACCTTGTTGCAAAGAAAGTAACCCTTTTAAAAAAGAAATTGGGGCTTATTGATGAGAATGAGATAATTTTCTCTTAATGTGTTTTCTAATAAAGAAGTGAAACTGCACTCGCTTCCAACATATATGAAAAGATTATCTCAGTTATTAATGTGTCTTTATTCCCAGGAGAAAAATTAATCTAGTTGCGTAAGGTTTCCACTTTCTGTTTAACATCAAATTGTAATAAGACTAGACTTAAGGAATGCATAGAGGCCACACTTTAAATTCCATTGGAATATAATGCAGACATTTTAAAGGCTTGAATGTTCTTGTTATTGAAGTTTTTCAGACTTTAAGATTTTAGTAAAATAAAGGTCTGGAAAGCTGTGGACGGCAATTTGCCCCCCCCCCCCCCAGCATTGAGGTAGGGAATTGTAACTGTTTAGAGCACAGAGAGGGAAATGTTTGCTGAAGTTCCATTGACAGATCTATGGAAGCATAAGATTCTATTGACTCTTAATTTTTATGGTCATAAATTGTTCACCTAAGTCTTTGTGCACCAGAAATTAGTTAACGCTTTCCCTCTCTGTGAGATATTTAAGAATATCTTGTCGTGTGTGGCACTTTATTAGATTGCAAGTTTGCAGTCAAGATCTACGTTATATTTAGTCTTTGTACAGCTCCCAGGAAACTTGTTATAGTAGTAGTAGTTTTAGTAATTATAACAACAGCAGCAATAATTTGGAACGTTGGAAGAGTTTATTTTCCGATATGTTCTTTAAAAAGATTATATAGTATGTTTAGTCACCTAAAAAAAGTAGATGCCTTTACATGGCTGTCTCAGATTTTATAGCTTGGATCCACAGATAGCTTGACTTACGTGAAAGTACACCTCCGCTTGTGTAAGGCAGCTTCACTGAATTATCCAGTTTCCTAGTTGCACTTCATTCCCATGCATCCCATTAAATGTAATTCCAAAGTGTCCCTTAACTCAGGAGGTGGGTGGGGCAGCCAGGAAAGCTCTGCTGTGTGAGTAGAGTTCCACTTGTCTGTCTCTGGGTCCAACCAAATGGAAATTAAATCAATGGAATTGTGTTTAAGATCTTAACCTGGCACTTGGAATCTAAGATTCAGGGGGAGCTCTCATTATTCCTGAGACAATTAGTTGTGCTTAATTCCTGCTGAAATCCGTGAAGCTAGTTTTCACAACTAACAAATCTTTTCAATTTCAAAGGCACTTAAATACTATTAAAGTCCTATCCAACAACTATGGGGGGGAAAGAGACACAGATAACATTTTAAGCACATCAGTAGTAGCATGAACACCAATTTGTGCTCTCATTATCTCCACTACACTTAAAATATATACATATTTTATTTTTTATATATTACATTAATATCCTACCTTTCTCTTTCTCCCCATTTTATCCTCACAACAACCCTATGTGGTGGGCCAGGCTGAAAGACTTATGACAGTCCCAGGGTCACCCAGTGAGCTTCATGGCTGAGCAGCTTTTACATCCACATTCTATACATGTGAATATTAAGAGAAGTTGCCTTATTTTGATCTGGGTGCATCGCTCACTTAATGAGTGAAAGCAGTTGATCAGCTGAGGGCAGGGGTCATAAATAGACATTTAAATCCTAGGGAGCCTACACATTTGACTGTACTGTAATTAAAATGGCCAAGGGTCCATTTACACGAGACATTTGGAATCTGCTTATGGGAAATTTGAGGGTACATTTCTCATGGAGACAAAAAAGAGCTACAATCTTTACCTTTTTTCCCCTAGTAAGGAGCAAGTTCCAGTTGTACTGATAGATTTGCCTCAGGATTCCCTAAGCTACATTTAAGTCTAGGTTTTTGATGCAGGAAAGCACAAGGGGATAAAATTATGTGCAAACCATAGCTTTATTAAGATGAAAATTATGTTTCTCAGCAATCCATCATCTAGAATTCTAGACTGCTTGTCAGCTCTGTTTCAAATATGTCATGTTCATGAAATTCAAATATTTTTGCCCTGAAAATAAACCTTAGTAATGTTATCATTACAGTTCTCAATATGGAGAGTAAAAGAGCTATACTTTATGCCTAATATAGTGGGAAAATATAGTCTTACACGAGACTCCTCTTTTATTACATTTTTTTTAAAAATGTCTGAGTATTTTGGACTTTTATGTAGATTGTAAAACTGATTCTGCTAGAAACATTTCTGTTCTCTAACTTGTTGGGAAATTAGTTAGAGTTGGGATGCAAATTTGGTCTAATCTATAGTCTTAACACTGTCTACTCAGAAGTAAGTCTCACAGAATTCAGTGGGGTTTAGTCCCAAGAAAATGCATATAGGATTTCAGCTAAAGTACCATTTCCCGTTCAACATCTCTGCAGGAAAGTAAGTGTAGAAGTAAATTTCTGTAACGCGGTTTGCTCCACAACCATTTTAGGGATTGTTGGAATTCTGTTGACTAGCTACGATGAGTATTGTAGTTCTCTTGCTTATCTGCTACTAAATGAACCCTATCTTATTAATAGTGCAGTTTTATGCATGTTTACTCAGAAGTAACTCTTACTGGCTTGGATCCTAAGTTGCTGCTTGGTTCATGTAAAGGAGGATGTGATTTTTACCAACAACCCTCCATTGTCAGTCCTGCGTCCCACATTCCACATCATTTTTCATTGATCTGTATCACCAAGGAGCAGTTGTTTTGGGGCACAAGGGACTGCAGAGGGGAGAGGGAAGGTCCTGCTCCATCTAAGTAAACGGTTCAATTTGTGTAGGGAAAGCTAGACTGCAAGCCAATGTGTTGAATGGGACTTGCAGTTCCCAAGTAAGCCTGTAAAGGATTGCCTGCTTCACTTGTTTGTGTATGTTTGTTTGTTGTTAGCATGCAGTTTGAGTTAACCATATTTCTGGTTCTAGTCCAGAAATATACATGTATCCATGAACAGCGCATTACTTTGTGCATACACCTGCACACACCCAGTTACTTAAAAGATGCTTGACACTGTCAACTGTACCAACAATGGTCACTCGTTTCAGAGGAATGGACCGCCCCACTCCTGTTACCAGAGATCAGCTTTGAGAAAGTTTACTGCACCAGCCATATGCTCAGTACTCCATGTGCAGGGTCCAGTCCAGTTTGCTGCAACATATGGACCACCTTTGTTTGGATAAAATGTGTGTATAAGAGAATTCTATTTAATTAAGCTTAATGTTGAATTTAAATGAAAAAGAAAACATTGATACATAAATTTATATTTATGTTTTAATCGGATTTTAATGTGATTTAAAATATAAGGTATTTTATTTGAAATAAGTAAAGTTATTTTCAGAGATAATGCACTGCCTCTGTATCTGAAAGAGACAGTACTAATTTATATTCACTTTATTTTTATTTCAGTTTCATCTCTATCAAACATCTAGTTGCACTCTTTTAACATTTGAAATATATAATACAACTGTGGAGCGCTTTCAGTTTTCATTCTAACAAATGGGTGATCTTGCATCAGTCATGTAAACAGAAGCAAGATTGAGCCTCCCCTAAAATCTATTTCCAAAATAAATAATTTATTTCTTCATTGAAATCCCATTTTCGAACAAGCATGTTTTACTTATATGGGTACTGCAATGCTAATATACAATTCTGTATATTATACAGTGGGACATCGGGTTAAGAACTTAATTCATTCTGGAGGTCCGTTCTTAACCTGAAACTGTTCTTATCCTGAGGTACCACTTTAGCTAATGGGGCCTCCCGCTGCCGCCGCACAATTTCTGTTCTCATCTTGAAGCAAAGTTCTTAACCCGAGGTACTATTTCTGGGTTAGTGGAGTCTGTAACCCGAGGTACCACTGTATAGGTAAACTGTCATCCCAAAATTATTATCAGTATTTCAGCAGCCCATGACTGCTCTCATTTATATACAATTCTCTTTTTGGCATATCTCTTTTAAGGTCTTGAAACAATGTTGTTCTGTAAAATATTATTGCTCATAAATATGAGTCTTTATACTGAATAAAACCTGGCTTCAAAAGCTTAGAATTATCCCCCCACACCCAAATACCTCATTGAATTATTTTGATTTCATCTGAAAGAATAAGGCGGCACTTTAATAAGATGTATTAATGCCTAAAATAGAGTGCACATCTGATGTCAGTATGATATTGATGCGATATGCTGATAAAAACCTGATTATTGTGCTGAAATGCCATATAAAACCTGCCATGCTGGAAACATTTCAGAGAGTTTCCTTGATCATTTGTTATCCACTTTTACATCGTGGGATTTTATGGCCTGCAGATATTTCTTGCGTGGTGAATTTGAATGCATATGCTCTTGAAGAACAACTTACGCACACACACGTGTGCACACACAGAAATATAGTCCAATATTTGCTTTGCTTCTAAGCCAATGCCACCTCCCATCCCCCCGATAAGTTACAGAATTCCATTATCCAAATTGTTACACATGTGTGACAGAGGTTGACCTTTAGTCATGTCAATCCTTTTTGTGTAGGCCTCAGGCTCCAGCTTAATAGCTCAAAGCCTGATTTACTCACTGTAATAGGGGCAGAAGGTCGAGCAATTGTCAGCCTGCCTGCTCATACCCTTCTCAGAGCCTGGTTGAAGGCTGTTAACACAAAGCTTTTCAAAGTGAATTTACAACCACCACCACTGACAGAGGCCAATCAGTACACCATAAATGTCAGGTTAGTGAGATTGAGCAGTAAGTAAAGTACTGACAGCCCACCATTGGCTGAAATCAATTGCTTAAGATTTAACTGAGAATAGCAATCTACGTATAACCATGTCTAAATATGTAGTGAGAGTTCCATAGCAGATTTACATATTGGCAACACAAAGGGTACCACTAGCTGTAACCTACATTAAAGTATTTCTCTTATTTCAAGGGAAATTTTCTCATTCCATGGTATTGCAGCTTTGCAGAACATAAAATGTGGGTGCCAGAATATATCAGATCCGTAGGACAAATGCCATAGTGTAGCTCCACGGTGCCTCTTAGATTTTTGTATTTTTATCTAGAAACCCTGTTTACTGCACTGAGCTTTTATAATAGCACCATCACCTGTTTGTGATGGGGAAACAGTTCATAGCTTGGCTGTTATATTTCCTCCCTGTACTCCTTCCACTTTTTCTTCTCCTCCTAATTTAGTACATGGCTGAAGAAGGGTGAAGGAAAACAGATACAGCACTGCCAGAGAAAATATATGATGGTTTTTATCTTGCATCAGTAAAGCTTAATAATTTTCATCTATTAAGTGATACACTCAAAGCCTGTAATTTGATTCACTGATTTGGTCTAAGCTTCATTTGGAAGGAAACTGTGACTCTTCATCCTGCTATTCTGTAATGGAAGACTATCATGAAAGTCACTAATGAGTGATTACATTCTGAGGGTTTGAATATCCATGAGATGTAGTAACTAACAAGACTGAATGTTTTTATCATTTTGTGCAATGACAGCTTGGACAACAATTCATTTAGCTTTGATGGCATCAGCATTAAAATGTAAGAATCCATTAAAATGCTGTATGCAAGGATTTATAAATTAGGCAATTTCCTTGATTATTGCAACCATTTACAAAATTGATTGTCCCAGTGTGGCATAGGCAGATTCCAACAATGATCATTGACAAGAGGCATGTACTTGAATATCTATATTCATTGTTCACTAAAATAGGATGCCTCTCTACTATTGCACTTCTCTCCATCTCAAGGTCAATCATGCACTGAAATAAGTCTCTTAATGTAAGAGATCACACATCTTTAAAGAAGGCTCACATGCTATTTATAGACTAGTCAAGATAGCTAGAAAGCTTTTTTTCTTTCACCCTTAATTTGCTTGCTTACAGTCTTAGACATTCAATACCATCTGTACTGAATATTCTCTTTGCAGTCTGTTATTGAGAGGTAAATAATTTTTGTAAATTGCAGTAGTAAATATTTATTTGATTAAAGATATAAAAGTCAATAAAGTGTTTTATTTGTTTCTTCCTAAAGTTCTAATTAACCAATAGATATACTGTATGGTAACTTGATCTCAGTCAATTTTTCCCGAGAAGACATAATAAGGATGTTATGTCACAAAGTGAATACGTTCTTGAGTTAAGTTCCCTATTTCAGAACCAGTAAAATAAATCATCTAACTACATAGGCATTAACCACAAAACCACAATTTTCCTTCAAATATGAAAAATCAGATGTGTGCATAATAATATTTTTTGGGGGAAACAGTTTTAAAATATCAAACATAAAGTCAGGCTTTTTCTGAAAAAAATAAAATTATTTTAAGACACATGTGGCAGGCAGTAAATGAATATGAGCCAGACTCCAATCACCTTATGGTCATGATATGGACTACTGTTGCAGCTGTGGTTTAAGCAACATTCTTGTACAGGATGATGCTACAATCTGGAATGGGCGCTTACCCAGTCTCCAGGTGAGCGGCAGTTGTGGCCCGTTGTGGCAGTCCCTCGGCTCCACAGAGCAAAAGACCTTCCCATCACGTGACCAGCATTTGGGGAATCCCCCCAGCTGGCCACAAGGGAGGGTGGGGTAGCCCACTATCTGCTTGGTTGCAAACTGGCTAATCAAGTGGCTAGAGGGCCTGGCTATAAAGGACAGCTGCACCCAAACTAATAACAGGTCAGGATGAAATGGTTCATCACCCCTAACTCAAACAGGTACGATCCCAAGGTACCCCATTAGAGGGATCTATTGGGAAGACTCTAACCAGAAGCAAAGTGTGAGGGCCAACAGGCCATAGAATTTCTGGCAGTGGCTTCAGGGGGCCACCGAGGCAGACCCGTGTCTTGAGGAGGTCCCCTAATCCCTTGAGATGTTCCTGAACTCCTGACTCCCATTGTGCTGGACCATTGGCCATGCTTAGCTGTGGCTGATGGGAGTTGTAGTCAGTCAACATCAGAAGGGTCACAGGTTCCCCACTCTGGATCTAGAGAGAGATCCTTTCAGGATATGGAGATGAATTTTTCTGCACTGCTTGAGCCACCTTAGCTTGTTTTTTTGACACTTCTCATGTGCTTAATTTTCAAAATCTGTGACTTGCTGGTGAAATTGGTAGAGCATTGAGCTTTAGTACTCTCTTTATCTTTTTACAAGTTTCACATTGCTTAATGCATTGCTCTTGAAAACACTGTATCTAAGGCGGCTTAAATATATTGCAAAAAACGTTTCACTAAAGTTTGTGCATGCAAATAGTGTGCTTCAAAGGAAACACGTTATTTTGTCCAAATTTTACTTTTAAACATCCCCCTTCTCTCCCTAATGCTGATGAAATCTTTAACCAGTGTCATGACAGCACATAACATAAGGCCTCAATTTTTTAAAAAGTTCACCATTTTAGCAGTTAATTCAATTTGAATTATGTCACCTTCAGAAGAATGACTCATGCAGGTATTATCAAATTTGTATTTTAAAGAATGATGGATGAGAGCTAATTCTCTAAACATGGTTTTGATAATGTTGAAAAGTTTTCATAACAGGAAGGTTGTTATATATCTTGGCCACATCTTGTGTTCATCTCCAACAAACCAGGTTCAGAATAGCAGATGATATTTAATTAGCCACTTAGAATGTTTGCTAAGATATTGGGCCCTCTAAAGTGATTTTTTTTAAAAGATGGAAATGCATATAAAATGCTCCAGCTATGTGTAAATGGTAATTAAAAATTACTGCACAATAAAGAAGATTAATTTGTATTTCAGCTTCTTTTTTTTAAAAACAGAAATAACATACGAAAGAGGCAATTCTGATCTGAGTACATAACTTCTGATCAAAGAAGGTCCACTTGGTTGTCTCAGTCCTGAATATTTCATACAGGCGAAGCTTCTGTGTTCACATGGAATAACCCCATCAGATGTTAATGGAGAAACAGATCCAGGTTTACATTATTTAGGGAGGTCATGCGCAGAAGTCTCTGACTCTGGTGTTTAGAATCAGGCTGTGAAGCTTCAGCTTCTGGAAGCATCATAACTCTCTGTGTGCTTTTTTACCCATGACTCTCTTTCTGTAAGTGCTACCCACATGAGTGTCACAAAAAGATATATACTGTCATATCAGATAGAAATTGAGTAACTTAAGTTCTGTTACCAGATAAGGGTTGACACTATTGCTTTCGTGCTTTCCAGTCTTAAATGTATTGTCCAAACCTGATCCAGAGATATTGTGTGTTTTTCTGAATATATGGTCCTGTAGTATATATGCATCTGTGGCTTTCATGTACCTTGTTCAGTCTAAGAGCAATTCCATGTGCACATTCTTCCTCCATTAGAGTGAATGGAGAAGCTGTTGTGACCAAAGGAGCTATCCTAAAGTTTGTCCTACTCCTCTTCATATGAATCATTTGCAGAACGTGGAGATAATTACGTTTGGGATAGAGATTTCATGTTGCAGTTTGTTTAGTATATTTGAGCATAGATTGTTCCTGCCATTAAAATTGATCTTCTTTTAACACAAAGTTTAGGGGTAGAACTTTTTTTTAACTGGGATTTATTGGCATACATAATGCACCTCCCAAACACATTGCTCACCAATATAGAGTTCCCCCCTCCCCTGTTCTTCAGTCTTTCTATTTCCATTTCCTGAAACTTGGGAACAGTTCAGTTGAAACCAATGAGATTTGCTTCAAATAACGTAGTACAGACCTGGGGGTACACCTCTGTTGGAATTTTAATGATCCTCTTTTAATTTTTGTTTTCCATTTTGTACCTCTTTATTTTCCTACCATTGCTTTTAAAGCAAGCAATGATGCCCCCATTATTATGTTAATTCTACTGTTGTAGCTGTAAATTGGGTTGCAATTTTTAGTAGTTTGAGTGGTACTAGGAATAGTTGAAGTCTTTAACATTTGCACATGCAGTCATAAAAGTGTCTGCTTCTTCTTCAGCCATGCAGGTATGGCTATAAGACTAATTATGGCACCAGGCCAGGTGGAATTACATTTGCTGCATGGCAGATCTACCAAAGTCAGTGGGAGTTTTAGTATACAGCAGGTGATTGACTTGTTCAATAACCATAAGAGAATTCATGGTTATCCGATACGCAACACAGTTTTGTATTTTGTCCAATAGATGGCAGTGACCCGTGTGCACATATGCCTGAACTCACCCACATATGGTCAAGTTGCCATTTAAATTTGATAAATCCATATGATTAATGAATGCTGGAAATTGGATACTGTGTCAAGAAATTGATTCCCAAAGTCCTAGTAACCACACTGTTTAAAACAATCAATGGCAGTACCAGCTTCTGATCAATAGGATTATCTTTCTCCGCTGCACATGAAAGATATAAATAGTATATGGATATGGCCTGATCTTATATAGAACCAGTGCCCCTTTCCTTGTGCTGAGCCTTTAGCTATTTCCATTGACTTCTGCTAGGCTCTTCATAGTAACTTACATACATTGTGCAGTTCTTAAGATTTAGATATTAATTCAGATTCTCACAGAGCTTTATATTACCACTGAAAAGCAGAAGTGCATTGCATTGAACAGTGCATATATTGGGAAACAATAAAACCAAAAACTATGCAAGGTCTGCATAGGCTGCCATTCTGTATCCACTTCCCTGTGAGCAAGCACCATTGAATTCACTGGATCTTACTTCTGAGTAGGCATGTATATGCTTGTGCTGTTAAGTGGGGAAGGGCCATGGCTCAGTGGTAGAACATCTACTTTGCATGCAGAAGACTCCAGGTTCAATCCCTGGCATGTCCAAATCGGGCTGAGAGAGATGCCTGCCTAAAATCTGCCCATCAGTCAGCCATACTGAGCTAGGTGGCCCATCAGCTATGCAAGAGCACATTCATCAACTGTGCCATCTCTGCCACACCTCCGGCTCTTGCGAACCAGAGGAACAGAAGGACTTGGTTGACCAGGTGTTCCCCATTTCCAAGTACCTGGCACACGTAAATGTAGTGTTGCCTGTTAATTTTTTTTTTGTAATTTTCTAAGACTTTATTCAAAAGATAACATGCCCATCCACACATTTATGTTGCATTTGATACTAGTAATTTACAGCAGCTAATTAGGAAAAATACTATTTTATTCTTAGTTCCTTCAAAACAGAGGCAACATATTTTGATATGTGAACAACTCACTGTATTATGTACAAATCTGAATAATGTCTCACTTGTGGTTTACTTGGCAGAGCACTGAGAAAGGAAGACAAGACTTGGAAGCCTGTTTTGGCTTCAGTTTTGTTTTGACTTAACTGTGTCAGTTTCCCAGTATCCTAATTGTATTTTACTGAGAAGGAGCTTACAGTTTTATGAAGGGCTTTACTGTAGAGTAGTAATCATAATAAAAAATGACTTGATTACATTTCTTGAAGTTTGTTGTTGACTGTTTTTTGTTGATCATGCTTTAAGAACAATTAACGCATTGGAATGTCACTATCGCTTTTGATAACTGAAAGCTCACTTTTGATCACGATTTAAATGAAAAATGTGAAATATTTCAGAATGTGGAATCAGTTAGAGTATAGCAAAAATTATTTTATAAACAAGTCTGGGCAGATCTTTCTTATCCAATCTTCAGGTATTTGTAGCTCTGTAATAGAATTCACAGCATGTATCTAACAATTTGGATAAAATGCTTAAATTAACTAGAATTTATTTATTTATTTATTTATCCACTTAAGAATTCTATCCTGCTCTAATTGCCTCCTTATGGTAAAGAACATGTAATTTGATTTCATTTTATCACATTATTTTAAAGACTAGTTGATGCAATAATATATAACATTCCACCACTCCATGTCTCGTTATATATAAATAACATTCTAATCTCAGCAAACTTTAAAACAGGGAATAGTATATAAATAATGGTAGAGTTGTAAATTTAAATGTGTGTAACTCTCTTAATGGCCTAGAGGAAAGATAAGATAGTTCTGCAGCTATCTGCTAAAGGGATTACTCTTTAGGTTAAGTGATAAAGGTCCATGATTTTGGGATCAGTCTCTATGGATAACACATATGTACCCTTTAGAACATATTTAAGTTGTGTTACATGGAAATAATATAGGTTCCATATTAAATACATAACTGTTTTTAATAGGGAGAGGAATTCTGGGATCCATAAGTCAATATGGCAAAATAGATGTGTATTAAAATCAATAATATTAAAATGTTCAAAAGCAAATTCTCCAAAACTCTACCAGTGCAACCCAAATAGTAACAAATCAGCTTGAAGAAATTTTGAGGGGTGGATCTTGTATTTCTGTACCTACAGATTCCTTTATGTAACATCACATTTGGATTTGGGGGGGGGGGAATTAATTGATCAGTTTGAGTCCAAGGTTTCTACCTAGAATTAAGTTCCTTGCTAATGTTGTGTGTAAATACATATTTGGCTAGTAATAGTTGACCTTCGGTACCAGTATCAGAATAAAAAAATGCAATGCCTTTTTTAGAGCAGTAGTAAATTGTTCTTTTTATTACTATATTTCCATTGAAATAACAGTGTGAATGAACTGTGCAGCTATTATTCAGCAGCTGCCACAGCTGTCACTTTGGTGAACCACTTGATAAATTGGATCCTGATATTTACAAAATCTATTAAAATATGACCCATCATGTGTTTGTTTATATGTTGACAAGATGATGTACACACTGCAGGTCAAGGGTGAGGTGAATTGTTATGGTGTACTTGTCAAGGCAGCTTTTAAAATAAAGAGCATTTAAATAATTTGTGGAGAATAGCTGCTCAGAAAACAGTTGAATGGCAACCTACCGAATACTTATTTAGAAAACAAAACACCTCTGCGGATCTGACACAAAAACCTGTGATAGTTATCAATCAGAATATTTCTATAATATGTTTGGCAATTGGCATTTCAGATAGAGAAAATAAACAGCAATATTAAACAGAAGGTTATTGATTTAACTACCTGGGTGGTTTCCCCAGGACCACAAAGAACTTTCCATTCTGCCTTGTCACTTGCATACCTTCCCTTATCTTTCTTTCACCAAACCTTTATTAGGCATTACAGATATAGACCATCTTAAAACATCCATATACAAAAAGTTTAAAACATATACAAAGAAACAGCCATATAAGATATATAGTAACAGAAATTTTCATTGGAGTGTCTTCCCGCTAAACCGTGCCATTCACCACTGTAAGAGATAATATTGACAGGAACTCAGCCACCCTTGCAGCTACCTCTGGGGTAATGTCAGACAGGTAGAATCTGATATTTTCATTGCGCCATGATGTTAAAGGTAAAGGTCAAGGGACCCCTGACTGTTAAGTCCAGTCGCGGACGACTCTGGGGTTGCGGCGCTCATCTCGCTTTACTGGCCGAGGGAGCTGGCATTTGTCTGCAGACAGCTTCCGGGTCATGTGGCCAGCATGACTAAGTCGCTTCTGGCGAACCAGATCAGCACACAGAAACACCGTTTACCTTCCTGCCAGAGTGGTACCTATTTATCTACTTGCACTTTGACGTGCTTTTGAACTGCTATGTTGGCAGGAGCAAGGACCAAGCTCACCCTGTCGCGGGAATTCGAACCACCGACCTTCTGATCGGCAAGCCCTAGGCTCTGTTGGTTAGACCACAGCGCCACCACGTCCCGCAAAGATGTTAAACTACCCCCCTAAAAGGGGGTTAACACGTGTTTACTTAGCTGGCTGTACGGTGGGCAGTAGAAAAGAATTTGTCTGTCACATGTGTCCGGCACATTCAGATAACATCTGCAATGTCTAACATTTCTAGGGATGTTTAACTATCTGCCCTTAACAAAAGCTGATGGGAAAACGTTCATCCTGGCTAACATAAATGCCCTGCACTTTACACCTTCCCTTTTCAACTAGGCTTGTCAACTACACAAGTTTGAGATTAGTCTGCAATAGCAGCATCTAATTCATAGTCAGTGTATCTGCTTATAAAGTAGGCTGGGTGGATGGATGGTTGTGTGCTCTTGATGGGCTTACCCTCACTCAGAAGGAGCGGGTACGTAAGAGTACTTCTGTATCCTTTGCTGTCACTTGAGGATTTGGTGGCCTCAGTGCTGCAGTGTCTTTCATCCATTTCAGCTGGTGGCCCAGCTGTGTCCCTATTTGGACAGGGACATGGGTGTAGCCTAACTTCTGTCATCTGTATTCTGGTAAACTCTGGGTTAAATTACTGCAATGTGTTATATGTAGAGCTGCCTCTGAAGACAGTTTGGAAACTTCAGCTGGTGCAGAATTCAGTGGACAGGCTGCTTTTGGGGGCTAGATGGTTTGAGCATTTCACATTAATCCTAGCCCAACTTCACTGACTGCCAGTTGGTTTCCAGGCCCAATTCAAAGAGCTGGTTTTGAGCTATAAATCCTTAAATGGCTAAGGACTGTAACATCTCAAGGACTGCCTCTCCTCATATGAACCAACTTGGACCATGCAATCATCATCTGAGGCCCTTCTTCACAAGAGGTCCAGAAGGCGGCAACACCAGAACTGGCCTTTTCTGCGGTAGCTCCCCGTTTGTGGAATGCTCTCCCCAAGGAGGCTTGCCTAGTACCTTCATTACATAATTTTAGGCACCAGGTGAAAATGACCAGGCTTTTGGCTGATAAACATGCCATGGCCTTTTAAATGTGTTTGTAGTGGGGGTTTATTGGTTTATTTTTGTTTTTGTTTCATTTTGTATTTTGAGTTCTCATTTTGTATTTTTATGTTCTGAACAGCCCTGTGATCTATGGATGAAGGGCAGTGTGCAAATCTAATAAATAAAAAAAATAAAAAAAATATATGTTTATACAGTGGTACCTCAGGTTACATACGCTTCAGGTTACAGACTCCGCTAACCCAGAAATAGTGCTTCAGGTTAAGAACTTTGCTTCAGGATGAGAACAGAAATCGTGCTCCGGCGGCAAGGCAGCAGCAGGAGGCCCCATTAGCTAAAGTGGTGCTTCAGGTTAAGAACAGTTTCAGGTTAAGAACGGACCTCCAGAACAAATTAAGTACTTAACCCCGAGGTACTATTGTATATATCTTATCCATTTGTGTGTGTGTTTGGTTTTAGTTTCCTTTAAAAGAGCAGCAAAGCTGTGAGATTTATATGTTAATGCACCAACTAGCTAACAGTCAGTTAAGAGTCTTAACCGCCTATGAAGTTCTGTAGGATTTATAACTGAAGTATATACACCACAGAACAAAGAGCACATTTTAAGTAAAATGTCCTTGTTGGCACCAAATTCTCAGGGAATAGCACATGGTTAGAAGAAAACAACAAGGCAGCAGGACTAGTATAGTGGGTGTTAACCTTGTCCAAATGTATATGCTTTTTATATTAAATGAAGAACACTTAGATAATGCATTTTGAATGGCAACAAAGCACTAGTCATATATTTTGAAAAATTGATATTTAATCAATCTAGTAATATGATTTTACTCAAGAGGGGGGGAAAATCATGTATAAACCAAACAGAAAACTAATTTTAGAAAAAACCTAAATTCCACAAAAGTTTTTATCAAAGGGAAAGAAGGTGGTGTGGAAAATCTCATGTTATCTGTGCCTAATTTTGCTGTTTTACTTTAGAAGCTAATCTCATTATCCTGAATAAGAATTGGACAGGGGATACAAACAAAGTGAGAAACAATGTTTATAAATGTTTTCTGGACTCTGGGCAAGAAGATGTATTGTGGGCAGGGATAAGGGAGAAATTTCTTTGCATTTAAAGGTGAAACTATGAAATCTATACTCTCCAAACAAATACGCAAACTAGAACACCAATATCCTTTAAAATATGCACTTTTCCTAATATTTTGATGCAGTTTCTTAACCAATAATTGTATGCAGAAATATTAGCGTAAAGTGTGCATAAGAATGTGTATATTAGTGAAAATAACAAAAGCTGCCCAATATTAAGGAAAATGTGTACCGTAAATACTGTACAGTACAAAACTATATTAAAAATGTGTATATTAGGAAAAATTCACCCTAAAATGTGGAATTTTCATGAGGATTCCTTTTTAAAAACAAAAAACAAAACTGTTGCAGTGGAAATGTGGAGAACTCAATTTAAGACTGAAGAAATGAGAATCAGAAAGAACCAAACTTGACAGATGCATTCATCCTTAGTTGCAAGTCAGGGTATTATGTTCCTAAAACTTTATTCTGGGTCCAGTCTCATGGTAGAATCACAGCACTTCAAAATTGAACTTGTAGTGAATACTGTGAATCTCATAGATCCAGAAAATTCAAAGTGGAGTTTTGGAGTGAAACATGAGAGGAGATCTCCATTACCTTATTTAAATGGAAAAATTGTTCCAATTCTGCTATAATGTCAGTAAACTGAGTTCACATACCAGATTTCACTCCTTACTTAACAATTTCTCCCATGAGTTTCTCATACTTTGACTGTTTCTTGGACTTTGTATTTTGTGGTTTGGTAATAAATTATTATAATATGATACCGTGAGCAAGGCTTTGAATGTATTTTTTGGCAGGGGCAGTGCATTGTACAGAACTTTACAGCTCTGAAAGAAGAGAATACATGAATTTGATCTGTTGTTTAAAAAGTAACTTAAATGAAAAAAATTCAGGCTTCTTACATAAAAGTTTGGATGCAAAGGTTCTTTGCAGTAGTGGCAGGGCACTTATGCCCATGCACTTATGCTCATTCTCCCGGTTTCTCCCTTTCACTATAGCTTTCCCTGACCATCAAGACTAGGTTAGAATATTAAGTTCAAACCATTGCGGGATAATGGCTGTTTCCCCCTTTCCCGAGTGGGTGGCAGTTGAGGCCGCCCGCGATCGATCGCCATCCCCAGCAGCTGGAGCACACAGGCTCAGCTGGCCATTGAGAATCTTTTCAGCTGGCTCTGCCGCAGGACGGGGTTGCCTGCCAAAAGATCTCCCATGTCATTTTCTATAACCATAGCAGGCGCTGTACCTCTCCAACTGAAGGTGCACCTCTTCCATTGTCTCCTGAGACAGACGGATGCAACCAACTTTCAGTTAAACGTATTTGGGACTGGTGTGTGATGGATCAATTATAACCACAAGTACTTGGAAGTAAGTTCGACAACTTTGAGAGGAACTTACTTCCAAGACAAGAGTACTTAGAAATGCAGATCCCTTTTTGTAACTTTAACATTTTTAGTATTGGTTGAACAATTGTCAGCAAGTTCTAAATAGTCTCAGTATCTCACTGCTTACATTTGAAGGGTCTTATAACTGAAATTAAAATATACATAGTATACATTTTTGGTTTTATTTGTGGTTTAAATAAAAGCACATGGCTAATGAATACGTTTTCCAGCACATATGCTCTTGTGAAGTGTATGTTTGTGTTATTTGAGATTACACTGCTGGAGTCTGTGTTGGCTTATTAAAGCAAAAACATCACTTCGGCACTTTGACTAACACATTAATTGTGGCTTAAGGTGGCAGACCTCAGCTACATTTTTAAAAATGTGACACAGGATCCTTTTAAGTTTGTACGGGCAATGAATTCCTGGGAGATGTCTCAGTCTAGTATATATGTGTATTTTATTAAAATAATTTATATGCTTTCATTTGGAAAAGGCATACAAAGGTGTTTCACAAATAAATATAACACTGTCACAAAAACAGATCAATAAAATGGAAATTTTGTAGGTAATCATATTTATATCCTGCTTTTCAGCCAAAATTGACTGAGGTTATACCAGTAAACATTCCATGAGCTTGTTTGAAGGTTCTAGCTATCATATAGTTTGACCAAAGAACAGTACCCTCCTTCTGTCATCCTCCTTCATTGAGCAGTTTCATGAGGGATGCAAATGGAGTGGGCAAGCAGGGAGGGGACGCCCATCTTCCTACGCCCATCTGCCGAATCAACCCCAGTGATAAATGGGGTAAACCAGAGCTTTCCAAACTTTTCATGTTGGTGACACACGTTTTAGACATGCATCATTTTGCAACACAGTAATTCAGTTTTACTAGCAAACCAGAGGTTAAACTAACCCATTTCCAGCCCCAGGAGGAGCGTGGAGAGCGTTAGCATGACACACCTACACACTGCAGCTGACATGCTAACGTGTCGCAACAGACAGCTTTGAAAGCTCTGGGGTAAACAGTGTCTCAGCTAGATGAAACTGACATCCGCCAGTTAAAATCCAATGCAAAGATATAAGATGTTAGAATCAACTTGGAGATAACATGGGGTGAGGGTGGAGGACAGAAACTTACATGAACTACACAGCTCTTTGTATTAACAGAGTTGTGTTTTGTTACTTCGAAAGTGCTGGACAAGCAAGGTTTTGAAATGAGTATTTCTGTTGTATCAGAATCATCAGCGAATATGATAGCAAAATGGCTACCACAGTCTCTGAATCTTGCTGCCGTCTAAATTTGAAGTGATGGCCTATGGTTATTCAGATTTAAACTAACGTACAAATAGCATTTTATGTTTTCTGATATTTCAGTGCTTTCGTTGATGTGAGCCACACACTCCCATCAGTTTGTGCTGGTATAAATAAAGAGTATTAATGTACAGCAACAATTAAAGTTGGTTTTACAGCAGCATATGCAAGAGTAGAATGAGGTCTGATATCTACCTTTGATGATGCATACAACATGTCCACTAGAATAAATTTGTATAATTTAAACAGTCTCTGTTTTACAAATCTGAAGTCACAAATATTTTCCTTACAAAACATTTGTTCCCAATTTTAGCCTTTTTTTATGCAATAAGGTCAGAAAAAGTTCAAAATGACATGATGGAGTATATCTGTCTATTTGGAAAAGCGATCTCGCCAATAATATAGGAAAGACACACTACACTCTTTTTGCCTGTAGCAGATTTTTTTATTATTAGAATTCTTAAGGCAGCTACAGAATGCTTGAACTTTGATTTCCATTTTACAAGTCATGGGCTAGATCCTGATTTAAGTGTGCATATGGGGTTGGCACAAGTTGATTTTTCATATCAGTCCCCTACAAACATTCCTCCAAAGGTCAGGAACTCTGCTGAATGGAGTGGGCTGTGGTATGGCAATGGGGGGGGAGGGATAAGGGGAGACCCCTGTAAATTGGGTAGAGGCAACTTCCAGCTTCACTTATGGAGGATGCTGCTACTGATTTTTGTGTTCTCCCTCAACACCCATGCCACAGCTACTCCATTCAGCAGGGTCCCCTGACCTTTGGTAGAGTTTTTGCAGAGGACTGATATGGGAAAGTAGAAGTAGGAAAGTCAACTTGTACCAGCCCTACTATGTACACTTTCTTTAACACATGAATTGTAAAATGAAATCCTCTGTCATTCAGTGGAGTATTGGGGGAGTATTTTTCCATGGAAATAAAGAGCAAGGAAGGAAGCTTGCACCCCTCACATTATGCACGAAACTCTGGATCCAACCCTATATTGTTGTAGATTTTCATTTGATATACCAGCACATATTTAGTTGACTTTTTAAACTGAAAAAGTAGGAATAGATGGACTGTTCTCACAAAGCAGTGTGTACCACCAAGCTGTATGAGAAGTGGGATCCTCCAAGGATCTGTAATAGGGCTAGAGCTTCTTAACTTGTCCATAAATGGCCTAGAATCAGGGGTGAGCAGGGGTGGTGAAGTTTAGTGGCAGCAGGGAATTATTTAGAATGATGAAAACAAATAGTGAAGGGGCTCCAAAAGGATCTGTAAAAAATGAATGGAAAAGAGCATGGTAAATGTGGTTCAGTGTAAGTAACTATATAGTGATATACACTGTGAAAAAAATCCTCACATATATGATGCATGGATGGGATCTGAGCTGATGGTGACTGACTGTAGCATGTGGATTCAGGATGCTGAATTTCAGAAGTTTCTTTTTTGTGGGGATGGGGAAGAGAGTTCCTAATTTGTGTCCTCCCTCTACACAAATGAAAAATGAGTCATTGTATTTTTGTCATGAAATGTAAGATACATAAAATAAGGTTGTGGGGAAAAGTAATCAATAATGTAAATATTATTAAAAGCAAATGTAGCTATGTTAGTCCATAAGAAAAAGATCCACAGTTCACAGCTGAGAAATACCTTTATTGGAATTATACAAATTCTCACAAAATCATGGCAAGTTTTTGAGATGTTAGGCAAGATGTTAGCTCTTGGAATTATCTTTTAGGGGTTCTTGCTTTCCCCTGTTTGTTCCACAAATCAATACGATTATTTTGCAAAGGTTTAATTATTATTATTTCATTTTATAATTTACATGAAACAGAAGGGCAGTTATAACGACAGACAAACAGCAAAAGATGAAAAAAGGATCTAATAAAATAGGCATGCAGAATGAGTAGTTGCACATGAGTTAAAATGAGAAAGTCCAAGTAAAGACTATGAACATTCTCAGATCAAGTACAGTTCCAGATTGCCAAGCTTGTGATGAGGGTTGTCTTGAAAATGGTGGTTCCACTGCATATGTCACAAAATAATTATGATATAAAAAGTGTCTGGAGGTTCTAGTCCTTGTTGAAATCTCAAATTTTGTGTCGTTTTCTCTGTTCTAGCAAGATTCCAGGGTGAGTCGTAATAAGCACCCACAGTGTTAGATTTTGGGCTGTTTTCCATTGAGTTGCAATTACTATTCGGGCTGCCAAGATCGTGTATAAGACCAGTTCTTTTGACGATATATTTACATTGGTATCATCAGAAATATTCAGTAACATTAATTTTCTTTTGTAATATTTCTTACTTCTATCAATATTAAATTCCAAAAATATTGCACCAATTGACATTCCTATCTTAAATGATATTATGTACAAATTTTATTGCAACTCTTCCAACAATTAGGTTATATAGAAGAAAGCATTTTTGACTACTGCAAAGGAGTGAGATACTATCTGTGTAGTAATTTTAAGTTTCCCCTAAAAAAACTGGAAACAGATTTTTAAGATTGAGATTCCCAAATTTTATTCTAATCCTTAGGAAGAATTTATGTTCCAATATCTAGTTCCCATATCTTTTTAAGGGGTTCCATAAATCCATAAGCTACATCAAGCAATATAGAGTAAAATTTAGAAACTAAACCTTCCCCTCCCTTACCCATAAATTTTTACAGATTTTTACAAATAAAACAATGAATCTGATTAAAATGGATCCAGTTTGTGTTAAGATTTGACAAGGTCCATTTTATTTGGTTAATAAATATAGGTTGGCTATTGGTATAGAAATCTCATAATGGATTCCTGATGTTCAAATTGCTTCTATCTTTCTTGCTGGAAAAAATCTGGGTGATGTGATCTTCCCTCACCCATCAACATTGATGCAGTGGGGGGAGGGGGAAGGAAAACTAGGATTGCTACTTCAGGATCTGTTTAACCCCATGAAAAATTTGGGATGTGCTTTAGTCTTCTAGGCCACATTGGCTTTAAATGGAGAGGAATTTTTCACATGATTTTTGGAGTCTAGCACTATGCTTCATGTGAATTGCACCTGTAAACAAGTTGTAGCTCTGAGACAAAATAGGAAGAAGCAATAGGAGCCCTCCTGCTATAATTGGTTTTATTTCTGCATATTCATAAGATGAGCTAAAAAGGTGGATATACTGTTAAAACCTAGATCAATTGCTAGTAAAACAGGCTAGGATTTTTACAAGTAGCTAATGGGTTAATATCCCTAAATATTCATTTGAATAAATGAATAAAAAACAGAAAAATGCTACCCTATTAATAAGTTGATTTTGCCATTGTTTTTTTGTGCTCTTATTTTGGATAATTGAATGGGGGGCGGGGAGATACAAAACATATTCCTGATATTTATTTATCAACATTAAAACTCCTTGCATCTATGTGTTATTGTATAGTCAATTGTTTTGGCAAAATAATTTACAGTGTACCACTGTGCATCCTGTTTTACGTCATTTTGTTGCCATTTGATCAATTCATAAAACAAGCAAAGAGGATTAAGGGTTTATTTATTTTTGTGGTAACAGTATAATGTATTACAATACTTTATATAAATTGGATTATAAGGAAAAATGTATTGCTACAAGATCACTTGCTTACATAATACAGTCGTACCTTGGAAGTCAAATGGAATCCGTTCTGGAAGTCTGTTCGACTTCCAAAACGTTTGGAAACCAAAGTGCGGCTTCTGATTGGCTGCAGGAAGCTCCTGCAGCCAATCGGAAGCCGCAGAAGCATCGTCGGACGTTCGGGTTCTAAAGTATGTTTGCAAACGGGAACACTCACTACTGGGTTTGTGGCCAAAACGTCCGAGTACCAAGGCATTCGGGATCGAAGGTAAGACTATATTCAGCTATACAGAATACTACAGATATCGTGATACATTAATTTGATGCATATTATTCAAGCAATGATAATTTTTTCTAGTAAAGGAACAAAGTGATTTCTATTGTGAAATGAAGTCGTATCTACTCCATATAGGGCAACCCATGACATGCTGATCTACTATTTATTCATTAGCACCCAAGTCTCTTAGACTGTGGTTAAACAAATTTTAGCTGTCCAAAACGATAGACTGGGGGGCAGCAGCAGCAGCTGTGCAGTGGGCTGCTGTCCCAACAGTATCTTATCTAAGCTGGCTGTGACTCTTGTAATAATCAGGGACTCCCTGGGACTGGGACTTCTTCATAGTATCCTCTCGCCTTCTCTTGAGATCCTGACAGCTGTCTTTAGGTTTAGTTTATTCTTGCTGGATGGAGTAAGCTGAAAAGGCTACCAAAAATAAAGTTTACAAGTGTTTCTAGAATAACGTTCAAATGTTAAATTTATGCTATTCATAACCTATTGGAGGTCAGTTTGCCCCAGATACAACCCAATGTGCTTTGTAGGGGGTTAGAAAGAGAATGTAGTAGACTTAGGAAAACATCATAATTTTAAAAGTGACACATTTCAACAACGAAATAAAACTGTAGGCAGTACAGAAAAGAAGTAAGATCCTTGAAAACCATTACTTCATTAGGGCAAATGTTTAATGTGTGGTGGTGTGGGTTTCCCCCCATTTTTTTAAACAACTCCTTATTGAAAAAAGTTCCAGGACATTTCTCTAGGCTTCCTCCCCCCTTTTTGAAGCTATAAAAATGTTACTTAAGAACTAGAGGTGGCACATTATTTATGACCAGAATGATTTCTGTTTTGTTGGTCTTTGAAAAAAAGAGATGGAGGGAGAGAGCGAGAGCAGTAGACTTGTAAAAGGGGACCTTCTTCCATATTTGTTTATGAATCTGATTTGAAAGGATGGGTCTCATATCTATCCAGTGGACTTGAAAAAAGGTCTGAGCGATGTCTTTATATTATTGATGAGGATCATTTTGGAACATAAATTCATGGAAATGATTAAAGCCAGTCATCTAGCCTGTATTGCATGGTTGAAACAGATGAGAAAACAAGTCAAATGCTGATTGGTCAACATGCATTTAATTAAATTTTTACATTTCCAATTTTTTTAATATATGTATATTTAAACAGACTTGGTACACAAATCTGGTACAGACTCACATTCAACGTGAATGAGAAGTTATTTGAAACTAAAATTCAAAAGGAATGCAAATACAGTTTGTATATCTAGTTGTTGCAAGTGAGCCCCCTACTGTGTTGAGTCTAGCACACATAAAAACAGATTAAAAATATCCATACCTAGGGATGAAAGAATCTGTCAATTTTTCTCTCAGCTTCTCATTTTTGCAGATTTAAGTTCAGTTCTCTACATTTCTGCAGCAATTTGTGACTTTAAAAAAAACCCTCATGAAAATTCTTCAACATTTTTCTGCAAATTTCTCCTAATAAGCATATTTTGTATGTACTTTTGACTAATGTACACTTTTGAAGCAGTTTCTCTTAAAAACATACATTGTTGTATGTTGCTTTCACTAAAATGCATGTTTTCCTGTAATATATGCATTTTGGAAAACCTCATCACAAGGTTTAAATAAGTGAGCATTTTGAAGGTTGGATGTGTTTTGGTTCTCATTGTTTTGGAAAGTAAATGCAAACTGAATTGAATTTCTGAATTCAACTGTTTAAACCTTTATTTGTGTTAAACATAAAAGAAGAGTAGAAATAATAATACAACTATAGAAACAGGTCAATGCTGTTTTTTCAACTGCTCAAACCATTCATTAGTTATGTCTGATGCTTCTAAAAGTATGTGTAGCCAGTCCTACTCTTGCTGCCACACCTTTCCTTAGTTCTGTCTAAAGTTGCTGGATTTTCTTCACCCCAGCTCTGCCCATGGAATCATCTCATATCAGTCATGATTTAAATCCCAATGTTTATCTCCCAGTTGCATATGCTTCTGACAAACAGAAGAACAGTGCTTTCCTCCTGCCCTTCTTTACGCTTTCCGGAGATATTTGGTTGATCACAGCTGGAAACAGAGTTCTAGACTAAATTGGAACCAGTCATTTATCCAAGACCACAAACTTAAGTATAAGGCAGAGGTGGCGCTCTGAATTGTGGGAGTCTTTTAACAGATAAAAGGAAGCACTTATCCACACAGGGTGACTGAAATTTGTTCCTGAAGATGGCCACCACCAGCTTAGTTTTAAAGGGAATCAGACAAATTATTCCTGCATTGCAGGGGGTTGAACTCGATGAGCCTTGGGGTACCTTCCAGCTCTACAGTTGTATAAAATTCATGGAGGATAAAGTGACCAGTGACTACCAATCATGATGGTTATACTAACTCCAGCATCAGAGATTGTATAGCTCCAAATACCAGTTGTCAAATATCCAGGCCACCCCTGATTCCATTTTGGTTTTTTGCATTGTATTAGAAGAATGAGTACGAGGGAATTTATTCCGAATTGTTCTCATTACTCTTAAGATAAATTACAGGACAGAAATAAAGTGAATATCTCATGGCCTATGTAGCAGTGATCAATATGAGTAAACCTCAAAGCAAGAGGGAAGAGAGACAAATAAAGCTGAAAAAGAAATTGGAACCTGTTGTGTCTTCTTCACCTCAATAGATGGGAAAACACTGTAATGATGTGGCCTATCCTTAATTTACAGTATACACAACTTGTGACAGGAGTTTTTATAACTCTAAAAATTGCACTTAATAAATATGAGAAGATACAGGTTTTCTTGATTACTTAAACCTAAATGTTTACTCAAGCTTTCATGAGAAGTTCATCTTAATTTAAACAGAACTGGGTCCTGCTGAACTAGAGCCATTTTTTTGATGTGGACTCAAGTGCACATGAAACAGTCTTAATAACATCCAAACGCGTTTCATTTGTAAACGAAGTCTGCACAGGCTTCACTTTGTGGTTAGGGTACTGTAATCAGAACTAAAGTGTAGTTCATTTTTCTTAGGTAGATTTTTTAAAAAACTCCTTATATTTCATTTCATGTAACATGAAATGTTCAAAACAGTTTCTGGTTTAGATATTTTCTAACAGCCTAACACACGCATTCACACAAGAGGAACATGTGTAAATATTTGTAGTACAGTCCATGGATATAAAAAGTATTACTTGTATTTTCCTTTTTGTGTTGATGTTATATAGTGATGTTGGACACATTGTGGGCATCATTGCTGAGAAGAAGGGAAAAAGATAGATTTGAAACACAGCCTGAAAGGTGGCACTTAGCCAGGATACTGAAAAATGGCAAACATGTCACATTTTAACAGCTGGATGCAGAAATATTTCTCTTTAATTTGGACGGATAACATTTTTTTCACAGTAGGGCACTCTCAAAAGACTACAAGATCAAAGAGGGTGGGTCTCACCAGTCAAACATCATCTGGTTCCAGGATGGAGCAAAATGAATGAACTGTCAGACCTTTTTTCCTGGTGTATACACTTTGGCCAAGTAAAAAGTAAAATGTTCAGTGACTTATTCTAATCACAGACCAAATTCTAAAAATGGAAAGTGAATCTCCCAAAGTCTTACTCTGATGTCTGAAGAAGACTCTGGATTGATTGATGGTTTACATTGTATTGATGCCCTCTGCCACTTTTAGATTAGATAGGCCAATTGTTGAAAAACTCCTGCAGTTTGAGGACTCCTGCAGTTTGAGCATGGACTAATCTAACATTCTGCAGAAAAAAACAAACTCACCAGTCTTTATAAACTTTGCATGATGCTTAGCAATATGTAACCTAAATATATATTGATAAGGGATGGAGGGCGGGAAATCCTTTCATAGGTAAACATCACTAAGGGAATATGAACTTCTTTTTTAATGACAACTTTGGTTCTAAAAAAACCCAGGAAGCATATTTAAGGGTTAGCTGTATATGGAAACATTAGCATGCTGATTTTCTAGTCCTAAAATCTAATGAATGTGAACTGTTGAAACACTATGGCCATTTATCAGTATGAAAACATGGCTCTAGCTTTTACAATCATTACTCATTTGTTTTATGGAGAATCTCAAGCATAGTTTGTCATACACTTTATTACTTGAACTTTTAATCATCAACTGGGGAACTTGGCATTTCACCCATTTCAAAATACTCAAAATGGTTTTTTTTATGTGTTTCATTTTGGAACACTTGCATGAAGAAAGAAATATAATTCAATTCGTTGATGACTTAGCTGTTGATGCAGTGATACAATTAGGTAATTTTAGCTTCTTGAACTTCTAAATTCAAAGTGTGGTGAGCCAACTGTTCTGTGTTTGGAGGCCCTCCAGTTCATTCTGGACTTCTCTCCCAAAGTTCTGTCTTGATGGAACACTGCTTGGATGACTAGAAATATGAATACTCCCTTCAAAATTATTGCCTATAAGAGTCTTAAAATATTGAGTGATATCCAATGTTTGTTAGAGTTGTGGGCATCTATCTGTCTTGAGAGAAAATGGAAGAGTGCATCATTGGGGGATAAAGTCAATCTGTTGGAAGTTACAGTGCCTGCTGCGGCTGTGGTGCCCAATTCAGAAGAGACATGTTTGATTGCAGCTGGGTCAGATGAAGGTGTCCGATTTTGCTGCTACAGATGCACCATGATGTTTCTTCTCTCTGAGCTTCTCCCAGTGGTCATTTCTCCTCTGGTCACAGCTATGGATACATGGCCTGTCTGTCAGTTAGAGTAGACCCATTGAAAACAGTGGACTTAGTCCATTGGATGTCACCCATGAATTATTAGAGTAAAGCAAAAGAAATCTAGGCTTCACTAGTCTGAATACTTCATAAGCCAAATAATATCATTTAAGATTTCAGATTAAATTATTTCATGATGTAGTGTATTCTGGAAGAGTTCAGAAAGTCTGTGCAGAAAATCTGCAGGCTGCTCATAGTTGACAGTAGTCCCCATTTGAGTGCTTTGGACTTGTGTGTGAACCCTAAGCTGTTCTCAAATAGAGATCCATTTTTGTGATCTGGTATCTCTGTATGCAGACTGTGTATGAGCTGCTGAAATTTGCATGATGATCCCAGCTTGAATAAGCTCTACAACAATGTAGGCTCCGAATGAAAGGGTCAGTACACACCAGTGTATTGCATTGTAGTGCTTATAAACATGAGCTATTGGGTGGAAAGTTCTCAAGTCTGAAATTTCTGGGATGTCACAGGCAAGCTTCTTTGATCTTAGTCCACCTACTGCACCACAGTAATAAATACTGTTGGCTTAATTTTATTGTTAACTGTGTTATTATTTTATTGTTTAACTGTTTTAATACATTTTGAGCACTATGTAAATGTTGAGTATTACTATTATAGTAGCAATAATGCAAACTTCTGATCAAGTTAAAGGCTCACCTTTCCCAGTGATAGGTTGGTGGCAAAGGGAAGCCGAGCCACTCAGTCTCCATGTACTCCTAAAATGGCACTAGGGGATGAGTTGGGCTTCAAGGAAGTGCTTCCTTTGAGGCTGAACAAAACTGGTGAACTGATAAAGGGACCAAGCGTAGGTGAGCATGCTCTGATTAACTCTGTCCTCCTCCGGTCAGATGAGGTTTGTAGTAGTCATAGGGGAAGCATATTTCCCAGCAGCGGAAGGGCAAGATGGAGGCACAAACATGTCACATGTGCAATGAATCAGAATCAGTGTTAACCACAGCTAGCTCACAACTGTGTCAGAAGTCGTAAATTTTCCTCAGGAGGTTTACAACTGCTACCCTCTTTGTATTGAAACGTCTTAGACAGGAGGTGCCTCAGGAAATACAAGTTATCTTTGAGCCAAGGTGGAAGCAACTGAGGGCTGGAATTCCTTCTTCACCATAGGTGAACCTTGTCCTAGAGCCAGTGTGGTGGAGTGGTTAAGAGCAGTAGACTCGTAATCTGGTGAACCGGGTTCGCGTCGCCGCTCCTCCACATGCAGCTGCTGGTTGACCTTGGGCTAGTCACACTTCTCTGAAGTCTCTCCGCCCCACTCACCTCACAGAGTGTTTGTTGTAGGGGAGGAAGGGAAAGGAGAATGTTAGCCGCTTTGAGACTCCTTCGGGTAGTGATAAAGCGGGATATCAAATCCAAACTCCTCTTCTCTTCCTTGGCCTTTGTTTAAGTATTCCTCATGTGGAGCCAACAACCCTTGGACTGTCAAGCACTCCCCTGCCGTGTAAAAGTAAAATAAAAGCAGTGCTCATGTAGTCTTTAAGGGTCCCCTCCCTCTCCTCATCCCTACCTGAAGACACACAGCAGTGCCTCACTTTTGAGTTCCCAGGATTCTTTGGGGAATCCATCTGCTTTAAATGTATGGTGTGTCTGCAGTCAGCTATATATTTCATACTTACAAGCAGAGAATGCATGGGCCACTTCAAAAAACAATTGTTTTTCAGAGTCTTGAAATCTTGAATTTGGAAGGGGCAGAGTGATGAGCTACAAATTTGGAAGGAAGAAGCACGAAAGAGCTTACTGTCCAGGAGAAGGGAATCTTTCTATAGTCTGGCTGGTGGCACTACCTGGGGCACAGCTTTGACACCTGTGGTTGAACCTGTTCAACCCTTTACATATGGAAAATTATCAGTTGGCACCTTCCAAGTATCAAAGAAGGTGGGAATTAAATGTTGCTTTGTTTTCCTTCTGGTTTACAGATCAATTTGGAGGGAGGTTTCTGTCTCTGTATGGGGAGGAAAGAGTGCCTGTATTGTGTACATGCTTAAGGCAAGAAGGAAGATGGGAGCAAACAGGGCATCTGACAGGAAAATGGAAATTCTTAAATAGGCAGGCTCTGAGGCCAAGACGTTTTCTGTACATCTCAGACTTTAGTGGGTTTGCGAATATATTTGTAGGGGGGGGGTAGGGATGGGCATTTTGACAGTGGATCAGTCTTACTCTTCCTGATCTCTGGTTTGTAATCCTGCATGTCCACATCTGATCATGCAGTTTCTTCCTGACATCAATAGATTTTAAATGGTGTTTGTAGGTAGCATCTTCACATGTAGTATAGCAGTTGAAGGACAGGTAGAGAAGGGGCCCAGACATATAAATGTGTCCTAATTAAACCCAAATATGTACAGACTGGAGAGAAAAAATCAGATTATTATGTCTCTCTGCTGGAAGTCCTTGTCATTGGAAATTACTTGAGATATATTATTTGAAAAAAATCAGATGTAAATAGTTATGGGATTTCTGAACCTCCTTGCTATTGCCGTTGGCATCAATCACTAGTGAGAATATTTGTAAGACTATCATAGAAGGATTACTCAGTAAGAAGCTGTTAAATAACCTCTGTCCTGCTCTTTAAGAGATGCGCAGCAAAAGACTGCCATAGTTTCCCTCTTTTAAAAAGACTTAGTTGAAGTCAAGTCTGAAATCAGTTGTGTTTCTAATGAATGAATGTGTAATGAATTGGTATAGTATAACTTATTTGTGTCAGTAGAGAGTAGCTAATTATCAGATGCATGACTATGCTGAAATAAAGATGGAAAAATTTCAGTAAGAAACTTGTATTAAATCATTTCCTGATGCAAGGGCCGTGCTTATAAAAATATGCATGTGTTGTTGTTTTTAAAAGTTAGGGAGCTGACTTTGGCCTATTTGTCTTCCTGTTGTGATTCTACTTTTTTTAGAATCTCTGAACCATCCAGTTGTTAGCACTCTTCACACATTTGCTAAATATGTGGAGGGAAGGGAATGGGTTCATGCATGCTCTTCCTCTTCCTAATCTTTTATTCAGTGGATGATGTGAACAGGCTATCAAGCAGTTAGGAACCCTGCTTTTTCAGGTTCCTGCTAACTCAGAGCAAACCCTATATATTGCATGCAAATGTTGTACAAACATGCGCTAGTCTGCTGCCATGATCTCAGAGTCTCCAGTCTGCCTTACGTAGGCGGGGGGGGGGGAGCCTTAGAGCCCTAGAGCAATGTGGCCCTCTAGGCCTCTCTGTCTGGCTCCAGCCACACCTCTTTTCCCAGGCCATACCCTCCACTACCCCTGCTTTGCACCCTGCTGGTGTGTTTTTGCCTGGCTGGAATGTGTGTTTGAACTCTGATAATGGCTCTTGCTTGCCTAGATAGAGTATTTAGACGGGTATGTGAGTGTGTGTAGAAACTAGCTTACAAAGGGGAGTAAAAATAGCTCAGTTGGTTAGAGCAGGATGCTGATAATGCCACGGTTTCAGGTTCGATCCCTGTATGGGGCAGTTGCATATTCCTGCATTGCAGGGGGTTGGGATAGATGATCCTCAGGGTCCCTTCAAACTCTACAGTTCTATGATTCTAAAGCTAAAATTCACATTAGTTAGCTCTGCTTATTTTTGCCTCTAGGCCTGTCCACAACTGGAAAGTGGCCCCCAGAAGCCTGGCTTCATATTAGAATAAGAACTTTTGAAATGCATTTTCTGGTAGGATTTGGTGTGCAACATTCTTGATATATTCTGGAACCTGCCTCTTCTACCAGGCTTCTCTTGGTAGTGTTACTGGATAGTTCATCTACTCTGTATCATCCTATTTTAGTATATTCAATTCACCTAGAGACAGTGAACTTAATTTATATTTTTTTCTATGTCGTACACAGTTAACCTCTAGAACTCTCTTCAACAGCAGTAGCAATTGCCAATTGCTTAATGAAGTTCAAAAAAGCACTAGAAAATTTCTTAGACGACTGAAAGAATATCAACAGCTATTGCACAAGATGCTAAGGGCATCCATCGTAATACTTAAGGTGCTCCTAATACTATAATACTTTAAACAAAGTGACTTGTAACATACTACAGGGACTCTATTAACAGCCGATGTGGTTAAAACTTTCTGAAGCATCTGCATCTGGCCATTAGTGGAGACAGAATACTGGGCTAGATGGTCATTAGTTTGACCCAGAATAGCTGTATTTATATTCTCATTTAGTGTAGCTTAATATTTGCAGTGTGCAGTGGTTTAGATAAATGAAAGTGGGAAACAGCTTCCACAAGTATGTAACTGCCTCATCATACTCCATCCAAGTGCTCTTGTGACTGGTATGTAGGGTACATTACCATCTTCAAATAAATAAACTAAACTAGGAGCATCTTTCACTGCTCAGAGATTGGAATTACTGAGTCAGTGAACCACAAAGCCTGTTAAACCTATGGAAAAAGGAAAACATGCAGGTGCAACAACCTTGCATTTGTTAGCCATCAACTAAAGACAAAAGCAATTCCCACCAACAGATCCTATGGCTTGAGCAGGTTAGAAAATTCTGTAAATCCCTCACCGCCAGGTGTTTTTGTTGGTAGTAAGCCACCAGAGAAGTTGTTTTGAGTGAGAGTAGGGCGGATCAGAGGAGGCCTAGTATCTGTGAGGCTCAAGCTCCTCCATTTCTCTGATAGATCCTAGAATCAGCTCTGTTAGGTATACCAGCCTGGAGCTGATATAGTTAATTGTCTCCACATTAAAGCAGATGAGAGGGAAAACAAAAACTTCCAAGATGAAGGAAAGACACCCCCCCTAAATCTTGGTGTAACCCAGGAGGGCTGTGGAATTGGCAGATCATGCATACACACACACCCCAATATAGGATTTCACAGTTAGTCTTCAACTGAAAAAGTCAACTTATTGCCCAAACAGTGATGATTCAGGAGACTGATAATCCTTTCCTTGTGTATCATTTCCCTGTCAACTTCCACCCCCACCCCCAGTTCTGTTATCAGCCCCATTAGGAGGGGAAATCCAGGTACCTGCTTGGTTTATATCAGATAGGAGATGACACAGGGGTGGGAGAATTAAAAACCTCCTTCTCCATAGTAGCTTTACTGAGCAAACTAGAAGCTCCATAAAGCTGTTCAAAGTAAAGAAAAAGATGTGGAGAGATCTAATGGGATCTGTTTTGATCTCCATACTGGAAAGAATGGTTGTGTGAACTCACTGTAAATTAAAAACAAAGCATTTCTGAAAAACAAACATTTGTAGTGGTTAGCAATTTGTTTTGGTTGGGGAGTTTCTGATATATACTCTGAAACTGTTGCCCCATTTGTTCCAGTTCAGCTGACAACCTGCAGCTCTTTGAGCTGTAATGGATCGGTCAGCTTACACAATCAAATTCATTTATGATTTTGAGATGATAACAAAATCTATTACATTTTATTTTCTAGTACAAAAGGTAAGAAATTAAGAGTGCAATTGCATGCAGAATTATAATAACATAGTTTGTTTTCTATTTATTAAAATTCTATACTGCCCTAAATCTGATGATCACAGACTGGTTTACAATATAAAAACGCAAAAACACATAACATGTAACAAAAAAAACCCCAACAGTAACCCCCCTCAGTTTCAAAGACCCTTTGCATTTTCCAAAAACAAAAAGCCCTTATAAAATTATCATTTTAGTATGATTTTTTTCTAATATATACACATTTTTTTGGAATACAGTTTCCCCTAACCATGATTATAAAAGTTTTTTCGCTAATATATACATTTTTGCACACACTTCCAGTACAAGCATTTTTGTGTTTATTGCTTGGTTGGAGAATAGCATTAAGTTCATCAGCGTGGTTTTTGAAGAATAGCTGTGTTTTAGTTCATATATATTTTTCAAACAGTGAATTATGTAGGTTTGCACTAAAATCCGAATTGAACTGAATTTCTGTTCTATCCCTAGTTACAAGTGATTTCCTATTATAAAACTAAGTTCTCTAAATTTTCAAGTGGAATAGCATCTGATGTGCTCTAAGAAACGTTAAAGGATTATTCAGTATAAAAGACTTCTTCATTCCCATAATCCTCATCATTTCTGTCATTGTGGCCTGTCATGTTTACATAAAATAGTAATTAAAAATATTTTAAACATATTTTTTTAATGTTTGGAAATATTTGGAGTACACTATTAAGAACAGGTTTTACTTAGCAGCATAGCAAAACTTTTAATATAGTTGGAACCCACAATATTTATTCAAAAAGCATTAAACCTTAAAAGTGTTGAAATTAAGTAGTCCAGTACTCATGAAAGCACCAGGCCTGTATTCAGTTGCACACAGTTAATTTAAAAGGGTTATAAGCACATGTAATTGGAGACAGAATTTAAGCCTAAGCATTTAAATTACATCTGTCAACCAATTACAGTTTGGTGTTTGCTTTTATTGTTAGTCCTTCGATATTTATGCATGATCTGATTAAAACAATTATACTAGCACTAGATTCTCTACAGAAATGAAAGGAGCATTTTCTGTGGATAAGCTGTGGTCCAATTCACATGTGATGTAGAAGTTCCATAACTGGATCTCTTTTTTTAAAATACTCCAAAAGAAGGCAATGGGTGCTTCGATGCGGTCAAAGCAATGGCACTGATTAAAGTGATATTCAATTTTTCCCTCCCTATACGAGTTTCCTGATTTACCAGTGCTTTGATCAAAAGTTGATAGATCTGTTGATGGATCTACCATGTCATGTGTGGTTTGGCTAAAGATTTATAATTTCTGGAAATTTTGAAGCCATGGGCGGGGGTGGGGAAGGAAATTCTGCCTTTTCCCTATCCTGGGGTTTCGGAGGTAAATGGAATTTTGGGGGAGAAATTGAAATACATCCCAAACTTATACTATTTGGCATGTTTAATTGACATATTTAAAGAGCACCCTGTTTCCTGAGAAATAAAACCTTACCCTGAGATTGAAAAAAACAAAACCCCAGACAGTTAGGAACACTGAAACAACTATGAGATATCTCATACATTTTATGTTGTTAAAGTAAGATAACTTAAGGTTTGATAAGAAATTACATATTGCATATATTTCTTTTCCCCCCTTACATAACAAGCATAGCACACATTATGAGAGAGTAAAAAGTATTTTATTCCAAAAGACCAAAATAATCCATAAGAGGGTTTTTTTCCAGTATTTCCCAAAATTGTGAGTTTTTCCATTGGAAAAATTGGATAGGGGGAAATTGGGTCCTCTCCCAATTTGCCCCCGCCCCTGGGTCTTCACATTTCTTTGTCTCATATTGCTGGACTAAAACTCCTGCCATCCTGCCCATTGGCTAAGCTGGCCAGCTGGGGCTGATGTTAATCCAAAAATGTGGAGGTCACAGGCTCCTCATCCCTGATTCATATGAGTATGAATTTAAGCTTTCTTACTGATGACACGATAATATTAAGCTACACAGAGCTGTGTAGTTTCATTTTGTTGAATGCTCTAGATATTTTTCAACTGAATATCAGGGGGCTTCACCATTGCTTTTTGAGTTAACTGTTGACCCAAAGGCACCACACGTAGCTTTTCAATGAACAGGCATGGTGTGGTCAGTTCTGAATAGGTTTGGGAGCTTTACTTTCTCTGATTTAAGGGATAAGTGCATTTTCAGCTTTTTCCAAACTGGAACAATGAGCCCTAAAGAATACTTTGGTTTTGTTTTTTTGTTTAGCTCTTCTGTTTCTAATTCCCTCGAGAACCAAAAGCACATGAAATAATCATGAGAGTCACAAAAAGAAAGTATTAAACATTCACAACCCTCATAAAGATTTGATTCTTTGACCTTGGTAAAAGAGCAAGGCTCAAAAGAAAAGGTGTTAGTTAAAAATATAGTAACCTTTAAACTGTGGTTCTCTTATCCCCATAAAGAATGTCTTACTTTTAAAAGTACACTTACTGTTAAATAGACTGTTCATTCTTCATTTGAAGAAAAATAAAGACACCCCTGTATAGATGAAGGATCTAAAAATAGTTGTTTTTCATTCATTATAATTAACTTAGAAGTATGGATTTGCTCCCCACACACCACAATCTTGGGAACATGGTTTCAGTGTAATATCACATGTTTTGCATGCAGAAAATCCCAGCTTTAATCTCTGGGTTCTCTAGATAGAAGTAAAAAAGACTTTTGCCTGAAACTCTGGAAAGCTGATGCCGGTTGATGTGTAGATAGACTAATGGACTGGTTTAGTATAAGACAACTTCCTATGTTAGTAATGCTTAGTCCATCACAGAGGTATGTTGTTGTTTAGTCGTTTAGTCGTGTCCGACTCTTCGTGACTCCATGGACCAGCGCACGCCAGGCACCTCTGTCTTCCACTGCCTCCCGCAGTTTGGTCAAACTCATGCTGGTAGCTTCAAGAACACTAGCCAACCATCTCGTCCTCTGTTGTCCCCTTCTCCTTGTGCCCTTCATCTTTCCCAACATCAGGGTCTTTTCCAGGGAGTCTTCTCTTCTCATGAGGTGGCCAAAGTATTGGAGCCTCAGCTTCACGATCTGTCCTTCCAGTGAGCACTCCTTTTGTCAAGTTGATTTCTACAGAATCATCCTTGGATGAGTATCTTTGCCACCAGATAGTCGGGCTGAAAACCCAGTATAGTATAGTATTCAGCATTTCCTGCACAGATTGACATTCGATTTTTAAGTTGTCTGTTTTATTTACATGTTCAATTAGGTTTGCAGTTCTGTACAAAATGGCAAACATTTCTCCCAGCATGGTTGTTCCTTACATTCCTTTCCCATTTAGCATTATGCAAATAACTTTTTTGGGAAATATATGGTCAGTGAGAGGTTTTGGTGCAACAACAACAACAGAAGAATACTTGCTTAGAGAATGTTGATCCTTGTCCAGCCGTTCCACTGCAGTTCTTGCATCCAGATTTCTTGATGTTTGTTTATCTCACAGTTCATTATTTAAGGCTGGTCTGTCAAAGTAGGTTAAATATTCTTTGGGAAACATGGTTACCTCTTTGATATACCAACAGTCTGTTAAATATAGGAAAGATTGGCCTGATAAGAGAGACATGATAAACTTCCATCACTAAAAATATTTTGTTCTTTGTTCCGTTTGGGTTTCTAAAAGCATCAATAAGCTGTGAAATCTCATTGCTATAAATTTCTGGAACAGACGCACAGAAACACTGGCAAAGCAGTGAAAATGATTGCTGATGATTCATTCTAACTACTTGACCTTCTGACCTCTTTTACAGATATATGACCAAGATGGGACACTACAGCACTTTATTGATGGTGGGGAACCCAGTAAGTCAAGCTGGATGAGGTATATTCGATGTGCAAGGCACTGTGGGGAGCAGAACTTAACCGTAGTCCAGTACAGGTAAAGTGTGTTTCAGCTTATTCTCCGAATATCTGTTTATTTTGCTGTGATAAAAGCATTGCCAAAGAAATGTGTTGTAGAAAACTGTAAGGAGCTGAACTTACTGGGCTGGATCTAAACATGCCCTTTGAAAATGGGACGGCTTCCTCTGATGTAGCACAAGATGGTTTTGTGAGAATAGGCAATTGAATCCCAGTGATGAGCTTCTGTTTGTAGAACACATTACAATATCTACAACCACAAGGGTTTGTACAACATTTCAAAATGGGCACTTCTGCTAAGTTGTGCCAAGTCTTCTGCTGGTTCCATTTTGCAGAACAGTACCCCTGCAATAAATTTCTTCTTTTGGTATATCTCTGGCATATGTCCATTGTCCACTTTACATAAAAAGGTCTGGCCTGGTCTTATTTAGACAGAGGAATTCACATTTAAGCCACAAGCATAACAACATAAAATGACCTAAAGTTCATTTAATCTAACTTCCTGTTTCCTAATGCGGCCCACCATATATTTCTAGGAAGCCCGTAAGCCTAAAGGCAACTGATTTGCTCCTCACTAACTCTCTCAGAAACTGGAGCTAGCATTTAGCTATCATGGCTAATCCTTACTAAAGGATTTGTACCCCCAAAATGTGTCTCATTCCCTTTTATAGTCCTTTGTAAGAGTAACTCCTTGCCATCAACTAACTGGCTTCACATAATATGCTTTTCCTACTTGCTTTCTCAAAATGAATATAGTGAAGTGGCAAGAAAACAACACGTGTGACTTCTGAGACACATGTGTTGCTGAGCTCTCTTATTGCAAACTGACACCACACCCTCCAGAGTGCTGTGGATGTTGGAGGACTGATACCTGCAATATATGTCCCTTCTGTACAGCTTTTAAAGGCATAGTACCACTCACCCGGCTGCCAAAGTTTACCTTGAAATCAGGAGCCAGAAGCCCAATTTTCCAAAAACAGTGCATGCTGCTTATTCATCTTTCAAATGCTACTACCACTTTGGTCTGAAAATATTGGAGCAGTCAACTTTATCCACAGATAATCAGATATTTTGTGGGATAGCACCTGCCTGCAAAGAAGACCAGAGTCTATAGTCAGCTAAGGAACCAACATGAGAAGTTGATTTGGGATATATAAGGTGACTATGAGCTCACATTTACAGTCAAAGCTGCTTATTAAATGTGCTGCGTAAATATAGGGGCTCTCAATGATAAATAACTGTTTGGCCCTACTGGACTTTTTAGCAGTATGAAGGAATGGCCAACTTGGAAACTGCTACATTAGCTTATTCTTTTAAAAAATAACCTCAAGCTTTTTTGTGTTATTTATTTTATTTTAAAAATCACATATGAAAAAGGGGGAAACATTGTAGTTTTTGTAGTATACACCCAGTTTCATAACTAGATAATCATCAAATTATATTTCTTTGGGTTAACCATCAAAATAGACAAAAGCAGTTCAAAGAGGGGTGGAAGCACTTGTCAGTTTGTGTCACTAATCCAAGTGCAACAACAGAGACTCATGTTTTTAAAAGAAGTCAACAACAATTGTTCTGAATGTCAGCAAAACTGTATTAAATTGGTAAATCAAAGAATTGTTTATGAGATCATAAAGAACACTTTGACTCGTAGTCAGTTTTTTTTCCTGTCATGAGCATTTATGTAAAGTCTTCATACTTAGATTTTGCCCTGATGCAGATTTGAAGGCCTGTATATGTTTATCCACGAGGCCTGTATATGCTCATCCATGTGACACTTCTACCTACCAAAAAGGATGCATGTGTAAAGTTGTCCTTTCCATTGAAGGAACCACAGATAGCCCTTGCAGACAAGGGAGGTATTTACATCCATTTACACCACTATGTCTGCATCAAATCACTGGATCACTATGTGTGTGCATATTTGCGTACATGCAGATTAAAATCTCAAGCAAAATGAGACCATGAGAAAGTCATTACACATCTGTCAATATTAAGTGGATTTTACAATTCTCCTTTCATGATGGAGCTGTTCCTTAGAGTTCCCTCTGTTGATCTGTTTTCGATTACTTTAGATCTTTTAAAAATGAACTACAAAAACACAATTAAAAAAACAACAATTGGCATCTATCACCAGGGACCACGTCCAAGTGTAAGAAAATAGAAAAGTTGGACACTGAAAAACCGTCTTAATTTTTTATTGTGCATGGACGTCTTCCTCACTGAAAGTCAGCTGTTTCAAATTCATTCTGTTATGATTTGTAATATCTAAATGGAATTTTCTTCAAAGCACTCTTGATTGATTGACCCTTAGCTGAACGTTTTGTTTTTATTTTGAAGCTGACAATAATGTTTGTTGGCATGTGTTCTGCTTCAACTGCGTTGGGACGCCACAAAGCTATCTTTATGAGTCATCCAACCACAATACTAAATACATGTCAGCAAAGGAAATATTATCCGAAAGAGGAAAAATCCCTTTGATGTACTTCAGCATGCAGAGATTTCTGCAAGTTTTGGAAGCTCTATATGCTTGTAAGGAATCGTGTATGCTTACACTCCCCCCCCCTTTTTTTGGCCTACTCCAAGCCTTAGAGACCACCCATTGCTTGAAAACAGTTCAGCTCTTTCAGCAGCAAAGTGTGTCATTGGGTTTTAGCACATTCATTTGCTGGGCTGCTATGTTTATGTTAGGTGAAGCCAAACAGAGAGATGAAAAGTTACAAGGGTGAAGTACAAAGTAGACTCATTTTTATTTTTTTTTAAAGTCAGGAGATGCGGGTGATTTATAGCACTGCCCTGATTTTGATTTTTATGTAATGGTGGAAAGAATTAATAAAATGTACAGCTTGGGTGGAAATAGATGGAGGGGTAGGGAGAGAGGGCAGGAAAGAGACGGAGGCAGGAGTTTTTGTCAGATATTCATAGAATGTTGGGAAAAAGCATTATGCTTAGCCAGCAGTGCCCTCCTGAGACAGGGTGGCAGTAAGCGAGGAAAATAACAAGATAAATGAAATTTTTGCAGCTGCTTGTAAAATATTGAGAATCTGCACTTTTTTATTGATCTTTATGATCCTGTTGCCAAGAGCCACTTTGCGGTGACAAAATATGTTGACAAGTGCATATCTCACTGCCATGAAAAATGTGGTTAAGGATTCTCCTTATGTCGGCAGTGTTATACAAGAAACAAATTGCACCACTACAGCCAATTCTTTATAGAGAGGCTAAATTTAAGGCCTACCAACCCTGCACACTTTTATCTCAAACTTCAGGCTAATATTTGTAGCAATTCTTCATTGCAGAAACCAGTGGAGATTCAACTTTTTTAAAAGTCCATTTATGTCTCCACACTTTACACAAGATAATGTAAAAAAATGTCATTTCTTACTACAATGACTGTATAATTCTGGTAGGCAATATTTCAGCCAGAATGGAAAGCTTGTCTTGTATTTATTGAATTACTATCCATCTCATATAAGTATGTTTTACTTTACTATAACTGGCTTCAGCGACAGCCACTCCACAGTTATTTTTATTTTTATTATTTTATCTCCTAAAAGCCTGGTCTCACATTGGTTTTACCAGCATGTGGGGGTTTCATATAATTGTTAACTGATTTTTATGTACCTGCTTAAACAAATTTTGAATCTCAGCTCCATGATAAGATATTAGCTAAACAAAAATATGGATTTACTGGTGAATAGGTAAATGGGTAACTGTTACTACAACCATGGGTTTAGTGGTGAGCCATGCTTAAGCCAAGTACAGACATTAGGTGGTAATGCTAGGGAAATATACCCAGGAATAAGCCCCACTGAAATCAGTGGGAATTTCTTCTTAGTAAATATAGCTAGGATTGTACTGCATGTACTTTCATTGTGTCTATTATTTTTTATGAAGGTGTATCAAAAGCAAAATAAGATTCCTAGATTTTTTTCCTTCTTTTGACTTAGTTGGTTGTCATTTATGTTCATCCAATATTTGTGATTCTTATGAAATAGCAATGCTTCCCCTATTCATACTCTAGGGGTTGGGTGGGGAGAGATATGTTCCTTCATTCTTTTATTTACAATATTTCTATACCACCTTTCATCGAAAGATCTTAGGGCATGGGACAGTAAATCTTCAATAAAGAACAATAAATGCCAATAAAAAACAGAGTACATAAACCAGCAGTAAAACAGTCAGCCGTAATAAAATCAGTCACAGTTTCCAAACACCTATCTAAAAATAACATCAACATAGATGCCTGTTGAATTTTGGGGCAGAAGGAACTCCAAAGCTGGGGCGTCACCAAGGAGAAGGCCTGACCCAGTGTAACTGCATATTAATTTATTAAAGTTATATACCACCTTTCAAACTTAAAAGGTTCATAAAAATTCACAGTAACCACAAATATCACAAAAGGATGCAATCCTATGCATACTTACAGAAAAGAAAGTTATTGAAGTAAGCCCCACTTTGGAGCTTACTTTGAGGAAACATTCCTAGAGTGGACTTCCATTTTCTATAGAAATGTATGTTCATATTCAGCAGAGGTTAGCTAAAGCTTTGAGAAATGTATTTCTGTTCTAGGATAAAAGCAGTGTAAAGAAATGTCAAGGTTATTAGTAACATTTTTATTTTAGATCTAAATCATTTGTTTACTGTTTTAGGGACAAAGAAAACTAGCTTGTCTATGCCAGAAGTAGACTTCAGGCTTGTGGGATCTACTTTAGATTTGGGGTTCTTTTTTAGGGGTGTTGCTGTTGGTTTTATTATCAGAACCCCAAGGTCCCCCAGGCATTTAAACATTTCATGGAAATGTGAAATATTCTTCCATCATGGCAATCATTTTCTCTACAAGCATATTTTAAGGATGCTATGCCAAAATTATATATTTGTATTCATCTACATATTCAGAGTTCAGATGGCTTTTGCTTTGAAATACAATGCACTTTGTTTTTATGCTTTACATGGGCGCCACTTAGAATTCTTTCATCCATCTGTCCATTTATTCATTGTATTTGTGCATTGTCTTCTGACAAAAACAAACCAGGGCAACCTCTGTCTATGTAAAAATAAATACAAATACCATTAATACGTATATATTAGGGTTTTTAAAAAATGATTTATAGTAGCTACCTTCCACGCTTGTCACAGGCTAGCTGCTTATACCAGCTCTTTTCATACTCCTAGCTACAGTTAAAACGGCTTGTGCCTTTTCTCTTCTTCCCCTCAGGACAAGTTAGTTCTTCCTTAAGCAATCTTGAGATAGTAAGTGGGGTATAGAAGGGGCCAGCTCTGCTAGAACCACTAGGATCTGTATGGAGGGCAGCTTTCACTAGGCTTTTCTCTCTCTTCCACTGATGAGTGGATGCTCCTGAAGAATTATTGCCCAACCATTCATTCTTTCTCCCTTTGCTTGTTATGACCAGGTCAAATATATTCTACAGAGCTTGCATGGATATTCCCAGGGGCACAGAGTTGTTGGTCTGGTATAATGACAGCTACACATCTTTCTTTGGAATTCCGTTACAGTGCATTGCACAAGATGAGAACTGTAAGTATCTTATTTCATCTCCGTATACGTTGGTTTCACAGTTTGTTACTACAATTAGTTCTTTGTTCTCCTTAAAACATGTGCAGATTTAAATACGTGAACACTCAGTTTGCATTAAATTATTGTGAATTTTTCCAATTTAGAGATCCATTTTAAGACACTAAGAAAAAACTCTTGACTTGGTAGGGACAGAATTGAACTAAACATAGAATCCAGGAATGAAGCTTGGGCTGTTACTCAAAATGGCACTGCTCTGAAAACTGAAAAATGGAAAAGTAGATGGAAATAATAGACAAAACAATTAAAGTGGCTACAGAAAAATGTTTTATGAAAATCTTTTGGAACCATGTTATGATGGATAATCCACATCAAGCAGAGTCCTTGAGTCCATAGCACAATGAAGGTTGTTAACCATCACCAGTTTCCCATGCCTTTGTTGAGAGCAGTGATCAGCAGAGGGTGCAGAATTTATGTCTTGGTCCAAAGTATACTAATTGCAGTATGACACATACTTCACCCTCCATATAACATTAAAATATATTACTTTCCCCCTGTATTTCATGCAGAGTTATCACTGTCAGCATCTTTAAACCTCCACCATATGATTAGATAATTCACAGAGAATTTTTTTAAATTTTGAAACTGCTTATGGACCCACCTGTAGCGCCGCTGCCCCTCAGAGGGTGAAACCCAGGCAGCAACAGGTGCAAAACAAAACAGACAGCACAATGTTGTAGGATTAAAACTGGCTACAACTTTTATTGCTTTCAGATATAGGTTGGCTTTGACTCACGCATTGGGTATATATCCATTTTCATCAGGCCTGTAAAAGTCCATACTGTCAAAAACTTAATTGCTGGGTGTGGGATAACATGGTCACCAAGGTGTTCCATTGCTCCACAACACTTATCTTCCAGAGGACATGATTAACACAGGCTGGTCCTTCCACACGCACAGCCACTGCTCACGTTTTAGGAGCTCTGACCTAAAATGATGGTGATTGTTGGGGACTTTTTGTGTAGTCTCTTTACGTCAGAGACTAGGATAATGTTGACGCTCTTCCAGGTGGTTGGATCATTTTACCCAACTGCAGGACCACACATCAGGGGAGCTGCATCTTGCTATTTCATGCTCCAGCTTGGCCACGTTGGCCCATCCATGTCATCTTGGCCCTGGTCTAGAGACCCAGCTGTGCACTTGCGTAGACTTTTGCTCCTTGCCCACAAATCCAGGCGTTCTTGGAAGGGGTACCTGAAAGAGAGGAGTTACATGGAAAGATTAAGTGAGGGTTATCCAGGGCAAATGTACCCTTTGTATGATTCTGAGTGCCACCTGCCTAATGCCTTTGTAAGTTCTGGCCTGAGACCCCATTCAAAGGCTGATGTGGCTGCCCCTATGCAATAAGGATGCCCTGTGGATTCTCCCAGGCTCCACCCCTCAGCTTGCTCCTGATAGACAAATTTGAACTTCGGGATTGTGGCCAGCCACCATGGTGAAGTCATTTTGCCCTCTGGGGGGAGGGCTGGCATCGCTGCCCACCTTCTGACTAGGTAAGTGGCCATTGTGTGGCATATTGGGTGGTGTCTGTCTGCTGACAGTATACATCCATAACTAGACCAGGGATAAGACCAATTTTCAATTATTCATTCTGCCGCCTATAGCTCCCCTGCCCCAAATTGCTCTGAAGGATTGGGTGACACTCTGGAGCAGAATTAAGGGGGAAATGGAGGACTACAGGTGGCAAGGGGAATCACCAAAAATTGCCTTCCTATTCAGCTCATGGATGTCTTGGATATGACCTGTAAATTGATTCAAAGTGTAAGACCTGATCCAAATATATTTGTGTCTAGGAGCTGAAGCTCTAAGCTCCCTGTGTCAGGGCTAGCTCCCTGTTGTTGGATCAGGCTTCCATGCATAACTCTTAGATTATTAGTAGTCATGCCCTGCTGTAACTAAGCCTGAGCATAAGCAACTGAAACATGCAGTGCAGTGATGTATTCTTAATGGAAGGGCAAGCTATAACAAAACAACAACTTATTTCTTGTTCCTTGCCCATATGACTGGGTTGCCCCAGCCACTCTGTGCATCTTCCAACAAAATATAAAGGGACAAAACAGAACATCAAATAATAAAAGCTTCCCAAAACCGTCCTGCCTTCAGCTGTCTACGAAAGGTCATATAATTGTTTCACTCTTTGACATCTGAAGGGAGATGCAACTTCCAAGAAGGCCCTCTGCATGGTTCCCTGTAACTTCACTTCTCAGAAGGAGAGAACCGCCCGAAGGCCCTTGGAGCTGGACCTCAGTGTCCGGGCTGAACCATGGGGGGTGGAGACGCTCCTTCCTGTATAGACGGCTCTATGTACATATAGGACAGATTGCCACCTATGTTCTGGCTAAGGAAGTGTGAAAAGAACATTGATATTATTTTACAGGAACTGATCTTATATCATTTCCCCCCTTTTGACAGATTACATTTGAAGGCACCGAGCGGATTAAGCCTGCCAAATTGTTGACAAACAGGGTTTTGTGGGGGAACTAAAAAAAATTAATTTACCTCCAGAATCCATTCTTACCTTCATCAGGCCAACTCAAACTCCAAAATCCATGTTAATTTCATATTTTGAAGCAGGGGAGAAGCAGGGGTTTGTCTCTTGTTCTTCCTTTCCTAAATAATTAAAATAATTAAGACATGGTCAATGTGTGTTCTTGCTTGTACATTTTCTTTACATATTTGCAGCTTCACTGGCCTTGTTATGCTGGCAGGTGATGTCATCCAGACAGGCATTACAAAATGAGGCTGTCCTTAATGCTGCCTGAGAAGTGTTGAAGAAAATTAATAATAATAATTTATTAACTAGAGCTCTTCAGTGAGCAGCAAGTAGCCTCACTTCTTGCAAAGCCTGGAGTAGAGAAACATAGAGACACACAGAAAAAACAGTGACAGAGCAACACAAGGCTTTGTGGTGTCTATGATCCAACTTGACAGGATTTATTGACACTGTGGTTCAGGGAATAGTAAAATTACCCCAAATTGTTATTTGGCCATAGCAAAAAGTGGTTGCGCACCCCTAATATATGGCAATTAAAAAATGACAACTCTAAGAACAGCAGCAAACAGCCATAAAACTGGAGACTATCTCTGACTCCTGAGAAATCATTGATGCTATTCACTGTTCTCTATACCTTATACATTGTTCAAATGTGAAACTAAGTGCAATAACATTTTGTATGGAATAAATGATAGTGAATATAAATTTGCAAAAGAAGAAATAATGAAGGATGTAAGGGGTTTCCCCCTTCAAAGTAACTTTTCCTTTAAGCTAAATTTTAATGATCTTAGGGCCAAACTGGACATCACATTATTTACACAATTGTTACCTGAGTGAATATTTCTTTAAGTAACAGCAGTCATGAAATAACCTGATCTGGACTGGGACAGCTTCTAAATGGAGGGACCTTTAACCCTTTGCCCCTGATGTGGTCCCAGTCTGAAACAACACCCTCGTGTACCTGCTACTTGCTTCCTGTTCTAGTAATGCAAAATTGAATCTCCCATCCGCTGTCAGGAAGTACAGTGCATTCTACACCTTAGAAGTATGTCACCTCATTCAGCTGCATGAGTAGACCAGGCCTGAGATCATTACAGTGGTACCTTGGATCTCAAACGCCTTGGTACTCAAACAACTTGGAACTCAAACACTGCAAACCTGGAAATAAGCCGAACATGCTCCATTTTGAATGTTACACTTCCGATTTGAGTGTTACGCTGAGGTCTGTCTGTTTTTGCTATTTATTTTGCATTTTTGTGGCTTTTTTGTGACTGTGTGGAACCCAGTTCAGCTACTGTTTGATTGATTGTGTGACTGCAGTACATTGTTTATTGCTTTCATTTTATGGATCAATGGTATCGTTAGATAGTAAAATTCATGGTAAATTGCTGTTTTAGGGGTTGTTTTTAAAAGTCTGGAATGGATTAATCCATTTTGCATTACTTTCTATGGAAAGCGCGCCTTGGTTTTGGAATGCTTTGGTTTTGGAACGGACTTCCGGAAACGGATTAAGTTTGAGAACCAAGGTACCACTGTACTAGGTTGGCCCATTTAATGTGCATCTTTAGTAATAAATGCTTGCTCTAGTCAATAGGCAGAAGGCAGATATTTATTTAATGGTAACTCAAATTGTTTTGGTTTTTTCCCTATCTCTGAATACTTCGTTATAAGAAAAACTTTCTCTTCCCCCACCCTCTTCTCTTAGTGAATGTCCCTTCAACTGTAATGGAAGCCATGTCAAGACAAGATACCGTGCAGCCATTTAACAAAAGTAGCAAACTACCCTCTGCCACTCCACAGCGGTCCATTGTGTTTCCACAGACTCCGTGTAACAGGAATTTCTCTCTTCTGGATAAATCAGGCTCTATCGAATCAGGATTTAACCAGATCAGTGTAAAAAACCAGCGAGTCCTTGCGAGCCCTACATCAACAAGCCAACTAAATTCAGAGTTCAGTGACTGGCATCTTTGGAAATGTGGGCAATGCTTTAAGACTTTCACCCAACGGATCCTTTTACAGATGCATGTGTGCACACAGAACCCTGACAGGTAAAACATGGGCACTCTTTATTTCTATATCTTCTGATAGTAAGATCCATTTCTTTTTGCTTTATCAGGCTGTTAGCCTTTCCACCACCAGAGCATTATTAGAAGGAACCTGCACAATGCAATTCATCTGCTGCTGTACAAAACACATAGATAATGGTGGGCATAGCTTGGCTTTATTATTTGAAAAAAAACACACGGGGTACCTAAACACAGAGATAAGAGAAAATGACTAAGAATATAATCTTGGCTTGGTACATCTGTTAGAAAGGGGGAACAAAGTAGAAGGGAAATGTATGGATATCACAGAAGGAAAAAAGAGGTCAAGATAATTAAAAGTCATTCTGTCTCTGAAAGATAATATAACTTGCTGCTCAGCAGCTGTCATAGTCATCTCAGGGTTCACCTATAGTGTGCAATGTGTATGAACTTAATTAAGTACTAAGAGGTAATGAATTGGAATTTTTTGCTTAGTACTATTTTTCTTCGGAGCATGCAAAGCCATAAATCGTGCAAAGCTGTCAAAAGGAAATACCTACCCCACCAGTGATGTGGAGGAAAACAGATGCCACTTATTCAATAAACTAATATCCACACAGAAGAAAAATGTTGACTAGATACCTCAGAGTCAAAGTTGGTTTGAAAGTTTGTCAATACAGAATTTTATGGCCATGAACTGAGGATGAAATTTAGCTGAACAAGTGAATTAAAATTTCAGGTACTCTGACCAGTGCCCCAGTAGAGATAATGGAACTATTATTTATAAATCAAATCTGGTTTATTTGACAATCTTGATAGCTGGCAGCACAAAAGACGAAAATCAGATTAATTCAATAAAAAGACTGCTTCTGTTTTTGTCTTTTCCTTTAGCAGCAAAGAGATGCTTTAATAAAACAACTAACACTCCCGGAATAATCATTCAGGCTGCAATCCACGAAGTATTGCTGCTGCAGGATCTCAGTGATGAAAGCGGACATTAATGGACTAGAATGGAGCTCTGGAAGACATAAGAGTTGTGCCAAAACTCTTCATCCATGTTCACGGATAAACTCAGAGCTCTACTACAACATTTCGGGAACTGTGGAAAACATGTAACCCACTTTCATCACTCTGCATCCTCAGTACATTTCAATGCAAATTTCATGTTGGTCTTGTATCACAGTGGTGGGGCAGGTCTATTTTATTTTTTACTAAAACCCCAAGCTCCTTCAGCCAAGGCCAGGTGGAAAATAGTGGTTGAGCCACGCAGACTTACACTAAAAATTAAGGACTGGGGTTCAGCTCTAGATTTGGTAACCACTACCAGAACTGGTAATTCATATCAGTAATCAGCATCAGAACTAAGCTCTTAAACATTTTCATGCAAAAAGCATCCCTCCCCACCCCCAGTCTCTTATTGTTTTGGCATGGGGCAGGGGAGAAGCTTTATAGATGGGAGTTAGAAACCCTTGCAGATGACCCAGAGATCCTCAAATAGATCCCAAACTACTTTTTGTTCATCCCTGCTGTTGAATGGGGTTGCAGAGTAGACCCATTGAAATCTATGTGACAGATGGCTAACTTAAGTCAACTGATTTCAGTGGTTCTAAGCGTTATTAAGTTTGACAGCACACTACAAGTTGGATTCAATTTCACTGCACTGAAAGATTCAAAATGCTAGAACACATCTAAAGGAATCCACAAAATTTCCAAAGCTGAAAGATAGTAAGGTTTTAAGAGATGAAATGATGTCATATGTATTTCTCATCCTTTGGGGTTAATGTTGGTAGCTAGCAGGTTCCATTGTTGTTTACTGCTCTCATACTACAATTTAAAATGTACAATAGCGCTTCCTATATTTTCATGGCAAAAACTTGTAACAGCATTCTCACCGATAAATGTGCCAATAAAATGCAAGCTCTCAAAGTTCTCCAAACATTTAGAGGATCTTAATCACAAGAGCCCCATTAGTGCTCTTTAGCCTGAGGGTGAAAAACAAGGCTTGGTTTTCCGACTGAATCTGAATTAGAAAGATTTACTTAATTAAAATAATAAAAAAATCGAACCAAATTATCTAGCCTTGACATAGCACAGATTAATCATTGTGTTGGGCATAATCTGAAGTGACACGTGTACAAAAGTTCCTCTTCTGTGGAGGAACATTTTTATGTGTGTGTGTATGTGGGGACTCCACACATACTGAACATCTTACCCTCCTGCTCTCATCATAGGGAGGAATGAGGAAACTCTGTGATTCTCATAGTTCACTGGCATTAGCTGCAATCTGGCACAGCTATTTATATTCTATTTCTGACCCCTCCAATGTAGATGCCATTTTTAAGCACTGGCTGGTGCTCTAGGTATGTGGGCGAGGTTTCAAATGAAAGTTCAAAGTCCTTCCATTTGCCAAAAATAAAATGGAACATATAGTAGGTAGGGAAATGGAGCGTCTGAAAAATCTGAATTGTGTGAAGATTATCAGAATTCTTAGCAGCTGGTAGTTATGTCACACTCACAACTCTGCATTTTTCAGGGTCATGATAGTGTGTATCATCTGTGATCAAGTGGAAGGATGTGCCCTGCAAAATTTCCCTTAGCCTTAAAGAGGGCTACGCTATCTATTGCAGAGAGGTTGTGCCTTCCTTCAGTTAGATGCCTCCTCCACCCAACATATTGGTGCTAGGAATGCTTTTTTTGGGTGCTTCCAGATCAGTGTTCCTCATGCATGCGTGTTTCTTGCTGTGCCCACCTGATGTCATTAAGAGAACAGCTGAGTGTAGACAGTATTGAACTAGATAATCCAGTAGTCTGACTTGGTAAAACAGCATACTGTGTTGTATCTGGAAACCTTGAGCTCCTCTCTTTCTGAGTGCCTCATTACCATTGCCTGTGTAATTATCACAATGCTGGTCTCTTGGGGAAAGGGAACAAGTAGGATGTAGCTGAGTCTTAGGTCCCATCCTTATTCTACACAGAAAGAAGGAATATAGGTAGTATTTTTCTCTCATGCTGCTTGGGGGAAAAACAGGATCTTAGCCACCTCCCTTTTGTGATATGTCATGTGCATAATTTCATGACTATACACTGTACTGTATGTATTTTTCGACTGAGTTAGTCTAGAGCACATAAATAAAGCATCTTTCCTGGATTCCCAGGAAGATCTTTGCTTTTTATGCGAAGTCTCTTATGGCAAAAGAAATGTAGTAGATTTTTAATAGGGCTGCTGCTTCTGTGCTAAAATTGGGGCTTCTGGAGCCACGGAGCTGAAACTAGATTTTGGGGCGGTTTGACAGTTTCTCCTCTATGGTAGGTCACAAGGCCTGAGTCAACACCTGTAGAATGATCCATGTTCATATAGACATGGTGTATACTGACAATGTGATCAACTCTCAGTGGCACTATGAGGCCGTTGCCAAAGCCCAGAGAAACATGGCTGCTATCTCTACTACTCGGGAGTTAAATGTGGCTCTTGGTGACTTATCTGACAACAAAAATGGCATCCCATTATCTAGCCTTAGGCAGAGTCTCAAACACTAGCATAGATTTATAAAGTCTTGACCCCAACCCAGTGCCCAGTGATTCCTATTCACCAGCATCACTACTGCCATGACTTATTACAGAGAAAGAACAGGTTGTGTCTTTTCCTCTTCTACTGTGGTAGCAGTGGTGAGGATTCATGGGCAACGGTATCTGATCCCTATTAGTACAAGCCTTGGTTGCTTTTGTCTATGCAATTCACTTAGTTGCACTGACTTAAGAATATTGTAAGTGACTACTGCATCTAGAGTTGAATAAAGAATCAATTTGAGTGACTTGGGGAGATGGAAAAGAAATTTGATTTAGTCAGCTTTTAAAGGCATCTCTACCTAATTCACATTTCCCCAAACACTGTGCAAATAGGAGTACAGCCATCCTTCAGAATTCACTCTTCTCCAAACTTTTGATGCATTCTTCAACTAAATAATGTATACAAAAATGCATACACTTAAGGGTAAGTATGCATAAAGGCATATATTAGTGAAAATAACATACAAATATGCATTATATTAGGGAGAATTGTTTGTATAAATATGTGTATTAAGCAATGTGTATATCAGTAAAATACTGATTCATTTTCATTAAGACTTTTTAAAAAAAGAACACTGATGCAGAAATGTGGAAAACTGAACCAAAGATTTGAAAAATTACAAACTGATTGAAACCAAAATTGACAGATTTGCCCATTCCTACTTGTGCCTTTATGAAAGCATCCAGGGCTTGTATTAAAATTATACAGGCAAGTTACAGAAGCCTTTGTACAGGGTGAGTCCTTGAAAAGAGAAGAAGAAGAAGAAGAAGAAGAAGAAGAAGAAGAAGAAGAAGAGTAGTAGTAGTAGTAGTAGTAGTAGTAGTTTGGATTTGATATCCCGCCTTTCACTCCCCTTCAGGAGTCTCAAAGCGGCTAACATTCTCCTTTCCCTTCCTCCCCCACAACAAACACTCTGTGAGGTGAGTGGGGCTGAGAGACTTCAAAGAAGTGTGACTGGCCCAAGGTCACCCAGCAGCTGCATCTGGAGGAGCGGAGACGCGAACCCGGTTCCCCAGATTACGAGACTACCGCTGTTAACCACTACACCATGCCGGCTCTCTGTATCCCGTGGATACAGAGTACACATGTTCCATGGGGCCTCTTTTCAAAGACTCACCCTGTACGTAGACAATTCACCCAGTGCCAAATTTTGGGAATTGGGTTTGCAGATGTTTGGCACTCACTCAAGAAGCAAGGATATATAATCATAGAAATCCTCCACCGACTGTTGCCTATTTTCTGTATTCAAAAGTGCACAGATAGATGCAACGTACAAAAAGAACCGTTCACCTTTTAAAACTTATACTTTATACAACTATTTTGGATTTTTTGCTCCCATTTAACCTAAAATTCATCTATTTTGTCTATAAATCTTATTAATCTATCGCCCAAGGATGATATGCAATATTGGTCATACTCAGAATAGACCTTAAATTCCTTTATTTCAGTGGTTATAGCTAACGTGATATCACCCCAGTGGTTTCCCCTTCTTTTAAGAAATTATCTAAGATTACTTTGCCTTTTGAAGACCAAGGAGAGAATTGTACACAATCCTAGAGTGCAATCCACTATGCTGAAGCAACACATATAATCTTGTGTTCAATAAACTGTGAAGTCCCTGCATAAATTTGATTGCATGAAATGGTGATTATACAACAGCAGAGCATGGTCAACAGTGCTTGTTCATTATTTCATAATTTGAAATATGTACAGCAGTGTGTCCAAGAGTTGCATAGCATTAGGTTTTTTCAGGGTAAGAATGTTTAGTATTTTAATTAAAGCTATGGCAGTAATATTTAATACAATATAAAAAGAGTCAGCCAGTGACACTAATATTAGATATTAATCCACCTGGATTAGGAATTGAGTACATCCAGGTTTGTATGCACATTTTGTCTGAATTTGAAATTCATTAGGGTTTTTAAAAAACACTTTTGACCATTTAGGTTACGTTTCCTCTTACCCTTCAATGTGATTTTTTTTGTTTGTTAAATCATTTCATGTTCCTCCTGGAAACAATCAAAGGATGACTATAACTCATCCAAAATTAACTGGCCAAAGGATGTTCCAAGATTTTTTTTGTTTGCTTGTTTTTTGCCCAGCCATTTACAAATTGACCCACTATTCCTTGATCCAGGAGTCAGAAATCCCTTTTCTCTTCTGTTTTTCTGCTGCAGAAATTCCCAACAATCCCATTTGGGGGGCTCCAGAAAGGGGTAAGCAGAAGCCTTCAATCACAGTGAATCATTTAAAAAACTATTTCATTATTTTTTAACTCAAAGCCAATTCTCATAAAGGACAATTTGTTTACATTTATTTTTCTTTCTTTCCTTAATTGTCATGTGCAGTATGCAATGTTTAATAAATAGTATGTGTTTTGGGTTTCATGAATATATCCCCTGACAGTTTCATATGCAGTTTTTTTTTTCCCATTTTTAGCTTAGTTGTAAATAGTCATGTGCATAAGATGTTGTGAGGTGGTAGAGAGCATACCCAGAAGATATGTTAATCAGTGCTTAATCTTTCTATTTCCATGCTATATATAGATGTAGAAATAGTGATTTGATGTGCAGTTTAAGCACTTATTTAGTAGTTTGGGACTTTTTATTGGTATATTGGCTTGCTTAAATCTCTGCTTTTCTTAAAACACTTCAATCTTCCTCAATCTAATTTATAACCTGCAAACATTTAATCATAAATATTCACATCACACATAATACCAAAAAATAGCTTTTAGGGAAGTATTGTATCGAGATTTGTTTTCTCTCTGTTTATACAATAACTCTGGAATATTGAAACCAAATCAAAACAGCAAGCTGTATGCAACAAATTATTATTGCATAAAAATTTTCAGTAGTTTGCAGATTAATTGTTTTGTAGTTCAATTTGCTACTCTATCATAAATCAAGTAGTTTTAAAACAGTGTCTTCAGGACTCATGCAATTTTGCAGTGTTTGTATCTTTTAGCGGTTTTTACAGATGCTTACATTTCTGTTGTGATACTAGCATGAATGACTAAGCTTAAGAAACCTATGAAATCACTTAAGTAAATACAGCATCTGTGTTCTATATCTAAATGATGTGCAGGCTGCATTAATTGCATTGGGTTCAATGGAGCGTAGGATAGATTACAGCTAATGTAGCTGTGAGTGAATAAGGTCCCTGCCTTAAATCTTATCTCTGCCATGGACTCACTAGGTGGTCCCATCTGCAGTAGAGGGTTAATAAAATGAAGTTACCTTACTATGCCAGTATATATGATGTACTTTAAATGTTCCAATATTTAGAACATTCAAAAAGTGCTATATAAGTACTTATTATACATGTTCAACCAACATCCCGGTACAATCCTCGTTTCAGATAACCGGCTCCAATTCTGAATGAATTAATGTTAAATGTCCAACACCTTAAATTCTGCCATGTGCCACCACAGAAATCTGTTTCATGGCCATTCCTTCATCTGTTGACCTTAAATTAACCCACTTGGGCACAAACCAGAGAAAGAAGAACAAGCTTCATGGGATTTAAGTGATTAACTGAGTAGGAATTGAAAAGCATTAGCACTCTTATCTTTCCCTGAATTGTACTGATTGTACAGGAAAGAAAAAGTAGGAAGGCTTTAATTGCAGGGAAAAGGAAGTAGGGTATGCTGAGGTGCACAATATGTATTTGTTACTGATTCCCATGTGTTTCGACCTCTGTTGTTGTTCAGAGTGTTGTCACAACGCAATTATGCCAACAGATTGTGAAAACTGGCAGACTTCAAGTTTGTGGATCTACTTTGTTCTTACTAGAACCCTGAAATCTACCAATTGGATCCAGGTTACAAAAGATGTCATGCACTTGGAATTAAACAATTTTGAGCCCAGAAATTTGTTCTGAATACCAGAACGAAATTAAGTTCACATTCCTTCCACACAAAAATCTACTTCTGGGGAGTCCTCTCTCTCCCTTTCCCTCACTTCATTTCAACAGTATAATTTAGATGAAGTAGCATAATTGATGGCATTGTTTAAAAACTGAGAGCCAGAAATCCCTGCCAGTCTATTTCAAATCACCCAGAGATCTACCACTGAATCCCAATCTATTTTCTGGCTGCCCCGGCATATTGTATGATGGTTGGTGTATGGTGTGTGAGAGACAAGACAGACAGAAGCAGAAAGAAAACATCTGCCACATATTTAGCACTTGACACAATTTCTACAAGGGACGGTTTTTATGTGAGTCATGTTAGGCCTTGGAATCAACACTATGTCTTGTACTTCAGGATTTTTGAGCTCTATATACTTCCTCAGATTATCTCATGCTATTACAAGAAACGTTTACATGCCTCTTGCTTGCTCATGCATCTGCTTAGTGGCACTTCTTGAAACATTTGCTATGTTCTATCTCTTCTTCTCCAACCTCTACTGACTGTGTGCTAGCAGTCTGGTTTTGACTTCAGCTTCCCTGTAGTAATTAGGTTTCAAACTAGCCCTATTAAATATATTCCAGAATAAAACACACACACACACACACACACACACACACACGACAAAGAACTCATGAGTCACTTACTTGCAGCAGCTAGAAATATCGTAACAAGACAGTGGAAGGACCTATCAGGAATGAACATAGACCACTGGTACCAAAATGTATGGGAAACCGCACTAGTAGAGAAGTTAACCAACAAACTCAAACTAGCACGAGGACACCTTCACTCCAGTATGGTTCCCCTTTATCACATACACAGCACAACAAGACAATGACCTATCCCCCCCATACCTGACCCAACAATATACCCCCCCCCACAACAAACAAACAAGCCATACTGCAATCAACAGAATTCAACCACCAAGCCCAGGACCCCCAACCTCTCGCTTCATCAATATAAAGAAATAATACATACACAACCTACCCACAGGATGCTGAAACAAACCCCATCACTAATAACAGGCAGTAGAACAAAAGAACCATACCCCATCTCTCCCCTTCCCTCTCCCCCAAATGCAAGATGTCTGTGACAAAAAAGTGTCTCCCTAAATGCAGTCGAACCGAAAAAGAATATGAACTGGAAGTGGAGACAACAGATATATGTACCTTTCCCCGTTTATCTGTTTTTATTGCAACAGAAAAAACTAATAAAAACCAATTAAAAAACCCTGCTAATTGGGAACCACTTTCATGCATAAACCCTATGAGGTACCAACTCACAAAAGACCTGCAACAGGCATTCCTTTTTCTGATGCCACAAAGGCAATTTGCGTCATCATTACACATCAGTAGAGGGGTTGCCAATTACTTTAGGCCCATAAGCATAATTTGAATTTTTGAATCATAGAATCATGATTCTATGATTCTATGAATAAATGCTGCAGGCACCACCATCTCTTTCACACAGAACAGGAGTAGAGAAAAAGTGCACATGCACAAACTTCATTTTTCCAAGAGATCTGGATAATTGTCATCCCGTGGAACTGATCTGAGCCTTAGAAAAAGCACATAGAAGTGGGAGACAGAATGGGGAAAAGTGTCACACTTCGTATTTCCTTCTTCGGCTCTATGTATTTTTCTAGAGAGAAAAAGGTAATTACCCTCACCATGTCATGACCAAGGAGGGCGAGTGCTTAGATGCTTTATGGGCACCAAGAAAAGACTTCAAGGTTGCTGTGTTTTATGCCCATGTACCTGAGATTAAGCTCCATTGTATCTACTAGCCCTGTGTAGAAAAGTATACTTATTTATTCATTACTTTTATTGAGCAAAATGTATAAACCGCTTGTTTGTAAAAAAAACACCTCTAAGTGGTTTACAAAAATTCAAGACAAAACATTACAATTATTGATAAAACACTCAAAAATATTCAAAGGACAATTAAAATCAAGTGTTGCTAGCAAGAAACAAACCACATGGAACTTTTAAGTCTGAATAGGCTTCCTTAAACAGAAATGCTTTATGCAGGTGCTGAAAAGAGTGCCTTGAAGATGCCTTCCTAATGTCGATAGCAGAGTCCCATGGTGTAGGTACTGCCACACTGATCTCTTGCAAATGCAAAATCAGTGTTATGTGGCTCATGTTCCACAGATTGAAGTGGTTGCGTGGGCACATATGGGGTAATACAATCTTGCTGCTAAACTGGTTTCAAGCTGTTTGATTATACTATATTATTAATATAATTCATATACTAATAATAACACCTTGAACTTGGTAGTAAACCAGTGCAGACCTCTGAGCAGAAGTGTTACTCCTGTTAGCAACCATGCAACATCATTCTGCCCCAACGGCAGCTTCCGGGACAAGTGCAAGGAAGCCCCACCTAGAATATATTGCAGTAACCCAATCTCGGGATCACCAGTGCCTGAACTACTGTGGTCAAAGCTCTTTCCTATGTAGTCCTCAAACATCAGATCATTCTGCAATATTTCTGCATCATTAAGTACGATTGCTTCATGTCTGCGTCTGTGCGCTCACTCACAGTGATGCCATTAGGTCCAGGAGCAATAATGGCTCAGTCTGATACAGGTTTACACAAAGGCCACAATTTTATTTGGTCACAGAGCTTAAGTTTGGTTAGGGCAGGACCTTCCATTGAGCTGCCTGAAAAGAGTAACCACTGAACTGATGAGGTGGTCAAGGGGTAGCCCATGTTTAAGCCCTGGGAATGGAGCAGACTGAAGCCTCTAATGTGTCTGGTCCACCCCTAGGTCCCACCTCCTAGAGAACCAACAAAAGCCTCCTATTGGCTCCCTTTCCTATGCACAGCCTGCAAAGTGCTATAGTTGTGACGATGCATGCTCCAAAAGCATGCTCCAAAAATGCATGCTCCAAAAATTTGTAGGGACACAAATCCAGGACCTTGATTAGTCATTCCCTCCGCCCTCCGTCCGATGGGCTTCTACAAATTTGAAAATTATTTTGAGATGAAATCCTAGAATCAGGCTGTTCCTAACAACGGGAAGAGGTGAAATTACTCTTTATAATTACAGGCGGTGAACATTTTGCACGGGGGTTCCGTTCCTGGCCCCCCGCGTGTTGGCGGAGCATACATAAGCCCACCTTGTTATGCTCCTGCTTCGTCTGGCCCTCTTTCGGGTCCAAAAGGACTCGCACATCAATTGGACACAAGGAAAATGGTCGCCGCCTGTACTATTTTATTTTGTCCAATTTGAAGATGGTGGGACTGCATGTTCATCATCCCTAATGTAACAAGCTCTAGGAAGTAGATGCCCATGACATTCATGCAACAGCATTCCATTGATCATTGAAAACTATAAATGACATGCATATTTTTACCAAAACAAATTACAGTTTGAATGATAAGAAAATACTACTTTTATTATTATCATCACAATTATTACCACAACTTAAGTACTACTGCAAGTAGTTGTAGTTTTTAATTATTTGTTCGTATTTTATTCCACGTATTTCAGTTTGGTAACTATTTGCAAACAAAGAACAGCATGATTTTGCCGAATAAAAAATTAATCATGTTGACCTGTCTTTTTTTTTAAAAAAAGAGATTAATTGGTTTTATTTAGTGTCTTATTTGTTTGTTGTGGGAGCTGTTAAAATAGATAACCAGGGGCTAATAAATGTTAATGATCCCACTCACTCTTAGAAAATCAATTGGTCATGATTACAGCACATCTCAGTGTATTGTTTTTGACTAAAATAATTTAATTCTTAAGAATATTTTGAGAAGAAACTATCCTTACTCATCTTTGTTTTATCATTGCCAGAATTTTCATGTCAATTTGATGAATGATTTCTGCTTAAGTGAACAATTCCTTTGAATGAAGAATAAAGCTGAAAAGCATATCCCTCTTGTCCCACAGTAATGACAGTAGTTATAGAGTAATTATTAGTGTGTGCCTTTGAGGTATAGGATTTCACATGCGCTCACATTGTATAGGAAATATGTGGTCCCAAACTCTGCATGCTTTGAGCTCTGTGTTAAACTGGAGTTCCCCCAATTCATTCAAGGCTTTGGAACATGCTCTACATGTGCAATGAAGAATCCCCATTGTGAGTCTGCTAGAATATTTTTGGTTCACGGGGCAATGCTTCATCTGCAGCTGTATATGGCAGGTTTCCCACATGCTGCTGCTTGAATAGAGTGAAAGATCAAATGGAGAACACAGTGTTTTTATTTATTATTAAATATATATACACAATACTTCTATTGTGCAAGCAATCCAGTATTTTTTTAAAAATAATAATGCTATGGATGTACATTCCAGAGAAGTATATAAGTTTAGCATATGCTCCTCAGGAGGAGAACAACAAAGCTCTCGGGATCTTCAGATCTCTCTAGATACTCCACAGTTATCAATACAGATCCAAGGTCTTATACCAGTGTAAATATACCAGTGTAAGCAGTAATTCACATGGGCAGGGGGAAGGCAAGTCAGCACAGGAGAACTAGAGGGGGAAACCTATGTTACAGGAAGATGAGAACTTTCACTCATTCGCTTTGAACTGTATAATCTACATCTTCAGATACTCAAGGCAGCTAAGTCACCAGTACTAAAACGATGCAATCCAGTGATTTTTATAAAACCTTAATATCACACTACTGAACAAACTCAAAGATGGTGAGTGGCTTAATTGTTCATTTTACCAGCCTTAATAATCTTACCAATCACCTTCACCATAGTCCTTTCAGGGATGTCACAATGACTCTCATTTTACATGCAGATGGTGGTGGTTGGAGCTCACTAGGAATTTGGGGGATTAGACAAATTCAGGTAGAATAAGGCTATAAATGGTTACTAACCATGTCATCTATGTTCTGCCTACACTGTAGGTTGCTTCTGAATACGAGTTATTGAAAACTGCAGGAGGGGAGAGAGTGGTTGCACTTAGTTCCTTTCTTGTGTGCTTCCTGCAGGCATCATGTGGTAATAGGATGTTGGCCCAGATGGGCCATGGGCCTGATCCAGCAAGCTCTTACGTTCTTATGAAAATTTGAGGTCCATGGCTAATGCCTGGGGCTTAATCAAGGTTCCATAAAGGGCTCCGTTGCAGTGGCATATTGCAGCTTTAGAACTTTTTCTTTGAAACTTGTTGGGAAACACTCATCAAATATTTTATAATGTGAGTAATTAAAATAATATAATATTGAACTATTGACCAACGCTAGGCCATTAGTCAAGCTAAAAAATTCTACGATCATTGCTCTGAAGCACTGTGAAATAATAGTATTGGTGATCAGCGATGCAAGTAGTCACAATTAAGCAGTTCAGTTGACGAATGAGGGAGTACACTTTATTTTATGCTTAATTGAATTGCTGTACATGCTTGGTCACCATTGTCTCCTTTCCTTTAGAGCTTTGGATTCTAGCTATTTAGAGGCGCACATTTGTAAAAGGGAGAAAGCAATTAAGACTGTCGTATCGGCTCTAAAAATGCAGACAACGTGAGCTGTGCCTTGGGCTGCTCCTCGCTATTAAAATCATTAATATGCCTAAAGATACAATCTTAATTTCTTAAAACACTAATAGGAAACTAAAAATGCATCTCCCTACATTAAAAATAGCCAGATGGGTGAGGAGGCTCAAGCGCCTTAGAATATTTGTAGTGCAATCCCGCTCATGTCTACTCATAAGTAAGTCTCATTGAGTTCAATAGGAGTTGCTTCCAGGAAAGCGGGTATAAAATTGCAGCCATCTGCAAAGCATAACACTGTTTGTGGAAAATCTAAAACGTAGAAGGGTGGAAGTCTATGATCATAAACCTCTAAGCATAAGTCTGTGATGGACAAGCACATGTTGGGGTCAGGGCTAGGAGGTAATGTCTTTTTCTTTCTTTTTTTGCATAATATCTGACAAGAGCTTTAGGCAACAGCAGTAAATGTTCTGATTCTTTCCATAGTAGTTTAGCTCAATATATTTGGGTGTCCCAGACAGAGTCTCTGTCTTGCAACTGTAATCGCTGTGCTTACAGTGGGGGCCTGGTAGTGGGAACAGTCTTGCTCTTTGCATTAGCTTACCATACTTACCAAATAGATAAAATAAATAGAAGATTTCTTTTCTTGAATACATTTTTATGCTTTTCCATTCTATCCCTTTTTCAAAATTTAATTAGCCGAGTGTCTTTTGTGTTTTCCTCCCCTTCATTTTAATGCTCACACATTACAATTGTTGTTGGGGCTTGCAACATTATGAGCTGTTTCTAACGAACGGTAACATCACGCAAAATGGGGCAGGTGGCGGTGTAGGATTTTAGAATCAGACTATGTGAACCACTTAGGGATAGTGTCACTAATAGAAAGTATCTTCTTTGCAAAAAATCTATTCCAAAGAGTTCGTCATTTTTGTCCTGGCTTTGCTATGTCACCAGTGTCTTTTTATGCAAACTAACTGAGAAAGTTACAGGTAGAATTTGGTTTCCATTGATATAAAAACTAGTCCCACTGAGAATACATCTCCATCAGAACTGAGAGGATGAAGATCACATTTCAGAAGTAGATACGATTAGGCCTTCTGCAAATAGCTGTGTTGTCTTCTTATATTTAATTATGACCTGGTTTGGACCAAATTTGGTTTGAGATATTAGTCTTGTGGTATTGGATTTTGCATGTGTACCCTTTATTTTAAATATTAACACCCACACATTGGGTGCCTCATAAGTGGATAACCTTCCTGTTCTGCCAAGCATAGGACATATATTAGGGTGACTGTAGTCTGAAATGGACCACTGAAGACCTTGACTAGCCTCAGTTTAGGCTAGACACTGTTGAACTGGTGGACACATAGCATACAAATGATTATCCAATAATCACATGAAAGACAAAAGCTCGCTAGAAGGCCAAAGCTCACTAGACTTAATCTTGTATATCAAGCTCTTTCTTTGTTGATAGTTATAGAAAGCATTTATTTGATGTGGGTGGAAAAATAAAAGCATCTAGTAGCAGTCTTTAACATGCACTTACTACATACAAAACAGTGTTTTGTTTTGTGTGTTGGTTTGTGTGTGTGGTTTAGTATCAGCCATGCATAGGTATTTCTAAAATGTGTGTCTGAGGGCCTAATTACATTAAATTAATGTGTGTTTTTAAAAATTAAATAATGTGCAAGGGTGTAGGATTGTTATAAGATCACAGTACATAGGAAGGGGAGGGTTAAGCCTTCATACCCCAGCCACAACCTCTCTGAAATCACACACATACAGCAATTAGCATTAGAAAACAAGCTCCTATTGCTAAGGGGGGGATATATTGTAGCTGGGAATCATGGGGGCAATTATCCCCCCCCTCTGGTAGTTAATTCTTAAAATCATGTTAATATGCTTACTAAGACCCTGAGTCCTTACCATGCTGAAAGGCAACGCATCACTGAAAGGGGAGCTCAAGTAGGCACTCACATGCACATCACATAACAATAAAAAACCATCACAGCTCATAACATGTTAAATACATGCCCCAAGAGTGCTCTTAAATTAGTGAATAATAGAATTCAGAACTGTTAATCTAAATCTGCATTCCATCTGAAGTTCTCCTTTTCAGTATAGAAAGGATATTGTATTTTAGGCATTGACAAAACTCAGCAGAAAAGCACAAATGAGGCCATCTCCCAAACCCCGATTTATCTGGAATGAGCTGCCTTGGGTACTCAGAACAAAAGAGGAAACACTGGGTGCGCCATCTTGGATTCTTTTGGGTACATGCAGCAGTTGTTCTGCACATCCTGAGAAGAATTAAAGACAGCGATGCTCATGTCGCTCATTTTAGCAAAGACCTCCCCAACTGGTCTTTCTGACCTGTAATATGTAAAACAGGATATGCTGGAGATTTGGAGATGGTTATAATTTGAGTCTGTTATCTTTTAACTTAATAAGCTGCTAGTGTATGAGGGAGTGGGGAGTGTTCTCCAGAAGAGCCCTTTATGATATATTTCTTTTCAAGGATGGGACTTTACAGAATATAGTACGGCGTTTTTATATGTTCATTTTTACTATTACTATTTTTTCAAAAGACTAGAGAAACAAAACGACTTAAGAAAGCCCACTACTATATTCCCTTGCAAAAATTAGCATTCCAAAGCTCAGCTGCACCACCCAAATTATTTTCCATTTGCTTCAGTAAAAATAAGTAGTGATCACATTGGGTGTTTCTATTTTCTGCAGGCCCTATCAGTGTGGACACTGCTCCCAATCCTTCTCCCAACCTTCAGAGCTACGGAACCACGTAGTCACCCATTCCAGTGACAGACCTTTCAAGTGTGGCTATTGCGGTCGTGCCTTTGCTGGTGCTACTACACTCAACAATCATATCCGGACACATACAGGGGAGAAGCCCTTTAAGTAAGTAATCAAAGGACCAGAGGAACAGGAAGGGAATTTAGACAAGAATCAGTAAATATCCTAGCCCTTGGAATAGGTCTCTTTGGAATTGAAGTTCAGAATACCCCCACAGTCCTCCAGGCACTGCTCTTGAGCAAGACCAAGTCGTTTCAGTAGCATTTGTGCAGAATCAGATCTTTGTTGGTTGCAACCAACCCATTAAATGTCTCCTTAAAATCGTAAGATCATGCTCATATATATAGTGAACGTTTGTCGAATATCTGTAAGCAGTTCACTAGGGAGAGCTTGTTGTTAATGGGAAAGCAGTTTTCAATAGCAGCCCTTCCAGTGATTTTATCTGAAAGTATCAAAGGATGGCTTTATCTGAAATTTCAAGCTTAGGACGTCCAGATTGTTGAACATCAAAAGTAGGGAGAAGCCAAGACAACAATTGTAGTGCATGTGCTGATTACAAAGAGAATTTTTTTCTGATAGAGAAGATGTGGCGTGGGCAAAAAGCCATCATTTTACATTGTTGTAATAAGCAAAATTTGTGAGTGCTGGATAAGGACCAATAAACTGAAATTGAATCATAACAAGATTGTGGCACCGGGGATGGATGGTTCTTGGATGTAGGAAGTGCATGCTTTAGGCAGGGTTGTGTTCTTTCTAAAAGAGTACATGTGCAGTTTCAAGATGCTTATATTGTCTCTAGAGACCAGGTGGCCTCAATGGAATGAAATGCCTTTTATCAGCTTTGCTTCATTCACCAATGAACGAAGGGATAGTCTGGCCATGGTAATCTATGCTCTGGTAACCTCATTAGATTATTGCAATGTGTTTTATATTCTGCTGCTCTTGAAGATGACTTAGAAGTATGAAATGATGTAGAAGGCAGCCTCAAAATTATTGATTGTGTCGTGTTGTAGGCACATCGTGCCAATTTTATAAGGACTTCAATGGCTTCCTATTTGCTTCCATGCCTAATTTAAGTTGCTGATATTTACCTTTAAAACCCTAAATGGCTTGGAACCCAAATACCTAAAGGAGTGCCTTTCCCATAACCATCTGTCCATACTGTAAGATCTTCTTGCAGAGACCCTCTATCATAGGCATGGCCAAACTTGGCCCTCCAGCTGTTTTGGGACTACAACTCCCATCATCCCTAGCTAACAGGACCAGTGGTCAGGGGTGATGGGAGTTGTAGTCCAAAAACAGCTGGAGGGCCAAGTTTGGCCATGCCTGCTCTATCAGAATCAAGTTAATTAACAGCAAAAGAAAGGGCTTTCTTGGCAATAGCTATGGAGTGCCCGCCTTAAAGATGCTCTCCTAGTGCCTACATTGCAGTTCTTTTGGCACCAGGTGAAAATATTCTTATTCACCCAGGCATTTCAATCTGTAGTTAATTTTAATTATTATTTTTTAATTACTGTATTTGTGCTGTAATATAATCCGCTGTACACTGCCCTGGAATCCTAAATAGGACAAAGGGCAGTAGGTGAATGTTTTAAATAAATAAACATAAAGATTCAATTTAATCAGTGGGGCTTTGGTTCAGCCCCTTCCTTCTGTGGCTGTTCATAAACCCTGGGCCAGAAACTAGTGGCCAGGTATTAGTAAGTCTCTGTAGAGAAGTCAAGACCAACAGAAAGAAGAAAGTGAACCTATCCCACTTTCAAAGTCTAGACCTCTACACTTGATCCTTAAATCCCATTTTCTACTGCACAGTCTTAGTGGGCAATGTGGAATTCCATTCTAAATTATAAGTGGTTTGACATTATAGTTGCCTTGCAAGATTTGGTGATGGAATCTTTAATGCACTTCTAAGGCTAATATGAGGATGTAAACAAGGCAGTTTAGTACCTATATTTTAAACTGGTTCAGGTAAATCAGGTAATTTTAAAAGATCACCAGTTTTCTAAACCCATGTGACCACAGGTTAGTATCATATTCTGTTCCTATTTGGGGGAGGGCGACGTGTAGAGCAAAGAAGTCACTTAAACAGGTTTATGTTAGATAACAGCATCAGATCACTTCAAAGCCCATATTTTGCAGTAGAATCTGGCTTCAGACCCCGCTTCTAGAATGGGCATGCTGTATGGCTTTGGGTAAAAAATTATCTGTGGTGCTCAAGTCCCAGTCTATAAAATACTAATGGTATTACACCCTGTAGACACATACACACAAGGTTGCAGAAGAACAAAACACCATAAATCCAGTAATAACAGTTGCAGATTATAAGAATATAAATGTCTGGCAGCTGTCAAACACTGTCCCATGTTTAAAAAAGATAAAAGTCTAACCTTAAACACATCATATGCACCCCAATCCTATGCAAAATGATTTTCATTTAAGTAAAGCTAATTTGAGCTTTAAAAAAAATTACTTATTTCTCTGCTGTGATTGGGGCACAGGAAGAGGCCATTAAAAATGGTGTGTTCCATAACAATCATCAACTTCTTACAGAACTTGATTTTATTTACCAAGCATTTTATATTTGGCTAATGTAAGAGGATATCTGTCACTGTGAACTATCAGAGACCTTATGAACAAGCTGTTTATGCAAGAGATAACCACAATGGTTGCCTAGCCTCCATTCAAGACGGGTCTGGGCACCATGCTTGTAAGTGTAAGATAAGGCATGGAGGTGGGGAGAAAGAGCCCAAACTTTGCAAAGACCAGCACAGTCAGAATTCAAATAGGGACTGCCTGAAATGATACAGTTCTACTGTGTCTACTAATGGTGCCCACAGAGCCATTATGTTGGATTAATAGATCCAATGGAAAGCAGAGCCAAAACCAGTGCCAGCAATCAGATTGATTTTATGTAGTTGCTGTGTAAATAGATTTTAGTAATTAATTGTGGAGGTTTCCGGGTCAAAATGGAAAATAGATTTCTTTTAATGTTAAGGTGTTACTTATGTGTAACCTTGTTGACTCCACTTACATTCCCCCCTTAACATCCTGTTTTTGTCGTGTTTCCAATAAAGCTGCAGTTTGCCCCATTTAGAGGCATTACTACTCCCCCCTCTTTTTTGTAATGTTCTTTTTCTTTCTTCTTTTGTCTCTTGTTCCAAAACGTCTAGTGTAATTACAACACAATTCCATTCAGAAAATAGAGCTATATCAAATGGTTGGCATGTTAGCTGCATATGAATCAAATTGATTTTGGTGTGATCTACTATGCACATTCACTGAATATATAGGATTATTACCTATAGCATAGAATTGTCCAATACCTAATGTCTGTATTGTAGCTTGTGCAAATACAGTGGTACCTTGGTTTACGAACTTAATCCGTTCCGGAAGTCCGTTCTTAAACCAAAGCGTTCTTTGTGCTTTCCCATAGCAGCGGGGGACTCAATTTACAAATGGAACACACTCAACAGGAAGCGGAACATGTTCTGCTTCCAAGGCAAAGTTCTCAAACCAAAACACCTACTTCCGGGTTTGCAGCGTTCTTAATCCAAGTTGTTCATAAACTAAGCTGTTCTTAAACCAAGGTACCACTGTAAGAAGCAACTGCTAAGGATTGAAATATAAACTATGGTTATAATAGGGAATTTAGAATAGTTTGGTGAGAGACAAAGATTTCGAGTAAACCAGTGAACAGTGAATTTGTTTTATGAGAAATGTGGGATTTGTTTTAATACAGGTGTGAACCCATGCATAGATAGGAGTGTATATTTCGTAAGATCATACACTGCGTTACAGAACAATCCTAACTCTCTACTGGGGAACAGCAGCAGAACAGAGTGGCAGAGTCACCACTGCCTTTGAAGTCCTGTGGCTTATGGCAGCCAGGGCACAGAAGGGCATGCAGTTACTTTGAGTAGCTTCAGAATAGTGAGGCCGGGGGGCCCAAATTAGGCCCCTCACCTGGCAGTGGGCTGGCTTTGGATCATACACTGTTTGCAGGGGTTATTCTGGTCACTGCCTGGGGGAACTCTGCCAGCGGTGTCTTTTACAGTCACAGTGGGGGCCTCCACAACTCATCTTATCCTAATCTTAGCTTTAATATAATCACAACAGCCCATTACTATCCCTTCTCCAAAGTGACACCAACCCAAGATATATGCAGTGACATTTGTGTTTCCCTACATATGAAAGAAAAGCGGAATGTTTCTATTGCCTGCAAGACTATAGGGCAGACCAGAAGGGCAGCGTGGGCACTTATATGGTCCGGATTATCATTGTAACTTATTTCCCTGGGTACCACTTCTTCAATAAGTTCTGAAATGTTTGACTAGCAATAGAGGAAGCTCTTTTATGGGCATCCCCTTAACTCTGATCTGTATGTTACGAGTATTTAATGGAAGCTTCTTGAAACACTTTCGTCATAACTCAGACAAGCCCTTTCTCATTACCACCCATTTTTTGGTGGCTCAGGGGTCCCTATGATGTAAACAGATTAAGTCATAATACTACTCTGTCTGTTAAGGCAGTGATGGTTAGGTACTTCTTGGATTTGAAATATATGTTTAGGATGCACAAATGGAATGTATTGGACATCTTTAGCTATATATGTAGGGAAAGGAAATTTCAACTCCAAGGATAGCTCAGTGCCTTATATTGTATAAGCTAATCCAAGAATTGAATTGATTTCAAGGCCTTCATGATAAAAAAAATCATAATTTGCAAATTTGTCAAGCAATGAAAGGTAGTATATTTTGACACACTAATCCAGTAACTAATCAGTTTTCTAATAAACAATCAGCAATACACTAATGTGTCATCAGCATTTCAGGAACTCTGGAGAGAGGAAGATCTGCACATAGACGTTAATGAATACACCAAAAATCATTAGGTGATCAATACTTCTGAGTTATTTTCATTGAGCTGATAGGTCTGATACATTAGAGCTGACATTTTACATTTGTCAAGATCACAGTGCAGTTTTTAACAGTAGAGCAGGCCGCTAAAATATTCCAAGAGAGACGATCAAAGAAACACAACTTAAAGATGTTGACATCCTAGGCAAGAACTAGAGGTGAGATGAATGAGTATGTAACATTCAGGTCAGAGGTTCCTCAAACCATAATTTCCTTTAAAAATAATTAACAGGCACTTTATAACATTCTGTAGTTGTGTATGCATGTTTGTGAAAGGTGGTTCCTTTCCAATGCAATGATTACAATTGAAGAAGCAGGGGTACAGAGAGGGTTTGGACCTCTTACTTTTCATAGGCATACTTTTTTTCATAGGGATCTTTTCAGATGTTAGTAGGCATTACACAGCACCATTTGAAATCCAGATTATTCCTATTAGCATTACATTAAAGCTCTGCATAGCCTACAAGACTTTTCTTTGCAACGGGACCTTTGCAAGATGGGGGTGGGGTACTCTTGTTCAGCTTTTACTCATTTCAGTGGGCCCTATCCAGGGCATATTTCCTGTCACTTCCCTGGCTGACTTATATCCTATAAACTTGTCAGGCATCAGTGTCACGCATTCAAAATGATTATGAAGAAGTCACCTTCTGTTAAAGCACTAGAATTTGGTAGAGTACATTCTTATCTGGAATAGGCGCAGATTACACTCTCTGAACTACACACGCCCTGTGTCAGTCCCTGCAGAAGCCCTACATCTTAATGCATTCATTATCTTGCCATGTCATTTAAATCAATGGAGGGAAGGAGGGGTAGAGAGAAGCCTTTATATGACAATGAAAATGCACTGGTGAGTGTTTGACTTTTCCAATCAGCCATTTCTACTCAATATCAAATCCTGGGTAACATTACAAAAAAATATGCTTAAAACTATTACGAGTAGTAACTACAGCCTCCTTAACTCAACTGCTTAGTGATCTCAGGCAAGTATGGGGATTTATTCTGTTGCTGCAAAACAAAGTGATCATTGTTCCATGGCTTCACAATTGCTCCAGTAGGTAGGACTCCTGATTTTAAATTAGCAGGAGGTGAAATTCTATTTGTCATCAATTTCTCCGAGGGATTACAGAGCAGAAAACTGCAGACAAGCTGCTTCTTTGATGGCTCACTCCTAAAAATCTCTTTTTGTTCTTTATCTATTTGAACTGACAGTGATCAGAGCTGCAGCAGGACAGGCCTCTCTGGAGAAATCACCTTCCCCCTGTCTATTGACAGATTCCTCTGTTCTGAATCAGACAGGCCTTGTCCCATCATAGGCATCAAGGCCTTGGAAGTAGCCACCAATTAAACCTCTTGAGCCAGTAAAATCTGAAGCCACTTTTGAGTGTCTGTTCTGATTAGGCAGGATAAGACGAAGCCCGCCGCCTGCTCCCCCTTCCCCCAGAGCAGCTCCCCACTCTCAATTTTCTCTCTTGCCTTCTCCAGGTGCGAGAGGTGTGAGAGGAGCTTCACACAAGCCACCCAGCTGAGTCGACACCAGAGGATGCCCAATGAGTGCAAGCCAATAACAGAGAGCACAGAATCAATTGAAGTGGATTAACTGATTGACTGGTTGGAATTAAACTGCAAGGAAAGTCATGATTAAATGTCACGGACACTTAAGCAAAACCAAAGATTTCCTCTGAGCAACTTTCAATCAGTCCCAGAAAACCAAGAGCAGTAATAAAATAAGTAAGATGTTAAGAGATATTGATCCTGGCGTGGAAGTGAAACCAGGAAAGAGATTATTTATTTATGACTAGGAATGAGACTGATTTCCATGGACAAGGAACCCGGGCCTGCTAGCATCCTAGCCTCCCAACCCACCATGTATTGCTTTATTTCTAAAAAGCTTTTATAATTGTTATTTAATACCAAAGCAACAAAGATCAAGGGTTCTTCAGCCTATAGCTATGGCTATGAATGCACATGGACTTGTTTATGATTGCACCTTTTCCTCTAGCATGACTCAGTGGACCTAGAGGTATATTGTTCCCTTGGTCCCGTTGGGTTGCATTGCTCTTGACTTGGCTGTTATTTTCATTTTTTTAAAAGTGGTCTCCGAATGACAAGAGAATGAAGATGATCCGGAACCATCTTTGCGTTGGTGTCAGAACTCCTCCAACTAATGGACATTTTCATTCCCATGGTTTCAGAACTCACATTTTGTGCACTTTTTTTGTATAAATGTTTTCATTAGCCAGTGTTGCATTGGCCCAGGAGATCCCAGAAATGTTAAATAAACTTTGTCCTATATATATATAGATATATCTGTAGATGTATATGCTGTTAAAACAAAACAAAACCCTCCAATGCTGTAAGGAAAGCATTTGAAATACGTAGAATTTTCAGATACTATACCTCTTTTACGAACGTCATATTATTCACAGGTAATGAATAATAGTTTCAGTGAAACATTAACACTCTTATCTAAAGGTATCATGCTTGAAAACATAAATGTTAAAATGGAATAGCAAGAGAAGCAGTCTTCAGTTTGATTGTAAAAGTTAGAAACCTTTAAAAAGAAAACGAAAAATCAACAGAAATCATCCAGGTTTAAAATTTTCAAAAGCATCCAGGCTTTCACACAACATAGAAGAAACTTCACATAATAGGGGTACGTCACATGAGTAACTCTGTTCCTATTTCATAATGTGCAATATCCTTTAATACAGGCAAACTAGATAGTTGTTACGGGCTATATAGCAATAATATAGTTCCTGATTTTGCTAAAATGAACTCAGTAATTTGATTCCCCTCTCCCCCCAATTATCTCCTAACCCACACACTGGGCCTGGGAGCCTAAGCACTGTACTGATCAAAGACTCACCAGATCTAATGTATACACAGCGCTTTCAAGTAATTTCCCAGTTTTCTGCAATGCAGAGCACAACTCCAAGCCCCTTGGGAGTGTTTCAGCAGTGATGTGCAGCCAATTCTATGCATATTTACTCAAAATAAAGTTTATGCTCACTGGGGCTTGCTTCTGGGTATGCATGCATAGGATTGCAACTTTTAGGTATGCCAATTTTCAGTTGACAAACAGGAAGTGTGGCAACACCAGTTAAATAGAATAAAATACACACTCTGAAATTAAAGTTGGAGGCAGTATTTTAAGCACCAGTTCCTCCTATATTTCTTCCTTGCCCTGTGTTTCTGTGTCTTTAGGACTAGTACAGTATTAAAGCTTTGACCTGCAATGCCGACTTATAAAAAACAACAACTTTTAACAACCACCTGGTATCCTTATGGGCTACTTCTTAAATTTTTTACCTTTACCTTCTTAATGAACCTTAAAGTGACATTGGGCAGGACTCTGAGTCCCGTCAGCGGAAGCCCTGTGCAAGGATTACTCTTGTGCAATGGGGCTTCTTCCCTCTCTCCTCCTCCCCCCCCATGACCCCCAACATTGAGATAGAAGAATTCTAATGCCTAATTGAAATAAAATTGGTTGAAAACCAAGCACTTGAGATGGAATTCAATGTAGCACTAAGGAGATTGCTCCTTCAACACAAGCATTTCTCTTGTCTGCTGGAACAATCTCTGCTCTCCCTTCCACATGCTGTTCTGGTGGTTCTTCTGATTCCCACCCCCCAGTCAATTGGGGGGCATGTATGGGGACAGGAGCAGAGGGAATCCCCACTTTGTTATTGGATGTTCTTCGATGGGCTTCTGATTAGTTGAATGCAACCCTTTGAGCTTTTTAACAGCTTTGTGGAGAGTGATGCTTCAGCAAAAGCCCCCCATCCACTCCAGCTGCATCACCTTCACTTGAGGATAAGGCAACTTGATAGTTTGTTGTAAAGCCTCTCAGTGGCTATTCGGTACAAACCAATTGTGACAAGTCATTGGGACTGCATTGGGTTAAATCCTATCTCGCTGGCATACGTAGTCTGTGCATTGGGTAGTTTGTGCCATTTTTGCCTTTGAAAAACCTACCTCATTACTTCACTATTGGAAACTGATTGTAGCATTCATAGAACCATTCAAGCTGATGTACTTTTTGACTAGGCACCTATGGGCCATTAAATGCGTGGGATGACACAGTCAAAACCCCTTTATTTCTTCATCATTTCTGTCTCTCTGAAATGCACTTGAAGCAGTATACAGAAACATAAATATTCTAATAACAAGAATAATTTAGGGCAGAGGCCATAACTGAGTGGTAGAGCATTTGCTTTGCGTTCAGAAGGTTCTAGGTTCAATCCCTGACATCTCCACGTAGGTCGAACTGAAAAGGTCCTTCATCTGAAACCCTGGAGAGGTGCCCCAAGACAATGTCGACAATGCTGAGCTAGATGAACCAATAAAGGTTAAAAAAAAAAAAGGTAAAGGACCCCTGGACTGTTAAGTCCAATCAAAGGCTACTATGGGGTATGGCGCTCATCTTGCTTTCAGGCCATGGGAGCCGGCATTTGTCCACAGACAGCTTTCTGGGTCATGTGGCCAGCATGACTAAACCACTTCTGGCACAACAGAATACTGTGACAGAAACCAGAGTGCACGGAAACACTGTTTACCTTCCCGTCGCAGAGGTACCTATTTATCTACTTGTACTGGTGTGCTTTCAAACTGCTAAGTAGGCAGGAGCTGGGACAGAGCAACAAGAGCTCACCCCATTGTGCAGAGTCAAACCGCCAACCTTCTGATCGGCAAGCACCACCCGCATCCCAGCAGATGAACCAATACGCTGACTCAGTATCATGCATCATTCTTATGTTCCTGTTATAAAACACCACCGCTAAAACAATAATGCAGTAACAAAATGTAAGCATGAAACAGCAAAAGGAGTTTTACGGTTAGGCTCTGCCTACAGTGAAAGAAGTACACAGTCTGATGACTCTGATCTGACTCTCCTCTTGCGGTCTTGGTCACTGCGGGCCCAGGGAACTGTGCTCAATCCTACACATTTTGAGAATGCGAGGGAAACTGCCCAATGCCTGGTTTTGCTATATTAAGGCCAGCCTATAGTATATGGACTTTCACACTTCTGTACTTCGGAACAGAGAGGAAAAGGAAACCTCACACAGTTAAATTGGCTGATTCCCAGGTAAGTGTCTTGCATCCAAAGTGGGCCTTAGAAAGGTGTTGAGAGAGAGCTTGCATGAAGCGTTGCACAAACAGGCAAACTTCTCTGGGGTTGGGATCACTTTCTGCTAGTTTAAGGACACCTTTGGATCCAAGCCCAGGTAATGCAAGTTAAATGCATGCATGGAAGGAAACAAACCGAAGCGGTATGCCTTGGTGCACCTCCCCCCTAAATATATGAATATTTATTGAATTTTATAATAATGGTACAAATCTCATTCATCATGTTATATACAATTATTCTCCCTTCCTCTGGACTTCCCTTTGCTGAGTTAGTTAGTTTTATTTATTGTATCCTGCTTTTCCTACACAAAAATAATATCCCTTATCATTTCTCTAAAATATCTGTTACTCAAATGAAATTGTGAACGTTTATTCAAATCCTGCCAGTGAATCCAGTCCATTCTGTTGTTTCTGTGGTGCACGTCCCCCTAAACATTTGTTTAAAGTTAAATCCTGTTGATTTCAACGAAACTGGTATTGGAAAGGAAGGAAGGAAGGAATCCACATTCCTTTATGGAAGTTGTTTGCTGTATGAATGACAGCAGCGTAAATCAAACTCACTTATTAACACCGCTGCTTGAATTGTTCCATGTTACCTAAAATTTGGCAGACTTTGCGTGCAGATTTTAGGGGAACTTCCAGTTAATAAATAAATAAATGGAATGTTGCAGCACCAGAGACACAAGACAAAGAATTCAAAATAACCGGCATTTAAGAAACGCGATTGATTAAAGGGATAAAATAAACTGATATCCTAGTGGTTCTGCTTTGCTGATATGCCTCAAAAGTAGCCTGCTGGTTCACATCTGGTGGCGTAAGATTCAGTTGACTATTTAGTCATCTTCTGTTTGTGGAATGGGGAGAGGTGCCATCTTGTCCACTTCAAGCAGCAAAATTTAACGGTCCTGCCAATCAACTGGAGTAACAGAAGGTAAGGAAGCTATGATTTCCTCCAGATCAGCTTGGTTCATATTGCAGTTTGAAGGCACAAGTAAATGGGCAACTCTCTGCGCTGCCAATTTATTCCTATGGTGTTAAACCATATGCAGGTGTGTCATGCAAGAAAAGTATAAACAGTATTTTAACAATGCTCCTCAATGTGGAATTACCATAATGTGCCCTGGAGGGTTTAAAGCAGGGGTCAGCAAACTTTTTCAGCAGGGGCCGGTCTACTGTCCCTCAGACCTTGTGGCCGGACTATATTTTTGGGGGGGAAAAAAGAATTCCTCTGCCTCACAAATAACCCAGAGATGCATTTTAAATAAAAGCACACATTCTACTCATGTAAAAACACCAGGCAGGCCCCACAAATAACCCAGAGATGTATTTTAAATAAAAGGACACATTCTACTCATGTAAAAACACGCTGATTCCCGGACCGGCCGCGGGCCGGATTTAGAAGGCGATTGGGCCAGATCCGGCCCCCTGGGCCTTAGTTTGTTTACCCATGGTTTAAAGTAAACTGAATGTACTTCTAAACCCATTAATACCAACTCACTAATGTGTCCTACAAGATGGGGAAAACTTTCCGTGATATAGGGCTGCCCAACAACATTAGTTGAAACTCTTACATATGATACCATGGAACATCTCACATTACTAGGAGAATTGGCCTACCTAAATTTCCCAGCAATCCAGGAATGAGTTAAGAAATATTGTAAACAGAGTTAAGAAATATAATTTTAAAAAGAGTCCATTATATGATATATGCCTCATATTTTTCAAGTGTTTGTGTGTGTATTTATATCATGAAGGGGGGATGACAGTATCTCCATTTTGATAACAGCGCTACTTGTTTTGGGGAGATTTTTTTTTTTTTTTACAAATGCATTAAAAGCAACTGCTTGTCACTTAATAGCCATGTGCCCTTCATATCTTATCATAGTACTTGACAGTACATAGTACAGTTACTGAGGAAGTCGGTTTCTGTTTTCTCATTCATTGTGGCAGCACTGTTAAGTTTGGATTTTGGAGGGGAAAGCTCGTTAAAGATCTGCAACAACTTTAATTTTCAGAACCATGGCCATTTTTCTGCATGAGGTGAGATGCAATCACATCCCATTAAAATGTGCTGTGCGGGATCCTGAAGCTTGTATATAGAGCTCAGAATCAAGACTCTCAGTACCCTTATTCACAGAAGCACCCCCTGCACTAAATCTGTGGCAAAGGAGGCTGGGGGTATTTTTAGAGGGTAAGGAGAAGACGCCTAGCTGCCACTACCCTTTTGCAACCTCATTTAATGAGATGGGCTTCTACCTCTGGTGCTGCAACATGTAGTAGTTAATTAAGCTCCACTGCACACTTTGTCATCAAGCAGTGGCATCTCCATGCCAGGGCTAGCCACCTTGTTGGCATGGCGACGATGATGAGAGCTTAGATCCAAAAAATAATCCACCTGAGGTGCTCCCCAATGTGCTAGCATTAGATTCATAGACAACAGTGGTACCTTGGTTCTCAAACTTAATCTGTTCTGGAAGTCCATTCCAAAACCAAAGTGTTCCAAAACCAAGGCACGCTTTCCCATAGAAAGTAATGCAAAACGGACTTTTAAAAACAACCCCTAAAATAGCAATTTAACATGAATTTTACTTATCTGAGACCACTGATCCATAAAATGAACGCATTAATCAATGAACTGTACTATAAAATAAACAAGACAGTATTGTAGATGATAAAAATAAAAATATTTCCCCCCCTTACCCGCACTGATGCTAGTCATTGTTTGGATGGGGCTTTTATCCATTTCCACAGTCACACAATCAATCAGTAGCTGAACTGGGTTCCACACAGCAACAAAAACAAATGAACTGAAAAAGCCTCAAAAACAAAAATGCAAAATTAAGAGCAAAAACAGAAGCGCCAAACTTTATCCATTCTGGAAATCCATTTGACTTCCAAAATGTTAAAAAACCAAAGCGCAGCTTCTGATTGGTGCAGGCGCCCCGGAAAGCATCGCATTTTCGGCTTCCGAAAAACGTTCACAAACCAGAACACTTACTTCCAGGTTTTCGGCATTTGGGAACCAAGGTGTTTGAGTACCAAGGTAATCACTGTGCTAGAATTGCAGCCTTGGAAGGGACCCCAAGTGCCATCTAGTCCAACCCCCTGCAATGGTTCCCACAAGATGCACATAATGTGTTGATCAGTGCTCAAAGACTCCGCTGTATGTTGGTCCGTTTGTGATGTCTGTTTGACATATGGAAGCCGCTGCTTTGTATTACAGTCACTTGATTGCACAGTCATGTTGACTCAGTGCTGTTTATTTCGTACGATTTATTGTCATGTCATTGCCCAGCCTCAGTATGTGAACTTGTTAGGCTCAAACCTTGCATTTATGTTGTTATTTGGTAAAGTTTCTGTGAGGTTTCTAAGTGGGAACTTGGTAGTGGGAACTACCAGAGAGGTTTCCAATAAAAAATCCACCACAGCACCCCATAGGCAAAATACAAGGTACATGACATCATTTGATTCAGCCTGTTTATGTGTGTATATAAAACTGAAGAAAACCAGCTAAATGGGATTATCCTGCAAACAAACATCACATTAAAGGTATGTGGAACTGATGCATGGAACTACTGTATTTGGAAACGTTAACTTATGAGATTCATTCTCAGCAGTGAAAATTGGAAAGATTTTTCTTCTAGTAACTATTAAAAAAAAGAAGTTTATAACATTTCATTGTGTAGAAAATTTCCTGCAGTCAAATATCACGATGGTTTGTTCCATTGATTAAAGTGATATTTTTTATGGTGGGCTCAACTCTTCTAGTAACTTCTTCCAAATTCCAAATAAAATGGGAAGCGTCCAAGACTGGCTGTGGACAAATCCATGAGATGGCTCTTACTGCTTAAGAAGTGACTTAGTGGTGACCCATATGGTCACTTCTTATTTAAAATATATACTGCTGTCTCATAAAATAAAGCAGCTTACAACAATGGCACATAAAACCACACAATAAAAACCATATCAAAAAGTTAAAATGAGAGTATACTTCTTCAGTATTTGTATCAAACTAGCCGGCGATCCGTCTTGTTTATAAATATGGGTAGTTTTATATGGTTTTTGCCTGCCTGAATTGGGGTAAGACAGTGGACAAATTGTGGGAAATGGATGTGGTAAGTTGGTTATA